CTATTAAAATTTATTAAGGATTTTATTTTTATACATAATGTCTAATTTATTATTCAATTCCTTCTCAATCTTTTTTCTTTCTTAAAAGCCACTATTTTTATAGAATAATATTAACTGGCTTAAAATAATGATGTTAATAAATATTAAACTAAATCATCTCTTATTAATCTGATTACATTTTCTTCATCCTAAAATTATTTGAAAGGATCTGAATTTAGGTTTAGTGAAAATAAAATATTTATTAACTAATTGTTGTCAGGTATGGGAGAGAGATTGTAAATAATCAAATTTATGTAAATTATTTTAAGTTAAAATATGTAAGAATAATAAATATATATTGACACAAATACTTAAAAATTTGGATAGATTATCTAATATCAAAAGAAGAGAGTTATTTCATGAAAACGAAAGATTAATAATTTATTTCTTGGATTTGAAGATGGTGGTGTACCGGAGAGATGGTTATTAACATATTCAATCTTTAGCCAAAGATATAATAGTTATCATAAGAAATTTAGAAGGATTTTTGATTCACTCATGAATATTTGAATTATGGCAATTCAAAATTACAAGCTAAATAATATAATAAAATATTATATAATAGCATATTTATTTCAAGATTTGCCTGATCACGCTACTTTTCTTTAATTTTTTTCTGTTAATATTAAAAAACCAAAAATGGGATGACTCTTGGTATATATTACAAAATATATAGAATTATTAAAAACTATTAAAATTAAACATATATTTAATATCAGTCCAGTTTAACAAAAATCCTGATTTTTAAATGAACTTTTCTTAAATTCGTGAATATCAAAAATAGCTAAGTAAGATTCTTTTATTAATTCATAAATTCAAATAAATGAATTTCAAAAATAATGACTGATTAATTATTGAATCAATGTTTATTTTTTTTAAATTACTCATTCAAAGATTCTATTTCAATTATTCTAATGTTGACTCAAGATCTGAAAGAATATATTTATCTGTTAGTAATCGTGTCGATGCTCTTACTTCTTCGGTTATGCCCCTTTTTCCATTTTTTGATTAAATTAATTAGTAATAATCTTCAAAAATAAACTGAATAGCAGTGTTGTGAAGCTTAATATATGCTCTGATATACTTATGATCAACATGAAAAACAAAAAAACGTCGGATTCTTACATAAAAATTCAAATTAATTTACCTTCTTTTAAAATACTTATTCATTCAAACGGTAACTATATATCAGTCCTGTTGAATTCACTCAAAATAAGAATTATTATTATTCCCTTTTAGACTGAAATTTCTACCTGATTTTAAATAAAATGATTGATAAATCGTTTTAGTAATCAATACATTTATAATTTGAGATACTTGGATTTCTATTATCTTCTTGATAATTTTTTTGCCCTTTTTTAAAGCTCTTTTCCTTTATTAAAATGAAAGGATAAACTTCTGAAGCATCTTTTAACTTATTTATTGTTTAATGATCACAAATTTTTTATCTGATATCAAACACAAAATTGTGAAGGGACACATTTTAGGAATTTAAGTTTATCTTTAATGTAATTAATCAAAATAAAAACTTAGAAAGTACACACAGACTTATTATTTATTNGTAAATTATTTTAAGTTAAAATATGTAAGAATAATAAATATATATTGACACAAATACTTAAAAATTTGGATAGATTATCTAATATCAAAAGAAGAGAGTTATTTCATGAAAACGAAAGATTAATAATTTATTTCTTGGATTTGAAGATGGTGGTGTACCGGAGAGATGGTTATTAACATATTCAATCTTTAGCCAAAGATATAATAGTTATCATAAGAAATTTAGAAGGATTTTTGATTCACTCATGAATATTTGAATTATGGCAATTCAAAATTACAAGCTAAATAATATAATACAATATTATATAATAGCATATTTATTTCAAAATTTGCCTGATCACGCTTCTTTTCTTTAATTTTTTTCTGTTAATATTAAAAAACCAAAAATGGGATGACTCTTGGTATATATTACAAAATCTATAGAATTATTAAAAACTATTAAAATTAAACATATATTTAATATCAGTCCAGTTTAACAAAAATCCTGATTTTTAAATGAACTTTTCTTAAATTCGTGAATATCAAAAATAGCTAAGTAAGATTCTTTTATTAATTCATAAATTCAAATAAATGAATTTCAAAAATAATGACTGATTAATTATTGAATCAATGTTTATTTTTTTTAAATTACTCATTCAAAGATTCTATTTCAATTATTCTAATGTTGACTCAAGATCTGAAAGAATATATTTATCTGTTAGTAATCGTGTCGATGCTCTTACTTCTTCGGTTATGCCCCTTTTTCCATTTTTTGATTAAATTAATTAGTAATAATCTTCAAAAATAAACTGAATAGCAGTGTTGTGAAGCTTAATATATGCTCTGATATTCTTATGATCAACATGAAAAACAAAAAAACGTCGGATTCTTACATAAAAATTCAAATTAATTTACCTTCTTTTAAAATACTTATTCATTCAAACGGTAACTATATATCAGTCCTGTTGAATTCACTCAAAATAAGAATTATTATTATTCCCTTTTAGACTGAAATTTCTACCTGATTTTAAATAAAATGATTGATAAATCGTTTTAGTAATCAATACATTTATAATTTGAGATACTTGGATTTCTATTATCTTCTTGATAATTTTTTTGCCCTTTTTTAAAGCTCTTTTCCTTTATTAAAATGAAAGGATAAACTTCTGAAGCATCTTTTAACTTATTTATTGTTTAATGATCACAAATTTTTTATCTGATATCAAACACAAAATTGTGAAGGGACACATTTTAGGAATTTAAGTTTATCTTTAATGTAATTAATCAAAATAAAAACTTAGAAAGTACACACAGACTTATTATTTATTTTAAAAGGTTCATTATTACTGATAAATAAGCCAAAATATCAATCTTCCTTTACTAAAGGATAGCACATTGCTTCTTGTAATTTGGAATGATTGTGCAAAATAAAAATATCACTTCTTTTTTTGTAAATGCTGAAACTATATTTCATATCATATTTCTCAAATTATAAACTTAGGATTAAATTATTTGATATTTAGAAGTATATAATTTAAGATTTAATATAAATATTAACTAAATTGTAACAAATGTTTAATATATTGCTTTTTTAATAAATAGTATATTTTACATAAAAAATAGGATTATAATTTCTAATATCATCAATATTTATACAAAAAAAAGATTAATTAATATAAGTTAAATTAATATAATATGGGAAGCAGCTCAACAAAAACTGAAGTAACTGCAAATATAGTTATAATTATATAACAAAATTTAATTTAACCAATTTAGGATAAATCTTAAGAATTAAAAATAGATAAATAAACTTATCAATACTATTAAACCAGACCTAAATTAACAACATAGAATTGTAATAATTATGTAGCAGACCTGCCAAAGGATTTACTAATATGTAAATAGAATAAAAATTTAATGGATTTTAATCTAAGCAAATTTAATTAAAATGTTTGTGAAGATCTATAATAAAATCAACCTCGCCCTTCTAATTTCTAATGTTTTTAGTATGACTAAAATTGTTTTCAAGCTGAAAACAATAATATTTAATATGGGATTAATGAACAAATACTATATTCTTAATTATCAAATAATTAAAATAGAATTATGAATAATTGTCAGTTAGTTAACAATTTTTAGGTACAGATTGAGAATCAGAGAATTATTAGGAATCAAAGATAATATTAATCTATTCAAAAATCACCATTTAAAACTAATAAGAATATTAATTAAAATTATAACAGAAAATAATTAAGACCAGAATACAAAAATTTTTTAATAATCAACAATCTCAAGAATTAGCTTAAAAACCAGTACCAGTAAATAAGGCAGAAAATAGCCAATAATTTACAACATAATCTTTATATTTATGGATAAAAAATAAAGAAAATGAAGAATATTTCGAAATCTATAATAAAATCTTCAATAATTAAACCTAAGGAAAATATTCTAATAATTTTCCTTGTAACCATTCTAAATGCAAAGAGTTGCAAATCTGAATATTAACGGAAATGTTATCCTATCAATAGAGCTATATTTAATAACAAATAAAATACAATATCTAGTTTTAATAAGAATAAGTAATATGATTTCAAAAAGTACAAGATAATAACAAATGATATTGAATTTGCTTAATTAATAAAAGATTCATTAATAGGTTCTAACAAAAAATCATCTAAATAACATGAATTATAATATATATTCATAAAAGTTATGTTTAATTAATTTACATTAAATAAATACAACAATAAATAATGAAGGTTGATAAATTTTTATTATTTTGTAAAATTTAATAAAATTGTAGGAATTTATTGTCTTTATTTTATAAAGTAGATGTTTAAAACACCTTTGTATTTTAAAAATTTTTTCTGGAAAAAATCCAATCAAATAAATTATATTAAATCAATTTAATAAGAATTTTTATTCATTTCTACATGTTATGATATTCAATTAGTGAGAGAATAATAGCTAAATTTAATAATAATGTTGTTAGTAACTGAAATTTTATGCAAAAGAGAATATTGGAGGAGATTGTGATAAACCATCAACATAATGAATTAGTCAGCCTTGAATGATTAGAATATGACAAGATTTTAATAAAAACCATTCTATAGAAACTTAATCAAGTCAAATTATAAAGGAATCCTATTTCTAATTTTTAAATATAATTATTAGCTATAAAGTATAAAAATGAATATGAAATCTAAATTAAATTAAGTAAATAACCATAATTAATTAGTTCATTTTAAAACACCTAAACTATAATCAAATCATTTATTATAACCTCATATAAAAAACATGTTCTATATTGAGATATTTAATACTAAACATTTTATTATTATATATTCTTAAATATTTATCTCACTTATATTGAAATAAATGCCTTTATTAAATTAAAAACTCATAACAATATTTTCAAAGAAATGGATGGGACTATTTCAATTGATATTTTTTCGAATATAAAAGTTCAAAACTAAAGGAAATTTAAATACTTTTTGGACATCTTGATGATATTACAACTCTAGTTTTGTTAATAAGAAGTCATATTTTATCAGGTTAAAAAGATATGTAAATAATCATTTGGTCATTAAATTTATTAAGTGAACCAAAGAAAATCTAAAAACTTTAATGATAATATTTTTTAATCGAAAATAAAAAAGAAGATCTTATAATTTCTGGATGCAGCTAAATTATATTTTGGACTTAATTATTGAATAAATAATAATAATAATGGGTTTGTTCATTATAATATCAATCAGATAAATCTATTTTTGGATTATCAAATTCATGATGATGAAAATTAAGTTATTGCTTATCTTGAAAATTAACAAATTTTAATTATGGAATAGGGATATCCAAATTATTGGTTAATAAAACACAAGATTTAAGTAGTTGATTTGGGTTTTAGAATATGTTTTGTGAGTAATAATCTATTTGTATTTAAACCTATCATTGAATGTGATTTTGTTTGTTTAGGTGCAAAAACATTAAATATTTATACTTTTAATTCTTTCTTAAATAAATATGTAAAAATCAGGAGAAATTCAAGTAAAAGGAGATTGCCAATCCTGTTTCAAATACTTCCCCACTCTAGGAGAGTATCTTATTAAAGGAGAAAACTATTTAATTTTAATCTGAATTAGTAGAAATAATTAATTTTTGGAATACTAATGGTTTAGGAAATTTAATTGGAACTTTAGGTAATGATGGAGAAAATTTAATAATTGGGATAGCAATTATATTAATAAATAATTATAATCATAATTTAAACATTAAATAATGTTCAAAAAATTAACATAAAGTTTTGCAATTATTTTAGTGAATAAATAATATTTCAAAAAAAAGAAAAATTGTTGATTTAAATTTGAAATCCTCTTTTTCTGTTTTATTATATATAGTTATATGAATTAAATTTATCAAATAAATGGTTTTGAAGTTTTTAATATTTCTGTTTATGAGTGATTTAAGACTATAAAAATGATATTTGTATTATAATCAATATTTGAATTATTGGTTTTTATGTTATTTGGTTTAATCTCTTTAATGTGTAATAAAAATCTAAAATATCCCTTTTTAACTTCGATAAGTATTTTTCATTCTTTAAAATATACATTAATTAAATTTTATATTTTTAATATTAAAATCCAAAATAATATTCTCAATTATTCTCTCTTTGATTCAAATAAAAATTGGAAGTTAAAAACATTCAGAAACTGATTTATATTAATATTTAAAAGTTACTAAACATTTTTTAAGATTCTTATTTTATTTTTTATAAAACTATTTAATCCACTTCTGTCTATCATGTGAAACAAAATAAAAATTCATGTATANCATATTTTATCAGGTTAAAAAGATATGTAAATAATCATTTGGTCATTAAATTTATTAAGTGAACCAAAGAAAATCTAAAAACTTTAATGATAATATTTTTTAATCGAAAATAAAAAAGAAGATCTTATAATTTCTGGATGCAGCTAAATTATATTTTGGACTTAATTATTGAATAAATAATAATAATAATGGGTTTGTTCATTATAATATCAATCAGATAAATCTATTTTTGGATTATCAAATTCATGATGATGAAAATTAAGTTATTGCTTATCTTGAAAATTAACAAATTTTAATTATGGAATAGGGATATCCAAATTATTGGTTAATAAAACACAAGATTTAAGTAGTTGATTTGGGTTTTAGAATATGTTTTGTGAGTAATAATCTATTTGTATTTAAACCTATCATTGAATGTGATTTTGTTTGTTTAGGTGCAAAAACATTAAATATTTATACTTTTAATTCTTTCTTAAATAAATATGTAAAAATCAGGAGAAATTCAAGTAAAAGGAGATTGCCAATCCTGTTTCAAATACTTCCCCACTCTAGGAGAGTATCTTATTAAAGGAGAAAACTATTTAATTTTAATCTGAATTAGTAGAAATAATTAATTTTTGGAATACTAATGGTTTAGGAAATTTAATTGGAACTTTAGGTAATGATGGAGAAAATTTAATAATTGGGATAGCAATTATATTAATAAATAATTATAATCATAATTTAAACATTAAATAATGTTCAAAAAATTAACATAAAGTTTTGCAATTATTTTAGTGAATAAATAATATTTCAAAAAAAAGAAAAATTGTTGATTTAAATTTGAAATCCTCTTTTTCTGTTTTATTATATATAGTTATATGAATTAAATTTATCAAATAAATGGTTTTGAAGTTTTTAATATTTCTGTTTATGAGTGATTTAAGACTATAAAAATGATATTTGTATTATAATCAATATTTGAATTATTGGTTTTTATGTTATTTGGTTTAATCTCTTTAATGTGTAATAAAAATCTAAAATATCCCTTTTTAACTTCGATAAGTATTTTTCATTCTTTAAAATATACATTAATTAAATTTTATATTTTTAATATTAAAATCCAAAATAATATTCTCAATTATTCTCTCTTTGATTCAAATAAAAATTGGAAGTTAAAAACATTCAGAAACTGATTTATATTAATATTTAAAAGTTACTAAACATTTTTTAAGATTCTTATTTTATTTTTTATAAAACTATTTAATCCACTTCTGTCTATCATGTGAAACAAAATAAAAATTCATGTATATATATCTAACTATTTATTTAACTAAAAATTAATATTTGATAATACTTTAAAAGTCTGATTTCATATTATAAAATAATAGTAGAGCCATTTTTAGAATAAAAAAATAATTTAATTTTAATTAATTTGTATTAATCAAAAAAATTTAAATTTAAATAAAATTATTATTGATACATAAATTTGGTTCTTATCATAAATAGAATAAGATGAATCCTTCAATATTATAAATATCTATCATATTCAAACTAAATCAAGTTCATTAATTGAATAATTAATAGTGATATTAGAACAAATAAATGCTTCACATATTAGAAATCAAATTAAATTATATCTATAAGGTAAAAATTTTGTTACTCTTATTGATTGATCTTTAATTAACATTATTTTATAAAAGGGGATTAGTGAAAGTATGAAATAGTGTATTAATAAACAAATGATACACATAATGATTAAGAAATAATTATTTTTTTGATTACTTATAAATAGAAGTTATAATAATAATCACCTACTGAATAATCTTGTACTGACTTTTAATCATAAAATTAGAGTATTATCCTTATTCATATAATATTTTATTATTAATTTAAGTAGATATCCAACCTCAAAAATCTGATAATTCAGGTTTAATGTATTAACATATATAATAATTTTACAATTTATTATAAAATTTGTTTTAATAATCAGTTAATATGGTTTTAATTTTCTATTTTATTACAAATTTGGAATTTATTTATAAACAAATATGATGGTATCCATGTAAATAGGATAATGATATTAGCATGTCCTAAATTTAAGAATATTCATATTTCTATTAAAAATAAAGACTTATTCTTATTATTCATCTTATAATTATTGATTGCATCATATTATTAATTAAGTATTAGAATAGAAATGTATAAATGCACATACGAAAATCATGAAAACAAAACAATAATTGACTTTTGTCTTAATTCTAAGTGTATACGTACTTTCTAATATTGTTACAAATGCTTATTTGAAGTACATTAAGATCATCAAAAAAATTGAATTAGATTAATAAATATATCTGATTTAATAAATAAATATATTTCAGATTAGGCTGAATTAATAAAAACATCAAATGATATCTAAAAATGAGTAAAAATGAAGATGGATTTAAATATGAAAGAATGCAAGAAAATATTTAAACTCTAATAAAATTTGAATTAAGTATTAAAATACTAACATTACTTCAAATTCCAATTATCAATAAATTTTATAAAAAAAATACTACTCATATGACTCATAAAATAAAGAAAATTATATCTTAATTAGTATTTTTAGAATAATTCATAACAATCAAATTAATTACAATAAATATTAGAAATTAATTAAAAGAAATCGAAAAGATCTTAGAATAAAAGTAAAACAAGTAATCTGAATTACAAGAAGCAGAAATGCTATTCAAAATGGCTATGTATTAACAAATTAAGGTTAATATTAAGAATCTCTGAAAATTTAAGATAATTCATTGTCTCTGTTAAATATAATAAATAAGATATTTATGTGGAAAGGTAATATAAATAGTTTATTATTCTTAGGACAATCATTAAATTTAACTCATTCACATATACACTTAATTATATTTATCAAAAAAGACTATAAGAAGGAATCAAAATGTTGTGATTTTGCAATTTAATTGAATCCTAAAAATGATATGGCTTTTAATAATAAAGGTGTTACTTAAACAAATTTGAAATAAATAGGTTGAGCATTAAGCAATTTAAAGAAATATCAAGAAGCTACTGAATGTTATGATAAAACAATTTAATTAAATTAAATGCTAATGCTTATAACAACAAGGGTTCATTATTCTTTTTATTTATTAGCCATTGCTTTACATCAAATGAAAAAAATTCAATAAGCAATAAAATTTTATGACAAGGCTCTATAAGTAAAGGTATTCACCTCCTTTAATTAAAAATTTTAGCGGAATCTTTACTTGCTTCTGGAAACAAATCTGAAGCTAAAACTTGTTTTTTTAAAGCTCTTAATGATCAAGATTATATAAAGGGATAATTATTAATTTTATGAGAATCATTTCATTATATACATAATAATAAGTTATCAATATGTATTAATTCCTTTTTTTCTTATTCTAATATATCTATTAAACAAAAGAAACTCATAGTTATACTATTATTTTAATTCCACATTTCTGTTCTAAGAAAATGAAATACAAAATTTCTAATTTCTATCTGAATATACAATCTGATTACTTATTAAATAGATAATTAACTATTAAATAAGAAATCCATTTAACATTATTTATTATTCACAAAAATATTAAATATATGTTAATAATAATAATCGCTATATAAAATTATAAAATATAGAGATTTTATATAACATACTTATTGAATATTATATTAAATTAAGAATATAATAGTATAANAACAATCAAATTAATTACAATAAATATTAGAAATTAATTAAAAGAAATCGAAAAGATCTTAGAATAAAAGTAAAACAAGTAATCTGAATTACAAGAAGCAGAAATGCTATTCAAAATGGCTATGTATTAACAAATTAAGGTTAATATTAAGAATCTCTGAAAATTTAAGATAATTCATTGTCTCTGTTAAATATAATAAATAAGATATTTATGTGGAAAGGTAATATAAATAGTTTATTATTCTTAGGACAATCATTAAATTTAACTCATTCACATATACACTTAATTATATTTATCAAAAAAGACTATAAGAAGGAATCAAAATGTTGTGATTTTGCAATTTAATTGAATCCTAAAAATGATATGGCTTTTAATAATAAAGGTGTTACTTAAACAAATTTGAAATAAATAGGTTGAGCATTAAGCAATTTAAAGAAATATCAAGAAGCTACTGAATGTTATGATAAAACAATTTAATTAAATTAAATGCTAATGCTTATAACAACAAGGGTTCATTATTCTTTTTATTTATTAGCCATTGCTTTACATCAAATGAAAAAAATTCAATAAGCAATAAAATTTTATGACAAGGCTCTATAAGTAAAGGTATTCACCTCCTTTAATTAAAAATTTTAGCGGAATCTTTACTTGCTTCTGGAAACAAATCTGAAGCTAAAACTTGTTTTTTTAAAGCTCTTAATGATCAAGATTATATAAAGGGATAATTATTAATTTTATGAGAATCATTTCATTATATACATAATAATAAGTTATCAATATGTATTAATTCCTTTTTTTCTTATTCTAATATATCTATTAAACAAAAGAAACTCATAGTTATACTATTATTTTAATTCCACATTTCTGTTCTAAGAAAATGAAATACAAAATTTCTAATTTCTATCTGAATATACAATCTGATTACTTATTAAATAGATAATTAACTATTAAATAAGAAATCCATTTAACATTATTTATTATTCACAAAAATATTAAATATATGTTAATAATAATAATCGCTATATAAAATTATAAAATATAGAGATTTTATATAACATACTTATTGAATATTATATTAAATTAAGAATATAATAGTATAATCCAAAAATAATAATTATTAAAATTGTAATTGATATTATCAGAATTCTATAAGACTATATATTATTTATTTTTCAAACAAATTTACACAAAACCAAAATAAATAAATTTACCATCATTATTAAATAATAGAAGTGAATAGAAAAGGTTTCAATAACACTTTTTATCAATGATATAGTAATATTAATATTTTGATAATAGAAATATTGCTAGATTACTTATTAAAAGGCTTAAATTTCAATATTAGTCAAGTTTTAAATAAATTCTTCCTTAAAATATATTGGTCATTAATTTTTAATATCTAGATTCTAAGTAAATTCATTAATATTCATATAATAATTTATACATAATATTTCTATTATTATATTCAATGGGATGCATAGATGGTAATGCATTATTCAATTAAGAGATAAGGAAGATGAATAAAAGCCTACAAAATCATAGACTTCTTCAAAATAAATCAAAGAAGAATTCAAAAATGATTTGCAAACAACGCAAAGCTAGAATGTTAAAGAATCAACAACTTATTATAAAGATGATCTTGATCATTTAGATCGAATATCAAAAAATAAAAGTTTAGATGGAAACACTAATGAATGCTGGGTAAAGGATTGTTAGAAGTTTAAATACGATCTAATTAACACTATAAAAGGTAAATATGTTTGTGTTCTATTATTCAAAAATATTTAGTTTTATTATAATAAAATAATTAGAAAAATTAAAGTTTAATAATACCAAGATGCAAATGTATATGAAATAGAGGGATTTATTTATTTAACTAAAGATGATAGCAATTTCAATCCAAAGTATAAATTATAACAAGGGATTTTCTTTAAAGTTTTGGGATACAGAAAATTTAATTAAATGAATAAGGTGAAGAATATTAAAGAAAGTCAACATTAACAAGGCACATTGGTTAGTTTAAAAATGGAGAATATATATCTGAATTAAAGAATACAATAAACAATCCTAATTATGATTAGTAGACACAAAGAAATAACTAAAAAGTTATTATTACAGATTCGACAACAGGAATATAGTATAGAAGTTATAATAATAAGTTTAAGTATAAAATTTTTGGTGTTAGTATAATTAATTAATATCAAATAATGATGTGAATATATTAAAAAATAAAAGATGGATAACAAGTATTATTATTCATAGTTATGTTCTTAAGCTTAATTTAGACAGTGAAAAGTAATATTTTGATCTTAAATTTTAAGAGAAATAGAAGTATAAACGTATATTATTTTTACCAACTACTAGTTTTACTACTAACTTTTGAAGTAGACTTTGATAAAAAGAAGGCAATTAATTTATTAAAATAAGAATTACTTGAATATACATAAATGGATTTAGAAATAACAAGAATTTATAGGAAAATTGGATTTCCAATCAAACAAAAATAATTGTTATTGGTATTTTCTATTCTTTGATGCTGAAATGGGATTAGCTTAGATATTTAATTCTACACAAATTTCTAATGATATTATTAAAGAAAATTAGAAATTAATAGATACTTTGGCATTTATTCTTAAGATAACTATTGAATCAACATAAATTCAAAAATAATCAGGTGAATAAAGGAATAGTTATTCATGCGAATATAATATATGTAATTTATGAAGTTTTGTTAAGAATAATAATTTAATAATAATCAATAAGATTATTAATATGATGAAAAAAATATAATCTAGATATTAGAAAATATAATAGCTAAAGATTGATGATTTATCATATAATATCCTGATTATTAATTAATGATTTTGTATTTCTCAGTATATTTAATATATATCATCCATCTGAAATTTCAAAGATTCTGTTTTTTTCATATATAAGCAATTATATAAATTGTTAAAAACATGTAATCGGATAATAGAATATACATTTCTAAGTTGAAATTTATTTGTCATAATTTTCTAACAGATTAATTTCATAAGTTGTTTAACAATTCTGATAGAAATAGAGGCTTTCAAAGTCAATTTTATATTCTCAGAAGATATAATTATATATTGAATCTGAAGATTAATGAATATCTAAATATATTGATTAATAACTATTATAATAAAAGTTCATTAGTAAATAATATTAATCAATTATAAGTTAAGTTATGTATTCTGAAATATTATATTAATATTTAGATATTTTAATCAATTATAATTACCAAATTTGTGTATGAAAAATCAATTCATAATGTAGTCAAAAAAAAAGCCAATTTATTATATATATTTATTTCTAAGATTAATTTAATTATATATTGTGATTTTAATATCAAGTATCTTCTTATTTAATTTTACTAATTGGTAAATATGAAAAATTAAAAATAAGTATTTCATACAACTAAAATCACTCAGAGATCTCCTTGATTTTTTCATATCAGTCTTATTTTTTAATATATTTTGTTTTCTAGTATAACAAAAACTAAATTAGTATCACAAAAACTAGTGTTATAGTAGATATATCTAAACCGTCAAAAATTTGTAAATCTTAAATAAATTGGATATTAAATAGTATTAGGAACAAGAGAAATTTTTAATATATTTAAGTCTTAAAACGGTAACCACCACATAGTACACTAGCTAAAATTTCAATCTATAAACAAATAAATGGATTCTGACATCAATTGTTGGAATCCAATATGATAATGATTATTATTTCCAATTTAGATGAACCTACACTAATACTGCCTAACAGAGTCTTTTAGATTAGATTCTTGTAAAAATTAATAATTAATACAGGTGACGGACTTATAAAGCATACCCATTTAATAGATTGGATGTCTTATGTGAAATATACACTTACTAAATTAGAAGTTCAATATAGAACTACAGTTGATGCAGAATTACTAACAAATGAGATTTAATTATTGACAAATCCATTTCTTCAGTTCTTATAAATGTCATTAATTAAATATCTTATTTTCCTTGATATTTATCAACAAGTTATACTGATTAATCACTTTATTAATTTAGTTGTAACCTATAATTAGGTTGCAGCAGTTTGCAATATTTTGGATGTTGAATAAATGATTATTTTATGAAATTAATCAAATTTATTATTTTGATAATATAAAATAATAAAAATATTTCTTTATAATTAATATTGAATATTATTTTTAATAAAACTTGCCCAAATTTATTGATCAATCTTCTGATAATATTTTTTTATTTAAGTCTTATGAGATTTATAATCCCAAGTAATTAAGAATTATCCATCATGACTAATTGTTCCATATACACAATCATAACCAAAATTAATTGATTATTCTAACTAATAGTTGAATTCCCCATCTTATCCTTGGATTTTATAGAATAAATCTTATAATATTTATGAAATAACCATTTTTGATCATTAATATTTGCTTAGAAGTAACATAAATTGGTTGGCAATCCCCTAAATCATGTTGACCCTTTCCTTATAAAGATATATTTTTGGCAATCTAAAATTTTTAATTCATATACACTTTGAATATCGATAAATTTTTAGTTCCTGAATGTGATTTAGATGATTTGAAAAGTAAAAATCTAATTAGTGATAAAACAAATCCGAAGTAGATATTCATTAAATTAAATCTACTAAAGGATTTACCAAATTTCTTTTTCTGAATCTGCCATTACATAAAGATTTTTATCTGCTCTAATTGATTATTTTTCTTCCATCTGGGCTTTTTGAAAAACCAATTATAGGCATTTTATGTTCATTTATGATCTATTAGCAAACATACTAATCTTGTAATTACCAAAATTTCACATTTTCATTATCACCACTAATACTAAGGTTTTTATTTGGGTGAATGATGACACAATTTATTTTAGATTAGGTCCATTCAATTTTATATTTTGATTACCAGCAATATGGCATTAATTAATCATCTGGGGCCCAAATATTTATCAAATGTTCTGAACCAGAGAGGAAGAAGTTCGCATGTTTAAGATTTTTAAAATTAAAGAGTTGTGACTTAACAAATATTCCCATCACAAATCAAAAGTTTTCTTAAAGCTTTTCCTTCACTTGCAAAAAGTTCCTCTTCCTCTTATTCAGTTAAATTTTCAATATTGTATTCTTTGTAATGCAAAATCTTGAAACTTTAGATTTTTTCTCTAATACCTACTACAAGTGCAGAGTTATCATAGTTTATTGCAAGTACATTTGAGAAATCTGATTTTTCAGAATTATACCACTTATATGTTGATTTTTAATTACCAATTGTAATAATAAATAGAAATGAAAATAGCAAGAAGAAGATAAGAAACATTTGGCTTATACATTTACAAAGTAGTGAGATAAGTGTATCCAGAAATTGGTGTTTCAAGAAAAGCCATGAACATTATGAATTCATTCATTAATGATATTTTTGATAGAATTGCTCTTGAAGCTAACAAATTAGTCAGATTCAATAAAAGAAGAACTTTAAGCTCAAGGGTAATTTAAACTGCTGTTAAATGATTACTCCCACTATTTCTGAAGGAACAAAAGCTGTTACCAAATATACAAGTGGTTGATTATATATGTTTAATTAAGTTCAAAAAAAAAATAAATCGATTATTTCCAAACCTACTAATAGTCATTTCATTCAAGAAAATGGCTACTTACGAATTTAGAATGCAATTTGCTTAATAATTATTTGATTATCAAATTATCACAAAATTAATTATATTAATTATTATAGTAAAAGCAGCAATATTACGCAATCAATGTCAGGCATGGAATCTTTTGGAGTGGTTTCAATTACGGTTATCGTTGTTTTATTCGTTTATTCAATCTCAGGAGCTTTCTTTGAGCATAAACATGTATATATTTTGAAATAAATTTGTAGATCCACATAATTCATGAGACAGGCTTAGGAATTTTGCTGGGAATACTGAGTGGATTCTTTTTTTATCTTGTCCTTGAGGGCACACTGCGTTCATTAGTATATCATCAATATGAAGTAGTATACTTTTAATGGCACATTCTTTTTCTATATTCTTTTACCGATAATTATATTTTGTGGAGGTTACAACTTGAACAAAAGGAGGTTTAATATTAAATTAGAATTATTATAGATTTGCATAAAACTTTTTTTATATAATGTTATTTGGATTAGCTGGAACAATATTGACATTTGCGTTTATCTTCATTTTCACATATATAGTGAATGAATAAAGTATAAATTTTTATGAATTAGATTTGATAACGGAATCGTTCAATCAAGATAATGTAATAAAATTGAGTGTTGAGAATATCATGATTTTTTCAGCAACCATATGTGCCTCTGATAGTGTAGCAGCTTTAACAATGATTAAACCAGAAAAATATCCTAAATTATTTAGTGTTGTCTTTGGTGAAGGAATGGTCAATGATGCAGTATCCATTATCCTTTTCATTTCAGTTGAATTAATAAGTAATGATAATGTAGAAACTTGGAAAATGCCACTTGAATTGATGTGGTTATTCATCAAGGAATTTTTTGGAAGCATGGCTATTGGGATAATTTTCGGTATGTATATCAAAAAAATTTAATCTTAGGTTTATTCACATCACTTTTATTTAAACGATTAAGATTCTTGACGGAGTCTGTGATTCTAGAAATAATTATATTATTATATGTTGGATATGCAAGTTTTGCAATTTGTGAGTTGTTGGAATTAAGTGGTGTAATCAGTGTTTTGGTTTGTGGAATAACTTTAGCTCATTATAATTATTATAATCTTTGCAACCTGGGATAAATATCATCAAAGTATAAATTCATGAATACTAAATAGAATAACATTGAATTCATTATCGCTCTTTTGCGAATCCTTTATCTATGTATATTTGGGCTTAGCCTTATGGGCAATAAAGGGAGAAAATGGATTAGATAATATGAAAACAAGTTGGGTTTTTATTTTGCTTGAAATCGCAATATGTTTTGTTTCAAGAGGATTATCCTTATTTATATTAACGATGATATCCCAAATCTTCACTGGGAGAAAAAACTTTAAATTAACCTTTTGGGAGCTAAATATCGTTTGGTTTGCAGGTCTTATAAGGGGATCTGTTGCTTATGCTCTTATACAAAAACTTCATTACAAGGAAGAGGAGAAAGAATAGGTTTAGCTTATGTAAACAACAATTTTGATTATTGTTGTTATTACAACGATAATACTTGGGGCAATGATGCCATTTTATATATCAGGTAATTTGTAAATACAGGAACATCGTAACAACAAAAAGAAAGTCCAATCTAGGGATAGCATTAGAGTCACTTTTCTAGGGGTAAAGAAATTGATTATATTTAATTAAAGGAAATATAAGGAGGTTTAGGTGAAAACGATGATTAATAGTCTAAAAAAAAATCTAAATTTTATAGATGGTTAGCTCACATTGAGGAAAAATATATGAAGCAATGGTTTATATACAATTATAGTTAAAGAAGATTGGAAATTAAAGAGCAAAAATAATTATAGAAAAAGGCAAATGATGGGAATTAGCCAAGAAGATAAACAGTTCAATTCTAAAGATAGGACAGTTAGGGATACAACAGTAGAGTATCTAAAGTTATCCATAGATCAACTATTAATTCAAAATATACTGGAATTTAATAAATAATTCATTGTATTGAGGTACCTAATGAGATTCAATATTATCATGATAATGAAGAATTGAAAACTTAAGTACAAGATCAGAATGATTTTAGAGAAGTTGATGAGAATTTAGAATAATCAAATATAAAGTGAATAATTTATAATTATATATATATATAATTTTATTATGGATAAGAATAAAAAACTAAAAAAAACAAAGGACTCCATCCTAATAAGAAAAAATGGAAAATATTCTGAAAATGCAGGTGAAATTGCTCGTTAAAGGTATATGGTATAAGATATTAAATTCAGATCAATTTACATGTTATTATTTGAATGTGGAATATTAATTACCTATTTGATATTTTTAATTTTGTATTCTGTTTAAGGTAAATTCAAAATGCTTTATTTAACTTTGCAAATTGTGATAGTAAATAACTGAATTAAATATTAAGGTTTTACTTCAAATCCTTTGTAGTTGCTTTTCAATACATTCTATGATATTTTTCAAAGAATACATAATTACCAAAAGTTCTAACTTGTACTTAATATTAGTCAATCTTGTAGAAGCATCTTAATTTACTGTTTGATGATTGTTCCATTTGTATTCATGTATTTAGAAGTTGAAAAATTTACAATGCCAATTATTTTATAAACAATTTTTTTGTCTTGTGATATCATTTTATGTTGCTTAGATTAGTATTTAATCAGAATATTTGTGATAGACTTTTTAAAGGAAAAGTAACGATATAATTTGAAAGCAGGTAGCATAATTATTTATTTTTAGCTTTGCACAATCGCAAAAGTTTTGAGGATTAATTATAAAAAAGCATAATGAGTAAGTCAGATGATTTCACATGAGTATACGTTTATTAAAACAAAAGATAATGTTTATTTATTTATAATTAATTGTCACTCTGGCTAGAGCATATATATATGAATAGGATGTGACTCCCTTCTACTAAGGTTTGATTCAGAAGAAAATATCATTTTTATGCGAATCTGGAAGATTGACATTAGATAATGGATTCTACACATATTAGATATTTTTAAAAGAAAACCATACAGATTATAATTAATTTACAGACACTGATCAATTATGGGTAATGCTAACTAACAATGGTTGCTCCTCAATATTGCATGCTTATGATAAGTATGGTCCATTTACTTTTAAAAATGGATAATTAGACTTACATCCTTACTCTTATAATAAATTTGTAAATTTATTATATATTGATTAACCCTTTGGAGTTGGCTATTCTTTAGGAAGTGAAGGAAAGAATGGATCGGTTATCAATATTTTGGAATTCATTCAAGAATTTGTAATGAAAAAAGGAATAGCATATATGAAAATAATGCTGTATGGGAGAGAATACGTAGCATCCTTATTCCCAAAAATAATAGAATATTCAATAGGATATCAGCTAAATATCGAAGGTATCATCCTTGAAAATGCATGGGTAAGTCCTATTCATTAGATTGGATATTATGGATCATTTTTGTATTAGTTAGGTCTTATTGATGACTAAAGAAGAGATGAAATTTATTATAATACTACATAAATTTAGGTATAGTTATTGAATTAGAATTTTACTAATATTACTAAACTGAAAGCATTGATAAATCAAAGTCAAAGTGAACTTGAATTAATAGAAAATAATGAGAGTAACTAATTAGAGAACATAATACAATTTATTAAGAATCATTCATTATAATTATATGAAATTTCGATTGAGAGTGAATTTAAATATTGTAATGAAACTCAACATGAAAATGCTCAGTTATTACTTCTAAATTCTTAATTAAATGACATAGAAATGATTTTGAATAAGTAGAAAAAAGTTTTCGTTCTGGCTAAACAAATATCATTTACAGTTACAACTCCAGGTATTGTGACTTGGATTACTTAAATGAGGTGGTAACATATAATGAAATGGAGAATGAGTGAGAAAAGATTTATCTAAGAACAAAATTATGATAAAGATAAGAATACTACTTCAAACAAAACAGTTGGATATATCAAGTAATTTGATAAATTAAAATATATTGTCGCATATGATGAGTAATTTAAATTATTGAAATAAATTATTATTGATAATTGATTATTTTATAAACTTCATGGGTCCATGCTCAATATTATGTTGCAAGAAAGATGATAACTAAGTAGTGGAAAAGTAAATAATTACTGAGATTAATCATGCTTTAACAACAGAAGATAGAAAAGTGACTGAATTTCAAGAGAAAATAACTTCAATTATTAAAATATAAGCTCATTATAGAGGACATTCTGTTAGGAAAAAAATGAATTAATAGGAAAGCAAATAATTTATCAAGGAAAGTTCGCTTTCAAATAGAATTTGTATTATCGAGGCAATAAAAGAGGAAGATTAATAATTAATTAAATAAACAGAAAAAAATTAAGAGCCTGTAGAATTGCCTGAAATAGAAATGGTTGATGGAAGTAAATACAAAGGATAATGGATGAAAGGGTAGAGATGGGGCTTAGGAAGGCATTAATGGGCTGATGGTTCTGTTTATTTAGGAGAATGGAAACAAAATTTCGCTTGGGGAAGAGGTAAATTAATGCATGCAGACGGAGACGAATATGAGGGAGAATGGTAAAGAGATTAGGCAGACGGATTTGGTATATATATTCATTCAAATGGGGCTCGTTATGAAGGTTAATGGAAAGATGATTAACAGAGTGGAAAAGGTATAGAAATATGGAAAGATGGTTCAAAATATGATGGAGAATATAAGGAGGGCAAAAAACACGGATATGGACATATATTTTTTGCAGATGGTTCATAGTATGTTGGATAATTTTTTGAAAATTAGATACATGGAAATGGAGAATATACTTGGTTTGATGGGAAATCTTATAATGGTTAATGGAAGAACAATAAAATGGATGGATATGGTACGATGACTTGGGCTGATGGGAAAAAATATGAAGGTGAATACAAAAACGATCAAAAGCATGGATTTGGGACATTCTACTGGGGAGATGGTCGTTTCTATTCTGGATAATGGTTTAGTGGAAAGTAGAACGGGGAAGGAGAGTACACAACAACTACAGGTGAAAATAGAAGAGGCTATTGGGAACAAGGCAAAAGAGTCAAATGGTTATGAAAACGCACATTAACCAAGAATAATTTTGATTTGCTTATTTTTTCTAACTAACTGTTTTTATAATATATATTAATGAAGATCAGCTCTGCAGTTAATAAAAACTTGCTCATGCAAGACCTTTAACTTCGCCTTAAAAAACTGATTGGTCTCCAAAAAGTAAAATAAGTATAGAAATTTGAAAAATTAGTAGAAATTTTGTTTCACCAGGAATATCAAATATTATAAAAACTGATAATAAAATGTCAAATCAACAGCTTTGTCTTGTGATTTGATTTCTTTAATAAAAAATGGAACTAATTAAATCAATAATTAATTATTGTGTAAGACACAAAATTCTCAATTCTACTAAACTTAATAGAACTTAAGCAGGAATGCTCCATAAAGATAAGAGAAGATAAATCAAGATTTTTATGCTATTCATGGAAGAATAGAGAATGTAGATGTTTCGTATCTATTGCAAGTCTCGGATGGACATTGTTTCAATCGACATTAAGTAGCATAATTCTTTTAAGAAAGATTACCAACTATTATAGATTAGTTATTAAAATTTTAGAATATGGTTAAGAAAGATTGAGATAAGATGATTTTTTGATAAGCGTTTGAAAGAAAAAAAAAGAATATTTTAAATCAAGAATTGATATAACTTACAGTGGAGCCACCATTGTTTGTTTATTAATTATTGAACTCATTGGTTGGGGAGCTAACATAAGAAATTCAAGAGCTATTATTTGTAGATAGAAGGTAGGATTTCATTTTGTTGAATTATCCAAGCATTAGAAGCCTGATTTACCTAAAGAAGAAAAAGAATAGTATAGAATGGTGAGAGAGTCTTAATATATTCTGATGAAGAAGAAAGTCTAATTGGTCACTGGCCCTTTTGCATTTTTTAATTGAATTAAAAATAGCAATCTTAAAATATGAACAATTTTTTAATGATTCTCCTAAACTTAAATACTTAATTACTATTAATTAATATCATTAATGTTCTATACAAAAAGCCGAACTACAAAATAAATTAACAAAAGAAATAATATAATTAAATAATATGGATAGTTAATTCTGCGTAATTTTTCCAATTGTAATTAAAAGGGTGATAACAAAGTTATGTGTTTGCTTTCCATGACAGAATCTTTGATTTATATGAGCATTTTCCTTTATTAGTATAAACTTATGAGTTCGGCTTGGATAGACATGAAAGTAAAGGAAACTTATCATAAATCATTTACTCTGAGATATAAATTTATTTGGGTTCTACTATTAATAGTAGCCTTAATTTTGGAAGGTGTCTTGAATAGCTTTACTCCTTATGTCAATATGATTCCCATTGGATGCTAATTCATAGTTTATGTAATTATAATCGTTTAGATTAGTGCACTATGATGAAAATTTTATATGATGACAATAAATATTTTAATTAGAGTAGAAAATAATTCAGAAGATTTATTCGTTATCCATTCTTATTTTAGATATTGTAAACTTTAAATATGATAATATTTGGGAACACAGTATGGATGAATCTAGTTTAAATTTTTCTTCTTTTTTCTTTTTATGAATACCTTGTAGATAAATCATGTAATTTATAAGTAAAAGATCTAAGAAGACACATTGACAATTGTGAGAAATTAAATATCATATGCAATTCAAATATTAATTTAAATCAGCATATGAATAATAAATAATTTTTGGATGACTCACCAAATTTACAACATACTCTATTATAACAATCACATGCTGTTAGAGACACTCCACAATTTGATAATTTCGGAACAGATATTGAAAGTGATTCAGGAAATGAGGAGCATACAGTTAGAGTATCGTTCAGCAAATCGTCTGAGATAGGAAATATATCAATTAATAATTTAGAGAATGAGAAATATGAAATAAATTACAATTACAAAGGAAAGCATAAATATAAGATAGTAGAGATTTCAGAAATGAACAAATTCATGCAACTACTAAAATTGGATGATTTTTCTTAAATTTGGAATGACCAAAATCGACTCAACTATTTTATTTAATATTTAGAATCAAAAAACCATCAAATGTATTTAAATATTATATTTTAAGATGGTGTGAAAATTTTTAAAGATAAGAAATTATTGATACATTTATGCCTAAATCATCACAGTGACTCTCTAAATTTATTTACCAAAGTTTTAATTTATTCTATTGATTTATCATTTTATTTTGGTAAAATGTCTTTCTTTTCTTTCTTCTCAAATGTTTGGATATTAAAAGTGTTCATATTTCTTAATTATTCAAATAAGCGAGAAAACTCATGAAGTAGTATTTGTACCTCAGTGTCCTCCTTTATTAAAATGTCATCTGCCTATATTTTGTTTATGATTCTTATTTAAAATATATTATTTATGATCTTATCAATTTTATAAGTAACTTACTTTATTGGATTAGTAATATCTCTAGTAAATAAATTGACTCTATTTATGATAATCAAAATATTAATGAAAAATATAACTATTATGATTAAATAATAAGGCCATGCCAAATTAAATAAATCTAAGGCTTTGACTGAATCATCTATTCTTTATTTGTAAATTACTAAATAGATTTAAATTTGACTATCAGTTGAAATATCTCTAACAAATAAAGAATTACAGGAACTACTAGAATAGTAGTTATTATCTCCACTTGGCATATCACAATCAAAACTTATATTCAAAATTCTATTCATTTAACACTCGCATTGATCATTTATGTTTTAATCATTTGAAACATAAAAGGAGTTATCAGTTTTAAATATTTTGATAAAAAATGATGACTACAATTTTGATAATATTTGTGCAATAACGTTAGTATATCCAATTCCTAAAACCATACCATAATTGGTTGGATATGAAAATATTATTGTCTCATTGCTGTATAATATTTATTATTTTTATTCCAATTAAAGATAACTATCATTCATATTTTATATAACAGGGAAGTAATGAATAATTTTATTTAGCTTATTTATAAGGTAATATTGATGAAAAAATATCATCATATCATCATAATTAAACATCATCTCTAAAATATATTTATCTATTTATGCTAGTTTTATTGTTTATAACCATCCTTCTTAATTCATTTATTCTGTAACTTTATATAGAGATCTATATAAAGATATATTATTTTAGTTCAATTTATGTTATATTATGTATTTTTCAGTGAATGTGTCATTTGAAATAGTAAAATTATTTAATGTAATTGGTTGATAAATTAAATTTTTTGATTATTTCTCAGATAAATAAGAAAGCAAGATCAATTACTTATAATATCCATCAACTTTTGTTAAAATAGTTTTAGTCAATTTTTGACTATAATCTAAATCTTCGTTCATATTGAATTTTACTTTATTTTCAGAATTCCCTATATAACCAAACAAAATCCCAAGCATCATTACGACTTTATAGGGTTGTTAAGCTTACAAACAACTGACTTAAGCATTATTAATTTAAGCATCAATCTACCATTAATCTAATTAAAGAACTTTATCCACAACTCTTATGAAACCAATTCTTTAAACTTATCTACAATTTTTAACATAAATTAATTATTTGTAATATAAATTACTAAGTTATGCATATCATTTCTTAAAAAATAATTGATATATTATAAAATCAATTAACAAATAAGTTAGTAATTATCTAATAACTGAAGAATAATGCCAAATATTATAATATTTATAAATATTCACTTCTAATTAATAGATTTATTAATAAAACTCTTTTTATTCCAATTTTTTTTCTTAGTACAATGACCTCTTATATTTAGTTATGGGAGAAATACTTATATGTAAACTTAGAAAAAATAGTTATCATTCTAATTATCCTCTGAGTATAAAGATCTCTTTAAAGGTTATTATGTTATGACTTTTCATCAAAATTAAATATACAATATATGGACTTATAATTTGAGGAGGGAGAGATCTTTGCCTAAAAAAACGATAAATTAGAAGGCATAGATAGCGAATCCTCATTGCGTTCACTTGTATGAATTTCTTAACAACTTAGAGTGACACTAATAGAGATGAGAGAGTGCACAAGACTATAAAGGATGAGTTAAGCTCATTTTCTTATGTTTGTCCCATCTTCAATTTCATAGGTCGTTGTACTTAAGTTGAATGCAAGTAATAATACATATATTGTGAAAGAAAGAGGCATATCTTTTTATAAGATGGATTCGATTAATTAATAACCGAGTATCAACCATTATTGGATATCTTAGCAAGAAGTGGTGAAAAAGTTAGAGTTCCTTATGAGAAAGTTCTCAATTAAGAAAGTCACACTACAAGGCATTAAATTATTAAACCTAAAGTGATAACTAATTATACTCTTGGATTTTGTGAAAAAAACAAAAGTACATTAATTCGTAAGTTGAGAAAAGACATAGATAAGATGCAAAACAAACTTAAGATTATAAACTATTTGAAGAAATGGGCTATGCATAAGTTAGTAGATGAGAATGAATTTGCAGAATTATACTGCTCACTCAACCCTACTCAGCAAATACATTTTATGAATATTTTTAGAGTTCTTGAGTTATAACCACCCTCATTTCAATGATCATAAAATTTAGAAATATTTTTCTTTATATTTAGGTCTATTCTCCATTGGAAAATTAGGAATCGTTGATAATTGGAACAACATTTCTTTTAATTCTAATTCACACTCATCTCTAAATTTATTAAGTTCTTCCACAAATATATTTTCAGATCTTAATTTCATCTTAATATCTAATTGTTTATCCCATATAAATGTTAATAATCTACAATCTTTATAAAAATATACTTTTTTTCTTATTCAATATCCACAAATAAGTCTCTCTCATGTTCTATAACTGTTTTTCTACATTAATTCCATTTGACAACCAAAGGAGTTAAGTCACTATTATTAAGTATACCATCAATAATCTTATATTTTTCTAAAATTGGAAAAGTTATTTTCTTTTATATTTATACAACACTCTAAATAAGCATTTAAAATTCTTACATGTTTTGCTCCACCTAAATATTCTAATATTTCTTCATTACTAAACATTCCCCATTTTTTTAATGGATCCTTTATTGTTTTAACTGAATTTAAACAAGACTTAAAGAATTCTGGATCTTATAATTTCTTAATTAGAAAAGTTTCTAACTTTTTTTATGGATCCTCGTCTTTCTTTTATAAAACTATACATTCTTAACCTGCATAAAAGATTTTTTCAGCTTCGTCTTCATTTAGAGTGTACCAACATTAAAATGCATTCGTCCAAAATTATTCTAATTGTTTTTCAGTTTTCTATATGATTGCCTCTGGTTTTTATTTCTTTTGCTTAGTTGATTATTTGACTTGTAATTTATTATTAGCTAATCTTTCTAGATTACTCAATTAATTATTAAGTAATTAATCCCTATCCATTTTTTCCTTTATTTATTCTTTTTCATAATATCTTTTCTATTATGAAAGTTTCTTAATAAAATCACTTTCATGTTTAACTCCAATCTAAAATAAATTATTTAATTACAAAAACTCCATTATAATCAACCATAAATTCCACTTCATTAAATTTAAGTTATTGTACATCCCCTGTTTCTGTATTATAGATATCTACATCTCTTAATTTAAATTCGAATACACCCAATTATGCATTATTTTTCCAAGATAAAATTGAGTTTACATAATTATCAAAAGGTTATGTCACTGCTAACTTTTAAGTTTTATATTAATAGTTATATTTAAAGGTAACCGAAACCATATAAACTTAACCTTAAGCAGGCCAATCAAAAGATCTCTTTATTTTTTATTTTAATTTCCATATTTTTTATTCAGCTACCTTAATTTTCTACTCATCAAGTGCCTATTTTTAAGCTCTGATAATATTTTACACATACATTCAGTATTTGTTTTATTGATTGGAGATAATTCATCACTCTCTAATTGTCTCTCCAATTCTTTAATATCATTTTGATTTAATCCATTTACAAATTGATCATATGATAAATCCAAACTGTTATTATTTTACTAACTTGATTTAATAACAAATTTCTAAGATTATTTTTTTGGTTATTCTATTTTTTTTTATGGAAGTTATATTTTCTATTAACCCTCCATTTTAGAATTTCTTTGCTTTTCGGCTTATCTCTTATTTGCTGCCTCCCTTAATTATATCAAACAACTTAAGTACCTATCGATATTATCATCAGGTTTTATTCCAACAGCCTCTATTTTAGCTTGTTATCCATAATCTGGAGATTTAGGTCTATTATACACTGGAATTTGATCTTCAAGTTGGGCTTCGTTAGATTTTGGGGGATCTGGTTTTTTTGAAGGCTTAGAACCCATTTTGCAATATAAATGAATAGTAATTTTATTATTCTAATTAAAACAATAATCAAAATTGAAATAATATCAACTAACCTAAAACTATCTGTCTATAAAAAGAAATAATTCACTTCTGTTTGTACTACTTTATTAATGTAATTTAATATCAATAATTAATTTTAAAGTATATAGATAGACCTAAGAATTTAAAATTAAGTAATTAGATTCAGTATAAAATTTTATTTTATTTAAGCTTAATCAACCTATTTTCCATTTTCTATTCCATAAAAATTTATAATTTATTAAAACAAATAATATATCAATCTCATCTTTATTAGTAATGTGATATATTAAAATATACTTTAAAAAAAAATTACTTTAAATAAAATTGAATAATTCATGAAATCCAATCATGATAACTTTAAACAACTTCACTCACTTCAAAGTTACTCAATAATTCATCATCAAATAAATCGTGATTAAGTAATTAACAAAAGGTTAATCTTTCCTAAATAACGCCTTCTATAATAGTGAAGTTATATAATCAAATACTTTTATAAAGCTAATGATCTTCTTCAGCATTAAACAAACCTTGCAATAGATTTTTCCAATCCAAATATTTCCCCAATTTTCCAACATCAGACCTTTTCACTATATAATAATAATATTATTAATTTACTTCCTAAGGTGGACATTATAATTTAGGCAAAGTTCTCCAATAAAGTTGCTTCTAAGTGTTAATCATCCTCTCTCAATTCTGTAAATCTGACATTACGTAAATAAATTTAGACTCCATCGTTTCCAACTTAGATGTTTGCTAGTGTTATTGGTAAAACAGGATAATATCTGGTCATTCTTAAAATATCATATAAACCTCCAAAAACTTATCTCATAGTAGTTCTAAAAAATAAGTAATCAGGAGTCAGTGGTTTTTTAGATTACTTAAGTAAATATTTTAATGTATGTCCTCTCTTCAATTCCATAAAATGCTAAAAGTTATTTTCATCTGATAACAAATCTTATCCCAAATACTTAGGAAAAAATTAAGATAAAATCAATTCATGATGAGCTTCAAATGTGTTCAATAATTCACATTATTCTTGTTATCTCCACATACATCTAACCTAAAATTTAAATATTACTTTGGTATTAACCATACTTCAACAGGAGCATCATTCATATGATCGTAACCAACCTAAACTTTTATTTATCCTTATTTCAATATTTTAATTGCTTAGTTCCGGTATTAAACAGATTTCACTCTGATTTTAGCATATTCTCGGTCTATCTTATCTCGATTACTACTTAAATACTCCTAAGGATTCTTGGATAACAGTCATACAATACAGATTCAATTATTGGAAAAGACTTCACAACACTTTTTAGGGATTGTATAGGTTAGTTTACAATAATCACATCTGCTGCAAAATCATCGAATTCATTCTTAAAGTCTTGAAATTCTTTCTCTATTTCTTCATATGTTTTAGTTGTGTATTTCATGTCCTCAACTGAAAAAGTTTGATAATTCCAGTTTTTTAATGTTGTCCTACAATCATTGACTTAATTATAAAGTTTGTCTAATTCTCTAGACATTTCTTACAATGCAGGTACAATATTTGCATTTGCAAAGATTTTCATAAGATTCTCAAACACTAAGGGGAAATAAATAACGCTATCTTTAATCTTAAGCATATCGTTGGGATCAAATAATTGATTCACATATAAAAATTCTAAGAACCCATGCCATTATTTGAGATCATCTATGCAACCATTTTTTGTATATTTGTTAAATAACTTCTCCAAAAGCACTAAATTAAAACAATCCATAAATTTTGTTTTTTTTAATAAATTGTAGTGAAAAATATAAAAAATTCAAAATATTTTTTCATATTTTACACTATCATTATAGAATAAATATTAGCAGAATTGTTTCGATGTGGATTGAACTCTTTGATATTAAAGATAATTTATCACATAGTCGAAAATTTTAATTTGTACTTGCTATTGAAATATTCTAATTGAAGGTTTACGTTCAATTACATTATCATATTTAGTAATATTTTTTATCAGGGAACAACATTATTGTCTTAAATTAAGAAGATTCTTTGGTTTTTTAGTTCAATGATTATTCTCATATTATTTTTATTGTATATAGCTTTAGTTTTCTTCTAAATGCTTTCTTCCACTTTTTGTTTGTTATGGTATACTTTCTTTGTTGAACATTTTATTTCAAACTTTAAATCAGATTAAAATTTAGTACTTCTCAATCGTTATTAATTCAATAATTATTAAATAAATAAATATAGAAAATGAGCAAAGATTATAAATAATTAGCTATTTAATATCATTTGGCTTATATGAATCTAAAACAAAGGATTGATTTGTCTTAAAGAGCATTTAATGTATACAATCCTATTTAATTAGACAATTGATTTTAAAGTGCAATTGGAAGTATATTACCAATAAAAATTAAAATCAGTCATAGATAAATATGAGGATCATAAATATGATGAAGTGTTTTAGTATATAATTACTAACTGTTCAAATAAATATCAAGCTTAAGAATAACTGATAACAGATATGAAAAATGCTAGAGAAGAATTCTCAAAAAATATAAATAATTATTAACAATAATTCCTCAATTTACATGACAAAAAAGAGAAGTAAAATTAGTATAACTTAGATCTATAAATAAATTAAAGTTAGCATAATAAAAATTGGTTTAAAGCTAATCCTTTTATGTTTCGATTACAAAAGTATTTGAAAGAAATGTTTTGACAATTGAATTAGTTAATAATAATGTCGATTAAAAGTTGGGCCACATGAAAACAATCTAAGATCTTATGAAAAATAAAGAGAATACATTTGGAAATTATAAAATAGCTGTAGAAAAATTTAATTAATAATATAATGAAATCTTACCTGAAATGGAATTGTTTGTCAATTAGATTAAAGAGCTTGAATCAAATGTAGCTGAATGCATAAGATAATTATTTCAAAAAATTGCACTGGCTGAAGTATCTGCTTTAAGAAACAGGTATTTATATAATATAACTTTAGGTAATATGATTTAGATTAAGTTATCAAATATTTAGATAAAGTTGACTTTACAAAAATTAATACAGTTTTTAAGTTTACAGACGAAGCCTATGCACCTGCAAAAGTTGAACAATTTTAAACATTTTCAACAAAAATTGTAAATAATTATCTTCATAAATTTAATTTTGTTGGTTAAGATGAGAAAAATCTATAAGATTAAGAATAATAATAATAGGAGGAAACTTTATTACAAGAATAAAAATAGAAAATAGAAGAATTTTCAACTACTTTATAAAATAAACAAGATTTATCAGAAAAATTAATTAATTCTATTGAATAAAGTATAAATCAGAATACTGCTTATACAATTTTACACTCTTTGTCTCAACTTATCAAGTAATATTACTGTTTATGGTAGAGCTCCAGTATCTATTGGAAAACGTAATCTTTAAATGATATAATCATTATTTAATAAATTATTGGATTTCATTCCTAAAGAAGGTCCTAATATACATAAGATTCAAAAACTATCTACATTTATTTACTCATAATAAGAAGAGGTAATTTCATTATTTTAGATTTTGTGTTAAAATCCTATTTTCTCAAAAAAAACTGATTATTGGGAATGGTTAATATTCTGGCAGGTAAATCAAACATGTGAAGGAGTAGAAGACTCTGATAGATAATTGATCATATTTCAATAATTTTAAAATACTGTTTAATAGATGGTTTAAGCCAAAATTCCTGTTTAAATTATAAACACTTTCACTTCGGATTTAGCACCATATTATGGATTAAAAGCATAATAAATCGAAGAGATTAAGAAATTATTATCAAAATTTATTCTAGCATAGCAATCTAATCCAAGCTCAAAATTGTAAATTCAGTCTTTTGATTCAGTAGAATGAATTTATAAAATTATCATAACATGTACATTAATAATTATACTTAATTGCCATGAATATCTTGAATAAAAACTTATATCTAGATATTTATACTTTTGGTTAATTAAAAGTAGGAATTATTAACAAATTTTATTATTATTTAATTTGTAATAATAATTATATATTAAAATGTAAACCCGAGAAAAATTAGGAGCGTAAGCAAAAAGAATGCTTAAAATACTCTCAGATTTTAAAGGTTAGATTATAGATGGTTATAAAGTATATTATTATTGAATAATTAGGTTATTCTTACCTGCAGAGATTTAGTGTTGCCTGATATTAAAAAGCTAATTGAGCTTCTATTCATATTTGAAGGTTTAGGATTTATTACTAGGATATCTAAAAAAAGATTTATTTATTCTGGTTTGAAAGGAATGACTGCTAGAATTTTGGAGGGTGTAGAAATTGCATTAACAAGAACTTAATATGATAGAGAGCATTGGCTTTTTTCAGAAGATTACATTATTGAAAATAAAAAATATTCAATTAGATAAAGTGTCTACTTTGGATTATTTTATTAAGAGATTATTACATAAATTTTTAGTAATCAAGGTTAGATTTTTATTATTAACTAGGTCGAATGATTGCTAGAGATACAATTGAAAAATTAGTTGAGCAATTACAATTAACTGCTAAAGAACAAAGTAGTGCTCTAATTATTAATGAAATGGCTAGTATAATGACAAGTTTGAACCTTTTAGATAAGTAAGTATATATTGTTATAATTCATAGGAGAAGTCCAGCCGATGCTTATGAAACATATCTATGGATAGGACCTGACATTCTACATTAATTTATGGTTGAACAATTAAATCCGTATTCGCTTCAAGTATGAAATAGCAACTAATAAGTTGAAAGAATAATTAACAAGTAAAGTGAAGTTAAATTTCGAGAAGGAATCCACTTATTTTTCGAATTTATTTAGAGATTTAGTAGAATTTTAAGTTTAAGATAATGAAGTGAAATTGCCTTTGGTTAACTTTCCTACAGCAGCATATGCATTGTTAAAAGGGAAACATATAACTTACTATATAAAAAAACTAGCAATAATTATCGGAAGAGCCAATCAGACTAAGAATAGCAAATATGAATGGGATGTAGACTTAGCTTTAGATCTAGGATAAAAGATTTCAAAATAACATGCTGTCATCTCTTACAATATGGATAAAGAATTGTAAATATAAATTATGAGATTTAGTTTTGAAATAAGATGTTTAAGCAACAAAAAACCAATATATGTAGATTCTGTAACAATAACCTCAAAGGATAATCCTGTTATTTTGAAGCATAGATCTTCAATTCAAATTGGAAAGTTTATTCTTATGTTCTATTTACCAAAATTTTCATCAGAAATTTAAAACTAAGAGGGTACAGAATAAAACATGGTTGTAGAATGAGAATTGATATGTTGTTTGTGACAATTTCAATTCAAATTATTTTTTTATTATAAAAAATGCAAATAATATTTTTAACTAGATTTGTATTAAGATTGTATAAATTTTTGAATATAAGAATTTATAAATATGAATCTTCATATGAACTTTTGATTTTGAAGTATGATAATGATTAACTATAAATGTTTTATTATGTTTTCTATTAGTTTTTAATTATAAATAATCTGAAGCTAAAATAAAAATTGATTTTAGTGATAAATAGGTAATCTTTAATCAATATGAGAGTATTTAGTATTAAAAAGACCCATTATTTGAAATATCTTAATTTCAAAATACCTAATTATTGTAGATAATTTTTGTATGTTCATGTTATTTTAGCTTCGTAATATTTGGATTAAGTTTTGATTCTTGACAACTGCTCATAGCTAATTATTATTTTATTTTAAAGAAGTTTTTGGCGCTTTCTAGAGGTACAATGAATGGCTCATAAGTTTGTTAGGAAAATGTACAACATCGATCCTTGTATGAAAAGAAGAAAATAAACAAGAGTTCGCAAGCAATTAGTTAAAGCGAATTTACAAGATGAAAGTGAAGAAAATTCTTTAATTGAGGTATAATAGAAAGTCACAAAAAAATATCAAAATTATTTGCATACACTAAGAAAAATGGGAGATTTTGATTGGACTGATATAGAAAATACAAATAACTCCAAAGTTATTTATCCAAGTACTCATTTTCTTATATCAAGTTCAATTTTTGCAAGCATCTACACTCTAATTTATGATTGCAGCACTCTATTTCAATTGCGATCAAGAGTATCTCTAATAATGTCTGCATGAAATTGAGAAAATATTGAAGAAAAATGAAACAATAATTGGGACTTAAATATAAGAGTAAATATCTATATATTTAATTAGTGATTGTAAAAGATAGAAAAATAAAAAAGGGTATGATGTGAATGATGATATCTTCATTTTAGAAATGAGAAACTAAGGGTAAAAAGACTTAGATGATTTAATTACAAATTAAGAGTACTAACAATAAATATCATTAGAATTGAATTAGAACATATAACAAAATAAAATGAAGAAACTTTGCAATAGTTAGTTAATTTAGTACCCACAATTAAATAGCATTTAAAAACAGATTAGTAAAATAATCTATTGAGGGATATTGCAGGACTGACAGAAACTGAAAAGCAATATATAGAAAAAACAGAAATGAAAATCTAAGCAGATGAATAGAATGTAGTAGTGTAAGAGACTGGAAAAAAAACATAAGGAGGAGGAATTCATTTATAGCCAAATTTAGATGATGCATTGTGTTAGGTTTGTAATGATGGAGATTATACTGATGATAACCTAATTGTCTTTTGTTCTAAATGCAATATATCTGTACATTAAAAATGTTATTTAATTGATATAATACCAAATGAAGATTGGATATGTGATGTTTGTTAAACATTTGGACCAAATGGACAATATTTAAGATGTGCTTTGTGTCCTAAAATAGGTGGTGCTATGAAAGCTACATAGATAGATGCATCATGTTTTTAAAATTTAAATTAAACTTATTTTGAATCTTAAGGAGAAACTATGATGAAGAATGACTTTGTGTCTAAATTATGTATAAATTTATATTAAATAAAGTTTAATAAATTGATGATGATTAAGATCTTTATTATGATTTTGGGAAATTACCAAATAGAGATATTCGTGATTTAGAGAATAATAAGGAAATTAAAGAACCATAACCATAAAAAGTTTGGATTCATTTATCATGTTTTTATTGGTCTCCAGAATGTTTTTTAGATGAAAAATAAGATATATTGAGAGGAGTAGATAATATTAATGCTAAAAGATTTGCACTTAATTGCAGCATATGTAATATAAAAAAAGCAGGAATGTGTATATAATGTGCCAGAGGTAGCTGCTCTACTTCTTTTCATGTTGAATGTGCTAGAAGATCTGGAATATTCTTGACTCAAACTGTTATAAATAATAAACCAGATTATTAGATCTTCTGTTTAAAACATGTTCCCCTTAAAGTTAAGAGAATTCTAGAATCAAAGCACAGATTATATGAAAGAGAGATAATTGAATTCTTTAGAGCTTATGAGAAGTGTCGATAAGTTCATAAAAAGTCAGTTTAAAAACCAAAAAAAATAAAAGCAAACAAAGATCAAAAATAAAAATAAGATGATCAAGAACATACAGAAAATGAGTTTGATTTAATAGATTTTGCAAATAAATTAAAGGACTTTATCAATTAGATCTCTGATTAATAGCTTATAGTTAATCTAAAATTAGAATAGGGATAATATCTTATTGAATCAATCTCAGGACCTGTGCTCAAACCATAAAAATAGTATAAACTCACAAATTTACCAGAAGTTTATTAAAATAAAGTAGATGCAAATGGTTTATTAGTTACATAATTTTATAAGAGTACTATTACTGCAACTGATGAATTATGGAAACATTTTAAATATAGAGATTATGAGAAAGATATCACATATAAGATGTATGAGAAATTAAGAAGAAGAGCTAGTAAATATATGTAAGAAATAAATCCTTAAAAAAAATAAGCTAAACTTATAGACATCTTAATGTTAAAAAAATATAAAAAGACTAATAAAGCTGAATAAAAAAAAGAAATTGTTATTGAATAAGTAGGAGATGAATTTTTTTAAAGAGATGATAACTTATATTGTGTATGTAGAGGTAAATTTAAAGATGGAGATCCCATGATATGTTGTGAAGTATGTGATGAATGGTTTCATTTTGATTGTTTAGAAATGACAATACCATTTGAAGAAGCTTCTAAGATTGAATTCAAGTGTTTCTTATGTGTTGATGATTTACCTTAAAATGAAAAAGTAGCTATCCTTAATGTCTAATCAAAAATTTTCAAAGATTCCTCTTTTAAATTACAAAGAGAGTTGGCAGATAAATGTAAATTGGATGAGTTAAGAAGATTAAGGATAAAGGATTTGCAAGAAAATAAATTAAAGGAAGAATTAAATGTTGAAATTGACAATCTCAAAATTCAACCAAATGACAAACTTCAAATTGAAGAATAAAATATTGAGGAAAAAAAAATCTTTTAAGAAGAATTAAATTTTTCTGGAGATAATTAATTTCAATTAAATAACTAGACTTTTGATTAAGATTAAATTCAAATAGAAATATAATTAGATGGAAATGAAAAGAATAAAAAAACAGATGATCATGTTAAAACACCTAGCAAAACAGAATCTGTGGAGGATCAAGATAATCATAAACTAGAAGTTCCAGAAACTTAAGAGAAAGTAAATAATAATAAATTTAAACAAAAATCAATTAGAGATTATTTCTAAAAGTTAAAGTGATTATATTTAATTCACATTATGGCACAGCAAGTATCTCCTCTTCTCCATTCAACATAAGGGCGAGTAACAAAGTTTGGCTAGCCTTTTAATCTCCAGACGTCATTTCTTGATTTTTACAATATGTGATTTCTTATTTCTTCTAAAAATTAATCTTTTTTGCTTATTTAAAGATGAGGGCTGCTAAAATCATTTATGTTTATATCCTTCCCTTAATGAGACATTTTACTTAATAATAATAATAATGATTATAAATAATAATATACAATAATTCTTATATAAATTTAAAGAAGGATTTTCAAATTTTATATATTATTAGTTTTATTGCTAACAATTTATATTAAATAAATATTGGATTTTTATATATATAAATGTCAATGATAATAAATATCAAAAATGTAAGTCCAAAGAGTCATTTAATAAGAGGACTCAATTTAAGTTGAAAATCTTAGGGTTTTCCCCAAACTTAGAAATAAATGATTTATTTCTATTTTTAGTATTTTTTAAGTATTACTTTTTATCAAATACATACTTTTCAATGATTCCTGTAATAGGTTGAAAATCCATTTGATAAATTTTTTGAATCATTATACAATAACGAATTTGGTTGAACTCTAATATTGTTGAAGACTTTTTTCTAGCATTTAATTAAAAATGACTAGATAGAGATGGATTAAACCTTGTTTATAACCCAAAGATAAAATGAACATTCGATTTAATATGTAATTAAGCGATTAGCATTTTTAAACAAAAAATATTAGAACTTAAATCCGTTTTTAAACTAAATTTCGTTTTTTACCAAATGAAATCTCACTACAAAAGTTGCTAACCTGTTTTTAGAAGGTACTTATTAATTAAAATGAAAGTCACAATTACATTGTTAGTTGTCTTAGCTCTTGCTAATGCTGGTATGGTTCAAAAATTCCCACTTACATATGGAGGTAAAAGAAGCATCATGAACATCATGGTTGAAGTTGAAAATAAGATTAAATCTCACTCACCACTTGATACAATCAAAGGTGTTCTTGATAACTTCAAATCTGCAGTTGCCTAAGAATAAGGAACTCACGATGAAGTTTATGCTGCCCAATAAGCTGAATGTGAAAGCGAAATTTCCTACAGAAGAGCCGAAGTTGAAGATGCAACTGGTACACTCAAAATTGCCAATGGAATCCTCAAGACTTCCAACATTTTATTGAAGAAAACATAAGCAACTCTTGGTGAAACCGAAAATATACTTAATTCTGTATCCCTCCACATTGACCTCATTAATGATGTGAGAAAAGAGGATACATAATCTTACAATAGAGGAGCTGTCACATTCAACGATGCTATAAATGCTATCGATGATGCAATTGATCTCGGAGTTGCTTTGGTCAAAGGTGAAGCTAGCTTAATCCAAGTAGCTGATATGACAACCAAATTGATGATGGCTTCAGTCGCCACAAAGATGAACAAAGCTTTCATGGCTCCATTGGCTGCTTTAGCTTCTATCAAACAAGAAGAGGATGCTGCAGGTGCTGCTGAAAGACTTGTTTAATTATTATAGACATTAAGAGCTAATGTTGAAGAAGCTTGGGCCTCATACACCGCAGAAAACACCAATGCTTTAGCTCTTTTCACCTAATAAAAAGATTTATACCTTGCTACTTAAGGAAGACTTGATTCTTCAAAAGAAAAATTATCTAGCAAGGCTGAAAACTTATAAGGAGTTATCTCAGTCTAAACCGCTGTTGCTTAAGCTGCCACAAATAAAAAGCAAAGAAACCAAACCTTGTGGGACGATGCTGCTGATTTGTGCCACAGTTTTGATGTTGAATACGAAGCTGTTACAGCAGGAAGAAGATAAGAATTAGTTTTGGTCTAAGAATTGGAAAGAGCTGTTGAAAGAAGAGCTGCTGAATAATAATGAGATATAAAATCATTTTTAGATATCGCATTTTTTAATGTATCTTTCTTTTTACAATTATTTTCTAAATATTTAATAGTATTTCTTTATTCAAGATTGAATTGCTAAATTTATATTAATCGAGAAAATAGGAATACTCTATTTCATTATATTGAGCAAATTTTAGATTTATGAATATCAAATAAAAATTTTTTATGAGAATAATTTCTTGTTAATCTTTGTTAAAGTAGCTTTTAGTAAAAGAAAATTTTAAAGCTTAATAAGTAATTAATTGGTAAAATTATAACACCAATTAGATATTGAAATCCTTTTTATGGTTTTTCAAATAAAAGTTCACTAATTTCAATAAAATTATATTTAATATATTTAATATGGCAATGGTATTTATAATTGAAAGATAAAAATTACAAATTGAAAAAATTAAAATCCTGCATTAGTTTTACATTAAAGCTGTACACCTAAAATTTTTTGACATTTATTTTCTAACAACATTTACTCCATTAAATTATCTTTATTAAGGTATTTTGAAATAAAAGAATAAATCTTCTTTAAATAATCTTGTGTCTAATGAATAAGTATAATTAACAAATTCAAATGAGAGATTACTAATTATCAAAACATTAGTCTAATTTCACAACATTTTGATTGAAAATATATTAACTTAATTGGTAAGCTAAATTTTTAATTTCCCTTAAGCCAAGTTGTTTTATTCAAAAACTATTGAAAACCTATTATTTGAAGAAATTTATTAATAACTCATTATATACAGTTATTATAGAATAATATTAAATGACTTTATAAAAAAATTGCATACCCGTTTTTCTATAGATACACTAAATGAGCCTATAAATAGCAAATTAGAGTCTGTGAATGATAAATATTTTTAATGAAAGTCACAATTACATTGTTAGTTGTCTTAGCTCTTGCTAATGCTGGTATGGTTTAAAGATTCCCACTTACATATGGAGGCAAAAGAAGCATCATGAACATCATGGTTGAAGTTGAAAATAAGATTAAATCTCACTCACCACTTGATACAATCAGAGGTGTTCTTGATAACTTCAAATCTGCAGTTGCCTAAGAATAAGGAACACACGATGAAGTTTATGGAGCTTAAAAGGCTGAATGTGAAAGTGAAATTGCCTACAGAAGAGCCGAAGTTGAAGATGCTACTGGTACACTCAAAATTGCCAATGGAATCCTCAAGACTTCCAACATTTTATTGAAGAAAACATAAGCAACTCTTGGTGAAACCGAAAATATCTTGAACACTGTTTCCTTACATATCGGACTCATTAACGATGCTAGAAAGGAAGACACTTAATCATACAACAGAGGTGCCGTTACATTCAATGATGCTATTAACGCCATTGATGATTCACTTGATTTGGCTGTTGCCTTAGCTAAAGGAAAAGCCAGTTTGATCCAAGTTGCCGACATGACAACCAGATTGATGAAGGCTTCAGTTGCCACAAAGATGAACAAAGCTTTCATGACCCCATTAGCTGCATTGGCTTAAATTACCTAAGAAGAGGATGCTGCAGGTGCTGCTGAAAGACTTGTTTAATTATTATAGACATTAAGAGCTAATGTTGAAGAAGCTTGGGCCTCATACACTGCAGAAAACACCAATGCTTTAGCTCTTTTCACCTAATAAAAAGATTTATACCTTGCTTCATAAACCAGACTTGATGCCTCAAAAGGAAGATTAAACACCAAAGCTGAAAACTTATAAGGAGTTATCTCAGTCTAAACCGCTGTTGCTTAAGCTGCCTCAAATAAGAAGCAAAGAAACCAAACCTTGTGGGACGATGCTGCTGATTTGTGCCACAGTTTTGATGTTGAATACGAAGCTGTTACAGCAGGAAGAAGATAAGAATTAGTTTTAGTCTAAGAATTGGAAAGATTAGCTGAAAGAAGAGCTGCAGAATAATAATGAGAAATTATTAAAAAATTTAAAAAATAAAATTCAATTTTTATTTCCCAAAGACTATTCTATCGTTTTAAGCTTCTCTAATAGTTTTAAATGCTCTTTTACGATATTTCTTAATCTAATTGATTAAATATTTTTTCTAGATCAAATTAGATTTTTTGATCAATATATAATGATTAACTTCTATAATCAAAAATTAACATTCAAAAACTTTATTAATAGATGCTTTGAAGATCTGCTTCAATTCTAATCAATAATTACCTTGTTTAAGTATTGATATTTTCTTTGAAAAAAAATGAATTGAAATTTTTCTTTTTTTAATAATAAGAAATATTAATATTGTATTTTAATGCTTAATCTTGCTTTAAAATTTTATAGCTTTTTCAATCAAATATGGAATCAACTTAAAATGCAGTAAATGTTATATAAATCAAATTAAACTTAGAAATAAGGAATTTACTTTGTAATTAAGTTATATTTAAGCAATGTGAATTTTTACTCTAACAAATCATTTATTCAGTTTATTTAGTATTATCACTATTAACTTATACGTTTGTTAAACATTTAAAGATATATATTATCTAAAGTTATTTGAAGATTAATCAATTAATTAGATTTTTAATTTTGGTTATTTTATTTATATATATTCTTATATATAATTAATAAAGTGACATTTAATGAAATAATAATGGAACTTAATTGCTAAATTTAAAGTAGAAATAATTGATATTTAATGAATTATAAAATATGATAAAATATGATAAAATACTATTATTTTAAATAATAAGTATATTATCAGGAAAATTCAAGGCTATCGTTAGTTGTGGATGATAATTTTTAGTCTTCTCTGAGCATTTTCTCTAATTTCATAATTCTCTAAAGAATGACTTCGTTTTTCTAGAATAGAGATTACTTTATACTTATTAAGATATCTAAAGCTCCTGTCTGGATTTATGAATTTCAATAATAAGCATCATGTTGACATTTTAGATCTCTGCCTGTTATACTTTCATTTATTCTAATTCTTTTTCCAGCCTTTAAATTTAAAGACTCTGACTATGTGTATGTCTTATTGGTTGTTTATTGGCTTATTGTTGTTGACTACCACATTTTCTGTGTTTAGGTTTAGCATCTTTTGTGGAAGGTGTAGCTAACAGCATAAATTCAATTGATACAGCTGCATTCTGTAATAGTACTAAGATCTAAAGATTATTTTGGTTTAAATTTCATCTAACCAAAATTAAACATTGCATTGAATAACCCATAATTTTGATCATCTAGTTTTTCAACTATCTAATGATGGAGTATTGGTTGTTGTTAAATTTTTTTAATGATTTCCTTTGTTTCATTAGTATCATTATCGTCATCTTAAACTAGAAATTCTGTTTATATGGGAAAGTAGTTGCCACTCGATTTTGTTCTTCGATGATGGTTATTTTTCATATTATTTAGTATAAATAATTTAAAATTTAATCTGTCAATTTTATTATGCAAATACATTTGTTGAATCTTCTATTAGATCAATCTTATGATGTTTAAATTTTAACTTCTATGCACTATAATTACTGAAAAATAAAATATATAAATTATATTTCGATAAGGAATGTTATTAAATTAAATATTAAATGATTGATTTCGATCCTTCTTCATTTGGCTTAGCTCATACTTATTAAAAGGAAGATAAAGATGAAATAAACACATTAGCTTTGCCATCTGCACCATAAGTAATATATAAAAGTTTGAATGGTCCAACTTAAATAAATGGAGGAAATAAATTAAATAATTTCAAACATGGAACAACAACATTAGGATTTGTATTTAAGGAGGGTATTTTATTAGCTGTTGATTCAAGAGCCAGCATGGGAAGTTTCTTGAGTAGTGAATAAGTAAGAAAAGTAATTGAAATTAATGAATATTTATTGGGTATTTTAGAAATTTAAATTCTTTAAAGGGACTATGGCTGGAGGGGCAGCTGATTGTCAATATTGGCTTGCTTATTTAGCCAATCATTGCAGAACATATGAATTGAAAAATGGAAGTAAATTAAGTGTTGCTGCAGCTTCTAAATTCTTATAAGGAATTTTAATAGGTTATAGAAATTCAGGTCTATCTATGGGATGTATGATTGCAGGAACTGATACAACTGGATAACATTTATATTATATTGATAATGATGGAATGAGATTAAAAGGTGATATCTTTTCTGTGGGTAGTGGTAGTACATATGCTTATGGTGTTTTGGATAATCATTATAAATATGAAATGTCATTGAATGAAGCAGTAGAATTAGGAATTAGAGCAATTTATCATGCCACACATAGAGACACAGCATCTGGAGGTGTAGTTAGAGGTAGTAAATCTTCGTTTATTTAGTTTATCATATCCATTAAAATGGATGGACTAAAGTTCATGATGGAATTGATGTTGTAGATTTACATTATTAATTTGCTCAATAAAAAGGACTTGTAGGTGATGGAGATGAGGCTAAATAAAGATTGTTTTGATATTAAATACATAATATTAATATTAAATTATTGATTAGAAAATACAAGTAAGTCAATAAACAAGAGTGTAATTAGATGATTTAGATATTGAAATTAACTCTATAATAATTTAAAAAGTAATATTCTAATTTAATGTCTTATTCAATTAATTATTTAATGATTTAAAGGTCAAGGAAAAAGTATTTACAAATGATTTTATTATTGAATAGAAATTGAAATGTCTACAATATATTTAATGAATTAACAAATATTAAAAAAAATGGGGATTACCGAATTTGATTTGCAACCCCTTAACAAAATCAAAGTGCCTGCTGAATATGAAAATGATGTACAATTTTACACAGAAGCAATAATGAAACAGCATGAAAAAAAGAGATAAAGATTATTAATTGAATACAATGAATTGTTAAATCTAAAATAAGTTGAAAGCCTTCAAGACAAAAAAATTACAGCCTAATTTGAGAAATCATAAGATGCTGAAAGTTCTAAAATAAATGAAAAGTTAATTAAAGTGAAAAAGNAGTAATTGAAATTAATGAATATTTATTGGGTATTTTAGAAATTTAAATTCTTTAAAGGGACTATGGCTGGAGGGGCAGCTGATTGTCAATATTGGCTTGCTTATTTAGCCAATCATTGCAGAACATATGAATTGAAAAATGGAAGTAAATTAAGTGTTGCTGCAGCTTCTAAATTCTTATAAGGAATTTTAATAGGTTATAGAAATTCAGGTCTATCTATGGGATGTATGATTGCAGGAACTGATACAACTGGATAACATTTATATTATATTGATAATGATGGAATGAGATTAAAAGGTGATATCTTTTCTGTGGGTAGTGGTAGTACATATGCTTATGGTGTTTTGGATAATCATTATAAATATGAAATGTCATTGAATGAAGCAGTAGAATTAGGAATTAGAGCAATTTATCATGCCACACATAGAGACACAGCATCTGGAGGTGTAGTTAGAGGTAGTAAATCTTCGTTTATTTAGTTTATCATATCCATTAAAATGGATGGACTAAAGTTCATGATGGAATTGATGTTGTAGATTTACATTATTAATTTGCTCAATAAAAAGGACTTGTAGGTGATGGAGATGAGGCTAAATAAAGATTGTTTTGATATTAAATACATAATATTAATATTAAATTATTGATTAGAAAATACAAGTAAGTCAATAAACAAGAGTGTAATTAGATGATTTAGATATTGAAATTAACTCTATAATAATTTAAAAAGTAATATTCTAATTTAATGTCTTATTCAATTAATTATTTAATGATTTAAAGGTCAAGGAAAAAGTATTTACAAATGATTTTATTATTGAATAGAAATTGAAATGTCTACAATATATTTAATGAATTAACAAATATTAAAAAAAATGGGGATTACCGAATTTGATTTGCAACCCCTTAACAAAATCAAAGTGCCTGCTGAATATGAAAATGATGTACAATTTTACACAGAAGCAATAATGAAACAGCATGAAAAAAAGAGATAAAGATTATTAATTGAATACAATGAATTGTTAAATCTAAAATAAGTTGAAAGCCTTCAAGACAAAAAAATTACAGCCTAATTTGAGAAATCATAAGATGCTGAAAGTTCTAAAATAAATGAAAAGTTAATTAAAGTGAAAAAGATATCTTAAGAACAACGTGAACAATAATTGTTATAATACTCTCAAAAAGAATAATTAATAGAGACTCGTCGAAAATAAATTAGTAGTGAAAGAGAATTTAGAGCATATTAAAAAGAAGTATTAGACACATCTAGAATGGAATAAGTTTATAGAAATAGAGTATAGATATAAAAAATGGAGTAAGATAAAATTTAAAAACGCAAAATGAGTTATGATGCCAAATTATAAAAGCTGTTATTATATAGATAGGCTTAATAATCAACTCCAAGAAAAACAAGGTTTCATGAAACTATGGCTCGATATTAGAAAAGTGTTGAAGATAGAAAATTATAAGATTAGGAAAGATTAAGAAAATTACAAGAAAGTTTAGAAAAAGCTAACTCTAAAAAATCATCAAATATCATAGAAATAAAAAGAAAAAGCTTACTTGAATAACTAAAAATGGAGGATGCACTTTTTAATAGAGAAAGACAATAACACGCAAAATAAAGTCGATTACTAGAAAAATTGTAAGTAAGAACAGAGAGTGTTAGACTTAATTAAAGTGAACTTAAAAAAAAAGCATATCCATTCCCGAAATTCCTTTGTCATAAGGATTAAAGAAAAAAAAATTCTATTTTGATATCTCAATTTGCAACTGAAATTGTAAATTAACTAGAACATGTAGGAATCCATGACTTGGAGGAGAAACTACTAAAGTTGTGCTAATCTTAAGACAAAATACAATAAGAATAATTTGTTAAAACTAATTATTTGTTTTTATATAACTGATATGGATTATCTCACATAAGATGAAGTAGGAGGTATTGTTGCCAAAGGTCTAGCATCTCTCTATTTAGAAAGACCATAATTTCCTATTGATTATCTAGCCAAATGGCTTCTCACTTACTCAGAATTACTTAAAAAACAAAAGACAAGGGAGGAAAGAGTATTGAAAAAAATTTCATAATTATTAGTAACAAGTTAAAGAAACAAAAATAAAGGAATTTAAAGTTCTAACTGATTAATTAGCATATCTAAAAGAAGAGAGTAATAGACTTGAAAATTAGTAAAAAGAGAAACATGAATAATTTTTGGAATCAATTAAATAGGCAAAATATCATGATGAATTTTTAGGTGATGTATTTTGTGATTATGTGGCTAAACGATTTGTAAATATAATAATCTATAAATAGAGAGTAAATACTTATGTATGTGAACTTGATTTTCCAAAAAAAGAAATAGATTTAAATTAAGAAGATGATGAAAATGCTCACATAAATTTAGAAGGAACAAAGCTTTTGACTTATATATATGCTGATTAAAATTCGAAATTCCTAATTGGATAAAATTTACTCCCAGAAACAGGAGTTACATATGATGCATTGAAAGAACCATAACCAGATGAAAATGGTGAAGTAATTTAAACTAATGGCATTTATATATCAAATGTTGTCAAAGAGCCTAGAATTGTATATCATAAATGGCCAAAATTGGGTGCGTATTATGCAATCCCTCTTGTTTATTAGAGTTGCCTTTATGAACAATCATTTGATTAGGGGATTGAGTAGAGATAGCAATATTTGATACTAAAAGAGAATTAAGACAAGGAAAGATCAGCAAAAGAAGCAGAATTCGAGGAAAGACTTGAATCAGAAGATCTAGCAATTATTGAATAGGAGAAATAAGCATATTTAGCAAGTTTAGAACCCCTTTTGGAACCATCATTTACCTAATAAAAAAAAGAATATGTTTTTTGTATTGATACTTTGGGTTAAGATAGGGAAATAACTGAAAATCATAGATAAGAAATTTTTGATTTAGTTAATATGTTAATTAAGTAATGGGAACTTTAAGAAATATAATCAATGAAATCTGATGTTGAATTATAATTGCATTATCAATCTAATTTGGGAGCTCCTTACAAAGAAATATTAGAAAATTGGGCATTAGAGGAAGATTAATATATTGATAGTCATTAGGAGAAGTTGGCAGAATTTAAAGAAAATGAAAAATTATTATAATATGAGACTGATTGTTTAAGATTAGAAAGATTAAGGGAGAAGTTAAATGATAAGGAATTTATTTAACCACTATTAAATCTGAGTAATTGTAGAATAATAAAATTCAATATAATCATTTAATCAGGTTTATATTTAATTGGAGCAAATAAATCAGATATCAATATACCTGATACTAATAGGTTAAATATTAGAAAATTAGTTCTTGATGAGAATCTTATTTAATAAATAGCTGCTTACAATCATAGAGGACCTAAACAAGAGCCTTAATACAAGTGGTGTTATGTTGATCGAGTTTAGAAAAGAATTGAAAAAATTGAATAAGAATAAGTAGATGCGTATAATTTAGTATTGGGAAGATTGCTTAAATTTTTGTAATTGACATGTAAACTAAGAAAACAAGATATTGAAATAAGGAAAGAAAATATTGCTAATAAAAGAAAATAAATTGAGTAATTGAAGGAGGAAGCATCTAAATTGATAGAATAAAAAGAAATTGCATTAAAAGAACATAAAGAATAGGTAAAAATAATTATTTATCAAAGTTATCTCCTGAAGATTTAGAAGAATTTAATTAAGAAGAGTGGGATGCTAATTTTGATAGTGAGCATCCAATGCCAGAAATACCTGAGAATCCAGCTGATGAAATTGATGATGATTACATGATAGAACCACCTTAACAATGAATGAATATTCAAATTATTATCAATTAAATTAATTTACAATTGTAATATTATGTAAAAAATGAACATATGTTAAAATTTTTGTCATGTTTATAATATGAATTATCAAAGCATTTATAGAAGAAAGGAAAATTGAAAACTTATTAAATAAATATTAATGGCAACAATCGATATACAACCTTAGACTCAATTCTTTGGTAACAATTATTGGAAAAAATTGAGATAAGTAAAGTTTGACAAGAAAGAAGAAGAATCAATCATTGAAAAAGTTGTAATAGGAAAAGATAAATGTGATTATAATTAACAATTTTAACATTAGAAAAGTGTAGTTTGTGCTAAATATTGTAAATCTAAAGAAATTTTGGCAACAACTAGCTTAGATAAAATTGTGAGGATTTTTTCAATAGATGGTTAATTAAAGCATCAATTCGAGAATCTATTAGACTTTGATAAGACTCTGTCTTTTAACTAAAATGGAAAGTTTTTAGCTTCTGCAGGTGCATATGATAAAATAATAAGAATTTGGAATATTGATAGTTAATAACTATAATTCGAACTTAAAGGCCTCAATAGCAAAATTTAAAAAATCATTTACTTTAATAATAGGGATGATAGATTAATCTCAATTACGTAAAATAACCTAATTTAGATTTGGGACATAGAATCTCAAACTATATTAAAAACTTTGACAGGACAACAAAATTTGATAACATCAATTTAAATATCTAATGACGATTTTCGTTGTGTAACAGGTTCTTTAGATGGTACTATAATTGAATGGGATTTACAGAATTATAAATTAATTAAATAATGGAAAGGACATTAAAAGGGATGTTTGGCATTGAAATATGCAAATGGAGGACATACTCTAATAAGTGGTGGTGCAGATAAAAAAATAAAATTGTGGAATATGGATAAATATAAACTATTCAAATAATTTAATGGTCATAGTAATTCTATATATGCAATTGAAGTTGAAAAGGATACTGTAATCAGTTGCTAATTTAATTAAACTTTAATTTGGGATATGAAAACCTTAAAAATAAATCAATAGATACCAAGTACTTAATTGGATTATTGTTTTGTTGAAATTATGAAAGATTCATTTGTAATAGGATAGAATGGTAATGGGATCAAAGTTTGTAATTTTTGATTAATTATCTTACTTCTCTAAAAACGAATATAATATTATTATTAAAATGTTTGGCAAAGTGATTGTCTTGATTGTTTCCATTTTAAGTTTGCTACTTACTTATAATTTCATTAAGACATCACTTGTATATAAAAACAAACAAGAGGTTGATCAAATATTGAGTTACTTGAATAAGTACTTGACTCAAACTTATTTTGCTCCATTAGCAACTAAAACTTAAGTAATAATTCAATATTGATTAAATACTTTAGTATAACTCAATATTGGTCAAACCAGAGATAGATTATTGTAAACGATCAGATTTATACAAATTTTATCATTCTGATATTGTGATGAAAGATACTTATACTTTTAGAGAAGCTAGAGGTGTTATAAGAGAGACGTTAAGATCTTCTTATTATGATTGCATTCCTTAAATGACATACAAATTAAAAAATACTTAATGTAATATCAAATATTAGATAATGATAGTTTTACCAAGACACGTATTACCTATTTAATTAACAGTTCCTTTTACTTACTATGATTAATTAGTGCATAAATTTTAAGTAGGCTAAGGTATTATTATCAAATAACTAATTAGAATCATTATGTTTATTCCAAAAATACAATCATTTGATAACTAGGCACGTGCTTTCACATAAAGATAATCTAATGAATAATTAATACTAATATTTGGACACTCTAAGAAAAAATGGAGTTGATTAAGATTGTATAAACAATGCAACATTCATTCCTAAAACTTATAGACTATTTAACAAACTAGATTGTGAAGAGTTTTTTACTTATTTAGATTCAGCTGAATATAAATCTTTAATAGAAAGAGATGGTCCATAATTTATAACTAAGGTTGGATTGGAAGTTCATAGAGGAAGAGGGATTAAGGTTCTTTTTCCAGATGAAACTAAAATCTTATAAGACACATATAAACATGGCAAAAGATGTGGAATTGAAAAATCTTTACTTGTTGCATAAAAATATATTGGAAATCCTTTGTTATTTAATGATCATAAAATAGAATTTAGGGTATATTGGGTCATTGCATCTACCAATCCCATTATAGCTTATGCATACGATAAGACATTAATTAGAAGATGTATAGCTCCCTTTGATAAATTTTCTTTGGATAAGGAAGCTCATGTTTGTAATACTGCTATTGTGTAAAGTACTTTATAGAAAAAGGGTTCTGACTTATTTATGAATGATGAAAATTCTGATGAGTCAGAGTTGTATATAGATTGGAAATTAGATTATCTTTAGGAACTTTTATTAAAATAAGGGAAAATCAAAGACACTAAATGGCTTTAAAATTATTTGCATCCTACAATTGATAGAATGATCATTCATGCAATTAGATCAGCATAACAAAAATTCAATAGAGATAGTAGATTAGCTGAATTTTTTGCAGCTGATTTTATTTTAACAGATGATTTACAAATACATATTATGGAGATGAACTACAATCCATAAACCTTGAAGACAACTTTGGCTAGAGAAAGATAGCATGCCAAAATGACCCAAGATATGATTGAAATACAAAATGCTTATCTTAGAAGCAAATATTTAAGATTTAAAAAAATTATTACAAGATTGGCAAATAAAATGAACAAAGAGAAAAGACCTCTCGATTCATTGTTAACCAACAAAACTATCGATGAAATTAATGAAGCTTATATTGATAAACTTGATTAAGGAATAAAATTAAGTGAAGATAATCTATTTAGATTAATAATGGATGAAAATTTACCTGGAACTAAAAAGTACAAAGATCTTTTGTAATAAAAGTGTATTTGATGAATTTGTTTATGATTAATATCTTCATAAATATATAATTTCATTCTCCATATCTCTAAACTCTTTTTCTATACTATTTCTTAGTATATGAGGACCACAAACAAATATCTACTTTGTATCACATTTGTATTGTTTTTCAATAAACTCTCTTGTGAATCTATTTTTAGTTGTCTCACATTTTTCAATTTATTTTCTACACCTTAAAATTAACGTAAAATTTTATTTCTTTAAATGATTTTATAATTCCCTTAATTTTAAAAATATAGAATCTCCAAGCAATTCTTCTTCAGCTTTAACTGAATAGAATAATGTGATATACCTATTCATACTTTAAACTTTTAATAGATTTGGATTTTTAATTAATTCATTATAACACATTAATAAATGATAATTTAGTAAATCCAAAAAGGGCAATATTCCTGTTCCTCCACAAATCAAAATGATTTATCCTTCTTTTAAATAATCTTTGAACACTGTTTGATAAGGTCCCTTTAAATCGATCATTTCAGGATTTTATTTTGTGATATATTTACTAAAACCATGAGGAGTGTCATAGTATTTTATAAAAAAGGAAAGAGAGGTAGATTTAAAATTATTTGTAAATCTAATATTCTCTTTTTTATCATACAAATCACTAAGACTTTGCATATATTCAACAGCAGGTTTTTACATACATTAAATATAAGTATAAAGACGTGTAGGAACCTTTTTATCAGTTATACTCTTGAACACAAAATGATTGGGTGTTATTTTATTGAGATTGATCTCAAATTCTATTTCTGGATGTTAGAATTGAAAATTACTTACCGTTTCAGTTATTTTACATGAATTCTTCAACTCCCATCTTGTATTCTGATTGATTGGAAAAGGAATCTAATTACATAAAGTTCCATAATAATGACCATTAAATTATTCTTAAGCATATTTTGAATGATAGTGTAGAATATTTGTACCAGGAAGTTATGAGATTCCATAAAAATATTAGCTTATTTCTATATTTTTAATATGTTTCCATATGATTTGACCACCAGGATGTATAAAATTTTAATCCAAACAATAGACTTAATTTTAAAATATGAACCATTATTTATTTAATAGATTTTCAGATAAACTCTCATAAGTAATTAATTTTTATTAATCCTCAGAAATTATATCTATTTTAGTTGATTTTAATATGGGAATGACCCATTCAAAAGTGATTCTAAAAATGATCACAACCATATAAGTAATCCAAATGAAAGTGAACCATTCTTCAGTTCTGTATGACATAAACATTCCAATAAACGATTCCACTTTTCCTATTAAATACGTTATTTGTCCAAGAACAGAATGTATTTTTTTATAATATATTATATTTTTATTTCCTTCTGAATTTCCTAATTAATATTTAACAAAATAACCAAATAATGACAATATAATCATTATTAACATCATGGCTGTTCCAATTACCAAATGAAATTATTTATATTCGTTTAGTTTTGAATAATTATCATATTAATAATTATATGGTTTTAAATAACAATAAGCTAAGGATGCTAAGAAGCTATTTATGACTACAAACGTCATTATATTCCCATGTATATTTGTTCTTCTTTGACATTTATTGCATGATGCATATATTATTCCAATATCAACAACAATTCCCCAAAGGATAAAATTTCCCCATCTGTGATAAAGTTTAATCGGATATGGAGACATTTATGTATATAAACTTTAATTATTTAATTAAAATCAAAAGTATAATGAAATAATAATTTACAAATTCATATGATTATGGAATTGACTCCTTATAATTATGACATAAATGAAGATCTTAATTTTATCAATCATCCACTGTTTTAAACATTTTCATTGTTAAAATAATAATTTATAATTTATTGTTTATTATTCTTTTAAAATAAGTTAGATATCTAGACTAATAATATCCTTAATATATGTTTCGTATTAGTATTTTACAATATTTTTATTTATTTTTGATGTATTAATTGTATAATTTGTATATAAATGCTCCGCAAAAAGTAATTTCTTATCTATTCTTGTAATACAGTATTAAGTCTAAATAAGGATAAAACTACATTGAAATTTCTCACTATAAATAAATATAAAAATCATCAATATTTAAATATATATATTTTTTGTCTATATATCCATAGTCATTAATTTTATAATAAACTGTATAATTTAAATTATTCCTTTTCAACGATTTATACTTTTTAGTCACAATTATATAAGTGTGATCTTCATTTCTATAAGATAAAGTTCAAATAAAATATTATTTAAGCCTGAAATTTTTTCAAAACTTAAAGTAAAAGAAAATTATATCTTAGTATATTATATAAATTCAATTAATTTAATACAACTTATTTATAAAGTTGATTTATAAAATCATTAAATCTAATATAAATATAAGATTATAAATGGAATAAGAAATATGTAAATACTTTGATTAATCATTTATTAATATTTAATAAGAATTAATTTTATAAAAATGTTTTTAATTGTATTGATTATTCTTGCATTAACAGAAGCTAAATCGATAACTCAAACTTTTACAATGAAATAGCTTTAGAAATAATAATATATCCCTATTAATAGATTTGGCAGTAAAGGAACAGTTAATTATAAAATATCGTAAATTTAATTTTTATTCTAGATCTCGTATTATAAAACCCCCCAAAGAATACGAAAATAAATAATTTGATATTGCTTTTGAGTTTTTTCAATAAGATAGTTGGCAGTCTGCTTTAAAAAAAGATGAATGCAGTAGGCATGAAGATGCAAATACAATTGTACATCAAACTATAGAAGCAAATTCGGATTAAAAAGTATCAACATAAGAAGGATAATTGAAATTTGGATAATATCATAATATTTGGTTAGCAGTCTTTAATAATTGTTAACATAGTATTGACAAAATTATCAAGATCAATAATAAAAACACAAAATTAGAAATCACAGTTTGGTTTTCTGAAGAGGGAGGACAAGAATTCTCTTTAGAAGAGTAAGGACTCTTAAATGTAGTGACCATTTTAACAGTTTTTACAATTATCGGATTTATTTACAATTATAGAATATTTAATTCAGATTTATAAAAATATGGAGAATGGGATTATGCTTAATTATTTATTCTTGTTGTAATTGGTTTAGAAGTACTACAAAATTTATTAAATTTTATGCACTTAATTGTCTATTATATAAATGGTAAAGGAATTGGAGCATTTTCAACCATTTCAGAAATTATTTAAGTTGTTGATAATTTTCTTTTAATGATTTTATTAATACTTTTGGCATGGGGATGGTCAATAGAATTTATGGATATGGAAGACTGGGATATTTATGTACCAGTAGCATTTTTGATTGCTTTTGCTTAGGCATTAATTGTTGGATTAGGAAGGTTGGTGAGCAATTAAACAGATAATCATTTATATGAAGGGTGGGTAGGATACACAATTAGTTTAATCTATATTAGTCTTGCCATATATTTTTATTATTCAACAAATTAGAGAAAAAAGAAAGGAGATTCAGTTGATTACTTTTATATCCAATTGAAAATTTATGGCATGTTATTTTTTTTAGCTTTTCCTTTTTTATTATTTGTTTCAAAATTAGTAGATCCATACAAATCTTACACAATAATCAGTTATGGAAATATGTTTGTACGTATGCTGAACATTGTTTTAATGGCAAGATTATTTACAGGTAAGTCTTCAGATTATTAAAAAATCTGTATGAAAGGGAGATCCTTTTTAGATAGAGGAAAAACTTTATGAGTATATTATACAATTATATATATATTATAAGTTTAATTCTAATAAATTATAATAAGCAATCGTATAATTGATGGAATCAACTTATTTAGTCCAATAATACTATAGATGATAACTTCATCTAATAATAATATTACTAATCAATATAACAATTCTAAAGAACCATTTATAACTAATAGAAATTACCAAATAATTAATAGAGAATTCTAGAACATTTAAAAAATACCTCTGATTTTTAAAAATATTTTCAATATAAATAATCCCTAACCTAAAATGACTGAAGAAAATAAGTATGATGGTCTATTTATGACAATTATGTAATAAACAAAAGATATTAATGTATTCTTTGATGCAGCATTTGGATTTTTAAGGTAATTTATTTTCTATTTATTAAAGACGTCACACAGACTTCTTTTTAGATTAAAAATAAGCAGAAAAAGTCATCACTGAATCTTGTGCTAAAAACTTCCTTAAATTTTAATCAGAAAAAGTTGATAAAGACAAGAAGGAAGAGTAAAGAAGATAAAGAGAAGAGTAAAGAAAAAAAGAAAAAGAAGCTGCTGAAAAGGCTAAGAAAGAAGCTGAAATGCTTCAATAACAATAATTATTACAATAATAACAAGAAAAATTAGAATAACAAAAAAAATAATAATAATAATAATAATAATAATAATAATTATTATTATAATAAGAACCAATAGATCCATCAGTTCCTATATACTAACCAGTTTTGAAAGTGCCAGAGTAAAAACCAAAAGAACCTGAAAAGAAGGAAGGCGAAGGAGAAGCAAAAGACGGAGAAAAAAAAGATGATAACGAGAAACCCCCTGTAGGCAATGGTGGAAGAACAGAAAGATATATTTGGACCTAAACCCTTGAAGAAGTTTAAGTTTATATTCCTATACCGTCTTCTGTTACTAGTAAATAACTGATTGTGAAAATTGAATCAAGTTCATTATTAGTTGGACTAAAAGGTATTCATTTAAATATAATCTACTTTTAGGCTAACCTCCTATTGTAAATGGATAGCTATTTGAAAAAATTCAATCTGATGAATCAACTTGGTTATTAACTGATGGTGAAATTTAGGATTATAAAGGAAAGTATATTCACATTTCTATAACTAAATACTCAGGTTAAATGAATTGGTGGTCATGTGTAATTAAAGGTAGTTATATTTATTAAAACTAGGTGATCTTGAAATCAATACTCAGAAGATCAGTCCAGAACCATCATAATTGTCAGATTTGGATGGAGATACCAGAGGAACAGTTGAAAAAATGATGTTTGATATGAGACAAAAATAAATGGGTTTACCTACTAGTGAAGAACTTGAAAAGAAGAATAAATTAGCAGAATTTATGAAAGCTCATCCTGAAATGGATTTTTCAAAGTGCAAATTCAATTGAGATATAAATAAGAAGTTCAATATTAATTTCTTATATTTTTTTATTTTATTTTTCTGAATAATTGATTGATTTAATAGTCTTCAGCATTTATTAAACTTAAATATTATTCCATTTTTTAATTTAAATATTTCTGTGTTCATTTTTAAAATTATTTATTATACTAAGAAAAAAATCAACTATTTTTGACTATTAATAATCTGATGAGAAATACAAGATGTTTGGAATATTTAATTGATTAATTTCATCTTGATGATGTTATTCCATGTAAGGATTAGAATGCTCTTATTTGCTCAAATGAAAATGCTACTATTATTGTTATCTATCAATAAAATTAATTAAAGCATTATGAAGAAATTGAGGGTCGAATAAAATTAATTTTTTAATAAGAACTATGCTAGTTTAAAAGATAATACTATCTATAACAATTAGAATTACCTACTAAAATTGCTTTAAACAAAAGAGGAGATATATTATTAATTGAAATTAACAAAACAAAATTTAATTTATATTACAAAAAGGCATAATTATAGAATTGGACATTTTTTTATCATAATTATACTTAGACTGTTAATTTATAAATATAAGATTATAAAATTTATGGCTCTTACACTTTAAAATCATTTCATTCATAATTTTCATGTTTTCTATTGTAGAAGAAGGAAAATACTACAACTATAGTTTTAAATATAAAAAATACTCCTTAGATCAAGAAATTATATTAATAATAAATCGAAATAACAGATTGTATATTAAATGAAGTAAATAATTTAATTGTTGGCAGAGAATTTAATTAACTGAATATTTATAAATGGAAAAAAATTATTCCATTTCAATAAATTAATTTGCCAAATGGTCTTCTTTATACAAAATTTGATTCTTTCAATAACTTAATATTATTGACAAAAGCTCATTTAGAAATTTATGTTTAATAGATAGGATAAACCTATCAAAAAGTTGCAGGAATACCAATAATAAATAATAATTAAATTTCTGACATTGTTCCTATTGATGCTTATATAATCATTTAAAGAACTTACTTAGGTGCAGAAGTTGCCTAAGTAATGTTAATTGAGGATAACAATGTATAAAATGTTGGAAAAATTACATGTCGGTCAATAATTACTTCGCCTAATCATTCATTTTATTTAGTAATTAAAGACAATTAAATTGAAATTTATAGACACAATTGAATTTTTTGATATTAAAAGTGATAAATATTTTATCTATTAATCTTAAACTTTCATTTCCATTAATTTTATAATAAAATATAAAATTAAATGATATTGTGATTTTATTAAAAGGATGAATCAATAGATTATTAATTAGCTTTTAGGTGACAAATGAAAAATAAATAAATAAAGACATTTCAATACTTTTCAACTTTAGGTTATTATTTTTTATTAGCTCTATTAGTTTACATTTCCATCATTTCTTACATTTCAGCCATTTATTGTTATTATTATTATTACATCCTTTTCATTTCTTCTCTCATTTACATCTTTAACATTCCTATTTCTGCCAATTAAATAAATCCTAGAATAATCCCACCAAAAATAGCATTTCTCATAGCAATTCTTGTTCCAGCTATAAATGATGTTGAAAGTGAATACCTCTTATGGCTAAAAACCCTCCAGTAAATGCACCTGCAACAATTGGATTAATAAAATCTTATTGATTTCTCAAATGCATAAGAGTACAATCAGTGATGCTGAATAACCCACCCCATAAAGCAAAAGATCCTCCTAAAATAGGAGCTCTTCTTTTTAATAATTAGATTCCTCCAAAAAATCTTTCTTTTTTAGGAGCAAAAGACATTCCCTTTAGGAAATAAAAAATGCATCCAGCAAAACATCCCATTGAGAAGGCTCCTCCAAAATCATCTATGATTCTATATGGACAAGGTTATTCACGCATAGCCATCTTAATTCTGGTAAATATTTATTAATTTAATGATATAAATCTCGATTATTCTAAATGGAAAATGATTAATTTCATATCATATCATAATTTTGTTTTATTATAATTTTATATATATATATATGATATTCATATAACATATTTCAATATCTATGCTTTTTATTGAATTATTATTCTTCCATGTCACTATCATTGTTTAGACCAGAATCTCTAGTAGACCAATCAATTTAAGGATTCTTTTTGGTAAATGCTGGTTATCCTCCTTATTAAATAATATGTTTCATTCTAATTCTAGTAATGAACCAATCAGATTATCCTTAATAATTATGTCTAACATGATCTTCACAAAANGTAATGTTAATTGAGGATAACAATGTATAAAATGTTGGAAAAATTACATGTCGGTCAATAATTACTTCGCCTAATCATTCATTTTATTTAGTAATTAAAGACAATTAAATTGAAATTTATAGACACAATTGAATTTTTTGATATTAAAAGTGATAAATATTTTATCTATTAATCTTAAACTTTCATTTCCATTAATTTTATAATAAAATATAAAATTAAATGATATTGTGATTTTATTAAAAGGATGAATCAATAGATTATTAATTAGCTTTTAGGTGACAAATGAAAAATAAATAAATAAAGACATTTCAATACTTTTCAACTTTAGGTTATTATTTTTTATTAGCTCTATTAGTTTACATTTCCATCATTTCTTACATTTCAGCCATTTATTGTTATTATTATTATTACATCCTTTTCATTTCTTCTCTCATTTACATCTTTAACATTCCTATTTCTGCCAATTAAATAAATCCTAGAATAATCCCACCAAAAATAGCATTTCTCATAGCAATTCTTGTTCCAGCTATAAATGATGTTGAAAGTGAATACCTCTTATGGCTAAAAACCCTCCAGTAAATGCACCTGCAACAATTGGATTAATAAAATCTTATTGATTTCTCAAATGCATAAGAGTACAATCAGTGATGCTGAATAACCCACCCCATAAAGCAAAAGATCCTCCTAAAATAGGAGCTCTTCTTTTTAATAATTAGATTCCTCCAAAAAATCTTTCTTTTTTAGGAGCAAAAGACATTCCCTTTAGGAAATAAAAAATGCATCCAGCAAAACATCCCATTGAGAAGGCTCCTCCAAAATCATCTATGATTCTATATGGACAAGGTTATTCACGCATAGCCATCTTAATTCTGGTAAATATTTATTAATTTAATGATATAAATCTCGATTATTCTAAATGGAAAATGATTAATTTCATATCATATCATAATTTTGTTTTATTATAATTTTATATATATATATATGATATTCATATAACATATTTCAATATCTATGCTTTTTATTGAATTATTATTCTTCCATGTCACTATCATTGTTTAGACCAGAATCTCTAGTAGACCAATCAATTTAAGGATTCTTTTTGGTAAATGCTGGTTATCCTCCTTATTAAATAATATGTTTCATTCTAATTCTAGTAATGAACCAATCAGATTATCCTTAATAATTATGTCTAACATGATCTTCACAAAAGAATCTGAATTTCTATTCATGATCTAATTATAATCCCATTAATCTAACTTATTTAAGACAATTAAAATGATAATGAACATGACATTCAGCTTTATTGCATTTAAGTGATGCTCCAATAGATCCACAATATCTACACATTTAAGCTTATGCAAATTAGACTGCTTAAATCAAAGTAGCAATATCCACTAACATAGTGTTGTAATCAACTTAAACTCTATTAGACCATAATAAACACATTTCATGAGAACATATTTCTCTACCTTCTTTATCTTTAAATAAACAAAGTTTTCCAAATCTTGATACCAAATCAAATCTAAAATAAAATTGCACAAATGATCTAATTTTTAATAATCTACAAAAAGCACATCTGATTGGAAATTTCAATTCTCCTTATTACATTTTCTTCAAAGGTACTCCTCTTAATATAGGTTCTGGCAATATTGAATCACACATTAAAGTATTGTAAAATATTAGATAATTACATAATTTAAACATCTGTTTTTTTATTCCTTATGGTGGTTATCCTTAATCTAACTTTGGAATACCACATTTTTCAACAGCTCCTATTTAATATTCTCTACCCATACTCATTTCTTCATCATCTTCATGTTTTACTTTGCCTTTAACTTACCCTTTTANGATTTCTCAAATGCATAAGAGTACAATCAGTGATGCTGAATAACCCACCCCATAAAGCAAAAGATCCTCCTAAAATAGGAGCTCTTCTTTTTAATAATTAGATTCCTCCAAAAAATCTTTCTTTTTTAGGAGCAAAAGACATTCCCTTTAGGAAATAAAAAATGCATCCAGCAAAACATCCCATTGAGAAGGCTCCTCCAAAATCATCTATGATTCTATATGGACAAGGTTATTCACGCATAGCCATCTTAATTCTGGTAAATATTTATTAATTTAATGATATAAATCTCGATTATTCTAAATGGAAAATGATTAATTTCATATCATATCATAATTTTGTTTTATTATAATTTTATATATATATATATGATATTCATATAACATATTTCAATATCTATGCTTTTTATTGAATTATTATTCTTCCATGTCACTATCATTGTTTAGACCAGAATCTCTAGTAGACCAATCAATTTAAGGATTCTTTTTGGTAAATGCTGGTTATCCTCCTTATTAAATAATATGTTTCATTCTAATTCTAGTAATGAACCAATCAGATTATCCTTAATAATTATGTCTAACATGATCTTCACAAAAGAATCTGAATTTCTATTCATGATCTAATTATAATCCCATTAATCTAACTTATTTAAGACAATTAAAATGATAATGAACATGACATTCAGCTTTATTGCATTTAAGTGATGCTCCAATAGATCCACAATATCTACACATTTAAGCTTATGCAAATTAGACTGCTTAAATCAAAGTAGCAATATCCACTAACATAGTGTTGTAATCAACTTAAACTCTATTAGACCATAATAAACACATTTCATGAGAACATATTTCTCTACCTTCTTTATCTTTAAATAAACAAAGCTTTCCAAATCTTGATACCAAATCAAATCTAAAATAAAATTGCACAAATGATCTAATTTTTAATAATCTACAAAAAGCACATCTGATTGGAAATTTCAATTCTCCTTATTACATTTTCTTCAAAGGTACTCCTCTTAATATAGGTTCTGGCAATATTGAATCACACATTAAAGTATTGTAAAATATTAGATAATTACATAATTTAAACATCTGTTTTTTTATTCCTTATGGTGGTTATCCTTAATCTAACTTTGGAATACCACATTTTTCAACAGCTCCTATTTAATATTCTCTACCCATACTCATTTCTTCATCATCTTCATGTTTTACTTTGCCTTTAACTTACCCTTTTACTTTCTTTTTACTTTTTTCAGTTTTTTCTGTATCTTATTTATAATAAGAATTATAAAGAGCTCTCTTTCCAAATTCAGCATTTCTATTCTCTTCTGTTTCATTTGCCTTTGGTACTAAAAATTGTTTATTCTCTTTAAGTAAATCTCCCATTTCTTTCAAGAATTTTTAAAAATGTTGTTCATGTTCTTCTACAGTTTTTCTTAATAATGATGTAAAATCAGCTTTTTTATCTAAAATATTCTTGATTCTTAATTGTGAAATACTTGATGGCTTAATAGATACTTCATGATTTTATGAATCTAAATTGATATCCATCAATAATCTGAATTAATTTAAGTAATCATTTAATGTACTAACATCTACTCCTGATTCTTTCTTATCCATATTATAAAGTATTGTATATGCAATATCTACCTCTTCTCCAATCTCTTATAAACTTAAAAGAGTTTCATTCAGATTTTCCATGAATTGACTTAGTTTATTTAATTTTTATGCTTATTTATAAATACTTTATGATGTCTCTTCTAAATAGTTCTACATTCTAGCATAACTCAATTATCCTTCTTTGGTTAAATCTTATTGTGTTCTTGATGAATCTAATGTTCAAAATAATATTTATACTAACAAATTTAATGAGAGCAGCCTTTAACTTAGCATATCCAAAAGATGGGTGACCTTCATGTGCTCCTTCATGCACACACTTAGAACAAATGAATCCATCTTTATTACATTCTGGATTATTGCATACTCTAGTTACCTATTCTTCGGGATGATGTTTGCAGTATATTACATCATTATTTTATTTCTACTATGATTCAGTTGGATCACTCATTGTATTAATTTATTTTCATTTTATCTGAATCATCAATATCACATAAAAGAATAAAATATTAAAATGCTTTTTTAATTACCTTACTATATTTTGTAAACCAACCTAAATTAATTAAACTACTTTTATAACAAAGATCAAATTTGTTTTTTTATGCTCAACTTGGTTTACATACACATTTAATAAATATAATAATACATGATAATAAACAATATTTTCAATCTATTAAATGAATATACTCTTTTAAATAATTTATAGATTTTACAAAAACAATAAATATTTTATATATATGAAAAGTATAAAAAATAAATATTTAATACTTTAATACATTATAATCAAATTAATAAACAAACTATAAATTTGATTGGTCTATTTTACAATTAAGAATTTTATTTATCAATTTTTTCTTTATCTTCAATACATTATGGTTACAAGGATTTGTTTATAAAATTTAAAATTTGCTTCAAACTTAGTATAGTATCTACTATTAGAAAAAGCACGATCACGAATAAAAAGATTACTATATGAAACCATCCAAAAATCAATTTAGTGCTATATGAAAAGTTGCATATATCTAATTCCCAGTAAATTGGTGTAGTAAGTAAGAAAATTAATAGAGTGGCTTATAAAATTAAAGTTTGATAATATTCATAAGTATTAATTTAATTTTTTAAGTAGATCCAAGATAGTAAATAAAGTGAGTTAACTAAACAAATTAAAATAAACTGTAACACATAATTACTTTAAAAGATCACTAAAGAATACATTACGAACAGCTTTTTTAAATTAAGAAATAGCTAAAGTTTATCTTTCCAATATTATTGAAAATTCTAAAATTGAGTTTTTCCTGTAAAATATGTAGTTATATATAAGAGGCTTAAGAATAAAGTGGTTATGGCAATAAGTTAATTGAACATCAATTGATAAAATTATTTAACACTCAATTATAAAAATACCATAAAAAAGATATCCCAACAATTCACAATAAATAGTTTGTTGAGTCCATATCTTCTAAGAGAATACTTATTTTTGAATGCTCTAAATTTAAGATTGTTGTATAATTTTGAAAGAAATTCATTATTATCACAATATCTTTTGTTTTGTAGTATGTTTAAGCATTTTTCAGCTTAGTCTGATAAGATATATAAGAATACTAGGATAACAAAGCTGAAAGCTAAACTTCTAATATTATCGGCTATGTTAGCGTTGACTTGATAAAATCCAAATTTTTCTTTTGATTCGAAATATCGAAACTAATATAGAGATGGCAATTCTTAATAATTAAAGGAATTGTAAAATGGTTTTAAGGATATGATTCCTGAAGATTCAAAATATATCATTAAATTTTGTGGATATATGATATTAAGATATTTGAAATAAGATTATTCTTAGAGTATCTCCAAAGCAATCCAAAAAGCTAATCCATTCCCACTTATTAACAAAAAGCCTGCAAGTGCTCCTAATGAATAAATAGTTTTTTCACTATAGGTTAATAAATTTTGTGAAATTTCAATATGTTATTTGCTTAAATAATTTGGTATTTTTAATTATTTAATAGTCATTAGATTTTTCAATTGAATGCCATATTAATTATATAAGGGTTCTAATAATGAAATGTTGATGTAGGGGGGATCACTTAATTCTTAATCGATATATATTTCAATTGCATAGATGACCCAAGAAAGAGTAGTAGATGCGTTGGATACAGGAATGATTGAAATATTATATTTGGTTTAATCCAATTATAGGATTGTAGCTGAGATAAAGTTTGAATAATCAATTTGAGTATCAGACATTCTTTTGAGTTATTATGTGAATTCAATTTGTACATATTAATATTAGTTTTTTTAGAACAAATAATTGATTAATAATTCTGGATACTTAGAATAGATACATTCATCATTCTAAATACATATCCAATCATATTCAATCATACAAATACTTGAGCATCCATCACCTGAATTAGTATTATTATCATCACATTATTCTGTTTCAGATGTTAATATGCCATCACCACATTTTGAATAACAAGAAAATGTTAAATTATCATAGTAATAGTTTAAATTACATTCTTAACACATTCCTTCATCACAAATAGAACAATACAAAGGACAAGAAAATTAACATTAATAACAACCATCATATTGTATATTATTATTGTCATCACATTATTCATTTTCTTCAACTATAAAATTACCACAAAATGATTAACATTTATCATTAATCATTTCCATACCATTTATACAAGGTTCTACACAAATTCCTTTTTCACATTTATTACAAGATTCTTAACATTAATAAATACACTAATAACATCCATCATAAGGGATATCATTTTTGTCATCACATTCTTCTATTCCAATTGTAGTTAAACCATCACCACATATTACTAAACATTTATCATCTACTAATGTATAGGTATCTATGCACTATTTGCACATGCCTAAATTACATAATAAACAATTTTAATCACAAAAGCAATTAGGATATTAAAACATAGAAATAGCTGATATTCCACAAATTTCTTAACACTCTCCAGCCAATAAATGATAACCTACTTAACATTCTAAACATATAGTTTAATAACATAAGATGCAATTTAAAGAGCATTCTTGATGCCACACTTCCATTTAATTCATACAATTTGGATTATCAATGCATGATTATATCACATTTTATGATTATTCCAAAGATATCCATTTACAGTTCTTTGTTGTAATCTTATATTCCCATTCTTCATAACAATTTAAACATATTCCCTTAACACAATTGGAACATCCATCTACACATTCATATTAGCAATTATGACAACCATCAAAAGGAATTGAATTTCCATCATCACATTCTTCAGTTTGTTAAACTATCTAATCTCCACAAAACTAGGAACATTATTAACTAGGTGAATCTCCAAATTAACAATCTAAATAGCTATTAATTATATTACATATATACACCCTAAAGTCTCTTATTCCAAAGGATTCATCTTCAAGAATCTAATCTAAACTATTTTTTAATTCGAATTTAGTTAAGTATTATGTATGATCAATTTCAATGTCTTAAGTATCAGAGAGATCATTAAATCTGCTTAGTCCACAAAGACTATAATTTCTTAAATTTCCTAAAAATTAGAATTATTTATCCAATTTAATTTCATCATCAACATAAAAGTAAGCATATTCAGAGTCCCAACTATCAATATAATAAAATCTAAATCTTATTTTTAATTTAAAATGAGGTGGAAATCTTTACTCATACCTAATAATGCTATTATATCCACAAATACTTGGTCCACAAAGCATAGGAAGCACTAATTTGATTATATATATATTCATTTACTTTAACAATTTGATAATTAATATTATTGTCCATTTTCAACATTCCATCCATCATAATTAAAGTTTTCTAACACAGTTTCAGTCAATGAAGATACATATAATGTCCATTAAAGACAATCAAATCTTGAATCAGTATCCTAACATATTAAACATCCAGCTGGACATTATTTTATGAAAAGTCTGAAATTCTTAATTCCCCAAAACCCCTACATATGTATAAACACTACCTAGATTTATCCTTATAAAGCTATATTTGCTGTAACTATTACTTATAATGTTTCAAAATTATGGAGAATCGTTTCATCTATGAATAAAACGTAATCATTTAATCCACAAATATTAGATCCTGTTGGTAGAGTATTCACTTCTTATTGAATTATTCTATTGCCATCTAAATGAACATAAATTGTTTCATTATTAGCCCAATTCGAAATTCTATGATATTATAGTTAGACATGTACTTCCAAAACTCCAATTACACCTAAATTTTTGAATGAGGTGGAAGAATAAAAAATTTTGATATTAGAGTCATCTTACCAAAGTTTGAAATTCCACCAAATATTCGATTAGTTCCGCAATCTTAATATATGTTACTTGATAATCCATTTGTTATATACCAATCTTTAAAGTATTAATACATAGTTATACCATTAGCATCTATAAATGTATTTGATTCAAATGAACTTGAGAGGAGAATAAATTGTTAAAATGCTTGCAATTTTAAACAGCAAAGTAATAAAAATTGGATCATTATTATGGAATTACAAATATTTGAAAATTTATTTTATTGTCTAATAAATTGAAAAATAAATCCTAATTTATAATTAAAGAAATTGTATTTCTTAAATTATGTGATTTTACTAATAAAATGGAAAATTTAAATAGCATCTAAAATAGATAAGTAGATGATTATATATTTGAGAATTCTTAATTATCAACAAATTATAAAAAAATAAAATTAATTTAGAGCTTATTTATAAAACTAGTTTGAATTAGAATGTTATTATTATAGTTAATCAGTATTTACTATTAATTGATGATGTCAAATTTATTCTCCTTCGATTTATTTAGCATATTTGAAAAATTCATGATTTACAAATTCTTATATAGTTATCCTATTATATTCTTCAGCCAATCCACTTTCGATTAAATCTTTTAGATTTTCAAGTAATTATTTAGGAGTATGTTCTCTCATTAATTAAGAGTCTACTTTCTAAATGAAATCTAATTTCCAAAACAAATCAGGTTGATTAATCAATAATTGATAATATTAATCATCTACAGTCGGAAACTAACCCATAATAGGTGGTCTTTTGTAAATTGCCGAAAATAATGCAGTAGTTAAGGCATATACATCAGAAGAAAATAAACAGAATTCATCATATTCACCATCAACAACATTTAATCTAAAATTAACAATTTCAGGACTAGAATAGGATGTGAGAGTTCTGGGTAACCATTTGGAAAGTAAGTCTTCATAAGAAGGTCTATAGCTAAATCCAAAATCAGCCAATTTAATAACATTTCTATTGATAACAAGCATGTTCTCTAATTTGATGTCATTGTGTGCTATATATTAGGAATGTAAATATTCGACAGCAATTGAAATTTAAGTAAAGTACTTGATTATAATTTTGAAGGATGTTTCATTTGATTTGCAAAGAGTATGAAGATCACAAGTAGCATTTTCAAGGAATAAGCTACAACATTAGAGGTTCCCTCCTGCTGGGTCAAGTTAATGATTGGGAATAAATTATTAAGTTTTGATTATGTTTGGATGATTTAGTTAGTTAAGTATTTTCCATTCATTTTAAAGATCTTGGCATTCTCTTTAATGAACAGAGTGACAAACACTATCATCTTCCATAAATAGTTAAGCATGGAATACAGATTTAATAACCACAGTCTAGTGAACTAATAATTGAAGAGTACATCTGATGCTCCAAGTTGTCTGTGTATGTAAGAGTTGTTGCCTTATTGTATTAAATACAAATGATCAGCAATCTAATTGATTTGCTACATGTATATATTTATATATTATATTTGTATGTTCATTCTTCCTCCTTTTTTTCTTCTTTTGGTCCTTAAACTACTATCAACAAGAACTCTTTATCTGGTGCCACCATTATCTCATTATTCTTAGACTTTATACGCAAGAAAGTTAACTCATTGTTTGGATCTAAATCACGTACTGTCGATCTTTTTAATCCATAACAATGTTAAATACTTGGCCTTGGCAGCTAAAGTTGGTATTGTTCTAGCAATATTTTCACCCTCTTTGCTTTCTGTTCCATAAGTACTTCTTATTATTTAACCATCATTATTGCAAATTACAATGCCTTAAACTGACTTATGAGTCTTGATTCTATTGATTGTTTCTTCAATATCCGACATTAATAATAATTAAATGAGAGCAACCTTATTTTAGTAGTTAACAAAAATAAGGGCTGAATCAGCTAAATCAGGTACAAATCGAAACAAACCAATACTTGATACTTCAGATCTTCTTCCTAGATCAAGTTTTCATAGAAAAAGAAGATAAGATGATCAAAATAATTCTTTTAATGAATATTCATGTTCATTCAGATTTCCTGATAAAGAAAGATATGAATAAGAAATTAAGTAATTGAAAAATAATATGCATCACTTGGAAAATGAAAATATAAGACTGAAAACTAGAATTCATTAAATGGAAGGTATTATCAATCAAATTCAAATCTAGATAATTAACTGAAATAAGAAAAAATTATATAAGAATTAGATCGCATAGGTCCTGTCAAAGCTCCTCTTCTATAAGCATTGAATTTTTCAACTGCTTAAACTGCTTTAAAAAAAGAAATAATTAATATTAGGTAAGAGTTGCAAAAAAAGGATAAGGAACTATAAACTTTGAAAAAAACATAAAGATTATCTTAAATTACAGAATTGTAAATTGAAAGAGCTGCTTTTGAAGAAGAAACAATCAGGTTAAGATAATAAATAGATTCGTTATTTAAAGCAAGTTTATTTAATCTACAATAGAATAATGTAGATTAAATAATTTAAGAGAGATTATTTGCTTTGGTAGCCTAAATCTAATAATATTTAATGCAAAGAAGGGAATTGGAAAAAGTAATTGATAGATTAAAAAAAGAATGTCTTAAATATAGAGTATTAATATTAAAATTATAAAGTCATAACAAATTGATGCAGAATACAGAAGTAGAAGAGAAATAAAGAAATTAATTGCTTAATTAAAAGAAGAAACTTAAAATAATCAAAAAGAGAATAATAAAGAATTAAAATAAAATCCTACCAAAGCTGATGAATTATAAATATTAACTGATTTGATGTTTGCAAAATAAGAAATTAAATCAAAAGATAATGAAATTGAAAGATTAAATTAAATTATCTTTGATTTAGAGGTATAAATTAAAGAAATTTCACTATCTTAAAATTAAGAAGCATAAGACCTCTAAAATTAATCATAATAATTAGATGCAACTTCTAAATCGAAGTAAATGAAATTATCATCCCCTGTCTTTGCTACTGAAATTTTATAAGAAATAGCTTTGCCAATTAAAAAATCAATTGTCATTTAAGAATAACAATCAGTAATTAAATAACCTCCTAAAAGAAGAATAATACCTGTTAAATTTGAAAATATCAAAATTATAGGAGAAACACTTAAATATAAACTTATGGCAATGGATATAGGAATTTAATAAATAGATGATTATTTATTTGAAGGGGAATTCATGACAATCAAAGAATTAAAAGATAAATTAAGATTATATCCATTTAATTTAACTAAGGATGAAGCTTTTTTATTAGCAAGATATATAATGGAAGGTGAAAATGATGTTTATGAATTAGAAGACTTGGCTTAGAATCCTACTCCATATATTCGTTCAGTTTTTAGAAAAGTATTGTTTAATTATAAATTGGAAATTGTTAAAAGTTAATTTGAATATTCAGAGAAAATAAAAGATGTTTTAACAAGATTCAAACCTTTTATTATAAGTAACATAAAATAATTGCATGGAAAAGAATGTATTAGAGTTAGTAAAAGTTAATTTATTGATGCTATGGCTTCTTTAAATATTGAATTAAATTAATTTGAAATAGACTATTTAATTATGTAAGGTATTTTGGAAAGTAGGAGTGTAGAATCATTAAATTATGAAGAAATGTTAAAACACCAACCAATTAAAATAGAGGATTAATAGCTTTCATTTTTGTTAACTGAGATTACTAATGAAAATAAGTAAAAGGTTGAAATGTCTGTGATAATGGAATGTCCAGAGAAAGTTTCAGAAATTGAATAATAAGAATAGGCAAATGTTAGCAATACTAATTTTAATGAAGAGTAATAGTTAGATGTAGATAATGAATATATAACTGTAGATTAATATGTAAGGTAGTAATTTGAATCAGAAAATGAAAAATATAAGTAAGAATTATCGTCAGATTTTAATATAGAATAGTGATAATTTTTATTTAATTGATATTAAAGTACTAATAAAATTTATTTGTTAAATAAAAAATATGAGCTTTAGAGTAGAAGAGTCTCCTCAATTTAAAGAAGAAGAATTAAATCTATCCAAAATTTACTAATATAGAGAATCTCACTTCTCTGGTTTCTCTTTCCCAAGCAGTGTTAGACATTAAAAAAGATAGACTTTTTAAGCATCTGTAGAAACTAAGACTCCAACCCCCAATTAAACCAATATTGAAAATTCACCATGTGAACTTAGCTATGAAATAGAAAGAATGGTAAAAGAAAGAGAACAATTATTCACTGATGTACAATACTATGAACCTAAGGTTACTTTTAATATAGATGAATCACCATAAAGAATTAGAATTCAAAGAAATAGTGCTCCTATGCCAAACACTTAATTATATCACTTAAATCAACAAATAATAGATGCTGAGCATACTTATAATTAGTACTGCTATTAATTAATTTGATTATATTAAAATTTATTATTATAAAATTTTTGGAATCTATTTTGTATGAGTAAAATTATTGAAAATATAATTAATTATGTTAAACTCTCTTAATATTGAATAATATTATTTAAATATAAGAATATAAGGAATAAAATTAATATAAGAGAATATTTCTATATTTAAGATTGTTTAGATTTTATTTGAAATATAGTATCAATTATTGTCATTATACTCCTAATGCAACAGGGAAGATCTTGAAACTTATTAAGTTAAATCAATTCTAGCTTAACTTAATTCAGATGCCTATTAATATTATAGAAAATTACTAATTTACTGCCATTCTATAATGATTAATAATCAAGTAGATTACTATACATACCTACAGCCATAGTCGTTAATCTTTTAAAACTTCCCATCATTTTTTTCTTACTTTCTTAACTAGTAAAATTACTACAAAGACTATTAGATGATTATGGTTTCTGTTATGTATATGATGATTATCTCATAGGAGTATCGAAATCTTTATGCGTATTAAAGCTTGCTTATCTTTATCCTTAAGGACTTGTAAACTAATTTAAAGGACTTGTAAACTAATTTAAAGGACTGGCAAACATTGCTCCATCTCCTTTCAAATTTTCAATTTCTTCTCTTAATTGTTAAATAGTTTGTTCTTGTCTTCTTTAATCTTCTTTCATTTTCATCATTGATTAATGAATGGTAGATTATGTTTCATTTTATTTCTATATTTAACAATTTAATTCTTAAATTATCTTGGTTTTCTCAAGTAATTTTTTATGTAATTATTTCTTCTCTCTTTCAAAAGCATCCCTCAAAAGAACATCTGAATTTTTTTATAATGCTTAAATTTAGCTCAAAAGCTACTGTTCTAAATAAATAGAGAACATTATTTTACCTTGATTCTTGAGTTATGAATTTTATTCTTACAATTCACTCATTTGCATTTCAACATGATGTAATTATTTCAATGCATGATCACAATGTTCTTTCATTTCAATGTAATTTTGAACTTCCATTTCTAATTGAGCCTTATTTAATTGCAAATCTTCTAATTCTCTATTTTTTTAAGTTATTTCTTCTTAATATTAAAATATCACAGCACACAATTTATCAATTTATTCATCTACATATATATGAGCCATATACCTTTTTAATGTATTACTTAATCTTTTTCTTATAGTTCTAATTGCAAAGCTTCAAATTAAGCTTAAAGTGTTTTTTCTGGTTTCAACTCAGAAATACCTCCTTTATTAATCATATCTAACAAGATTTATTTCTTTCTAGGATCTGGATTAAGAGTTTATTATTTCATAATTTATTTATGCTTAATTTATTATTAAAATAGTTAGCTTTCCACAAATAAATGAAGTAAACCAATAAAAAAATAAATCAAATCAGAATAAAAATACAGTGTTTACTACTATTTAGAAGTTAAAATAATAGATAGAGAATAAGTATCCTTTTTATTTAAATTTTTCAGCTTCATTAAATTTGAGAACAATACTTAGTACTAATACTAAGTGAAATAATAATGATTATATTTATTTATAAAATGAAATGATAATTTTGTTAGAAAACTTCATTTAATTAGATATTTCCCATAGTTTAAAATGAAATGGAATCATTTGTAACAATATTTAAATAAATATTCAAGCTTAATCATTTAAATATATTGATAGAGATATAGGGTTTGAAATAGAAATAAAACTGAATAGAATTTATTGACATAGGAATTGAAATTAACAAGTCCTTTCATAAATTTAACAAAATGAGATTACTGAGATTTAATTTCATTTAAATATGATTCTTATTATAAATTTCAATTTTATTTAAAAGAGTTCCGTATTGTTAGCAATAAAAAATAAGTTCTAGAATATAGCAAATTTCTTTAGTAAATATGGTTAATTTGTTAATTAAGATTCATAATGAAAATGTTTAATGAGTTTAATAAAGTTGTATTGTAATGAATTGTTGATTTTTTTGATTTCTAGATCTCACATTCTTGAATCTATGAAGAGAATATTCTATGTTATCAAAAGAAATAGTATGTATAAGACTAAATATTGAAATCAGGAGTGCTAAAGAGAAAGTGCTAATAATTAGATAGTAATAAAATATAGAGTAACTGGAATTAAGTTTAGAAATGAACAAAATTATAGTCAAATTCATTTGAGTAATAGATCCTCTATTTCTTACTTTAAATTGCCATTCTTTAATTCTTGGAGCAGGGATTTTGTGTCAGGATAAGCCTCCATTATAAGTGTCATGTCTTTGTCATCTACATTCAACATTTCTCTTATTTCTAAATCTAAATGATTAGCCATACATTTACATTATGACTGTTCGCTACGTCTACGTGTTTACATTAAGGGCGCATCTTACTAATCTAGAAGTCTACGTTTTCTCTTTAAATTGATAAATTGGCGATCTCCACTTTGCTTTTTGATTTCGTCATAATCCAGTACACTGTCTTCTTCTTATGGTATGTCCTTTATCATTTTGAGGTTTAGCTTCACTTTGGTGCCCTTTACCTATACAGGCAAGTTCTAATCAGTTTTTGTTTAAGCTGGGATAGGAGGTTAAATTGGAAAAGGCATAACCATTTATGGAAGAGGTTGCATATGAGGCTAGGAAGGCAATAATGGCATGCCCAAAGGACCCATAGAAGTCATGGATGGAATTTATTACATTTACTGCATTTGTTGTAATTGTTACATCATAAAGTATTAGGGTACACAGTTCATATAAGGTTGCCTAAATATTCATAATAGAATAGAGAATAAAGTATAGAAGGTATAAGAATATGATGGAAATGATTTTGTTACATACATAAATTAGGGATTTGGGTAAATCATTTGTGTCTATGGAGTTTGCTACATTTGAGGGTACAGATGAGGCTTAGCTTTGAGCATTGCTAGATAATCTTAGTTAGGAAAACTCATATTTCAGATATTTAAATATATCTCTAAGAATAAAACACAGATTTGATATTTAGATTTACAAAAGATATTATGCCATTTCAAAGGGGATTATTTCATTCTCGTACTTTCGAATTTACGTGTCCCATCTTGAATAAATGATAATCAAAGATTAAAAAAGCCATTAAATACATATGAATTATCCAAATTCTATACCACAAATTGTTCCTCAGTGAATTAACAAAGAAAAAATTGCTAAATGGTCAAATCCATAATAAAAAAAGAAAAAAAATAAGTTCATTAGTTTGAATAGTATATATTTATTTGTATTTATCAAAAAGCTTACTGTAGATTTACATTTTAAACTTTGTGAAAACAGATAAAGAATGAAAAACTTTAATATTATTATTAATCATTAAAGACATAATATTATAGCCAAGCAATGTCACATATGAACAAATCAAATTCAAATAAAAAAGATAATATTTTGGTAAATATTATTATTCTCTTAATAATAATCAATATGAATATACAAAAGTCTTATAACAATATATTAAATTTCATTAGAAAAGGATCATTTTAATTTCATATAAAACAAATTTGTATAAATGAAGTTTAAATCTCATATTTATTATTTTTTATTTCTACTAAATATCAAAAAATAAATTCATAAAGCTATGATCTACAAAACTTGATTAAAATAAGCAAAACCAATTTGTGTTTAGAGTGCTAATTACTTTTTATAAATAAGAATTAAGTTAGATATTGGAATATTATTGAATATTAGATTATTATTTAAATATTTTAGATGAATTCCAATCAAGAAGTAATTGATTAATTTGATTATTATTATAAATAATGAATGACATATTACCAGCTCCAAGTCTTGTTAAATATAGTAATCCAATTCTCATATCAAACAGTTAAAAGAAATAAGTCAAATAATCACCCCCTAGTAATACTGAGGACATTTTGAATGCAATTCTACTTCCCAGAGAATTTAATCATCAGAAAAATTAATTACAAATTTAATGTGTTTCTCCTGCACCTTCAACTAAATAAGATGTGCTAGAATTATAAGATAAATTAGATAAATGGTTATCATAAAGACTTGCAAGAGAGACTGGTTTATGTCCAATTAGGGAGGAGTTATATTCATAATGTTTTGATGAATTAATACGATAAATTACTATAAATTGTGCAGAAAGAGGAATGTTGCTAGTGACTGTACGCAATGAAGTTTAAATGGTCATATAGACATATTAAACTTTGTACGCTTCAAGTATTGCATTTGGAATGAGAAAGTTTTTATCTGAAGAAGAAAAAAAAGTATAAATATACAAAATATGTAGGCTGAATATAGATTAAGGATAAAGTAGTTAGAATAAGACTGCTCTGAACTATAAAAATAAGTAGAAAATTTAGAGTAGAGACTACTTGAAACTAAATAGTAAGATTAATTAAAAAGAGAATAAACAAAAGAAACACATCTGGAAATTATATCTTAATTAAAAACAGATATAAAAAGTAAAGTTTCTGGAGATCTAGAAAAAATACTTACTGGATAAAAAAAATTGCCTGATAAAAAATGACAATATATATAATTTGATCATTTTAAGTTAAGGGTCTATTTGGCTATTTTAGTCTTAATTTTTCTGGGAATCTATAAATTAAACCAATATTTTAAGTTTAAATAAGAAACCATGTTTAGAGAGTATTTAATTAGAAAATTGTTTATTTCTATTATTTTTCTATTTAAATAGATTTTAGAAAACTGAATATATGATGATATATGAATTATTTTTATATGATCTAGAATTGAATATATTTTTAATTTATTATTTAATTCCATAATTCAATTTTAAAGAATTTAAATCATCCAATGAGTGGGTCGACTCTTTTATTTAAGAACTTTTAATAGACAAAATACCCACCAACTCCAAGTAAAGCTAAACCAAAAATTACGATTAATGTTATCCACCACCAATTAGAGCTTTATAATATGAAATAAATTTTACCTTGATTTATCATCAGGTTTAGGAGGGTTAGGAGATCCATTAATAGATAAATAAGCTTGTCCTATAGTTTCAGTAAAATCATTTAAGAGTTAAAGAGTTATTGGAACTTCATCATCTAAATTTGTTGAATTTTTTAGAATTAATTATGGATCTGCTCTTAATTCATATTTTTCAATTAAATATTCTTCAGATTTGGAATCATAATTTATGTTTACATATACATTAGGCTAGAATATAAAAAATATAAATTACATAACTAGCTCCAGAATCTTTTATTAATAATAAAGCAAAATCAATAGGCAAAACTTTTTAGTAATTTGCACCAATATAATGATTAAATTTAATTGATTTAGCAGTTGCTGGTCTATCAGAAGGAAGGTCATAAATTCCAATAACAACATTAGTTTCATCAGTATAAGGAATAGCAACATGTCCATCAACATAAGCAAGTTTATCTATAGCTCGCCATGTTCCATATGGAGTTAAAATATATAATAATTTTGTATTTGTTTTAATAATTGAAATAGAAGTTGTTGGTTTAGATGCATCTAAATCAAAAGCAATAACATAATGGGCAGTATTGCTTGTTGTTACTAAAATATTAAGTTAAAGAGTGGTTCCAGATACTTAAGTTGAAATGACTCTTACTTAATAAAACTTAGTGTCTTCATTCATATAGAATTAATTATCCTAAACAGATTGGAGTTTAAACTATTCAGAAGTTGTTTTTGAAAAAGCTCCAGTAGCATCATATGCAAAATGAGAAAAGTATAGACCATTATTAATATCTGTAAAAACGATAGTATTATAAGTTACACTATTGATTGAATATTTTGCAATATCAAAATCACCAATTTACAAAAATTTACTTCCAACATATTAATCATTGATAAGATATTTATTTGAAATAGCAAAGTTCTTTTCATCAGAAGTAAATGTTCCTACAACTATCATATTATCAATAGAACTAAAATTTTCAGGATCTGTATTCAAAATAATGATATTCTTTTTATCTGCCATTTAAATTTTAGAGATCTTTTGAATGCCACCAATGACTTAACTTCCTTATCTAAATTATTGACATGATTGTTATTAGCAAATACTAACAAAGATACCAACTTCATTTTTAGTGTTATGCCAACTTGAGAATATAAAGTTTTAATCATCTGATACAGTAATTAATTCACAATTTTCTGTTGCCAATTTCATATCGAATCTTGATAAAAATTTGCCTTTTTTATCTTAAAATATCAAAGAATTTCTAGTTTAATATACTTATCCAATAGATCCAAATGCAACTCCATCAGAAATATCATATTTCATATCAGTTCCATCTGCCACCATTTAAATATTAGGTCTAATAGTTAAATTTGGTCCACATTTTTAACATATAACATGGAAACTTGTAACTTATCCTAAATACCAATCAGTTCCCATATCAATGACCTATTCAGCTTACTGTTTCACAAATTTAAACACTTTTTATTTGTTATCAAATTATGATTATTTTATAGTCACAGTACTTTGAGAATTAAGTATTTTCATATTATTTTAAAATCTATATGGAGAATTTCCTGGGAAATTAGTAATTTCAACTCCTGCAATAGTATCTGTAACAAATTGTGTTGAATCCAAAATTGGAGTTGCATACAATTCAGCATCAGCCAATATACTTACAAATCTATGTATTGTATTATTGTTAAAGTATGCAAACATTTATTTGCTTCCATCAACAGCCATATCAAATGTCTTACCATCTAAATCTAATGCCTTAGTTTCTAATACTTTATGAAGACAAATATGTGAGACAACTCCAGGTTCATAAACCAAGATTACAGTTTATTTTGAATCACTTGCTCTTAAAAATAGCCAACCTGTTTAAGATGAATAGTCCACAGTTAAAGGTTTTTACAATTTATAATTATATAAAGGCAAGACTTTTGTTCTATATATTCTTTAGATATGTTTATAATTGTATTCTTCAATAAGATCTAAATCATCTTATTTTTAAACTATGAAAAAGTTTTCTGGTCCTATGGCAACTTCAACTTAAGCTCCAGGAAGAATAGAAATTTCTTTTTATAAAATAAATGATGAAATTTTATCATTTGAAAATGTTCCAACAAATAATGTAGTTGCAGTTTAAATAAAAATTAAAGAGGATTTAGCTTTTTTATTTGCAAATACTCTTAATGGAGTAAAATTACCTTTCACATTAAATTATGCTAATTTACTATCAGTTATCTCATAGATCAATTAGAAAGGCATATATTTAGAATATATTTACACTTTTTTTAATTTAGATTAAACTACATAGATTTCATCTTCTAAAAATGTTACTGAATCAATTTTATTATCTGGTGAACCACTATCTACTTCTATTGTACCAACATGTTAAACATTTCCACCAGCACTTGCATATATTTAAATTGTATAATCAGTATCTTAATACATATATGTGATATATAGAGTATAGATCCACCATTAAAATGAGTGTTTAGTTTTATCTATTAAATGATCTAATTAAAATTTATCATAATTCTTGCAGTCAGCTTATTCATGATTAGTTAATTTATGTATGCATTTATAAACAAATATCTCTTTAGATGGAATTTAGAGTAATAAATAAAATACTCCTGAATTTTCATTAACCAATACATCTGAATATTCAACATCTTTAGCATCTGGTAAAGTAATACCATTTAATTATAAATTCCATGCAGATTTAATTGTTATTATTACTTTGTTATTGCCTCTTGAGTTATCAAGTGTATCTAAAGACATATATTGTAGATTTGGCCCTGATGCTATTAAATCAATGGCAATAGGAGGAGATGGTATTGTTAAAGTTGCTGGAAGAGGATGATTACTTTATTATCTAATAGAAGTGTCATTAGATTTCAAAACTTATACATTAAGAAGAACTTCACATTGTTAAGACTAATTATCTAAAGAAATGGCTCTTAATGTATAAGGTTTTAATCCATCATTAGTACTATCTAGATACTTTAAACGAAGTAAACCATTACTAATTAAGAATCTATGAGCAGAATTCTCATTTACTCCTACCAAATCTGGTTCATAAGGATTGATTATTACTTAATCAAACAAGTTTTATGTAAATGTATAAAGTTTAGATCCTGTACTTGCATGATAAATATAAAGGTATGTATCAATCCTCAAAACCAAGTATTATTAACTCATTTACACCTATAAATTTTTGTATGAAGTAACATTTGGAGTCTTAATTGAAAACTTTTATAAATCATTTTCATAAAAGTTAACTGAATTTTCGAACACCAAAACTAAATGGTTGGTAACATTTCCTTCCTCACCTTATAAATAATTAAAATCAAATCCAAAACATGGTGTTAGATATGGTGGTTTTATATGAGTCCTAAGTTTCCATTCTAGATTGGCTGATTCGAAATACAAAACGTAAACACCATTAAATGCATCTAATACATATATATCTCCATTAGGTTCTAATTAGAAATCAATTAAATAAAATTTTTATGTTTCTTCAGAAGTTCCTAATAAATTTGCTAATACTTTTTTAGTCAATACAGCTACAGGAGCTGGATTTGATAATTGAAATTTATTATCAAATCTGTAAACTTCCAATTCACAATCATCATCTAATTTATTTTACACCAAATCTGCATGCTCAGTAGCCCATGCAGGTTCTCCTCTAAATAATAAAGCTTATCTATCACGATTTGAATAAGTATAATTGTGGAAAAAAATTCTTCGAAATTCTGTATAATTGTAATTATATCCTTAAGGATGTTCATTTGGAAATAGAGCATATTGATCTGGACTAGCAATATCTACTACTATAAATCCATTTGTATAGCCTTTTTTCTAATCATCCCGATCTTGTTAATAGCAATCTACTATTATCTTAGTATTAGTCAAGAAATCTAAATCAAAACATACGAAATTCTATGTTTAATTTCTGGCATTAATTTAACCACTAAATGCAGGAACTCTATCCATTTTTTATGGATCACTATGATTAAATAATTTAAGAAATATACCCATAAGAATAAAATACATCAACATCTGACTTATTTTACTCTAAGAAAATAAAGTCATTCAACCATGCTCCATTTTCAAATGATCTGTAAGCTTTGAGACTTCTGATAATTCCAATTGAAGCTAAATATCAATTATAATAATTACGATCTCTATGACTTATAGAATCTCCTATTTCAGCAAAAGGATCAATTGTCTCAAAATAAGGACAATCCTCTGTAACTTTAAATTTTAGATTATCTCCTGTGAAAAAGTACTTTCGCATATCCCATTCCTAAGTTTCATTTACAGTAGCATATACATTGTATTACTATTGAATAGTATCTAATTAATTACAATATATATATACCACAAACATCTGCTATTGAAGTAAATACTAATATATTCAGCAACATCAAAAATTTCATCATCTCGTAAAGAAATCTTAATTAATTAAATAAAAACTCAAATTTTCTATAAATTTCATTTTATATCTAATAAAAATATATTCATAGAATGGATAGAATGGATAGAATGACGTAAAATACAAGAATTTTAATATAAATTTAAACCAATAACAAAGTGCTGCCATTTAAGAATCCTAATTTTCTTAAACATACTTAAACTTTATTTTCTTAAATGATGTAAAATAATAAGAATATTCTTTTATAAATATCTCAATCAAGGTGTTTCTGATGCCATAGTTGAATTACTTCTTACCTAATTTGATATCCATTTAATCTTTAAAAAAATTTTTTCGCTTTACGTAATTTTATTTTTTATAACTAGATTTCAAGTTTTAATACAGAGGCTTATTATTTCTTTTATAAACTTTCTGTAAGCTATAATTTAAAAATAATTGGTTTTCCAAAATGTTATTATTAATGAAATAACTAAAACATATATCTTTATATAATTACTTGAAATATTTAAGGAGAATCATCTAATCTTTTAGGAGCTATCAATTTAATACCTAATGTGCAAAGTTCATTTATTGGAATGTCAATGTTAAACTAATTTATTTAATATTGATACAAACAGTTTTTAGTGTAAAAATTAACCTTCTATGCACTTTAAATATACATCTTCTTTCAACCATTTCACATTGCTAGTATTTCTTAAACAAACACTCCACAAAAATTATTTTCCTGGTATTACAAATACTGTAGATGGACTATGTTCAATTTTCATTTTAAAAATAGGTTATATTTCTTATTTTATCAAGCCAAAGAATTCTAGCCTTTAGTCTACTAATTCAATGATCAACTTTTCAATATTGGATTGTTAAATCTATTAATTAGATTTTGTATTTATATCATTAAAATTCTAATGTATATCCTGTAATTATTCTAAAATTATTAAACAATTTACTATCCCCATTATTGTACTGGGCTATGATACTCTAATTAAGTGCTTGAATTTCTTCTTATTCTAAATGGTCTTATTAGGAATTTTTTATAATGAATTTGAATTTTAAATGTCCATATAATTATTTTAACTAGTTAAAATGATCTTCATTATTGATTTTAAATGGAGTTTATTCTAATTTACTTAAAAATAAAAACTTGGAAGAACTTAAGTGTATATCTCAAAATTTTTCCTTAATTTTGGATAAAGACATTTGATATTTTCTTTGATTTAATTAAAGTTATTGAGTGAGGCGGGAAGCAAATGTATTTTGTTTTCAAAGACAACTTTAATATTCATATTTATAAATATTTCTTTTATAAATAGTTTCATTATTAATTATTAAGATTAATTACCATAATTTCTATATTATACAAGATGATAAATTTATATAATTTAATTAAACCAAATTATAAGTCTAAAAGAAGAGAAAAAATAGTATATCATGTTATCTTAATAATGATCTACAAATTCTGAATTTATCAATAAATTTAATATTAAAATAATATAAATGGAATGGTTAAAATTTAAATTAAATAACTAGATGAATATATTTAATATATCACTACTAGTTCATTAATGATACTTTTGCACTTGAAGATACATTTGTAGTCTTCTTAAAGAACTTTATATAAACAAAAAAGGCTCCACCTAATATAGCAATACCACCTATAATTCCCAATAATATCCAAAGCCAGAGCAGGGAACTAAAATGAAATAATTAAAGAATACCTTCCACTATTATCATCATCAGGAGGAGGAGGAGGAGTATTGTTGTTAATTATTTCAAAAGCTCCTAATGCAGAACTGTAATCATTTTCAATTTATAATTCTACAATTTAAGATAGAACCTTATCTCCTGAAACTATTTTAATCTTAGGCACATCATGTATGGTATATTTCTTGACTACATAATTATTAGTTTTGCTATCTTCTTCAATGTTTGTATAACATGAGGGCTTTATATATATAAAACATATTAATTACTTCAATTTAATTAGAAGGTTTTTAAATAACGAGAGCAAATTAAGTATTAGAAGCAATATGCTTAACAATTTCTGCTCCAGTGATTGTTAACATTTTAGCTTTTGTATCAGCACCTAAGGCTGTTAGTTCTGGTAATTAATACATGCTTATCATTAAATGAGATGAATTATAGTATGGAACAGCAGCATGTTTTAATCCTATAACCAATTTATTCAAAGTTTGCATAGTTCCATATTGATTCAATAAAAATGGAACATTTGCATCTTTTATTGGTGAACCCTTATTAAGAGGATCACTAATATCAAATGAAAATGTTATAGCATATTAAGCAACATTATTAGTTGTAACAATCACAGTTACATCTAATGTATTTGAATTTGTAACACTTTTATATGTTCTTATTTAGAAGAAATTAGTATTATCTTTGATTGCATAATCTTTGTTCAAAAATTAAGCTAGATTATAAATTTACTTATGATTATCTTTTAATAAACCACCATCATTGTACATTTATACAAAATAGGTAGAACCTATAGCTGTTTAAATCATAATTTTTTAATAAAATGTATTTCCTTATTAAAATTAAACAACATCAAAATCAGTGATATAGTAATCATTAATAGATGGTAGACTGAAGTATTTTTCATCAAATACTTTTTCATTCTTAACACTCCACTTTTAATCTAAAGTTAATTAATAAACATGAAGAACTCCTTTATTAGAAAGAGGATGATCTGGATCTGCATCCAAAATGTATAGGTATGAATTAGAATATAAAATTTTAGAAACTATATTAAACTTTCCTATATTTGGAGAATCAGATTAAATAGGTGTACATGTTGATTTGGAAATATCACAATTAGCTATATATAGTAATGTATCAGCATTGTTAATACAAGTTACAAATACATACTCATTGTAAGTTGATAATTAAGTGCAATGAGTTCCAGGTTCTATTTTATGTACAAATTTAACAGTATCATCATCACTATTTTAAAATATTAATGATTTAGGATCTGCTAAATAAACAACAGTATCTTTAAATGTAGCACCAGTAATTATTTCATAATTAGCAAATTAAGTTCCTTCACTACTTTGAGTAAGGGGATTGATGATACTTATAAGTTTACCATCGCATTATTTGCAAATGATCTTAAATTTTGTAACATGACCAAAATATAGTCCATCATTAGTGAAATTCAAATATTAAGTATTTGAAGTAGAATCAAAATGAAAAGTTGTTTTGGCCAAAAGAGTAGTATTAATTCTAACAATAGATTGAGTGTTAATAAATTTAACTGGATATATAACACTTGTACTAGAATTAGATAATGTATTAGAAATACTTACAGCTGTTTTTAAAGATGTTGTATAAGCATCACTTAATTTAGTAGGTATTAATTCCATCAATGAATCTTTTAAAAATACAACAACTCTTTATGTTTTCAAATCATTAAAATAAACAAACATTTAATCTTATCCAGAAGCAGCAGTTTCTAACAATTATCCATCAGGAATTAATTCATGTGTTTTTAATACTTTATGTAAAGAATTTCTATATAAGATATTAGATTCATATATTAAAATTACAGTCTCTTTCTCAATTGTATCCAAGGCTCTCACAAATAGGAATCCTGTTTCAAATACGTAATCTATTGTAAGTGGAGATTATAAAGCAAATCTTCCATACAAAGGCAAAGATTTCATTGGATAAATATCGTTTAAGTTTTCATAGTTGTATTCTTTAATAGAATCTTTCTTTCCCTTAGAAATTATATAGAAGGTCTTTTAACCAACTGCAACTTCAACTTCAGCATCAGTTTCTATAGCAATAACTGTTATTAACACAAAATGAGTTCTTAATTCACCCATTATGACACAATCATCAGTCAAAATAAATATAAATTCACTATTAGTAAATGAATTTCCAAATACTCTTTTTGGAGTCCAAGAACACCCTGTTTCATATTCATCAATCAGATTGGAATAAATTGAATATTTAATTAGAGTTGGATTAACTGCAAATATAACGTCTACTTCTTTTTAAGCATATTAAACAACATAAATATTCTATTTTAATGCTGTGAATGAAGTAATTTTAAATTCTGGTGAAGCCTCATAAGTAATATTCCCTATTTTTTAATGATCACCATCATATGAACTATAAAATAGAATTTCATAATCATTAACTTAAAATTAGAATGTCACTACCTCTTATTCAAATGTTTTCCAATCAAATTATGAGTTTGTCCTACTTAATTGTACAGGTAAATCAAATTAATCTTATTTCTCACAGTTACTATGATTATCTCTAAAACTATATGATTAACAATCCCAAATAAAAACAGTTTTATTTTTATGTTATAAAAATAGATAATATTTGTTATTATTATGATGATGAGGATCAACTAAAATATCTGCATATGCAACATCTTTAGCATCAAAAAGAGTAACATTCCTAAGTTCTAATTCCCATAGAAAATGCACTAAAACTTCAACATGGTCCTAACTAACATCTGGAGTAATATATTTAAGATTTGGTCCAGATGCTAGATCTTAAAGTAAAAATGGTTCAGCTGGATATGTAATCATGTTAGGAAAAGGATCATGACCTAATTCATAAATATTAGTATCATCAACAGGTAAAACTTAGTAATTAATTTTACAACTGCATGTTTTAGTGCCATCAGTTCCATATAAAGTTATAGTTGATTTTTCTATTTATACTGAATTTTCTGATGCCAAATATCCATCACTCAATTCATATCTTCTGGTTAAAGTGTTAGATACAACAATAACATCAGGAGCATATGGATTTACTAAAATAGTAGAGGATATCAAAATTTCTGAATGAAGTAAAAATGGCATAAATATATTATAAAGGTATAATCTTTATGAATGTACTACAACCACATATTTATCACTGAATGAGACTGTAACAGGAAAAGATGCTTTGAATGGTAAATTATATCCATTCTTTTAAACTGATGCTACAGTGATTAACAAATTAGATTCATATAAAACAGCTAGAGCTAATTCATAATAGCCATCCTCATTCAACATCTCAACAACATCAAATCCATAAGCTTTTTAATTAAGAGTCTAGATTGTTTTAACATAAACCCATTGTCCTTCTTCTGTCACTCTATATAAATATATTCCCCAATCAGCATCCAAAATATAAACATCTCCATTAGGCTACACTTTGAAATCTATTAAAGTAAAATTAACAGTTTGTTTAGTATCTTCACTAATTTTTGTTTTATCTAAAACACTAGTGTCTTTCAAAGTTCCGTTATCTAATCTAATTAATAAATCTATCGAGCAATCGTTATCTAATACTGTAGTATTACCTGTTTCAGAATTAAAGGCTTATTAACCTCTAAGTAAGATTCTAATTGGACTAGGAGGTTATGGACGATCAACTCCAATCTCTTCTGCTGTTCCTTTTTTATAATAAACATGATATTATATTTTTCTTCCTTTCACTTATTTGTATTATTTATGATTAGCTACTTCTTGTCTTTTTTCAGCTGCAACATCAGGTGAATCTGTTTTCTCCACAAAATATATAAAATTTTTCATTGGTTATGTAGGAGGATTTTCATTCTTTTCAGCGCAATCTACTATCCATAAGTCAGGATTGATGTATTCAATATCAAAACAATCTATAACAGCATTGCTCTTAGTCAATACAACTTTTTAATAGAATTAAGGAGTCTTATCCATTTATAAGGCGCTTCTACATAGATTAATTCCAATTCATTACCCTACAGCATAATATATGTCGTAAATGTTTTTTTTATCATCCAATTCTAAAAATGCAAATTAGTTTGTCCAGGCTCCTGAACTTGCTATGTCGTAAGCTCTTATTGCACCTGTCTATATTAGAGCTATAATTCTAATGAATATATTGTACTTCCAAAATGAGTTTCTTCAGCCGAAATCTAATCAAAGGCAGGGTGATATCTCATAATAGTTGAATTTGGTATCAAAGTGAATTCAAGCCCATTTCCTGAAATTAATGAGTCTGCTCTCCATCTAATCTATTCACCTTTTGATGTATAATATGTAACATTCTCCTAATTAGTTACTACATTAAACAAATAATATACCACACCATTAATAAGAAGATTCAATAAGCAAAATCAAAGAGATAATTCCAAAAAGCATTTTTTATATTTATTAAGATATATTCAGAAATCAGGAAAATATCAATTGTGACATTATTCAATTAACATATATTGATATTTTGTAAGGCTGATCTATAATCTAAGATAATAGTTTGAAGGTCTTGAAATACAGAAAGTCAACAGAAATAAAGATTTCTTTCTATATAATATAAGTATAAAATAAATGATAATTTAAATTAAGTTTTCTTTAATTTTAAAAGTTAATTATTAAACGAAGATATTGTCACCTTAAAAACTTAAAACAGTTGTATCTAGAATAGAATGATTTTATGATTCATAATTAACATGCTTAGTTGAAATATTTTAATATTATTGATAATAAAAAGTTTTCACTAATTTATTTTCAATTTTTTGGTTTATATTCCATTTATACTAAAATGATAATAAATTTATCTAAGATAGAAGACTCACTAAACTAAGTAAATACCTATTTTAGACTCAAATAAATTATTATCATAAGAAATTCTATATATATATCTAATTAATTTCTCACAATTTTTTAATATGACAACAACTGTCTATGTTATTTATTAATTATTTGAATTGAAATAATACCTGCAAAGAGATAAGCATAGAAATCAAATAATTAAGTTATTTAAATTATTGGCTATTTCAATATATTAAGTAATTTCTTTTTAATTTTCTCAATTTCCTTATCAATTTTATTTTAAATAAATGTATTTGATTATTAATAGATATAATTTAAAAGTCAATATAAGAAAATTAAAAAATATCAATTGTTTTGTTTAATAAGAGATACATATATTTTTCTGATCATATCTGATTCTAATATAAATATTCGTCTATTTATTAGTAAAATTTTTGTAAATATTTAAATAATTAAAAAATGTTTAGAAAATCTGATAAGGATAGGAAAAATGAGGCAATTCAACAAGCAGTTCCAGAAGAAAAATTTAGAAAGCCAAGTCCATTAGGAGGAAATAAATGGGACGAAGAGGATTTCTTAGAATTTTATGGAGTCTAAAAAGATTAATAAATTAAACTTCACACTTACAGATGTAAAACAACACTATCAGAGTCAAAATCTGTAACTGTTTTTTTTCATGGACTTAATGAGCATCTTGGATTATATGCTCATATTGCTTAGGCTGTTAGTAAGAAGGCAAATAGTGTTGTAGTTGGATTTGATTTTAGAGGATTTGGTAAAAGTTAAGGATTAAGAGGATGGGTGGAATCTAGAGAATAATTATTAAATGATTGTTAAAGATTCATAATGCAAATTAGAACTATGTATCCAAGATTGCCTTTATTTACTCTTGGTTAGTCTATGGGTGGAATGGCATCTTATTTAATGGGATTAAATGATGTTTGTGAAGGAACTATATTGATTACACCTGCAATATTGGATAATTATTATAATCAACCATTTATGAAAAAATTGGGATTGTGTTTTGGTGCATGTTTTCCAACCTGGAATCCATTTCCACCTGTTATAGTGACAGGATCAAGAAATCCATAAATTTTAGAAGATAATTTAAAAGATCCTTATTGTGTGTAGGTAGCTGTATTACCAGGGACAGGTAGAGTACTTGTGTCTACAATGAGATCTCTTCCATAAACTTTCACATAATATAAAAAACCATTTTTAGTGATTTCAGCAGGAATGGATTAAATTGTAGATCCTGATGTGGGACATGAGCTTATGAAGTAAAGTCCTTCTCAAGATAAATAAATGATTCATTATGAGAATATGTGGCATGACTGTGTTTAAGAGGAAGAAATCATTGAAATTATACCCAAAATTGTTGATTGGATATCATAAAGATCAATTAAATGATATATAATTATTTTATTATTCATTATAATTCCAAAATTAATGTAGAAAATCAAAATTTATAGTAATTTAGATCCTTTGTTAAATAGAAATATATAGAACTCAAATTCAATTATTGTTTTTTGTTCTTCCTACATTAAGCATATCCTTAAAATGTTCATAAAAGAAAAAATATATAGCTTTAGAAGGCATTCCTTTAAGCATAGAGGCTGTAATCCCTTTATAAAACCCTCTAAAACCTTCATGTTCTAATATTTTATTGGCGATGTCAAAGTTAGATTTATATTTAGGATTTTCGGATCCTATAAATTAATTTTATATGATTCTAGTTTTAATTGTGGTCATTGGATAAGTGCAAAAGATTGCAAATCCCTTTGAAAATCCTCCAGCTATAAACGAATTGAAATCTTTATATTGTTCAAGTTTAGTTAAAAGAGATAGAGTCCATTCATAACAATTGATTTAAATCATTCCATGACATGAAGTAAATAAAGCCATTTTTAAACCACGATAAAAACCTAAAAATCCATGTTGATTATATATTTGTTGAATAGTAAATTTGACATTTTCGAAACCCTTAAAATAAGCATCATATTCTTACATTCATTTTACCAACATTTAATTGTAATCTAGTTAGAGTAACCCACAAGGGCTAGGTTATTAATTAAGCAAGAAGTGAAGCGTATATAGAGGCAATAAGTATTCCTTTTTTAGAACCATGTCCAAAATAGGAATTGCATTCTTCTTTTTTGCTTTCATAACTATACTTAGAGATGTAATTTACAATACGAAAAATAGAACTCTTGCAATGCTATTGGCACATAATGACCAAAATATTCCTTTTGTAAATCCTTTTATTCCTTCTTCCTTATATATTTATTTAATAGCATTTGATATACTTCCATATTTAGGTACTAAATTTTTGTGTGTTTGACCATCATGACCTATTTGAAGAATTCATAATAATTACTTACTTTGCATTCTTGTCTTGATTATATCAAGTGGATGAAGAAATTGTACACAAATAGTGGCTCCTTGGGATGCAATTGCAAATCTTAGATCATTTTATTTCATTTTAATAATGAGGAACATAAACTCGGAATATTAAGTTGGAAGAATGATTTCATGCGGAACATTTGGTTAAGTGTTTGAAGGCTTTCATATCTAAAAAAAAACCAAAGTTGTGATTAAAAGAGAGATCGGTAAAAGGCAAACACTGAAATAGGAGAAAAAAATTCTTAAATCCTTATAAGGTATAAATGGAGTGCCTAAATTTCATTTTTATGGTTAGCTTAACGGAGCAGACATTATTATTCTTGAAAATTTAGAAAGTGATTTATCTGTTTTAAAGCGAGCTCATGGTAAATTATCTTTAAAAACTATTTTACAAATTGCCCTATAATCAATAGGGATTCTTAAGGAGATTCATGGTCGTAGAATCATACATAGAGATCTGAAACCAGAGAATATTATGATAGGTGGACAATATAAAGGACAGATTTATATTATTGATTATGGAATCAGTAAATTTTATATGAACAAGGGTTAACAAATTCCATTTAGAAAAGATAAATATTTTGTTGGCACAATCAAATATGCATCAATATCTTCTCATTTAGGGCATGAACAATCTCCAAAAGATGATATTGAATCATTATTGTATGTGTTAGTGTAATTATTTCATGGAGAATTGCCATGGGAAGCTTACCAAAATGTAGAAGTGACTGGAAGACTTAAATAATAAATAACAGATTCTCAATTATTTAAAGGATTGCCATAATAATTTAATTAAATATATTTGTAATGCGATATTAATATTTATAGGTACATAAGAAAATTACCTTACCATTAAATTCCAAATTATGACAATATTATGAAAGTTCTTCTAAGCATAGCTACAGAAATGGACATTAAAATTGATGAACAATTTGAATGGAATAAATTTGATGCACAACTATTAGAAACATTTAATATTCTTAAATCTTAAATAGTTTCTACAGCTCCATGGATAAATGATAGTTAAGTCAATTATGAATCAGAGGAAGAAGAAGAAGAAGAGACATTAGAATAGAAATTGTCTAAAATCAATATATTATTAGAGTTTGATAATCCTTTAATATGAACTTTTTATTATTTATCAAAAATCAAATGGTTTCCATCCATGAACTTCCCATTAATTCCAATACCATAAATTTAATACAATTACAAATCCAAGATTAAATCCTGTATGTCCCAAAATAGCTGTTAATACACCAGAGTCACGAATAAATGAAAATTTTCTACTGAAAATTACGAAAGGTATAGCACAGAATATGGCATAAATGAATTTACTATATAATTATATTATATGAAATTACCTTGTAACAACTGCAAAAATGAATACATATAATAATCCATAATGAATAGCAACTATCCAGATAATCCATTCTTTAGGATTAGAGTATGTTAATCCTCCTGATAAACCACTCTATAAGAATACTCTCCAAAAGAATTCTTCTAAAAATGGATCTAAAAAAAGCATTAACACTGAAATCTAACCATATATATAATCTCTACCACAATAATTTCAGTATTTGCCATATAAAAGAAATTGATTCTATGAAATGACCAGAAGGGAACATAACTGAGTGAAATGAAGAATGCCAAAAAGGAAATTGTTAAACAAACAGCAAACCAAACCAGACCCTTATTTATTTACTCGCTCTTTTCTATAGCAATATTAGCAAAGCTAGATGATAATCTGGTAACATGAGTAGAGACCTTATCAAGACTAATTGATAATTTAAATAAATTACTATAATAACAATCCTGGTACAATTAGATAACAGAATAGTAAAATCGTTAATAAAGCTATCATAGGATACCCGTATTTCCAAAATAGCACACCAGTTACAACTGATGGTAACAACATTGAAACCTCTAAATAAATAAATTTCCATGGAGGTAAGTCACCTGTGGCGTCCATTATTTAATTTTATTATCAACTTATCAATTAATTATTTTTCTAAGAAGATTTAATCAACAGATTATTCTAATCACAAAATATTTGAAATTTCAATTATCATCCTTTATTAAATATATATATATATAGCAATTATCTTCTTTTACTTCTATTTAAGATCAATATAATTAAATCGTGAATTCATGAAAATTTAATAAGTTTATAACATTATCAAAATATAAAGAAGGATTTAAATACAATGAATTTCAGACTAATATATAAGTTATAATTATTGTTCTAAATTGTACTAAGCTATTTATAATTATAAATAATAATACGATAAAATAATTAAAATATAGACAAAAATCTAAATGTTTGAAATATCAAATTGTATTTCATTGAAAAGAGAACATCTAAGAGTTTCAATTAGAAGATAAAAAAATGAAGAGATTTTTTCTAAAAGTAGGAAGATTATTTAAACTGATAATACAGCATTAATGAATTATTTAATTTCAAGAAATGAAGATGATGTTATCTTCAATCTTAAAGAATTTATTGAAAATAGAAGTTAAAATATTTATGAATCACAATAAATTTTGAAGTGGTTGTTAGAATATGAAAAATTGAATTAATCAACTTAAGCACAACAACTAACATTATTTTTTTTGCATTAAGTTTCACTCAATATAGAAGTAAATTTTTACTTAAAAATCAGGTAAAATATATTAAATTAGCAGCTTCACTATTGAAGTAAATATGCTTTTAAGATGAGGATGCTCTAAATTTAACTACTAAACTTAGTCACAAATCAACAATGCGTTCATAAATTTTGTACAATTTATTTTAACAGTAGTATTAATGAATTATCAAATGAAGATTTTATTATTGATCTTATGGGTAGCCAACTCAATACTCTAGAACTAATTTGTAACATTATGGCTGATGAATAATTCATTTATCTAATGTTTAATAAACACCCTTATTTTTTGGACTATTTTATAGCAAAATTACATGATTTAAGATCTTGTTAATTGGCTATAGACTTATTTTATGATATGGCTAATTCAGAAAAACTTTGTCCAATAATCTCAAATAAACATGTGATTCATGATTTAATATTATTAATCCCTTCACAAAGAATACTAGAAATTTTAATATTAATCCATTAACATTCATATAATGCTGAATTATTAGAAGAGATTAATCTTATTAAATATTATATTGAACTTCTGGATTCAAAAATGTTTTTAGAAGAAGTTTTATTTTTAATAAACTTTATGTTAGACTCAAAATTAAATCAATTTCTTTTGAATTAATTATTACTTCGAAAGAAACACCTTTAAGATTTGTGTTACTGTTAGAATCATTAAGTTAATTAATTAGCAGCAAATATTGTGGATAAATACTTATGATTTATAATGTTATTAAATTTATCATGAAAAGAATAGTTAATTTGATCGTTTTTTAGGTTAAGATGAAAATGCTCTAAGTTCTGTTTTTAAAGTTTTTATTTCATTAGATAATTCAGAATACATTTTATTCCAAATAGTTCTTTATTATTTTAAATCTTATTGAGTCTAAAAATACATAATAATTATATAAATACTTATTATCTAAGTTACTTTTCCTAAACTAACTATTCTTATAATACATTTATAGTAGATTCTCTGTCTTTTATTTATTTTTCAAGAGTCTCAATTTTTTAATAATTATTATTATTATTCCAATTTTCTTTATCTTGAAAGAATAGAGATCTATCCTATTTTTCCTTTTGGAGTCCCTCAATTTTTCCTCGAAGAGATTAAATATCTTGAATATAGTCTGTTGAAATTTAACTCAATTAATTATGGGTCTGAGAAATTGAAGGTCGGCATCTATAGGATCTATTAGTTTCATTAAAATCAAGTCTAGGAGGTTTTGCATTTGTACTGACAATAAATTCAGCTGAAATACCCAACTAAATATTTTTAATCTAATTTAATGCTTTGATTCTTTCTACTTCCAATTTATTTAGATTTTTTGTTTTCTATTATTTTTTAAAGTTTTCCAATTGTTTTTTCTTGTAAAGCAATTACTTCTGCTAATTGTTTGACCTTTTTAGACATAATTGACTGTTAATTTCAAATTTAATAAATAATTAATGAACTTTGAATTTAATGATGTGTTTAGAGTAAATATTAATGAATATTGCAAAATACACAAAAAAAAAATATAGTTATTTTGTGCAGATAAAAATTGTATCTCTTATGAACTTATAAATGTTTTGAATATTTAACAACTCAAGTTAAAAATTGCAATTCATAATTTTTTAAATATAAAGAATAAATTTAATCCAATAGAATTTATAATAATTAGAATATTTTATAGTACTTAATAAAATTAGATATCAAATAAGAGATAAAGTTAAAGATGAAACTAATTTAAAACAATGATTAAGAACAAACTATTTTATATTATGTTTTGTTAAGAATAATGTGTAGATCAAAATATTGATAATGATTTACTTTAATAATATTGAGTTTGGAAATTAAAAATTGAATAAATTATTTGATAACTTAAATGATGTGAACAAATAATTCTTAGATTAACAATTTATTATATATTAATACTTAAATTATAAAATGAATGGTATTAAAGAATTAGAATAGACAGATTAATTTATCAATTAATTAAGTCTTGAATTTTAATATATTTATGTTTATACTTTAGGATTTCAGATAATTGGGATGGATTTCAAAATATAATTCCAAAATTTATTTAATTAAAAATAGTATTCATTAATGCACATCATTCTCCAAATATGTACATTACAATTAGATGAGATTTTTTAATCAACATAATTCTTACCAGATTTAGAATAAATAAATAGAATAGAAAGCAAATGAATAAATACTTCTTTAGATATTACCTATAATCAACACAACAAACATAAAAGAATTTTGTATATCCCTTAATTGGAATCAGATTTTTCAAAATAAGTCCATAAATTATAATTTTTTTTTATTGAACTATTATATTGTATTCCAAGAATCCTAATATAAATCTAAGTTGAAAATTAATAGAATAACTTTATATGATTACTAAATATCAATCTTAAGGAATCTGAATTTATAGATTTTTCTTTTTGATTCCAACAGATAACTTATATCCATTCTAATTTCCTTAGTTTACTTTTTCATTATTATTTGGAGAATATGATTATTATTAATTTATGATTTCTCTCTCTAACTTATCCATATCATCATAATATATTTTCCCATTTTTTTTTGTTTAACCTTCTTAATCCTATTAATCTATTGGATGAGTTTTTGTAAATGAGCTTGATTAATTTTATAATTAAGGTTAAGTATTAATATTATCACCTCGACAATCAAGCTTTCTGTCACAAGAATTCACATATTATTATAGTTTATGTATCTCTTCCTCAAGCTTTTTACTTTTATTTTTTCTTCTAAATCTTTGTAAAATTAAAAAAGCAATCATTGCTGCCAAAAGAAACACTAGAATGCATACTATTATCCATATTTCTGTTTCAAATGAATCATCGCCCATTATAATAGCAAGGTTAAAAATTAGACAATATAATTAATATCAATTTTATTGTTTAAAAAAAAAGAAAATAGAATGTATTAGTTGGAATTTTAATAATAATGATATCTTTTGAGTGATACTTTTATAAATAATATATAATTCTTGCAGCTCAAAAGATATGAAATATATTATTTTAAGAATAATAATTAAAAATTAAAGCATTTGAAATAAACATATTTTTAAAAGGATTATCTATAAAATTCAATTCTATAATACTAATATATTAAGAATTCTGTATTTTATTTATTATAAAATACTTTAAAAATTTATTTTAATTCTCAAACAAAGATCTTTATAGTTCCATCTAAAAAACCAACAATTAAAGTATTTTTATTTTTTTAAACACCAGCAGTACTGATACGTGATTAAAACTCAATTTATTATATAATTTTGAGCTCTTCATTATCTAATTTCCATAATTTTATTTATTTTGAGAATCCAAATTCTATAAATAAGTTACCTTCATCCAAAAATTAAATTTGAGATAATACACAACCTTATTCTTTAGACTTTCCTAATTACTTTAAACCATCTTCTTCCTAATCCAAAATAGATTACATATATTTCCTATTTGATCCAAGTATCAAAATTCTATCATATGAACCGAAAATAGAAAAAATAGGAATTTTATTTACTATTTTTTTAATAAATTCATATCGATTCAAATTTTGATTTAATTTGAAATACTCTAAATAATTAGCACCTAAATATGAAAAAAATAATGAAGACTCAATAAATATAATATTGAGCCATACTTCCTTATTGGCATCATAAATTTATTAGAATTATTTAAAGATTCCTTTGTAGTTGTGGTAAATAGTTAAAGAACCATCAGATTTAGAGCCTAATTTAACATAATTAGTTACATGCAAAATGATTTTATTATTGATTAATATTGCTAATTCCAGTAAAGTTGATTGATGATTCAATATATTATCTTTTCAAAATTTTCCAATTTCTCGTTTCAATTTTGTGTATTATGAGTAATCCAAATTGCCAACATGTTATAATTGTACTAATATCTTCACATATTCTTATTCCTAATATGCATTCACAACGACAAAAAATAATTAACTTTGTACATCTTTTTCTTAGATCATATATTTTCAAATTATGATAATCTCCTATTGCATAAAAATATCTCCCTTATTAATCAATATATATAGCATTTATGCCTTTGCATTATTAAAAAATATTAATGTTATGTATTTCTTTAAATTGGAATTCTTGCTGAGAAAGTCTATTCATCCTTACTTAATTTATAATCAATTAATAAAACTAACTATTAAATCATAAAAAACATTAAGTAATTAAATTTATATCTTTAATTTCAAAATAAATTGATTATAAAGATTGACGCCCATCTAAGTTAATAATCCTAGTTAAAAAAATATGTATATAACCGATAATTAAATTCAATTATAATTTTTTATTTTTTTTATTCTCTTAATTATTACAAATAAAGTAAATAGATTTAGAGATATTCATTTATTTAAATACAATTCAAATTATTGAAATATTAATCTAGGCATTAATTATGTAACCTTTTTCAATGTTAAATAATTAAGTAGAAAAACCAATAATAAATTATATCATAGTAGAAATCATTAGAGATATGTATTTTAATGAAAAAACTTGAAAATTATGTAATCATTATAAGAAACAAAAAATGAACTACTTTTTCATGTTAGCTACCTGTGAAATTGAAATTATTTAATACTGTTTAAGGAAAATGAAAATTATTCATTTATTAATTATCGTTTTTATGGTTTCAAAATTTTAGAAATTATGATTATTTTTCTTAATAAAATATTCCACTTAAAATTGAAGAACTTTATTTAATTTAGAAATAATTTATAAAAATGAATATAAATTAACATATTGAATATTAGTACTAATATATAAATATATCATATTAGAATTAATGAGTGAATTAATTTAAATAAATGCAGGGTTTAATTCAAATGAGATTTGTCTGAAATATTTAGAAAAACTAATAAAAGATCATCATTTATCACAATAAAATATGAACAATAGAGAAAATAATGAATAATTTTATGAGAGAATATCAACTTGTTTTGAGGAACATGAGAAATATAGAAGTTTTAGAGGAGTGTTTTTAGATGAATAACAATGTAAGATTGAATATAAATTTAACAGCTTTGGATTAAATAATGTCGATATAAGAATAAGAGTTTATAGATCCTAATTATATAATAGGTAAAAATGTTTATTTAAATGGTACTTATTATCATGGAAGAAATATTTTTGGTCAAGTATATTAATAAGAATTTGAAGATAAGTTGAGATAAATACATGAAAACTCAGATAATTTATTTGGTTTCAATATTATTCATTCACTATCTGATAAATTTAGTGGAATATCTATGTAGGCTATTTAATCTTTAGATAAGTAATTATTTTGTAGTTCTACATCATAATTTCCAAATTTATTATGTTGCTCAGCAATTGAAATTTATAATACAATACTTTCACTTAATTAATTGATATTTAATTGCAATTATACTATGATTTATGATTACAATTCTTTAAGTAAAAGAGTTTAAGAATAATATAAATATTAAAGTTTATAAAATTGTCATGATATAGTTGCTGAAACAATATTATAAAATAATTGTTCAATGAGATTTTCTGGTTATTAAAATGGAGATTTACGAAAATTAGCTGTTAATTTAATTTCATTTCCAAGAATGCATTTTTTATCAAATGCTTTTAGTGTTATAAATAGAGATAAGATTTTGAGTGATTAGATTTATAATTTAATGGAGCCTAGAAATTAGAATTTTACATTCTAAGAAGATGCCAAAAACTTTTATAGAATGTAAGCAACTATAAGTAGAACAAATGATTTGTATTATGAAATATAAGATTCTACATCAAAAAGTTAAAATAAAACAGCTTGGGTTAAAGATAGTTTTTGTAATATTAATTGTAAAGTTTAACATTATGAATTGGGTGATACTGTTTTATATATTGGTCATCATAATTATTTTGGAATTTATTGTAGATAGTTATGTTTAAAATTTTTACAATAATGGAAAAGAAAGGCTTATTTTCATTATTTTGCATCTGAAGGAGCAGATGAATTTGATTTCATTGAAGCTGAATAAACAGTGGCAGATCTATATTCTGAATATATAACTTATGATTAAGTAGATTAGGAATCAATGGAATGATTAATATTTAATATTAAATATATTACTTATTATTAATTATAACTATGTTTGTATTTGATATATTAATAATTAAAGAATTTATATAATAAAGTTAGAAAAAGAGTATGGCTATTTATAAGATTATTTTATTGGAAAATAATATTTAACTGTTCTTATGTAAAATAATACATAATTTTATAACAATTATACTATATAAGTCTTTTCAGACGTCATTAATCAATTATTATTATCATAAGTAGTGATGCAAAAGTTAAATGAATATCAAGAATACCATTTACCTGAACAATTTGATGAAGATTAAGTGAGGGGAAGATTTCTAATGCCATCATTTTTGCCTTATAGTTTATCAAAACAAGATGTTAAACTTGAAGACAGATCCATGGTTTAGATTGATTCCTAGGCATCAATCAAAGATGATGCTCTTGGATTACAGAACATTAAGGGACATGTGAAGAATGCTTATATCAAAAAAATACATTCTCTACTTAGTGTTGAGGGGGAGAATGAAAAGATTGTCAAAAAAATATAAAAGGAGCCAAGTTCATCTAGTAAATAGTTAGAGAATGAGGATCAAAAAATGATAAGAAATAGAGAAAGTGCAAGAAATTCCAGATAAAGAAAAAAGTTATATATAAACCTATTAGAAAAGAAGGTTGAAGACTTAAATTAGGCAATCGAACAACTAAGAAAATCAACAGAATCAACTTTTCAGAGTATTCATTCTGTTTTAGAACAGAATTCTAGTATCTACGATATGATTGTTGAATAGACTTAATTGTTTGAGTAACTCAAAATAAAGGAATAAGAATTTAATGAATTGTAATAACTGCTTACAGAATCATACAAACTCAAGTTTAATGCTACAGGGACTAAGCGTAAATAATATATTAGATATTGTTTCTAAAATATTGCAAGACTCCTTTTAGATGGAAACTATGGTACATTGTTATTTGGGCAAAGCTATTTCTCAAAAACATGTAATCGTTTCTACTATAACTAATTATAGATACCATACATGATGAAGAAGAATTAACAGATTATATGAAAAATCTTAGAGATGCTACAGGAATCTGTGATGATAAAGTGTTTTTAAATTTATATGCCATTGTCAGAAGAGTCATTGATCATAAGAAAAATTTCTCTTTGTATTCAGTATTTATTAACTTAGTCTCATTAAATAAATTAAACTAAAACAAAAAGAACTAAGAATCTGTTAGTAATAAATTGATGATCAAATCGATGATATCTAATTGAATGGAAATTAATTTGCTAATCTTATTCATTAAGTAAATAAAGATCAATCAAATTAAACTCAACCCCTTGAAATTCCTCAATAAAAATAAATGATATTGAAGATGGTACCCAAATACCCCTTTGAACTTATGAACAATCCATTTTTACTCCCCAATAGTCTAATGATTGATCCACTATAAATAGACCTTCTTGCAAAAAATTTAAGATAGCCTTGAATTCTTAATTAGATATTTATTTAAACCTAATTATTATAATTATATTATTAAAATTTGTATGTATTGGTTTAAGAAATCAGAAAAAGATATTAAGAATTAAAGAATATAATAGGCTGTTTCTGAAGAGAAATATCGAATGTCTTGTCCTTTAGGAAATAGTAAATGGGATGAAGAAGGTGTAATTTAATTTACTTGTCTCCAAAGAAATACAACTATTAAGTTACACACCTATAGATGTTTCACAAAATCAAATTAAACTCCATAATCTGTGACTTTCTTTTTTCATGGATTAAATGAACATCTTGGATTATATGCTCATATAGCATAAGCACTGAGTAAACAAGCTAACAGTCTTTGTGTAGGCTTTGATTTTAGAGGATTTGGTAAGAGTGAAGGTCTTAGAGGATGGTTACAATCAAAAGAATAACATATAGATGATTGTACTAGATTTATTTAATTAATTAAACAATTGTATCCTGGAGTAAAATTGTTTGCTTTAGGATAATCATTAGGTGGATTAACATCTTATCTATTAGGAATGAATGATCTTGTAGATGGAACTATTTTAATTACACCAGCTTTAATGGACAACTATTATAATAGACCTTATTTAAAATAAATTGCTTTATTTTTAGGTCTATTAAGTCCTACCTGGACACCATTTCCAGCATCATTTCCAAATGCATCTAAGAACCCATAGATTTTGGAAGATAATATGAAGGATCCATATATCAATTGGAATTCTACCTTACCAGGTACAGCTAGAGTATTACTTAAAATGATGAGAGAAGCACCAAATACTTTTTAAAGTTATAAAAAGCCTTTCTTGATTATATCAGGAGGAATGGATTAAATAATTGATCCTGAAGTTGGACAAGAGCTAATGAAATAATGTACATCTACAGATAAAGAACTGATATATTATGAGAATATGTGGCATGATTGTATAGAGGAATAAGAAATACATGAAATAATTCCCAAAATAATTGAATGGATTAAAAAAAGATAATGATTATATTATTTGATATCTAAAATATATTTAGGAATTCCTATACTCATAGTTTATAATAGAATTATAAGATCTTACTTAATAATCTATTCAATAATGATATTAGTGATAACATAAACCTAAACGTTATGAAATCACTTAAAAATCCATTGAATAAATTTTATTATAAGTTATATAATTTATAATATTTATTAATCAAATAAATTAAAATATAAATCTATCTATTCCAATAATATAGTTAATAAATTCCTTTTTGGTTTGAAAACCAACTTAAGAAAGTGAAAAATATAAGAATCCATCAATTAATTAGTAGTTTAGTTGTATAAGTAATTAATTATTTAGAGCAATATGAATATAAGTTATTTTATTTAAAATTCTTAAAATTTTTAGATCAAGATTATAAGTCTTTAATGTATAATTATTTATTTTTTAAATAAGATAGGATTTAGATGTTGTTTTTTAAATTACTTTTATCAGAAAATAATAGGTAATTTTAATTAAAGTAAAATAATAAAGTTGATAAGTAATTATTACTTAATTGAATGGTAAACATTTGCTTAATATGTGATTTTTTCTATCCTTGTTTAGGCGGTGTAGAAATGCATATCTTTTAACTTGGATTATGTATTGAAGATTTAAGTATATTTAGGTTTAATTGAAAGAGGGCACAAAGTTATAGTAATAACACATAGATATTAAGGAAGGTCTGGAGTTCGATATATGACTAATGGATTAAAAGTTTATTATTGTCCATTCATTCCTGCCATTTAAACAGTTGTTTTATTTACTTATGTTGGTACCCTCCCAATATTTAGATAAATATTATTAAGAGAAGAAATACATGTTGTACATTCTCATGCAGCTACATCATATTTAGGTGGAGAATTATTACTTCATGCTAAATCTATGGGATTCAAAACAGTATTTACTGATCATTCTTTGTTTGCATTCAATGATGCATCATCTTTTCATGTTAATAAAATTCTAAAATACATTTTGTGTGAAATTGATCATTCAATATCTGTATCTCATGTAAGCAAAGAGAATTTATCAATGAGAGCATCTTTAGATCCTAGAAATATTTCTGTAATTCCAAATGCAGTTGATTGTAGTAGATTCACCCCAAATCCTTAAAAAAGATATCCTCTTAATACAATTAATATTGTGGTTATATGTAGAATGACATTCAGAAAAGGAGTAGATTTATTAGTGGATGTCTTATAAATAATTTGTAAATAGCATCCAGAGGTATATTTTATAATAGGTGGAGATGGACCAAAGAAAAGAATTCTTGAAGAAACCATTTAAAGATATAACTTATAAAATTAAACTGAATTAGTATATTTTATTGATAAAAATAGTTAGGAAGTGTTCCAGGTCATTAGGTGAAAGATGTACTAAATAGAGGTCATATATTCTTAAATACATCATTAACAGAAGCATTTTGTATAGCAATAGTTGAAGCTGCATCATGTGGATTATGTGTTGTTTCAACTAATGTTGGAGGTATTAGTGAAGTATTACCTAAAAATATGGTATTGTATGCAGATCCAAATCCTGAAGATATTTGTCAGAAAATAGTATAAGCAATTCCAATAGCTAAAAACTTTTAAGTCTATTAATAACATGAACTTATTAAGAAAATGTATAGTTGGGAATAGGTGGCAGAGAGAACTGAAAAAGTTTATTATAAGATACTATAAACATAAAATTAAACAATATTAAAAAGATTTAAAGATTGTTATAGCAATGGATAAATATATGGATTATATTTAATGATTCTCTTAATATTAGATTTGATTTTTTTAAGAATTTTAGATTTCCTTTAACCTCATTAAACAATTTAAAAATCAGGAATTTTCAATAAAATTTATAAGAATTAAAAAGAAAAGTTTGGGGATCATTAATTTAAAGCATAATAATAAATTTGATATCGTATTTGTCCTACTTACATATATATATATAAAAATTTCAGAATTTCAAATATATATACTATTGTGAATATATAGAAAATTAATAAAATGTTATCATATTATTTTTAATAATGATGTCATTAATTTTTTATGCTCTTCTCCCCTTAGCTTTGTCCTAAACCAATAGTGTGAATTGCTTATTTGAATAAGAGTTCGATATTGATACTTATGAGGATCTGGTTGATAAAGCAAAATTTGGAAATGGGTCTATTGATGTAATACAAACAACAAAGCAACTGTTATTATTGGACTCAGATCTCAATGTTCTCAACTCTACACTTGGTCCTAAAACTACTGGTTATTCTTGTAACAGAGTAATTGGTTATCCATTAGGAAATATCTTTTTTGTTGGTTGTCAATAGAATGGATCTGAGGCATACTTATAAGGATATTAATGTTATGGGTTGAATTGTAATCCATTTGGAAGCATAGTATATATTCCTCTTGGAGTCTAATTATTTGACAAGGCTGTAGTAGTTGGAAATACTTTTATAATGTTATAAAATGATAGAGTCTTATTCTATACAATAGTTGTACAAACTGCATCATGGTATTTAAGAACAACATCTTATATTTTTGATAAATCATACTTTAATAGAACTAATCTTTATTTAACAGATTTTGATATCAAATCATATTATATGGACTCTTAGTTAGTTTATAGAATATTGATTACAGATAGAAATGATGGTGTTCTTTGGGTAGATTCAATTTACAGAACTAATAATTTAGTTCCTTATAGTTAAGGATCAATACTTTTAAGATACACAATCACTACTCTTAGAGCAACAACGAAATTCAAGAGTGCAGCCATATTAAAAGCAAGTGAAAATTCAACTGAATTTGTTATATCAACAGACTTGGAAGATAGTTATTAGATTTTATATTAATCAAATAAGGCAATCTTAGAATCTGTATTAAATAGATACAGAGATTGGATTCCAATAGGTTATATAACTTTAAAGGGAAATGCTGTGGCTATTCCATATTAAAACACTTAAGGGACAATAATTACTCCTCTTTATAAGGTTAAATAATTCTCTGATTCAAATGAGTTGATTTAACTCTAATAAGATTATACAGATTTGCTCTTTTCTAGTTCATTAAAACACTTTTTGATTTATTTTGTAGATGCTGATTATGTTATCTACAAAAGTGACACTGATTCTTTTACAAAATGTAAGTTGGGCCAGTATAATAACATCGAATAGTGATTATTATTAAGTTGTAACACATTTAAACATAATATTTATATATTTTTTAATAACATATTAAGAATATAATGCTGAATTAAAAATTAAAGTAATATATTAGTTTATTAAAAGTTCTTTAAATGAAAAGTGAATAATAGGATTAATTGTATTGAATTGTAATTTAAATAACAGAATTTGATTTATTATAAAATGATTTTATTATCTTAATAAATAATAAAATATTAGAGCGAATACAGCCTTAAATAAATTAAATTAATATGAGTTTAGGTTTCAAATTATACAATACTACTAACGGGAATAATGAAGTAATCAATAAAAGAAGGAAGTTAAGTATTGGAAGTGAGGGAAGTGAATCAACTGGAGAGAAACTAAATGAAAGTTTTAATAGATTGAATTTAAGTGGTGGAAATCCTTCAAGTTCATTTTAACCATATGTTAAGATAGCTATTCCTCAAGTTTTACAAACAGAGAGATCTATTCCAAAATAACCATAATTAGTTATGGGGATTTAAAAATATCTCAAATTAGGAGAAGAATTAGATGTTTCAGATATTTTATCTAAGCCTTTTAATGATCTTTAACAAATACAAAATAATCTAATTTAATAAAGATTACATTTCATACCTTTTGGAATGCCAGCAAATTATGAATAATTAATGACAGAAGCCTAGTAAGTTCTCAAAACAGAAATAAGAGTTGAAGAACAAAGATAGAAAAGATTTATGGATGACTTTCTCATCGAATAGTAACTATTGAATCCAGGATAAAAATTAAGTAAAGAAGAAAGAGCTTTAAAAGTTGCTGCATATAGAGAAAAGAAACAAAATAAATAATGGAATTAAGTGAGGTAATTCTATTGATATATATATATATAGATATCCTGTAAGAAAGAATCTTGCTGAATATCGGTAAAGAGAATAAGGAAGATTCACAAAAACAGATAAACCACGTTTTAATTAAAGTTTGATAATGTTGGATAAAGAAGAAAGAAAAATGGAAACATTAACTAATTCATATTCTTGATTGTTAATTAATATTCTTATATTATTATTTTTGATTATGAGTGACTAAGAAATATTATTAGTTAAAATATTTAGAAAATACTTTTTAAATGCTTATAAGTTAATCTTTTCATTAGACTAAAAGTAAGCAGATAGATTTAAAGAGAAAAATACTTATTATTATACTTAATAACATAAAGATTGTCATCATGAACATAAAGATGATGATAGAAATTGTTGTGGATCTTTTTTTGCTAAAGTCTATATACCTGAAAAAGAAAGAAGTGCTTTAGAATAAATTGTATTTGAATAATTGTCTAAAAATAATATTCGAACCAAATTACCATAGATTTTGGATTATTTATAATAGAGATTTAATAGTATTAAAAAATCTGGAAAAAAGGATAATTTATAATGGGATGTAGAAACTGAAGTTTATATTTTGAATGAAGTATTAAGAGAAGGATTATAATTTTATTTCTTAAAAGAGATTAGATTAGAAATGTAAAAGGAATAATATATAGATTCAAAATAATAAATGTTAGTTGCTACTCCATAAACTTGGATTAATAAATATCCTAAAATTGAATTAAATTTCTTATCTGCTGATTTTATGTATGATTTAATGAATACTGGATGGAGTATTATGAATAAATTTATTAATAATAATGATTATTGTCATGCATTATATAAAGAATTAGATTTTTTAGAAAGAGATGGTAGATTTGAAGAAGTTTAAACTGAACTTTAAAGAGATGATAAGACATTTTGGTTAACCTTAAGTTAAATGGATAAGGATTCATTTAAAAATCTATATTTCATATCTCACATTCTAAGTGCTTTACCTTATGAATTGAATTCCAAAAATAAAGATTTATTAGTATAGATAAGTGAATCATATTAAATAAGTTATTTTGGAGGAAAAGAAAAAAAACATAAAAAGCATTTTGATTCTTCCTTTGATAAAAAGGCTGATACAGGTAAAAAGTTTACTTTTCTTTACATTATTAATCCTGTTACTATTGAAATTGATGAATAAAAAATCTCTTTATAACCAGATAATATTGTTGGTCTTATGAGTAGAAAAATCCCTTATGCATTATATTCAAACGATGGAAGAGCATTTTTAATTAGATATTTTATAGATGGACCTGTGACCAATATCTGTTGAAAGGATATATAATATATATAATTTATATATATAATATTTTGATGAATTACTAAATTTAGTTTGAATATAAATGAATTCCATTAAGATTCCCTTACTATCTTAGATAATCATAATATTATGGATTTGAAATTTCTAGATTAAATAGTAAAATATATGAATATTTTATTTCTGATTGATTATATTATATATATATAATTAAAGCTATGGAATATGAGATTATGCTGTTGTGTAATACATTAGGAATTGGAATTGTTGTGATGATTATCCTTTATCATTTGATTGGTACAAAAGCAGATAAGAAAACATATTGATAAATATTCATATTTCGTGTTGCAATCCTTATCTAAATGATGAAATTATTTTGTTAATCCTTATATAATAATCAAAGTCTTCACCTTAATCAGATGATAATCAGTTAATTAAGTTTGAAATCACTCATTTCTTAGATAATTATCCAAATGATTATCAACTATCAATGTTTTTATAATAAATTGTATAGACAATAATAAGATGTGATTATTCAATATGCTTTTATATTAAATATATCTAAAAAGATTATTGAAATATGTAAAGAAATTTTAAGATATCTACTTATATGTTATTTAACTATAATTAGTTATTTATCATTCTGAAATTTCAAAGCTTAAATCTTAATTACATAAATTACAACCAAATACAATATAAGTTGTAAGATGAATTCTATATTAAACAAATATAAAGGTTTTTATAAAAATTGAATAACAGATAAATTCATTAAGTTCAATAATTATAAACCTACTTAATATAATTATCTTAACAAAAATTATAATATATATCAGATAACTATTTTTTTGTTATCTGTAGTAAATACTCTTAAATATTAAAGATAATCAATAACACTAGCAAGTATAAAAGGATCATTGATTCCATCTAATTACATTGCTGTATCTAAGAACATTTTTTCAGGATTTTATAGAAATTCCCATAATTTTTTTCTATTCCAAATGAATTTTTAACAAGAATTTAAATCTCCTCCTCCATATTCCATAGACCAGTTTTTTCTAAATCTTCTTAAGTAGACAGTTCTTAATGAAGGTCCTAAATTAGTATCCACATCTTAAAATTTATAATTATATATACCTAAATGATGACATGATGCACAATTAGTTATATAATAACTTTTTCCTTCAATCAAATCTCCATTTGGAATATCTAATTAAATGTCATCTGAATTATCAAATTAACCTTTTCTTTTAAATTTTGGATTACTCTAACCTCTTATCTCAAAACCAATTTACCCATCTTGAACTTTTCGAGTTCTCATTATTTAATTATAATGTATATTATAATGAAATATATTAATTTATTTTCTACAATAACTAGAAATAATAGAACATAAAAGATTATTAGATTATTTTAGTTAAATTATTGTTTTTTTTATTCAAAAAACTACAAAAAATACAAATTAAAAAGTAACAAATTAATTTTATCATTAATGAAGTAAGATGCAATTAAGATATATATAAATTGTGGAGTAGTTTAATTAGAATTTTAAATGACAAAATTAATACTTAAAATGTTATTGATTCCAATGAATAAATTCAATAATAATTAGAATGGATGAATATGATGATGAATTTTCTGATAACTCTATTGAAATTACAATTAATGAGTATTAAGGAAAAGAATCACACATAACAGAGAAAAGTATAATTCGATACTTGAAAAACTTGGGTCTTAAAATGAAAACCAACCCCATGATAAAACAATTGCAATATGAAAGATCAAACAATTAAATCATTGATGTTCTAACTTCAAAAGCCCTGTCTTCTTAGGGTAATATTTTGAAGGAAACAGAAACAGATTATAATACCTTATTCTAAAAAAATCCATTCTTGAAAAGAATTAGAAAACAAAGTTCCTCTTTAAAAGTATTGCATCATACATGAGGTTTATTTAATTTCATACTAAATTGACAATTATTAATTACATTTTATGAGGTCCCTAAACCTTATTTTAGTCAATATCTTTTTAAAATTCAGTTTTTTCACATTATAAAAATCTTGATACTGAATAAACTATTATATGATATTCAAGTATGATATTAAACATAAAAATATGAAATTGTTATTAGACTTTTTAATAATTTATAGAAAATGCCTCCAAAGACTCAAAAATAAAAAGAAGAAGAAGCTGCTAGATTAGCAGAAGAATAAAGATTAAGAGAAGAAGAAGAAGAAAGATAGAGAAAAGAATTAGAGAAATATAAAATTACTAAACTAAATAGTACAAAGTAATTCAATCTCTTTAACATTAGTTTGCCTTTACCTATAACAAAATATTACATTGATTATGTCTATCCACACTCAGAATCCTATAAGGCAACAATAGAATATTTACATAAAGTAATTACAAAATATAAATATTATAAGCTAGCTGAAATTAGTAATTGCAAAGATTAACTACGAGATGTCGATTTCTAAATAACAGCTGATATATTAATTAATGATCTTATATTTTCAAAATCATTAAAAGGTTTAAATGATGAAAGTGTATAAGTATTGTTAAACATTTTATTTTTATCATTCACAAATAATAACAATAAATTTAGTCAAGAGATGAGGTATAATAAAACTATCCAACAAAAGAATAAAGTTACAGATGCAGAATTATTTAATAATTTATTGAAGGTACATGCAGAAGTAGGATATTTTAGATCTATGCATATATTATTAATTAAAGATCATTTCTAAATTTATCTAAATCATTTAGATTTAATTGATCTGGCTTTCAAATCAGATTAAAGAACATTAGAACTTCATATGGATCTTTAGATTGAAATGCCTTTGTCTCTATTACCACTAGATGAAGCTTTGATTTATCGTCCATTTGAATAAAAGCCTGAAGATGATGGATAAATTCAAACTGTTGATTAGGAAGATTAACTAGCTCAACCTGAACCAACAGATGAAGAATTATTGGATCCATTAATTATAGAAGCAATACAACGAAAACTTGATTTAGCAAAATAAGAATTAGAAGATAAATTAATATCAAGATAAAAGGATATGGAAGAAAAATTAATGAGTATGGCTACAAAAAAGAAATGATATTATGATTATATTTACTCTATTATATTTATAATCTAGCATTTATATTTTTATCTAAAATATATCAATTAAATTAGATATTCAATTTAGATTTTGAAAGTTTTAGAATAACTAAAATTTGTTGACATAATAATTAATAATCAAACCCATCTATTGTTTACAGCATCATAATTAAGATGTGATTTTCCTCCAGGTAATTTTACAGGTCTCTTAGGTAAAGCAAAGACTGGACACATATCATTATTATTTTATTTCTCTATATAATCCATTTAATATGTTGAATTTCCTGTTTATCCAGGATCTCCATATAAATTTCTTTAATGAGGATCTCTGTATTTATCTTGTTTGCAAGTAGGCATAGGAACATAAGCAGTTCTGTAAGTACTTGAACCAAAATCAATGTTACAATTTGGACCATCCTTTTAAGTTGGTTTAAATTATTCTTTCTCTCCAATTGGCTTTGGAATAAAATCTACTCCATAGGTTGTATTCCAAGGAACTTACCTTGGGGCAGATTTATACTGTTTTTTTGTAACTGGGGGTTTTAAAGGCAAAGGAAATCTTGATAGATGTTATGAATTACTTTTAATAGTTGGTCTAATAATCAGATTTACTAGTGAAAGGCTACGAAGATGGAATTTAAGGTAATTCTCTAATTTCTTTATCAGGTAGTGGTCTCTTAATATATTCACTTTGATATTAACTAAGCAAAGTAGATGGATCATAAGCATGCTTTTATGGTTATCTTTCATAATTAAAGGGTTTCTATCTGCATTATTTCCAAGGTTGGTAGTCATGTCTAATATAATAAAATGAATTGTACTGGAATGTAGACTAAAAGTCTCCATGCATATTATCAGAATGAATTGGACAATGATGTTTACCACATTTACATATTTCACATACACATCTATTATGAAATTAGTTAGATGAAGGTATTGACTAGGATGAATGAAAAAGGGATTTGATTGTATTATTAATCATAAAATAATCATTGTTATTGCTTAGATTCTTTTATTAAATTACGTAATTCTTCTGATTGTTTTTTCCAATTAGGATCTAAAGGAGCTTTTCCTTATTTCTTTATTAATTATTTTTCTTTGATTTATCCTTAACGCTAAAGCTTTTATTAATCATTTGTAACAACTCTTGCTTATTTTGAATTAAATTCTTGTCTTTTCTATTGGAAGACTTGCTTACAAACCTTAACATGTTTCTCCAAAGCATCTTATTTAAACTATCTACCACATCCTTCTGGACAAAGTATTAATTCAAGTTCTTCAATAGGTTCTGCTTCCTCTATATGTATTATTACATAAAATACCAAGTTATTATAATACTCTTTCTTGATTTGCAACTGCTATTTTATTTTCTAAGGGATTTTTAGAACCTAATAAGGCAGCTTCTCTTTTATTAGATTATTATCCAATAGATGGCATGTATTATTCTACTTAAATTGTCTTCCCTGATTAAGCATCCTTTTTCTCTTAAGTTTATTGTATCTCTTTCTTCTCTACCTATATTTATTTTCTAAATAACTCTTCTTAACCAGGTAGATAAAGCCCTTTGGCAACAGGAGCAGTATTTTTCTTTTCATCTGATCGTTAGATTCTATCTTTAAGTGGGATTTTTTCTTAAAATGTTCCTGTTTTAAAGAAATCATCATTTGTATTTGTTAACTAAGGTTCCTATTCTTAAGGTTGAGGAGAACGGTTGCGAAAGTTGAAAACTGGTTTACAAGCAAAATTAGGTTTTATACTGATTCCATTATATTCTGATTTTTAAGTGCTTTCGAGAGACGAGGTCTGCTCCTATTTTTTAAACGAGCCAGAAGTACTATCCATCTTCAGGTTCGGTTTATAATTCATTTTTTATTATTTTTTATATTTAATATTTTATAATAACAACTTCAGAAGAATTAAACAAAGCAAATTATATATTCATCAATCAATTCATTTAAAATACTTATCAATAATTGTGATCAATCATTTTTAATAACGAAACATTAAAATAAAATTTATTTATCAATTTGCTAAAAAAATTTAGAAATTAATATCTGATGTAGATTAAGAAGATGTGAATTAAAAGAATTGAGAACAATTTACTAAGGAAATAAATGATATAATTGATTATAGAGTGAAGAATTTCCTTCTTTAATTCATTTGATTATGAATAAGTTGACTTAGATTTATATTTCCAAAAAAATAATATTAAAAGGAATGGAGAATTTATGAAAGATAATTATTTACGTAATACTTATTTGGATATATTTGAAAAAAAGACAGCAGATAAAGAGAATAATGTTAAACAACTGAAATTTTAATCAATATATTCAAAATATCTTAAACAGAATTTATGAATAAATAAATAGATGATGTTGGAATATATAAACTATTTATTGAAAAAAATATTGATTCTTTTCATTACAGGATCACTAATACTTCCTAATTAAGTATGGCATGATTATAAAATATTAATTTTAGCCATAATAAATAAAATTATGAGACCCAAGTTTATTAGTTATGCTATCGATTATGAAAACTTTTACTGACTTTTTTTTTAACTATTCTTATAAATGTCTCATCAAATTAATAGGAATTCTATAAAATAATAAATTGATGAAAGATTCAATAATTTAATATGTATTAGTGAAAAGTACTACAGGATAACTAATATACGAATGCATGGCAGAACATGTATATGCAAAATTAGGGTGTATTTTTTAAAATGAGGCTTCTATTATCCCAGAATTTAAAGATTATTTTGATTGGTATTTTGGTCTAGTGAGAGAAACATATAGTTAGAAATAAATAAACTTAAAGAAATTAAATAACATTAATTAAAAATAGTAAATATCATTATAAAATATGCTTTTCTTTTTCGGAGTTTATGATGGATTGATCTTAATTAAATTTTAAACTTAAATCCTTAATTGCAATAATTTAGAGAATCATAGAAAATACCTACTTATAGATATTTGAGTAAGTATAGGTAAATTTTGACAATGTTAATATTAAAATTCATTTAATGCATCAAATTTGCTTTTGTAACAGCACTTAATACATTATTAGATGTTGGTCAAGATAAAAAAATATTGTATCAATTTTCAATAAATTTTAAGATTAATTGAATATTAAAGGACTCTTAGATAGATAATTGGATGAATTAGGATCAATGAAAGAGCAACCTAAAAATGATTTCTTTGTTTATCCTTAAATACATAATAAAAGATAAATAAAGATAGTTTGAGGGAAATTAAAATTACTTAGAGATGAGGCAAGCCAAACAGAAAATGATTTTTATACAAAATTATTATTAAATGATTAGAGACCTACATTCTATTAAGATTGATTTAAATAACAGTTAATATTTTAATTTTTGAATTTATTTTACGCTATGTTAAGTATGAATGTATTCCTATTTAAGCATAAAACTATTATGATTTGAGAGGAGCAGACAAAATGGGCAATAACAATAGATAGTTAGAGAGATATGAGAAATTAGAAAAGATTGGAGAAGGTAACTATTAATTTTAATTGTGTTTAGGAACATATGGAGTTGTTTACAAAGCACGTGATTCAGTGACCAAAGAATTGGTAGCATTGAAGAAAATCAAATTGGAAAATGAAGATGAAGGAGTCCCTTCAACAGCAATGAGAGAGATTTCAATTTTAAAAGAACTCTAACCTCATCCAAACATAGTGGGTCTTAAAGAAGTCATTTACCAACCCAATGAGAAGAAACTCTATTTAGTATTTGAGTATGTTGAGATGGATTTCAAAAAATTCCTTGATTAGAACAAACACAACTTAACATTAAGCCAAATCAAAGTATTTATCAAATCAATTATAGCATTTTACATTCTAAATATTAAATGGTCTCAATTATTGTCATTCTAGACGTATAATACACAGAGATCTCAAACCTTAAAATATCTTAATTGATAAATCAACTGGAATCATAAAATTGGCGGATTTCGGATTGGCCAGAGCTTTTGGAGTGCCTATAAAAACTTTAACACATGAAGTGGAAACTCTATGGTATCGTGCACCAGAAATATTATTATCTTAAAAATAATACTCATTAGGAGTTGATATTTGGTCTGTTGGATGTATTCTTACCGAAATGGTTGAAAAACATGGGTTATTTTGTGGAGATAGTGAAATTGATTAAATCTTTAAGATATTTCAATATCATGGAACACCTACAGTATAAGATTGGCCAAACATAGCAGATCTTCCAGATTTCAAGCCTACATTCCCAAGATTCAGACCTACTCCTCCAGAATAATTTTTCAAAAATTTTGAAAAAGTATATAAATAAATTAATAATATTAGAATGGATTAGATCTAGTTACTAAAATGATTGCTCTTGATCCAGCTAAGAGAATATATGTGAAAGAAGCTATGAAACATCCATTTTTTGATGACTTAAACAAGGAAGATTTAATTAAATACTTTCCTCCTGGCCAATAAAATTTAGCAATGTAATACGGAAAATGAAAAATTAATTAAAGATAATATTAAAATAATCAATTTGAATAAAGATAGTATAAAATGCTGGAAGTGTTATTCTTAGAAAATAAAATAATAGATTTTTTTTTATATATATATATTTTAATATTATTTATCTGATTAGAAATATAAAAGATAGATTAAATAGTATCATGAAGTTTGTTGAATTGTAAAATGATTGAACCATATCAATTTAATATAAAAATATTATTATTATTTAAAGTATATATAAATAATGAGATACAGAATTATTTTCACTTTTTAAAAAGAAATTATTTTTATTGTAAATTATTAAAGAAGTAAAAATGAATTTAATTTCTATATTATCATCCATTATTAACTCAATTATATAATATTCCATTAGAGATCACAAGGTATTATAAAAACTTAAAAATTCATAAACTTTGAAAATAAAAAAAAATAAAATTATTTGTATAGAGCAAAAATATATTTGAAATAAATTATTTTAAAAAAATATCAAATAATGACTTCCTCTGCTGTTAGTGATGTTGAAATATAGAAATAGGCATAATAATAATAAAATAATATAATTGCAATATTGAAATCTGGTAATGCAACAGTTGTGAATGAAAAATTGTAAAGATGTAAAGATTTTAAGGAGGGTAAAGATATTGCTATTCCATTTTGCTATAAAGGTAAATATTAAATGATGAAAGTATAGAAAACTCACCAAAGGAAGAGTTAGTACTAGAGCATGTTTAATAATTTCAAAAACAGTTTCAATTACATTATGATGAAAAGAGAAATCTGTTCCTTTATCCTAAAAATGAATGTGATTTGTACAAATTTATCTGTACAACAATTCGTCCTTAAAAAATTGGATATTTGGAGCTTTATAATTACGAATAGTGTGCTAGATATATGAGTTTTTTTATTGCTTATGAATAATTGGATCCTCCTGATTAATTTCCTAAGGTTATACCAAGTCCAACAAATGTAGCTAGATGGTAAAAAGGAGATTGTTTTGATTTATCTATATTACTTTGTAGTGTTTTAATAGGAGTTGGTTATGATGCTTATTGTGTTTATGGAACAGCTCCTAGGTCTATTACAAGTAAAAATGAGTCAGATCTTGATTATATATTCATAAATAATGGAATAAAAGAAGATGATGAAGATAAAGATAAAGATAATGATGAACTTAAAGATAATGAATTTGCTATTCTTCCAAAAGAAGAAATTATTTCTAAATATGATACAAAAATACAAAAGTAAAAAGAAGAATTTGAAAAAGAATAAAGAAGAATAGCTTTAACTATAGATGATGATGAACCTGATTAAATGGGATAAGATTATTATGCTGGTAGAAGAATTCATTGTTGGATTCTTTTGAAAGCAGGTAAAAGAGGAGTTGAAAGAAATCTATTTATTGAACCTTCTACAGGAAGAATCTATTAGATTAATGAAAGTCCTTTTTTGGCTGTTGATGCAGTTTTCAATAATAGAAACTTTTGGATTAATATGAAACTTGAATCAAAGGTGGCTGATTTAAATTTTGATGAAATGGATACTTCTATGAATTGGGAATATGTTATGTTAGATACAATGGTAGAATAAGCATAATAAGATGATGAAGATTATAATTATGGTGAAGATCATAATCAATAATAAAAGCAAGTGGATCCACAATAATAACAATTATAAGATATAGCATAAATCTTAGATATGCCTCCTTCATGGCCACCTAAAATCTTTATTGATAAAGATGCTTTTCTTAAAGGAACTCCATTGGGAGAATCAACAGTCTTTTATAAGAAATGTAAAATAGACTCTTTTGCTCCATATTCATAAGAAAAAGATGGATTAGTTTAAAGATTTACTATCTATCAAGATTATAAAAGATTGAAAGTATAAGAAATAAGATACTTTTATAAACATAGATCTGACAAATTAGTATTGAAAAGAAGATTTCCATATGAATTTAAGACTATTGAGGAATATGAACCTGGTAATAAACCATAACGTAAGACTATTACTACAATCGACAGATAATTGAGAATCATTGTTTATTATCCTACTAGAAATCATGATGGATTAATCAAAAGAATTGAAAAAATAGGAGAAAAGACTATAGAAGAATATGAAAATAGAGATGATCGTGTTATTTATAGATCTGTTAGGTTTGATCCTAAAGATAAGAAATTTGAATAAAGAGATTTAACACATAATGATAGATATATGGGATAAGTCAAAATTACTAAAATGACTTAAAAATATGAATTAAGTGAATTATATCCAGCTAGTGAATAACCATAAAAGGTTGTTATTGATTTACAAAAAAATATTATTAAGTATTAATATCTTTGATTTTAGAGTTTATTATCATATGAATAAAGGTGAAATCAATCCATAATTCAAAGAGTTAAAAAGGGAGAACATGCATAGTTTAGGTAAATTAACTGAACCTGGGGTTGAGAAAAAAAATGAAGATGCTTTGGTATCTTAAGAGAATTAACGAATAGCTAATTTAGGTAAATTATAAATAATATCTTTATTAAGAGAAGGAATGTTTAACACATATAAAAAATTAAGAGGATGAAGTCAAAAAAGATGAAGAATAACTTCGATCTTAAGATTTAAAATTGGAGAAAACTCTTCATGATAAAGCCAGAGAAAGATATAAGGAAACATTAAAGAAATCAGAAGAGGAAAAGTAAAGAGAATAAGCAGATAAAGATTACTTATATCCATATTTAGAAAAAAGAAAACTTTAAGGAAAGGAAGTTCTATCATACAATGAGGCTTTAGAAATATAAAAAGATGTCATGACTAAATTAAAAGAACGGTATCATATTGAATATCTATTATTTATAGTTTATTATCAAGAGCTGCTATCATTTAGAAAAAACTTGAAGAAGAAAGAGCAAAATTAGATTAAGCAGAATAAATGTAATAAAAGAAATCAGATCCTGATGATAATGAATATATTAACATTCAATTTAGAATAGATATTTTAGAATAAAGAGCTATTAGATTTGAATCATAGGCTCTTCTTAAATATGAAGAAATGGATAGAAAATTAAAGGAAGATAAAAGATTATCAGAACTAAAGAAGAAATGAATTAACCTAAATATCTAATTATAAATTAGAACACTAATTATTTATCTATTACTTAAATATGAGATTATTATTTTAATGATATTCAGATATCGTTTTTACCTTTCTTTTTATTTTTTCTACGATTATTTTTATGAATATTGTAATTACTTTGATTAAAAATATAATTCTATTTATTATTCTATGATAATTTATCATTTTATTATTACATCAGATTATTTTAATTTTATTTTTACTTGTTTTATCTAGTTGAATGCTCAATATTAGTTTGAAATGAAGAATTAGGAACTTTAGGCATTTCTTTTGAATTATTCAAAGAATCTTCAAAATAATCGAATGTTTCCTTTAATATTAGATTACTTTCAGTAAATTTAACAACTTTATTTTTAATTTATAAATTGTTTTTTTAATTATTAACTTATGATTTTTCTTAATTGTTTTATTCCTAAATTAAATTTTCATCATTTTTCATCAAATTTTATATTGTCTCAAGTTTAGAAGTATTTTAATGTTGATTTTCTTATTTTTTATAATCCGTATTATCATTTTGAGCTTATTTATTAATATTTTATGATATCAACACATCACAATAAACATTGTCTATTAATTCTTGTAATTTAATATTTTCAGTTTATTAAACTTAAGTATTTAGATTCTGGCCCAAAAATTATTCTTTTGTTTATGAAATAGATTAAAGTTAATCATTAAATAAATTTTACCCAATTTAATTATTTTATTTTCTATCAATTATCTATAAAGATTGTAAATATTAATTTTTTCTCTTATTTTTTTTGTTTTTCTTTTTTTAATTTCTTTAAATTTTTTCTTCTTTATTTTCTTATAAAGGTATATATTTTGAAGTCAAAATTTTAGGAGGAGAAATATCAGGAAATTTAGGTTCTATTTTCTATTATTCTTTTAAAGTCTTTTTTGTTTTCTTATCATTTCTTTGACAATTATTAGTTTTATTATTAGCCTTACTAATAATCTTACATGTGATATAAGTTTAATCATTTAAAACCTAACCAATATTTAATTCCTTAGGAATAATTACACTAAACCCATTTTATCTAATATTAGTCACAATATATCTATTTGAGCATACTTCTGATTAAAATTATTCACATGTACATGCATAAGAATTAGCAATCTATTCTGAAAGGTTCTTAAATAATAAAATTTGATTACTTATTCAAATGCATTTACTGTTGCTATAAACTTCTTTTATTCACTACTAACAAATAGACGAACAAATTTTCTTTAAGTTCCTTAAAATTATTGTTAAGAAAAATAATTCATAGGTTTTATTATACTAAATATTATCAAAAATTCTCCTTAAAAAATAATCAAATTATGTTTATATAAAATGAATGGAATTTTTGGAAGGAATTGGTGATTATTTTTAACACATATTTATAAAAATAACAAATTCTATATCTATGAAAGGGATGATTGTATTTTTATAATAATTTAATATCTATATGTAATAATAGGTTATTACGATTTATATTAATAACTCCATAATCGTTGAGTTATCATAAGTTGATAAAACTACATTTGATGAATTTATTGAATCTTTCTTTTTTAAGATATAAAAAGAAATCATTTGCTCTATATGAAAATTAGATTTTTGTTGTAATTCATAATATATTTACTTTAAAAAATCATGTCTTAATTTATATCATTAATTTGGAATTAGCCCATTTCTTTTGGTTTTAATTGATACTTTGTTTATGATATTGAACTCATAATTATTTTGAGTTCAATTAAAAATAATTGATGAGTTCTTAAAATTAAATAAAAATAAAATTATTATTTAACATTAAATATATTCAATTTAACACTTCTTATGAAAATGTTTTAAATCCAATTTATCGATGCTCTAAGAAAGTCTTAATTTCCTCAATAGTTCTCCAATTCATATAACCTAATTGATAAGCCAAAAGCTTAGAACTCTAATTATTATAAATTATTTAACTTTTGCTGGGAATTCTAATTCATCAATCTATTTCGCATTTTCTCTTGAACTATAACGTTCATTTATTTATTCAACCTTAAAATCTTTTCTATTAGAAAATTCAGACTATAATTCATTTCTTTACTTTAGAATATTTTTTATTTAAGCAAAATTTTGAGTTTAATATCGAAACATATTATACATTCTATTGTATTAATTTGAACTGCATTTTGTTATTTATTCTTCTAATTTTTTGGCCATTTCTTATAATGGATCATAATCTTAATTAATTTCATATTTTTAACATAAAGTAGTTAAAGTTTACAATGAATCTTCAATATCTTTAATAAGTTTAGATACAGCTGATAAATGATGTGTTATTACTTTAAAAAGATTTTTAATTTTTTCATAAATTGGCTCTTCTTACTAAATGAATGTTTCGAAATTATTCAATTTAATATCTGGTACAAATACGACAGTTCCGGTCATATTTAGAAGACTTTCAAATTTATTAGGTTTACTAAGTTTTTCTCCAAACTTTAGTAATTATTTAAATTAAGCTGGATCACTCAAACGAAGAAAATCTACAAAATATTTACTATTTCTAAAAAGTTCACTCTTTGCTAATTCATTCAAAAAAAATTCTAACATTATCGTTCTTTTTTGAACTGTATTTTTTGCATTTTTTTTAGCTGTTTTTTCTGACAGGCTGGGTATACCAACTCCTGGGAATAACTTAAGAAGAGTTTGTTATAACCATTAAAAATCTGAATATCTTCTTTACACAGTATATTCATCTCCTGTTTTAACACTATATACAACAAAATCACTTTTAAAAAGTCCTCCTGTTTTCTTTTCAAAACTAAATTAAATTTATTTGATATACCCAGTTATTTTTATAGATGGAACACCTTAAGCGAATATATTAAATCCTAATTTTTTACATTATAATTTTGAACACTAAGAAAATGAGTAAATTTCAGGGGCTTGCTTTTTAGGCATTTATTATTGTATTTCTTATAGCTTTAAAGCAGTTGGTGATATAGCCAATGGTTTTCCTATTTTGATAAGATCTAGTTTATCTGAACCTCTTTAATTAATTTCAGATGTTTATAGTTGATGAATTTACTAAATTTGTTTTTGAGTTTATTACAAAGGTTATTCATTTTTTTAATCCTCATATTGATTTTTTACAGGGGATAAGCCTCCATAATCCAAATCCAATAAGTTCCACATCTAAGGATCGCTTTTTGTTTCCATTTATGGAATGACTTAATCAAAAACATTCCATCCTACATTCATATCATCTATTGGCTAATTAAAATCAGTTGTAAAAAATTCAATCTTATATTGATTGACTAACTACACAATATCTTCAAAAGTCCATTTGTCTATGTCACTCTCTTATTTTATTTTGATTCAATACCTTCTCCTTTTATTTTCTCACAAAACTCTTGAAAGTGATTAGGATCAATTCCTTTATCTAAAATCTCTTCCTACAAGTAAGCTTCTTTTTAATTTCTTTAATTATTATCCATTTACAATTAAAAATAATTTATACGATGTACAACAATATAATATCCAATTTAAGTGATATATTTTAATAATGAAATTGAAAATATATAATTTAATTGAAATTATATTAAGATCATATGTTTATATCTTTCAATCATATTAATTTTTATTAAGGATATATACATATAAAATGTATATTAATTAAAAAAGTATAAATTTAAATAAATTCCTTAATCAAAAAGTACTTATGATTAACTTATACATTTAGAGTATTATAGATAAAACTAAATTAATATTTATTAAAGAGAATTATATAAGACTTTTATGTTGAATCAAAAAAGTTTTTAATTATTTTAGTTTATTAATATGATAAATACCAAATATATTTATAACATAAAGAATTTTAAGAAATATTATATTAATTTATGAGTTTAATATTTATTATTTAATCATGAATTCATTTGTGTACTCATTCAAAAATCCAAGTAGTGAATTTGTAGAATCAGCTAATTTTGTACAAAACAAAAGGCCAAACCAATTTTGTTTAAAGATATTTAATTAGTAGTCATATGAAGATTTTAAACTGGAAGACTAATTATAATAACCTTTATAATAATAATCTTAAGATTAATATCCTTAACTAAGTATTAGCCAATACTTCTTGAACCCTTAACTTAGTCTGGAATTAAAATCTAAATTTCCTTCTCTAGATAAATATATCAAGAAAAAGAAAATACATAAAAAAGCAAAATTATAGTCAGCTGCAATTAGAGATTATAAGAAAAATATATGTAGAAATATTTTAAGACATGGTATAAAAGGAATAAATAACACACTGGCTTAATTATTTTTATTAGAAAAGTTTAGAAATAATAATCAAAAATTAATTGAATTTCAAAGGTTTTATTAATAAAATGTGGAAATCATATCAGGTTTTAGAGTCCTTAAAGATCATTTAATAATTTAAGCAGGTGAACCTAAAGAAGAATAAGAAAGAAAAAGAATTTTTTAATAATATCTCATATGGTTCTTGTCTTCATAAGCAACAAAATGTATATTATAATCAGAAGCAAATAATATTGCCGAATATGTAAAATATAAAAATGATGTTTTATTATATTATGTCTAGTAACCTTCACAATGGTATTCTAATAAACCTTTATGGAGATAAAAGAATGAAGTAATATGAATTTAATTAATTAATAATAATTTAAATATTACAAATTGCATCATAGTGTCCAATATATATATATATATGATATATTTATTTATATTTTATAAATAGATAAATTGATTTATTAATTACAAGCAAAATATTAATTATTATAATAAATTAAGCTATCATTATTTATTACTATAATGAGATTGTCTCTTTAGTTAATCTCTGTATAATTACAATTCTTATTCTTTGTGATTTAAAAGTTAATTTAATCTTTCGCATTCCCCCTAAAATAGAGCTAATTTTCCTTCTAAATCTTTAATATTCTAATTTCCAAATTACGAATGACTTTATCTTCTTAAAATATCAATTTCTTTATTTCTATCATCAATAATTTTTCTTAGACTATTGAAAATCATATAATAATTAATTACTTAGCCATTTCTTATGATTAATACTCACTATCTCTTACAACTCTTTCAAGTCTATTAAATTTTTATTACAAAGCTTCAAAATCATCTTATTTAGATTTTAAACTCATTTCTGCCTTTTTCAAATCAGCCTATAAATTAACTAAAAAATATATAAATATTTATACATATTTATTGTTCATGAGTTCTTGATTTAGCTAAGAAAGTCTAAGCATCTTAACTTTAAGATTCAAGTGATTGACATCTTTTTTGCCATTCATCTAATTATTCTCTTAATCTATTCATTTCAACATGCATAATATTTTCATTATCTTAAACAGATCTTCTCATTCTTTCAATTTCCATTTCTACATTTTATCTTGTTTTTAATTATGCTTCCAAACTTTAATATCTTTATCTCCATTATTCAATTTCTGAATTCAAATCTAAAATAGTCTTATTTAATCTATCAATCTCTTGCATCAATTAATTAACTCTTCCAGTGTCTTCAAAATATGTAACCTTTTCAGATGCAATATTTTATTATCTTAATCTAATGTTTTCTTGTTATAAATCATAAATTTGTCTTTCCAAAAATTAACACTTATCTAAATAAGCTTAAAAAATTAATACTTCTCCAAGGTTCCTCAATATCACTTCTTGATACAACCTTAACTGGTTTATCGAAATGTTGAATTTCTTAATATATAGGTTATGGTTAAATGACTTTTTATTAGACTGGAAGTGCAGCTGAATGTTATTACATTTGTTACTGCTTTGCTAATACTTATATATCTGGAGATAATTAAAGCTAAACTTATTATAAATAATACTTCTTAAGCATAAGCTCTAGCAGGAGCAGAACCAAATTAAAATGGTAATCCTGATGATTATTCATTGGCTAATGGTTTTTATGAAAAGTTGTTGTAAATATCAGCTGTTATAGTTTATGGAAATCTGAGTGGGTCATTTGAAGGTCTTGAATTGATTCCAAAGGCCTAATCTCTGTATGAACTCATATTAATTAAATAAAATAAAATAAAATTTATTATTGAAATAATTAATTTATACTTAATTCATAATTATGTAAATCATTTTTAATTATTTCACTCTTATTATCAATAATTAATGAATAATTAGGTGTATTTTTACTTAATTCTAAATAATGAACACCAAATATTCAATATGTAAAATACAAGAATCATATATTAATAAAAAAGAAATTTACAATATGAACATAATATTGTTTATATCTAATTTAAAACATACATATACAATTTAAATTGATAAATTACTATCTGAATAGAATGTAATAGAAATAGGCTGAATTGATTTGAAAAAAAGGTATGTTTTATCAAATTAGGCAATTTCTTATATTTACTAACAATCTTAAAAAGATTATTGATTTTTAAAAAAATGATAACAATAATAAAGAATTATTGAATTATTCTCATTCTTTCTGTTAAATACAATTAGGTTATCTAAAAAGAAAAGTATAAGAGAACTTTTAAAAATTAATTTAATTAAAAAAATGGATGATTTAGAGGTATATTCTTTAGAATACTTAGGTAAAACAACAATTATCAATTTTAATTCATTATACAATATTATCTAAATAAATATATATTTAAATTAAAAAATTATTTGGATAGCTCTAAACAAAATAGTTGGTTGAATTATTTACATAGTGTTTATTTAAATGAACTATATCTGTAATTATATTTAACATATTAATTTACATTGGATATGAATTTTTGAATTATTATTATTGTATTAAATAAATATTTCAATAATGGATCCTTTTAATTTTATTGTTTTTTATTATGATAGATTATAGGAGATGAATATATCAGATTGCTAAATTTATAATTGTATAAAAAATCAGAATTTGAAATTAGGATAATGTTTAATAATTCATGGAATTGAATTTAAAGTGTTTTTTTTGCAGCCTTTAGAGGGTCATATTAATCAAACTACTAAAATTCTATGTTACCCAAGTGATTTATAAAAGAATATTAGCTTACAAAAAGTTCATTTTATCAATCTCTCTAATGAAAAAACAGAGCTTATAACTCAACTTCCTTTAAAATTACATATTAGTAAAGATTAATAAGTAATAATCAATGGAGTATTGATGTAAGCAATTAAATGTAGTCCAAGTGAAGGAATTTTTACTTAAGAAACAGTAATTATATTTGAGATATTAAATAGTAATGGAAGATCAGTAATTATGAAGAAAAATTAATCGAGGAGATATAATTAATAGTTTAAAATTAAACAGATATCAGCAAACAAGAGATATTTAAAAAACATATTTAACCTTATTTTTTAGTACCTCGATTTATAAAAGAAGGATCTAAAATAAAGATATAAAATTTAGAACTCATTATAAAAAAGAGTAGACCTAAAATTGGATTAATTTCATGTAATACGTAGATATCTATTATTGATAATGAATAAATATTATTTAAGTCTATGAATGAAGATGATGAATAAACAGGATTGTGTGTGTAGATTAACACACTTAAGATTTTATAGGTTAATACTGCATCTAGAAATCAATTTGTATAAAAGAGAAAACAATTATATGGAATAATGGAGAATTATGCTTAATATGATGATAAAGAAAATTAAATTATCATTTCATAAAGAGATTTAAATAGTAGAGGTTAATCTATAAATGAATTTCCTAACTTTCCTAATACATTTCTTACTAATTTACATAGAGAAAATGAAGAAATAGATAATGATCTTATGGATTTTGATGAATCTAATTTTGGAGCTGGATTACATGAATAAAATATGAAATTATCTGAAATGACTCTACCAGTATTATTCAAAAATATCTTTTAAAAAAAGAAACATGGAGCAAATAGATAATCTCTATTAAAATAACCAGAATAACCTAAATGTGATGAATCTTTTCTTGATTAATCTTTTGGATCTGAAGCTAATGCATAATTAATAAGTGATGCATCATTTATGATATAAGAAGATTAGCCTCATTTAGCAACTTTGCCTAGATACTTTGATGACATAATTTTAGTATATATATTAATTAATTAGTTTAATTAATAAAGATGGTTACCTATTATGAATGATGGAAGTAATCAAAATTTTATTTAATAATTCCCTGAAAGGAAAATAGATTTAAATTGGATATAAAGTAAAGGACAAAATATTAATGAAGACTTTTGTAAATGTATGATATGTTTAATGGAATATACTGATGAAGAAGTTGTTAAAACTCTACCATGCTGTAATTAATTATTTAAATACTTTTATAGTACATTATTTTCATAATGAATGTATTGATTTCTGGCTAGCCAAAAGTAGTAAATGTCCAGTTTGCAAAAATAGATGTGACGAATAACTTAAGTTTTGATTTGTTATATTATTACAATATGATTACAAATGTATATTAGAAGTAAACTAAATAGAAATTTAATATGCTTGACTTATATGATAAGAGGAATATTAATTTGTTCAATTCAATCTTTGAAAATTGAATTGATCTATAAAATTATTTAAATTTATAATAATTATAATTAGATTTTATTTCACATATATATATATATAAATAAAAATGCATATATAATCATAATTAACAATTTTATATAGAATATTTTTACCTACAATTTTAGTACTTTTATTTAATACCTTAAATTATTTATAAATACTATATTATATTCATTATTTGAAGCTAATAACATAGATAGTCAATGAATTTATGCATAATTTAATTAGGGTAACTGTTATCTCTTGATAAACATGATGAAATTCTACATAATTAAATTAAGGGAATTATTTTCATTTGATAAATAAAGAATCTTCTTAGATTTTACAAAAAGATTTTAGAATCAATTATTAATCAAAATTTATAAAGACAATTCTTTAATTATTATTTATAAGATTATAAATGTAAGATTGACATCGTATTTGAATACAATTATACAATATTTTATATAAATTTTATAATTATCAAATACATATTTTATAATATAGATTTCAATTTATAATAAACTATTAATCATAATATATATATATATTAAATAAAAGATGAAACTTCAAAAGTATCAATCAGCTTGAGACAGTTTCATAAAAGTAAAATATATTAAAAATCTGAAAAGCTGCAATACTTTTTAAACGAATTAAAATATATAATTTATATATATATTAAATGAATAGAAGAAAGAGTCCAATCTATAAATCACCAGGATTAAGTCCAAATATTAAACCTGGGTTATTTTCTAATCCATCAGAGTTGAATAAATTGAATAAATAGAAAACTGTGAAAGTTGATGAATCTTAATCACCTGTATTGAAAGAGAGTAAAGAGACAAAAATTCCTCCTAAACTACAAAAGAGTTATAGGTTTTGATTACATATTATATAGTAGTGCCACTAAATTATTCAGCAATAATATTAAAGTGGCAAAATAATAACCTGAAGAGAAGGATGATAAAATAATGGAAACTCTATAGAAATTATTAAAGGAATTAATGGAATTCAATGAAAACATTGATTAAAGCCAAGTAACTAATATTGAAGAATGGTGTTGTGAAATCTTAGAAAAATTAAATTAGATTAAAGCAAATATAGAAAGTAATGAGAGTTTGTTATTTTAGGAAAGGAAGATCATTCAGCTTGTGATGCTTTGATGTAATAGTAATATTGTTAATTTATATAGATAGAGAAATATTGACAAAGTTATTGAAAGAACTTCAGGAGGAAAAGAAAGAACGATATAGAATTGAAGAGGAAGCCACAAATATTATTACAGAATAAGAGATTGAAATAAATCGTTTGGAGAAAGAGTTAAGATTATTGGAAGAGAAACACTAATTATAATGATATTAAAATTATAATCTGTTAAAATTTATGTTAAGAGACGCTGGAGTGGAATAGACACATTAATTAATCGATAAAATAGAAATGAGAGTCAAAAACTTTCTCAAGACTCAATCTACAAAATAAATTCAACCATTGCAATTAAACAATTCAAATTTAGACTTTAATAATAGACAAATATCGATGTATTCAAAAAAAGAGAAAGGAGACTCCAATATTTTTAGTCAATTAGAAAATATACCTCCATAAAAATAATTGACTTAATGTTCAAGAACATCAGATTGCTAAATTCCATTATTGAAAGAAATATAAGAGATTGATCAATCTTATAAGGTAGAAATAGATTAACTAAAAAATACAATTGTACAATTAAAATAAGTTATTGATGAGTTAAAGGAATGTGTTACTGGATTAACATTACAATTAGATTTCAAATAAAAGTAAACATTGTATTTACTTTAGAGAAGTTGATTAAATAAATAAAGAAAATGAAAATAATAAAGTTCTAATTTAGACTTTAAGAGATGAAAATTCATATCTAACAAGAGAAATATAATAATTAATGAATGTATAGAATCCAAGTAATCCAAAAGTAAGTTCTTTAACATTTGAGGTTTAAGAAGAGAGAAAGAGAAGTGAAAAACTATAACTAGAAATAAGTGAAATCAAATCTAGAGTTGAAAAACAAAGGGATTCTGCAAAAACAAATTCAGACTTCTAAATAATAGAAAAATTAGTTCATAAATTAGAAGAAGCATAGGAATAATAACAACGTTAAAATCAATAATTTATGAAATACGTTATATAATATTTGGAGAAATAATAAAATCAATCATTAAGACCAAGTTCGACAATATTATAGAGTAATCACAAAAAATAAAAATCTAGTTTAAAGAAGAAATGATTTATATGCATTAAAATAATTACATAATTTAATATTTAAATGGCAGAAAGAGGACATGCATTAAAATAGGATATAAGTAAATTAGCTTGGGAAGAGACTGATTTTCCAATTGTTTGCAATAATTGCCTTGGAGAAAATCCTTACATAAGAATGGTACAAATATATTGTTTAATAATTTAAAAGCTTAAAGATAGATTTGGAAAGGAATGTAGAATCTGTGCTAGACCATTCACAACTTTCAAATGGAAGCCAGGGAATAATTCAAGATAAAAATAAACTGAAGTTTGTTAGACTTGTGGCAAAATTAAAAATATTTGCTAAGCTTGTTTTAAAGATTTAGAATTTAATATGGGATTATGCACAAGAGATAAATTTTTAGGAGATTCAAAAATTGAAATACCTGAACATACAGCAAATAGAGATTATTGGGCTGAATAAGCTAATCGTCAGATTGAAAGATTGATTTTACCATATGATAAACCTTTACCTATGTTAGATCAAATTTTAAAAGAACCAAGATTAGCAGATGTAAATAATTAATTAAATGATGGAAAATCAGAACCAGCTAATTAAATTTATGCAGAGCCATTAGAAAATCCTTAAGATATTGATCTATTATATAAGGAAAAGTTTGAAGCCAAAGGTTTGTTACCACCTGATGATCCAAAGATAAGTAGTCTCTATATTTCCCATATGTCAACTGATATCAAGGAATCAGATTTAAAGTATAATTAATTATTTAAATAGACATTTATTTTCAAAATTTGGAAAACTTAATTCAATTAAAATAATGGAACATGGTTAAAGTTGTTTCATCAATTTTGCAAAAAGAAAAGATGCAGAAACAGCTGTAAATGCATTATATAATAATTTGATAATAAAGGATGTCATATGCAAAATTCAATGGGCTAGAGCACCAAATAAAAAAGTTCCAATTAAAGGTATTTTTTATAAAATAATAAATAGATCTAATCTAATCCTTATAGCCAGAAGAGAATAATAAAGCTCAACCACCATAAGCTCCTCCATAAAATATTGATAAACGCTAACAATCTGAAGATAAGTATACTTATTATATAATATTTTTAGTTTGCTTATAGGATTACTCAATACATAAATGACATATCCTAATTAAAATCCATATTAAAAGGGAGGTGTTAATAATAAAGATATATGATAAAATTGTTCTATTATTAGTTATTTATGCAACAATTTAATTATATCATCGAAATCTATATAAATTAAAAATGAATGAAATTTGAATTATTAATTATTATTTTATTAATGCAAGGAAAATCAGTCAGAGCATCACATATCCTATTAAAATCTACACAATCAAGAAACCCATATGATAGAGTTAGAGATAAATAGGTTACTAGGTACTTAAATCTTATATTTAAATTAGATCAGATGCTGATGCAGAGAAGGGAATTAGAGAAATAAGAGCATAGGTTGAAAACAATTTAAATTTATTTGCTAAAATAGCTTAAGAGAGAAGTGAAGTATATAAATAAATTAAAGAAATAATAGTGTTCTTCTTGTTAAAAGGGTGGAGATTTAGGTGAATTTACTAGGGGATAAATGTAAAAGTAGTTTGAAGATGTGGCATTTGCATTAAAGGTTGGTGAGTTGAGCCAACCAGTGAAAAGTGATTCTGGATGGCACATCATTCTTAGAACAGGTTGATGAAAATAATATTTATGAAAATCATATATTAATAAATGAAATTTATTATCTTCAATATACTAGTTTATTTTGTAGTTAGTGAAGTAGAAACTGTATTTGAAGATGGAATTGAATGGACTAAAATGCCTATCGAATTTGAAGAAGTAGAATAACCAATAGAGAATTTATAAGGAGGTTAAGGCACTACAAATTATGGAACAATTGATTATGGGATTACAGAGGAAATGGCTAAGATGTTTAAAACATTAAATGATCCTCATTATGATGTTATAACTCGTCCCATTATTAAAGAAATTGGATTGGAATTCTTTGAAAGTCATTATAAGAAATTTTGCAATACAGATGAATTCTTCGAGAGATTAATATATCAAGGAAGCAATGTTGAATTCAATACCATAAATATGATTGTATCTTATGAGTTCATACATAGTACCATGTTAAAATGACTGTTAATGAGTTTATGGTTGAGTTTAGCCTTAAGAATTGGGACACAGAAAAAAACGACTTTTAAATCAAGGAATTCACCAAGTGTGAAATTTATGAAAGAGTACAAAAAAAATAGGACTTATGAAAATTATTTTATATTATTTTAAATAACTGAGATTTTCTATTTTAAACATTTTTTTGAAATACTACAAATCTCAAATATAGTAAAATAAGTAAATACTTTATCTAGAAATTTTAAAAATTACTTTAGTCCATTGTCAATAAGTAATTTTTTACTTAACCTTAATACTATTGAATGTTTACTTAAATTTATAATTCATTCTTTACTCTAAAATGGTCATTTCTAAATTTCTTTTGTTAAATATTTTTGAGCATTCATTACTTACAAATTATTTACTCTAAATTTTCATTACTTTTTAACTGCATCTTTTGATTCAATTTAGTTAAGGGTTGAAATTTATTTTCATGTGAATCTAATACAAAATGAAATAATTCTACTAATAAAATACTCCATTTTTTATTGTATGAGGTTTAAAGATTAATTTATATATATTTTATTTGCAATTATTAGAGTTCAATTATACCTATTGAATCCATTAATTTCTTAAATTAATATGTATAAGTTAAATATTAGAAAATTACATAAATGTTTTCATATAAAAATTTATATCCATTTTTTCTTTTTTATTTATAATTAATTCATTCAAATAAATATCTCATAAGCAATAAATAAATTTTTGAAAATTTATGGAAATAATAATAAAAATGTATTTGATCATTAAATCTTATTATAGAAATGATATAGTATAAATAAAATAATTTTATTTAAGAAACCAATTAGGCTTAAATAATTAATTTTATTTATGATAAAATTGAACAAAAAGTGAGATTTTTACATAATGTTCTTTATTAAATATTTTTTTTGAATTTCGACTTATAATTTCCAAAAAATCGAATAAAGAACATTGAATAAGTTCTTTTGGAATTCATTATAACTAAATTTTGTTAGATATTATGACATTTTAATATATATTATTTATAAAAACAATTATAAATGATTTTAATATTATCATCATGCTTAATGTTTTAAATCATTAATGCTCAGTCTGGAACAGTTAATCCAGTCTAATAAGGATATTAATATCAGTATTAAATGATAGATTGGAATAATTCCTTATATTTTACAGTTGAATAAAAATATATACCGGCTTCTTACTAATATTCAAGTTAATAATCAAGCAGCATTAACTATTATTTAATATTTGCTATTCAGAATGGAAAGTTGACAGATTTGGGAGTATAAAATGTATTTTTACAATATTTAAAAATTGATACATCTATGAAGACATTGACGCATTATTTTGAAATATTAACACAGAAACAGAAATACTTTTAGTAAATTACAGTTAATAATTTAAATTATGAAGGTTTTTGGTATAGTTTAGAAATAAGAAATGATGCTCTTTAAAAAAGTTTAAACATCACTTACTATCAAAATTCTAATAAGAATATTATATTTCAAAAGATATATTAAAATGAATATTTTGCTATTACTGATTATTTTTCATATTTTTTTGGGGAATCAAAAATAGTAAAATATTTATATAATATTTAGTCTAAATAATTAGGATATTTTCAATTTTAAGGTGTTATTAAATACAAATTAATAGCAAATACAACTAGATTTACTCCAACAAGTTAAATTGCATGTAGTTCAACTTCTGGTTATGCTATGAAAAGTGTGTCTAATTTTTCATCAGATTTGTATTATGAGTATACAATTAAGGACTTAATTCTTAAATCTTATGGAGTTACTACTTGGGTAAAGATAGACCAAAATAAAGCCATAAAAAATAATTATATAAATGTTCTTCATATATAATTGAATCCAAACTTAAAATATCAAAATTATGTAGGAGGTAAATTAGCTTAAGTGACATATTTAATAAATTCTACAAAGCAAATAGTTTAGATTGTTTATTAAACATTTACTTTTCCCTATTTACCTTAATTAACAAATGGTATTGATCCTTTAGAAAAGAGTGTCAACTATGAAATTGACAATTAATATTCACTTTATAATTGGCATTATTTCTCATATTCATTTAGAAACAATTAGATTTATTTTAATTTAAATTTTGTGAAGTAGAATTACCAATTTACAAAGACAATCACAAATATTAATTAGTTTTCTGATTTGATGCTAGTTCTTCATTTAGGAGGTACAGCTACAAATAGAAGTAATACAAATGGATAGTTTAATCTACCCTACTTTTATACTTGTCTTAATTCTTATACTCCAAGATGTCATTATTCATGTTCTACATGTTCAGGATCTTAATCAAATTAATGTTTAAGCTGCACAACATCCTCAAATAGATAATTATCATACGATTTCAAATGCATCTGTAAACTTGGATATTTAGATGTGAATTTCAGTTCATGTTATAAGATTTCATCATCATTAGTTTAAGATAAATTAGTACCCCTCTCTAATTCAAATGGATATGACTAAGAGGGTCCATTAATTATATGTAGTTATGGTTATTTTAAATATGATGATAAATGTTATCCATGGTAATTATTTAATTTATAAATTTGTTAGTCCTAAATTAACAAAGATTTATTTTTGTCCAGAATGTTTATAATATACAAATTCATGGGTTTATAACCCTGTTTGTACTAAAAATTATCAATAATATAATCAAAGTGAAAATAATACTTTTACTTAAGATATAATACTGCCATTATCTATATTATATTTGAACATTGAACCTTATATTGTTTATTTATTTAATGATGAATAACTTACTCTCTGCACATTCTGCAATAGTTTGTGTGTGGCTTATCCATATTCTTCAGATTGTTAAGAGAGTAATTATTATCATTTGCAATAAAAAATAATGATAATTTGTTCATAAGGAGCAACTTTAATAGATGGAGAATGCAAATCATGTTAAACAAATTGTAAAAAATGTAATTATATTAATTAACAATTTGTTTGTGTGGATGAAGAACAAATACAAACTTTATCACCAAGATGTTAGTAGACATCTCCTAATGTCTGTAAACAATGTTATGATAACAGTAATTATTTTTTAAATATGGAATCTAACGATTGTTATCCATGTTCAATACCAAATTGTAAATATTGTTTCCAATATTTAAAATCTGATATTAATTATAATACTATCTTTTAACATTAACCATTCCCATATGAATAAGAGGATTTAGCTGTAGCTTGTGCATTATGTCATATTGGCTATAGTTTTAGTTTTGTAACAGGTAAATGTGAAATAAATCTTAATTAATTGGGAGATTCATGTTAGAGTTATTACATAAATTAATAAGGCAAATCAACATGTCTGGTTGATACAGACTTTTCATTAAGTAGTTCTGTTCCTGATTGCAGATAATATTTATCATAATGTATCACTTGTATTAAAATACTTCCAAATTCATATTATTGTTTATAATGTGAATATGGATATTATGTGCATAGTATTTATGGTGTTTGTATGTCTTGTGTTGAATATAATTCTTTATATTTAGAATGTGAATAAATTTAATTGTATGAAGTACCATTTAAATATGAATTGACTCCTTTCTTTTTTAGTTTAACTAAATAACATCCTGGATCATAAACTATAGACTCATTGAAAATATAAGTAAAATCTTGCATAAGCTCTTATGGTATAGTCAGCGATATTTTATGTTCAAAAACTGATTCTATAAATTGTGAATTTTATGATAAAGGATGTAGAACTTGTTCATCTACTAATGAAGGAACAAAAAGACTTACTATTCTTAATTTAAAATGTTCTGATTGTCCTTATTTTTGTGAGTATTGTAAGCCTCGTTAAAATTAGGAAATATCTTTAATTAATCCTTATACAAATACAACTGCTATACCTATAGAACTGACTTACAGATGTATTCAAAAATCCAGTATTCACAATAATATATTTTTTGATAATCGTTTATAATTAGCCAGAATATGCTCTCCAGAAATCCCGAAATGTGAATTATATCACGCTTAGGTAATTTATATTAATTATATTAAGAACTTTACAAATTTGAGAAACTTTTAATAAACAATGATATCACTTACCCCATCTAATAACCTACTATATTATAATCTAAGGGGTAGCTCAGGATTTTTATTCTTTATTAATTCTAGCTCTACATATTTAATTGAAAATTCCTTTTTTGCTCTAAATGATATACAAAATCATTATATATCATAAATTGTAAGTGTTAAATATACAAAAATTACTTATTATTCTTAAAGTATTTCTTCTGGTTTAATTTTTGGTAAGCTAAGATTTCTAAATTTCCAGGAAATTGAATTTATTCAAACTAGTATTCTATTTAGTATAACTTAATCATCTAAATTAATTTTTGAGTCACTTGAAACTATAAACTTATTATTTGAAAACTGTATTATTAAAGATACAAATACAACTTTTAGTTTTTATTATCTAATTTTTGACTCTACAATTTTATAAAGATCTTATTAAATTGCTATACAAAATCCAAATAGAATTAATTTCACTAATACACTTATTTCAAATATTTCTTTATTTAATACAACATTTCTAAATTTAACAACTGTGAATAAATAAATAAATCAACTTGATTTTCTTTATTTTTAAAATGTAACATTTTTAAATTGTTCGTTTTCTTAAACTAATATTATTAGTCTATTAGATGTGAATCAATATAATTACATTCATATAATCTAATTAAGTTTTATTGATTGTAATTTTAGTGAAAGTTACTTCATAAATACATTTGGTTTACAATTAAGAGGTTAATTTAAACTTGAAAATTTAGTCATGAAGAATTGTTTAATGAAAAATTCAGCTTTAATAATTATTCCAATTACTATATAAACTACTATTAGTGTATTAGATCTTTAAGATATTTAATTTTATGATAGTGATTTTATTAGATTATCTTCTTCAGCTTTTATTGAAAATATAAAAGTGAAAAATAGTTACTTTTCTAATTCCAAAATTATTCACAAAATCAAATCACTCATTTCATCTGCTAAAGAGGAATATCTTATACAAAATCTCGAAATATTTGATTGTTCTTATTAAGAATTCAACATTATATCAATACCTTAATACAGCATAGAAGATATTAAAGTAACATTAAGAACTATTAAAACTTATAATCTCCATTCACTAGATTATTATTTGAATTTGAATTATCCATTATTTTAATTCTAAGTTACTTAGATAATTATTGAAGATATACAATTGATCCGATAACCTGGATCTATTGATTTTATCATAAAAGATTGTGAATATGTATTCATATAAGATGTTAAAATATTATCAAGTTTAACAAAAATTTCATTTGATTCTATTGAATTAAAACAATAAACTTTAAATACAATATTTATCATTGAAACTTAGTAATTAATATTAAAAAATATACTACTTTAAAATTAATTAAGTGTTAATGTAATCTTTTTTTATTTTAGTTTAATAAAATTACATGATTTATAAGATGGATATTTAAAGATTTCAAATTTAAATCTTGAAAATATTTAACTAATTAAACAATCATTTTCAGAAATATCAACAATATTTTATATTACAAGTTTGATTACTTAAAATATATCTATATCAGATTCAAAATTTAATGGAATATTTCTTAATGAATTTGTTTAAGATACTAAAATATCATCAGCAGCAATTGCAGTGATTATTTCAGAATCAAGTATACTAAACTTAGAAAATAATTATATAAATAATGTTATTGTTTTGAATTCAAGTAATTCAATATTCTTGATTTAAACTTAATAGACTATTCTATAAAATATTACTAGTGTTAATGTAAATAACTTTTAATCTTACCATAATACATATTAATAGAAATAATTAATCTAATTTGATTTGATAAATGCTCCTATCTTAATAATTTCATAGGGAGGATTATTTAATTTCTTAACATAAAAATTAATAATATTATCTTGTCATTTTGAAAATATTGTAGGATTATAGGGAGGAGTTCTAAGTATCACAACAAAGTTTTTTGGATTGATTGATATTTAACAAACAATCTTCAATAACTCATCTACTAATGTTCATAGAAATCAAGAAGGAAGAGGTGGTAGTATTTTCATTAATTCAGAAAATTCATACTTAAATTTATCGATTAAAGATACTTAATTTTTAAATTCAACAAGTGGTTTTGAAGGAGGTGTTATGTATATCAAACCTTCTTAATATCAATGTTATTTGAAATTATAAAATGTTACTTTTAAAGATGTTTATGCTGTTCATTACTCAGCCATATTTTTTTAAATAATTGATGCAAATATAGATTCAATTTCATCTATTGAATTATTTAATATAGAAATAGAAAATTCATTTTTATAATTGCTTACATTTTTAAAAACCTACTAAATAGATCTAAATAATTACAATATAAATGAATAATCAGCTATGTTTTCTCTTTAGAATGTGTATAATTTAATTATTATTTTAAGCTTAATTTACTTGAATGATGTCAAAGTTACTGGATTTTTTGCTTAACCAATTCTTTACCTTACTTATATAAAGTGCATTTTTTTGGATAAAATAATTGTATATAATATAACTTCTTTGTTTAGTCTATTAATCTATATAGAAAATATGCCATGTAATTACTAATTTATTATGAATTTTAGTTTATAAATCAGCATTTATGGTTAAATCAATCCAAATTAATTCCTTTAATGAAATAGATATTAATTAGATTAAAAAATATTCTTAAATTGAAGATATCAACTAGTATATCCTCAATAAAAATGATTCCTTTAATTCCAAATCACTTTTAGAAATAGTTCTTAATAATAATCTTACATCAGCTTCAGTTTTTTCACTCAATATGCATAATAATAATTGTAAAACCTGTTAATCTGGATTAGTTTATATAAATAATAAATAGATAATAAAAAAGGTTAGATTGATTAATTTATACTTTTTTAAAAATACATGTGGTTTAGGATCTTGTTTATAGTTAAATTCTATAATTAATTAAATTCTTCACTTTTTATCTCAATCAATATTTTGTTATAATTCTGCTTAAATAGGAGGTGCACTTTATTTATCAAATTTTAGATTGAAAATTCACGAAACAGTTTTTTTAAATAATATAGCTGTTGATTAAGGAGGAGCCATCTACTATTAAACTTAAAATTCAACACAATAATTATAATTTAAGGATGTAAGCTTTGTAAAAAATTAAGCACAAATAGGAGGAGCTATTTATGATAAAAATAATTATGATTTAGATTAAATATCATTTTAATTAGTTAATAACAAAGCACTATATTTTGCCAATAATTTAGCCACAGAACCTACTGAACTATAATTCTAAATAAATAATTAATCTACAATAAAATATAATTTAATGGTTGAGAACAAGACTATATAGATTATAAGTTATTTAAATAATTCTAAACCAAGCAAATTTATTTATATGCCTAGTGGAATTTCATTAAACAACTATTAAAAATTCAATATGGAAACTAGTGCTTATACAATTTTAGAATATAATTATACAATTCAAGCTGTAAATTGTTTGAATGAATAAATTTTTGATCTAAAACAAACTTAATGCTAATTAAATATAAGTCAAATACAAAAAACTTAATCAAATGAAATAAGCAAAAATTCTGGGATTATAGATATACTATTTAATGAAGAAGAATAAAATTATGATCTAAAAGATTAGATATTTACTTTAGATCCTTATTAAAATGATAGTTTTTACTTATAAATTGATGCATAATGCAATAGTATCCTAACAAAAGAATATTATTTAAGATTCTTTGTTAAAACTTATCATTGTTAAATTGGAGAGTATTTTGAAAATTAAAAATGTTTAAAATGTGATAGTCTATAGGGGTATTATTCAGTCGAAGTTAAAAGTACATAATGTACTAGGATGGATATTTAAATGATTAAAAGCACTAATGGAGCTATGATAGAACTATAACCTGGCTATTGGAGACACTCCTTTAGATCAAATAAAATTGAGTAATGCAAAAAATATCCAAACAGATGTCTTGGGGGTTGGGATGTATCAGATAATACATGCTTTATTGGATCCTTAGGAGCTTTATGTGAAGAATGCGATTTATTTAATCTAAGAGGACAAGGATCTTATCTAAACAATAAGGAAAGCATCTGTCAATCATGTGGTAAATTTAGTGTTTAATTGTTTTTCATGATTTTAGAGTCAATATGGATTATTCTATTAATTATTCTGACTGTCAGAAGTAATAGCTTTTCTAATAAATAATTATTTAAGCTTAAATGCTTATATCGTCACTATCAAACTATTTATAAACAAATGATGGATTAAACTAGTACTCTTATTAAAATGGCTAATAATAATTTTTAAATATTGTCATTAATAAGTACATTATAAATTAGCATTTTCTCAAGTTTATCAAATGTTGTAATATTTTTAGGAGATTCTACTTATATAGTAACATATTAATTAGATTGTTCTATTCCCTCAATTGCAACAATTCAATACGAATATGCTCATTTTATAATAATTTTATTATTACCATTATTTCATTTTGGCAGTTGTTGTTTCGTATTTCTAATCTTTCTTATTAAAAAATATGTGACATTTTCAAAATCGTATATATACTCTTCTATTATTTATTTATATTGTTTAAATTTATAGAACATTATGAAATGGTAATATTTATTTATTATATTGATATTAGGGGTGTATCCTTAATTACAAAACGATCATTATCTGGAATTGATTGGATTTAAGCTAATGTTGCCAGTAGATATGATACAGAAACACATAGTTTATGGTCTATAAGATTTATTTATCCAATTTTGATTTTCTTAGGTATATTTATTCCTGCATTCCTTTTTTATTAAATGAGAAAAATAAGAAAAATCTTAGATGATAAGAATTCAATATAAAAGTTTTCATTTTTATATAATGAATATACAAATGAATCATATTATTGGGAAATTATAAAAATGTTATAAAAGATATCAATAATTTTAATAGTAAATTATTTTGAATAATCAATACTAATAAAAGGAATATTTATGTTTCTTATTGTTTTAATTTACTATAAACTTTGCTTAGAAATTTAACCCTATAAATTATAATCTATAAGTTAAATTGATGGTAAGATTTCATTTTTATTATCAATCACTCTTATTTGCAGTGTTTTATTATATGTGATATAATAGGAAGAACTATATTATCTAAATTATGCAACATAAGTAATAATTTTATTTCTCATATACAAATAAACAGAATTTCTATTGAGAAGGATTTTTATTGTTTATGTTTAAAGATTAAATTTATAATTAGATGTATTAAGATAGTAAATACTAATCAGATTTCCAAAAATATATATTTAATATGTGTGTTTGAGACCTTACTTAATGTTAAGAAAGGAATAGGAAGAGAGAATTTAATAGAGATTCAAAAAGATACGATAATATTTAAGAACTAAATCTAGATTAGTGAAGGAGAAAAATATATATTTGAGCAATACTTTTAGAGAATCAAGTTTAATTGGATCTTATCTACCAACTTCTAGTCGTCCTCTTTATACTGGAGAGAATGGCCAAATATTAAAATCAAGTGTATGAAATATTTTATTTTTTGGGCTATTTAGATTATAAATAAATTAGATTATAAAAAAAGCATTATTTACAATTAAGTATGAATATCGCAAATTAATTAATAATAATTATAATTAATAAATAAATAAATAAATAATCATATCATTTCAAATGAATTATCGGCTTTACAAGACATGGTTTCATTATTCTTGATTTATGTATTGAAATTTATTAAGGTAAAGGTAATTCTTATAATTTAAAATAACTTAAGAAATTTCTTTCGAGTTTATTAACATTTAATAAACATCTATCACAATTATAAATATAATAAATATATTAATTGGATATCTCTTAAGAAGAATCTGATTATATGAACTTTTTTATTTCTATTTAGGAACTGAAAATTACTCCTTAAAAATTTATTAAATTGGAATTATAGAAAATTCCCTCACTTTGTTTAACGAATTTAGAAATGTCCCAACATATTGGGAGTAAATCTTCCTTTGATATATAATCTTCTAAAATTTCTTCATTTATGCCCATCATTCTTAGAAAATCAAAATTCATTTTTTTCTTTATTCCAACCAATTATCCATCTATAAAAAGAAAATTCAAACATTCATATGGTTTATTAATATTCTCTTCAAATATATTTCTATTATTTTAATTTATCACTTCATAAGGTAATCGATTGTAAAAATTCATCATCTCATCATCTTATAAATTATGTCTTCCCTAAAATCCAGTATTTTGACCAAAAAATGATAACTTATATTCAACGAATTCTTTATCATATTTCCTTTCTAAAATTTTACCCTTCATTAAAAATTTGTCGATCAATAATGCTCCTAATGATCGACATGAATATCCATTTCTTTTTTATGATTATACCATTCTTTATAAATAAGTAATTTAGTATAAAGAATTCCCTTCCTCTATTTGATTTAGACGAGCTAAATTAATGAATCGTAATTACTTTTACTCCATTTAACAAGCTAAGTTTTCTATTTGGTTATGGGCTTTTGCAAAATTTATGAAGACCTTTTCTTCTTAAGCTCCTATTATTTGGAAGATGAAACCAAGGAATGTATTGATGTCATAAGATGCAAATATTAAAATGTATGATAAATACTTAAAACTGGCAATTATGAATGCCCTTTTAAAAGTCATAATTAATTACAAATTAATAGTAATTAGCTAAAGCGAAGATTTGTAATTAATATATAATATAAATGATTAATTTTATAAATATAATTTATGTTAATAATTTTTTTGTGGCTCATTATTCAATAAAATCAAAATGATCTCTTTTTTCTCCAAAAATACTCACTTCAAATCCTATTTATATGTATTTTGTTTATACTTAATATTAGTTTTTCTTATATTATTTTAACATAATTATTTACATTATTTCATATAACATAAATACTTAATATTTTCTTCAACAAAGTATTAATAAATTTATCACAGAAGTTCATAGAATTATTCTAATGTATTTGAATCTTGCCATCTTACTAAAAGGTTTGATTTATTATTTTTATTAATAAATATTAAATAATTAAATTATAGTATTATATTAAAATTAAATATATATAATCCTATATATAATTCTTCATCTAATTTAATTAATAAATATATTTTCTGCACGACCTCTAGCAACTTTCATTTTTACCCAACTGAATAGAGATAATGTAAAATTTTAACTTGTAAAAATAAATTAAATTATAAACAAATTGTTAAATCAATGTTGTTTCCAAGCTTAATACTACTTTTAAATTCTATGTAAAATTTCTATTTCCTCAATTCTTTTCCTATCTTCGTAATATTTCTGAAAATTTATCTATATACAGCAATCCATTTATGGTTTTTTAACAATATTTCTGAAACATAAGAATATTATAAGATCATAGACAAATATTGTATCAATTTTCTTTTCATTATATATTTGGTGTTTATTAATAGGTTTTTAAGTTTCTAAAATCTATTAATATATTGGTTCTAGTTGTTAAGCTAAAATTAAAAACAATTCTTTAAAATTATCATTTATTGCCATAATCAAGTATTCATTTTCTTCAATACTACTATCTTTATAAGCATCTCCTCTTTCTATAATAGAGAACTTTTCTAATTGAAATTAAGCATCATATAATTAGTCTTTCCATTTTATGAATTCTTTCCTAGAGATATCAAAATCTCTTTAAGTACTCTATCTTATTTTTTACAAATCATTTTAATGATATTCAGAAGTCATTAATTCAAGCCAATCCTGTGGATCAATCTCTATGATACCTGCTTCATTGCAATCAAACAAAAGCATCTAATTTATGGATGAAAAAACACAATAAATCCTTTTGTAAAGTAAAAACATAGACTTGATATATAAATCTTCAGGTATCAAATTTGCTGAATCAATTTTTTTTTAACTTTCCAATTCTTTTGCTACTTATAAGAAATAATATCCTATAGATTTTTCAAATTCTAAGTGATCTTTTGCTTTTCTGGCTCTATTCAAAATATTTTAATGAGCCAAATAATTTCTATTAATAACATTTAGAATTACAATGTCTATCTTCTTCCATATTCTTACATTTCATCCTATTCTTTGTCTGATAAACTTAGACTTCCACTTTAAAGTACAAAATTATTTAAAGTCAAATCTTCAACTGAATCTTAAGTTGATAATATATACATAGGATCTTATTCAATTTTTATAGCTTTATGATTGAAGAATTCCTACCATGAAATTCTGCTATTTTCATCAATAACAAGCATCCTTTTTAAAAGATCTTTAGTTGGTTCTGATAATGTACATCCTTCAGGAATCAAATTATCAACTATTAACAATTAATTAATTGAATACCTTTTTATTAAATTTTCTTTAATAATTTTAAAGGGTTGACTTCTTCCCATGGATACTCTCTAAATAACATAAAATAGAATGTAACTCCTAAAGACCACATATCACTTAAACTATTATAAGATTCTTATTTAATTATTTGTGGAGACATGAAAACTGGTGTGCCACTAAAAGTTTAAAATTTTCCACTCTAATTTGATTAATCCATAACTTTAGCCAAACCAAAATCAGCAACCTTTACTTATCCATTATGTAATAATAAGTTTTATGGTTTAATATCTCTATGTATAATCTTTTAACTAACTAAATATTTGAATGCTGATGCAATTTATCTAAAGAACACAACAACATCTTCTTCTGAAAGATTATGATTCAAAATAAAATCATCCAAAGCACCTTAATTACAGTATTCTGTAACCAAATACATAAACTCTTCATTTTTTTTTGCATCTATAAAACCTACAATGTTTAAATGAGTTATTTTTCTTAAAACATTGATTTCTTGTAAAAGTGACACTGTTACTTCAGGAGACGCTTTTACAGGTATTTCTTTTATAGCTAAAAAGATTTTTTCATCCCCTGTTCCTTTAGCATAAAATCCCAAGTAAACAGTACCACAATTTCCTTTGCCCAATTATTTTTGTGTGTCTATCATATATTTATCAATCTAAATGTAGCGAGATTTCATTATTTATATTTATAATATTGATAATAAAAATTTAACACATTTAACTTAATAATAATATTTCTGTATTATCTACATTAAGGGTAATTATAAATTAAACAAACTATTAAATAATATACATCCAAAAAGCAAATTGTAGACAACTCTAATTAATAAATTAAATATCTCAGTGTTAATCAAGCTCGACCAATTATTCAACATAAAATAAATAAAAGTAGATATACACAGTATTGGTAATTCTATATAAAATCTTGATGTTTTCATCAACCTCTTGATTTTCAAAATTGTAAACATTTCTACTAAATTGAAAAAATATACTAAAAATATGAAGATCTTTTAGTTTTTAATATTCCAAATTTTATTGATATTCAAAATATTAATCCATATCTAAGGAAATTAAAGCTTTATTTACTAACAAATCTTTATATATATCTGCCTTAAAGTATCTACTCTAATACTTTTAAGCCCAATCAGCATGTTACAGGCTTCTTGAAATAAGCTTTTTAAAAAATTGAAGACTTTTGTCTTAATTTAAATAATTAAAAAAATCAAAGTAATTAATCAAAAATTATTTATTTAAACTTTTTTATCCTTTCTTATATTAAATTATATTATATAAATTATCCACATAATCAATTTATAAACACATAAATTTATCATTCAAATATAAAATCATCCTAGTTTTTATTTATATCTTAAATCATCAAATTGAGAATGTCAAGATTGTAACCAGCTATCTTTTTCTCCTTCTTAAAATAAATTTGCAATTAAGTTCTAATATTTAGCACTTTCATCATAATTTCATGTGAATTAAATCCAAATCCATCAATCTTATTGAAAATATAAGTTATTAATTTATTAATTATTATTGGATATTATTTTAAAGCAATATCTTAATTCATTTCATTAATTAAAGTTACTAAATGTTGATGATGTAGAAATTTCATAAGAGAACTTAAATCTGAATTTTAGAGATTATCAAATAAATATTCTGTTACATTTTTATTATAGAATAGATCTTCATTTGGAATTTCACCTAATTCTATAGTTTCTCTATATTATTTAATCTTTTCCAAAATATCCATTAATTATTCAGTTTCTAATAACTTTTATTATCCAATTTAAACTAAAGTTAAATCTTTTTTCACTTAATCTTATCCTTAATCAAATCCAGTTTATTATTTATTTTTATTTTATAATTCCTACATTAATTATTCTTGCATTCTCTTTTCTTCTTCTTCTGAAACAAATATTTATTCTTTGGTTTAAATATATTTCCTAATAACTCCATTTTTTGTAGCTGAATAAAACAAATCTCCAATACATCCAATAACCATTGATTATATTCCAACTAATGCTTCATTAAATTATAATATTAATTAATATGTATCTCCATCCCAATATTTTATAATATTATCTTTGCATCCACTAAAGAAATAGTGAGTATCATTTACTGTTTTTATTTAAATAACTTCAGCAGTATGTGCTTTTAGAGTTTTCTTACAATTTCCGAAATCAGTTGCCCATAATTTAATACTTTTATCTGCACCTGCTGAAATTATTATTGTATCATCTGAAGTATAGGCAAAAGTTAAAACAGGTAATGAATGTCCATATAATTCAAGATACAATTTATGAGAGTCACAATAATAGATTGATACAATATTATTCATTTGTGCAAATGCATAATAATTACCATCATAAGAAAATTAAGCACTTCTAATATTTTCTTTTAAAAAGATTGTATTAACAACTTAGAATTCTAAACACTTTTATGTTTTATTATAAAATAACTCTACAAAGTTTACCTTTTTATCTATTTCAGTTGTCATTATTACTAAACCATTAAAAGCCTTACAATTTTCATGGCATTCAATACTATTAATATTTGAATTATGAATTTTTTATTCAAATATCACTTCATTTTGATTCATATCAACTAAATATAAGATTCCTTACTCATCTCCAACCATAAAATATTTATTTTTTGGTAAAATACATAAAGATGTTAAATTACTTGTATTAGTAAGACTATTAATTTATTAAGCAGTTTCATTATCAAACTAATAGCATTTATTTGATGCTATTACTAATAATTTATGATCATTCTATGTTAATTTAATTTATTTTATTTATCCTGTAATCTATTAAATAGCTACATTACTATTTTCATCCACATTATCATTATTTAATTCTTTTATTACTATTTAATTATCTGATGTGAAAATAAATATTTTTAATAAATTTTTGAATACTATAGCTTAAAAATATACAATCTTATTTAACTAAGATATAACAGTGCTATATATTAAGGATTAACTAAAGTTTTCAGCTTTTTGCAGTTTTTTTCCTTATTTGGATTTATATACTTCTATTTTCTTTTCATTATCTAAATTATTTTAAACTTTTACTTAAAATCAATAATTTTTATTGAATATATTGGCATTGTATAGCTCTAATAAAAGATTATCTTTTAATAATGCCATCATTTTCAATCTAACATTTGCCTGATATTAATTAACATGATTTAATTAGAACTTCATCAGAATTAGTGCAAATAAGCAAATAATTTTCATAAATACATAAACATGTCACTTCACTATGCATACTTGATAGAGTAGCTACAGAACATTCTAGATTCAAATCCCATATTTTCACTAATCCATCTTTGCTACCTGATACAATAAATTATTAAGTAATTGCCAGACTTTAATCTTCAAGGCTAATTATTTCTAAAGCAGTAATTTAGTTTGAGTGTCCTATCAATCTAAATTATAATGATTAATCAGCTAAATCCCAAACAATAATAGATGTGTCACAACTTCCACTTATTAAAACAGCCTCACTCAAAAATACTAATTAGGTTATTTCACTTTAATGGTTAAAAAATCTGCATTATATTTCTTTATCAATCAGATTATATACTATTATTTCACCATCGTGATATCCTATTGCTAAAGTGTTATCTTTAATAGCAATTTTTGTTATTTTTATATTCTTACCTTCAATTATAATTTATTAAATAATCTCTTGTGTCTTGATATTTAACAAAAGTATATATTAATCTACTATTGTATATGCTAAATCATTTATTATTACTCCTCCATTGTTACCAATACTACCGAAAAGAGTTTCAAACTTATATCCAAAATAGGCTTTTACCATAAATAATAAATTAATTATTTTTAATGAGTTTTAGAGATATTCTAAATTATACTTAAAATGTTAATTAAATAACCAATTTCATAAATGAAGATGAATATATAATATTTCTAAGTTAATTAATATATTTTCATTTAGAGTATGAATCTCTATTCTAAATAATTGAGAGGATACTTATAAATTAGAGAGATGAATATAAGGATATAATATTAAAAGAAATTAGATAACAACTTTTCAGAATATGAAAAATATTTAATTATTATTTATATATTTTATTAATTAATATGGTATTGGCTAAGTTAGCATTAGGAACAGCAGGTGCAGTGACTGTTGGATATTTATTTGTTCCACCATTCAATAGAAAACTTGAAAGAAATGTTCTCAGACCAATTAGAAATTATAGAAGACACTTACAGTAAGAGGATTCATTTAAAACAGAAGTAATTGTTATCTTTTCATTTTCTTAGGAAGAATTTTATTAATTTTTAGGAAGTGTTGCATTAGGTACCTTGAAAATGTTTACAATCGAAAGCGATTGAATAATTATTACAGATATTAATATACAATCTATTACAAAATTAAGAAGTGTTATTTAATTTATAAAACAAATAAAATTTTCAATATTATTGCTAATTCTTGGAAATATAATACTTATCTCATTCTAACTATATTTTCATAAGAGGTAAGTAAATTATTTAAAGAATTGAAAACTAATATAAATTATATAGAAAATTGAATGAATATATGATTTATGTCAAAATTAATTATTCAGAAATCCAAATGAAGATCTTCAGCTACTTCAAATTATCTTTACTAACTTGACCTTAGATTTTTTTTCTATGGTTATTATTGTTTCTTTTTCTTTAAATCTTCTAAGACCTATTTCTCATAATAATTTGGAATATGTTAAAGATATATTTCTTCTTTTAATCTCAAATAACGTTCATCTTTTTCTTTATTTAAAGCAGTTTTAGGGGCAAAAGTATTATAAGCATTTCCAATAAAGTTGATATTATTTTGCTAGTAGTTGGTAGGAGTTCCTTAACCTTTATTCTAGGTTTACTGATTTATAATGTTATGAGGATTTGAGGATTTTGAGGTTCTTTTAGGAATTTATTAATTAGTTAAAGGAATATTTGAATTTTTCTTTTTAGGAATAAATTAATATTGATGACCTACTGAAGGGTTTCTAGAGTTTGGTTAATCTTGAATAGTTTTGTGAAGTTATTAGGGATTATTATAAGAATGTTTAACACTAATACTTTTAGATGAAATCTTTGGTTAAAAAATATCTTTTGGATCATTCATATCAAATTGTCTCATATAATCAGAATTTTAATAGTCAATTTAATCATGTTAATTGATTATTTTTTCCTCTGCAAATTCTACTGAATCACTTTTTAATTTTTAATTCTTTTAAAGTTCAAACTCATGTTCAAAATCATCTAATTATAAAAATATTTGTTTTTTATTTTTATTTCCATCCTTTCTTTAAGAAACTTCATTGTCCTCATTCTCAAAATCAATAAGTTATAGTGATTACTTTTTCTAATCCTCATTCTGAAAATCTAACATTTGTTATTATTATTCTTCAAATAATTTAAGTCTTTATTCTTCTTCCTCTTATAAAATTTTAAGTCTTTATTATTCTTCTTCTTCTAATAATAATTAAATTCTTTTTTAATTTTCTTCTTCCTCCTATTATTATTTTCTTAATTCTTCCTCCTTCCATAAAATTTATTATAATTCTTATTACTATTTTATTTCTTCCAATTATTTTAATCTTAATTCTTCTTCTTCTTATTTTTTTAATAGCTCTTATTATAATCTTTACTTTTCTTACTCTTAAATAACTCTTAATTCATGTTCTTCTTTTTCTTTTTTTATTTATTCTTCTAATTGTTTTTGTAATTCAAATTCTTTTTATTTAAATATTCTTAATTCTTCTTCTAATTTTTATTGCTCAAGTCTTTCCATTTCAGCCTTATTTTTTTTCTCAATCTCTAATTTTTCCAATTCTTATTCTCTTAATAATTTTTCTTGTAATTAAAGTTAAAACTTAATTTTTTCTTGTTTTTCTCTTTCTAACTCTTATTTTAATTCAAATTCCCTTTATTCTTAAAGTACTCTTTATCTTTATTATTCTTCTAATTAAGAAGTCCATATTCTTTCTTTTTCTTATTTTTCTAATAATATTTCTCTTTCTCTTCTTTAAGTTTCCTATATTATTTCTTTTGCCTTAATTCTTTCTGCTTCTTCTAATTATTTCTTTTCATCTTCAATTCTTTATTTTTCTAATTATATTTATATTAATTATTCTTGATACATTTCCTCTTTTAATTTTTGTTCTTATCTGAATTATTCCAACTTTAATTCTTCTTCTTTTTAAATTTTTAATCTTTCTTCCTCTAATTTTTATTTTAGAATATCTTAATCATTATTTTATCTTTTAGATTCAGAACTATCTTAAACTTAATTATTTTTATCAATATCAATTTTATCAATAACAATTTCAATAGTTTTATTTTTTTTAAATCTATCATTTTTAGTAGTAATATTTTATGGAGTATTTAATTAATTATTTTTAAAATTTAGATTATTATTACATTCTAATTCTGAAGAGAAATTTAAATCTTAATGTGAATCAGTTTACATAAATTTTGGTTAAAATTCTTCTGGATTTTGAAATTATAATACTTTATAATCATGAAAGAAATCTTTATCTTAAGAAGTTTCATTTAAAGGATGTTAAAGTTATTCTTCAATGGAAGATAAATTAAGTGATTATTCATCTGGATTTTTTGTAACTTTTTTATTTAAAATAAATTCTTCAAAGTCTTTCCTTTACTGACTTGTTTATGAATCATTATTTTGAGTTCTAAAAAAGGGTCCCTCTTCAGGAACAACACTATGTTTTTTACCAGGTATGATAACTTCAGAGTTATTTTTCATTAAAAATTATTTCTTTTAATTATTTGTAGAATTAATCTTTTAAGGTTCTTCTATTTATTAATTTTGAACTTCATCATTAAAATTAGCTTCTGCTTATTCACCTAATTAATCTGCTCCCTATTATTCTGATTGTCCTGCAATGAAAGATTATCCTACAACATAATTTAATGCTTGAAGTCCATTTTCTTTAAAATAATCTTCATTCTTCTAAGATTCCCATATAATGGAAATAAATATAACAAAAGTTACAATAATGCAATCAATAGTTGAAACATACAATTAATCTTTCTCATCATAATTGTTTAATATAATAGCTGAAGCAACAATCATAGGCAAAGTAATTAAGAAAATACTCAATAAGGAAATGATATTGAAAATAAGAAATTTCTAAATATCTACAATACAAGCTTTAAAGAAATAGAAACCAAAGTATCTAGAGAAATATAGTTTATTAATCTTAAATGTAGTTATTAAACCTATAAAAGATATCAATGCATATGTAATTTTATTAACTTGTCTACTATTTAACCATTATTAAAAATAAGGATCATTATAGATTGCACATCTAGCTGATATTAAATGTATAAAATTGAGTAAATAATTAATTCCTAAAGCTCCCATAATAATATAGTTTTAGAGATTGAATAATCCCCATTCTGAATAACTTAGATATAATAATACACATTGGCTTCCCCATTCAAATAAACCTCCAATAGATGTTACTGCACCTGGAATAAAAGTTTCAGGTTTAGTAATTCTGGCAACTATAACAGTTGTAGTGAATACTAATGTAAGGATAGTGCATGGCATCGGAATGAATTTATCTGTTTATATGCTTTCTAGAACTTAAACAGTGGAATTACAAGCATCATTTTTTGAATTAATAGTACAAAGAACACAAGTACCAATAGATTCATAATAGCCTGTTGGACATGAAGATATACAGTTACCATCATGGAAAATTTTATTAATTTAACTTTAAAGACATGTAATGCAATTAGTAAGACTTGAACATTTAAGACAAGGTGATATACATTACTTACATTAATTTATAGTAGTATCTGCATAATAACCATCATCACAAACACTAAAACAATTATTACCACTAAGGTATGTATTACTTAGACATGAATAACAAGTGTCAGGTGTTGTCTTACAAGATTTACATGGTTATCTACAATTGATACATGTTCCATTTTCAGGGACTTGATTTTCTGGACATTCTGTATTACATTAGTTGTTATAATAAAATAATATAGGAATTTAATCAACACAACTTAAACATGATGTGCTTGAATTACAAGTTTTACATGGAGGTACACATTATAAACATTTATTTGATACTTGATCTCCATAATATCCATCTTCACATTATTTAACACATTAGGATTCTGTATTCAAATAAGTAGTAGAAACACATGATAAACAATTATCAGGAGATGTACCACATAATAAACAAGGAGTTCTACATCCTACACATGTTTTGTTTTCTTCAAATAAATTGGTTGGACAAGATGTTAAACATTAATTGTTATACTATATTAAATTATCTTTGCATTTAACACAACTAATATTATCCAAACAAGTCAAACATATATTTAAACAGGATTGACATTATTAATCCTATTAATAATATCCATCTTCACATTTTGAAACACAAGTGGATTTGAATAAGTATAAATTATCTTTGCAAGAAAGACAATTAGTTTTATTTGAACAAGTATTACATGGATCTATACAAACTTAACATTAAAATTATTAGCTATCTTTGTAATAACCTTCTCCACAATCAGTGACACACATTTAATTTAATAAATAAGTATTAGGATAACATTCACTACATGTATCAGGTGTAGTTGTACATTATTTACAAGGATTCCTACATTAAACACATTAACCTTTTTCAGGAGCATAATCTTAAAGACAATTAGTGTTACATGAATTATTGTAATAATATAAGACAGGAATTTATGTTATACAACTTAAACATGATGAACTTGATTTACAAGTTTTACAAGGTGTTTTACATTATACACATTTGTTAGAATCAATATCACCATAGTATTCATCTGGACATTATCCCATACATTAATAATTATATAAGAATGTATTATTGACACAACTTGTACATCGAAATTAGTTAGATTCACATGTATTACATGAGAAACTACATTATTAACATTTACCATTAATAGCAAAGTATTAATCTGGACATTTATCTAGACAATCATTTAAATGAAATAATAAATTGTCTGAACATAAATCACAAGTAGTTCCATTACTACAGGTTTTACATTTACTGAGACAATCTATGCATTAAGAACCATTTAGATATGTACCATCTTTACATAAAGATATGCAAGTATTATTATATAAATAATAATTGGTTTTACATGAAATGCAATATGAAGTTTAGTTTTGACAAGTTTAACAATTATTTGTACAAATATCACATGTCTATGATTATTAATTAGTAATTGTAATATTCACAGGACAAGTATCAACACATGTTTATTGATACAAATAAAAATTAATACTACAAACTGAACATGTAGTACTATTAGAACAAGTATCACAATTATTTATACAATTCTAACATACTTATTAATTATTATAATAGGTTTTTGGACATGATTCTAAACATTTATTATTTAAAAATTTATAGGTTCCATTACATTCCAAACAAAATGAATTTACATCTTTACATTTCTTACATTCTGGATTACATTATTTACAAATATATTCTCCACTTGTAACAAAGTATCCATCAATACTATAACAATCTGTTATACATGTATTTGAATTGCTCATGAAATATATCTTGGATTAAACCAAATTACTTCTGCTGCTATCATAACAATTTGTACATTTAGTTAATATTGTTGAATCACAATCTTTACATGGTAAAGTACATTTATGATTATAAGTACCAAGTTAACTAGTATCCATTTAATAATCTTATATTATTTAAACATTATATGTATTTATTGAAAAATAAGTACTTATTGTTGCTGTATTTGGATTTTATAAATTCATTATTTTAAATGAAAATGTAGATATTTTTGATCCAGAATAACCTGTTATAATTATACTCTAAGAATTTATACTAATAGAAACATCATTAGGTAAATTTTAAATATTTTATAAACTAGTTGGAGTTGTCTCAGTTGATTGAAATACTTTTATATCTACAGGAACATTTATTACTATTTTAAAATTATCATTTAATTAATTATTAACTTCAATTGTAAATGAATAATTATCTAATTAATTTAAATAACCATTTTCATATGTTTAAGTAAATGATTTAATAGAATTAGTTTAAGTATTAGTTATAGTTAATGAATCTTTTAATTAACTTTGTTTTGTTAAATCATTTGTTAAATCTTAAATTGTATGAGCACTAGATATTGTAACTGGTTTAAAAGAAGAAGGATTAATAATTTAATTTGTTGATATCTTATAATCTATATTTTTAATTATAGATGAGCAAGTGCTACAAAGTAATTGAATTTATAATTTTGAATTTGAAATAGAACAAGGTAGATTTGTTTACAATGGAGAAATTGATTAACATGATTATAGATCAATAGATAAATCATTTGGAATATCTATTATTACATATATTCCATTTATTTAAGTGACTTAAAAATTAATATTGAAAGTATAAGTATTTTTGACTCCATTCATTTAAGAAACTCTTGATGAGAGAGTTAATGAAAATGTTGATAAATATAACATTTAAATATTACCACCTTATCCACTATCTATTAATAAATCCTAATCATCATATGTTTTTATTGTTACTACATTACTAAAGAGTTGTAAAGTGATAGGATTTGTAATGAAAGAATTAATTTTTACTTTAATATTAGTATTACTAATAATACTTGTTGATGTAATAATTTTAATAGTATTAGTAGTAGTTGATGTACAAGTACTACTAATTCCATTTATTGAACAACTAGTAGGATTACCACTCATTGTAAAATCAGATATAAAATTTACAATTATATATCCAAGTGCAGTAATTGTATTTGTATTAATTAAACTTAATTCATAATTATCTAATGATCCAGTAATATAATTATCTACTTTTATTGAAATTGAATTACTATCCAAAGATCCTGATATAAATGAACTCATTTAAAATGTTGTATGTTAATCCACTAAAAAGTCTTCAGTACTTTTTGAATAATAAGATTATACTGTAAATGAATTACTTATATTAGCACTAAACTAATTTTTAATTTAAGATATTTAAAATTTGATTTATGCAGAAGCAGCAATATCAGATGAATATAATGATGAAATTATTAGTCTTTAACTAGAAACACTATATTAAGCACCATAAGTTTATGAGTTTATTTAATAGTTTTGTATTTTAGTTATTTAAGTTAAATCAAATTAATTTGGAAATTAGATAATTAAATATCCATCTGAAGATAAAGGATTTGTTAAAACTATTACAAAATCATAGTCAGATAATTAATTAATTACTTTATTCAAAGCAATTATTGAAACTGAATTTATTACACCATTTGATGCTGTTATAGTTAAGCTTGATATACTCTTATCAATAATATAAGAACCTCTATAAGTACTAATAGCAACTGTTGATGATGGTTTAATTGAAGGAGGAGCAATTACATTAACAAATGTTAATAAAATATTTGTAAGAGTTGAAGAAAAAGCCTTGCTTGATGTTATTGTAACTAATTGATCAGTTATTGTAAATGAGGCTGAGTTAATTGGAGAAATAAAGAAATAACTTCTTGAATCTCTTATTTGAGTTAAAATAGTTGAACTAATTTTTAATTCTTTTGGAATAGTAATCTAAATAGTATCTCCTATTAATATTTAACTATTTAATTGAAATTACACATTTAATCTTTCTACTTAGTTAACTACATTTGTCCATGTCATACTACTAAGTACTACAACATTTGGTACCCATCCACTTATTGTTGATAATGAACATTCATCAATCAATTTATTATTTGAATTATAAGTTTATAAAATGAAACTTCCATCAGGAGTTGTTGATGATGGGGAATTGACTCCATTAATCACTAGAGTAATCTAATATAATACATATCATACATTTTATCCATTAAATCCAGTTCCTAAAGTTGACTTTATTTATAAATTAGTAGCATCCTTTGTACATGTAGTACCTGAAATAAATATATTATTTGCATAGAGTTAACATGTAATTGACCCTGGAATCATTTCTTTTGTAATCTTATCAATCTACCAATTACGAGTATACTTTACAATCAAATAACTCTATTTTAATTTAATAATTTACTTCTACAATTAAAATGTTCTTTACAAACATTTACAATGAAATATCTGTATTTTAGCTATTTACTTTAAATTATTATCCATCTCCTGAACATGTTCCAACTCCTGGATTTACAGTTGGTTGAGCTCCTCCATCTGGACACTATTCTAATAATGTATTACTAGAACTCATAATTGATATCTAAATGGGACTATCGTATTTCCCACTATAAGCTGGATTTAAAATAGATTTTAATTCAATTATAAATGTAAATCCTTCTGTATTATCATAATCTAAATTTGTGTAATCTTTGACAAAGTAATTGTTCACAATAATTCTTGTATTTGAAACATAACTACAACTTATTAACACAGCTTATTCATTATAACATGTATAATCGCTATTGATGTTCCAAGGAAAATCAATTTGAATGTAATAATTTGTGTATAAATTAATTGGATGTGTTAATGAATCCCCTTATCTATTTATTTTAAATTGGTAATCTCCTTTCTAATTTATTTCACCAGTAGTCTTAACTTCACATAAGTAAAAGTTATCAACTCCTGAAACAAACTTTATTAATATAAGGAATATTTGAATTGTCATGTTCAAAATAATTATAATATTTATTTATAATCCAAATCAAAATGATCATTATTTAGACACCATTTCTCCGTTTTTCAAAATATATCATTATTATGTATAATTAACAAGAGTTATAAGTATCAGATCAGATGTTTTTAAAAATTTTATTCTATATAAATTTTAAAATGAATATTGAATAATTTAGTGTTGTAGATTTCCTTTATTTCTGAAATTTATATAAACTTTATTAGTCAATCATTTTGATCTAATTGAAAAATATGAATAAATTATATAATTAAAGGTATTTTACTATAATCTATTCTAAATCATATTAAATTAAAATGCCAAAAAAAAAATGAAGAATTTAATTAAAACATTACAAATTTTAGTAAAAAGTGATTGATTAATATGAGAAACAATCTAATTATTCATTTGATACAACATAAAAAAATTGAATAATTAATAAATTTTACAATATTTTATAAAATAGTCTGGATTTAAAATAATGTTAGAACCCTCATTTATTTAATTAGAATAAAAAAGGTTATATAATTGTAATCAATTAAAAGTATTAGTATATATAAGAATGTTTCAATATGATGTAGTTATGACAGATAAAAATTAATTTTTTCATAGTAAAATTAAATTTAAATTTATTAAAACATGAAGAAGATTAATCAATTATTTTCTATAATTATTACTTTTTGCTATTAAAAATATATCAAATTTTATTTTTTCTATAGAATAAAATCATATTACAAAAATCTAGAAATGATAATTCTGGCCATTTTTTATCTATAAAATGAATTACTGTATTCTCTCGTATTTAATATAATAAGAAATTGCTTAGTCTAGTTTCACCAGAGGTTCTTAAGAGAATGTCAGGAGAATTAGGTACCATTAAATAAGAATTCAATTACAAAAAGAATTCTTTTTTTGTTAATCCTCTTGGCATTGATTGAATAGCTTTTTCTAATTCATTTGTGAAATTATATGAGAAACAAATATTTAGTCTTATAGAAAATTTATGATAAGTTTTACTTATATTAAGAATATTTAGAACTGTAGTTTTCAAGTTCCAATAATTTTGATTTTAGCTCTTGATCTTTTAAGATATCAAGATCACCACAACATTTAATTTTAACTTAGTTTTTATCTATAAAATTGAGATCATGTTGTAAATGATGCATTTTTTATTTCATTAATTCCATGAGAAATACTACTTCATCCTTTTATCTATTATAATTCTCAATGCTAAAAGCAAATACACTAATTTCCTTAATTCCTAATTTTTAACTCCATTATAATAAATTCAAAAAAGATTGATATCCTTGAATGTGACCATCTGTTGGTTCCATTTTCCTTTGTTTAGCATATCGTCTACATCTAACCTATAAAATACCGATTACCATCCATAATCACACCTACGTGGTTTGGGATAGTACCTAGTTTTAAAAATTGAATGAAGGAACTTTGTACAATATTCATTTATTTATCGTAATTAAATTTCAATTTAATTTATATTGATTATTTGTACACAACATATATATGTGTCATTATATTATTTTATCTAAATAGATTTATTATTTAGATGATTGAAAATAAAGTTATTTTTTTAATTGTAATTTATCTTAGAAAAAGATTTTGGAAATGAAAAGATAAAAATAACTTATAATTATTTAATTATTTGTCATTAATTTTATTCCTGTTTTAGATCTGATAATGATTCTGGCTCTCCTTATTATTATGATTATTCATTAGATTTATAAAATGCTCTATCTTTTACTAATTCTGGATGTTTAAGTTTGATATGTTAATTAAGAGATCCTTCTGCTCTATTTAATTGATAAATTTTATCTATAATACCCGTATTTTTTTTAGCAATTTTCAACTGGACAAGTAAAGTGTCTTTCAATTTCTTGTGCTGGTCTCCTCAACCTTTTCTTTCTCTCTTCTCCTGTTTCTTCTACATTTGAATTTAACTCCTGATTACGACGCTAGAATTAATGTGGTATTAACATTACTTCTAATTTGTTTAATTTATTGACTAGTTCATTCTTCTCATTTAAAAGTTCTTTTAACTAAAAATAAGTTCAAATTTTACTTGATTTGTTAATACTACATTGGCAATATACAATCTCAAATACTCATTGTAGTATTCTAAATTTTGATCCTATTATGGGACTAAGATTTGAATATGAAAATACCTTATTGTTCATCTTATCCTCCAACATAATTTTAAAATCTCACAGGTTCATCACCCATCATATATTTTGGATTCTCCCCATCAGATCTAATGGAATTGAAAAATAATAATACTTAGCATTACTCATATTAATAATTTATAAAATATTTTTATTAATAATATATATAACTTAAATAAAATAAATATTTGAGATTCAAATAAAAATCTTGTTTTGTATATAAAAGATTAGAATGCAAATTAAAAATATGATCAAGTTCTTTTATAAATTAAGAAATAAATAAGTTTATTAATGAAATAATTGTGTTAAATTATTAATTATTAAATTAACGAATATATTATATATAGATTTATACAAAAAAGTAAATCAAAATAACTATATTAATCACAATATAGTCAAACTATAATGATTCACAATATATTTAAAATTGAGTTAATTAATCTACAAAAAGTGTTAAATATTTAAAATTTAGGAATAAGGAAACAACAAAACATTATCAGTGGTATTAAAAAATAAAAGTTTATATATGAAATACCTCAAATTTTAAAGTCAATTCATGAATAAATTTAATTTTAATCAATTAGTTTGAATATTATTCTAATTACAGATATTATTAGATTTTCAGACTCTCTTACATTGAAAACATAATTGCCAAAAAAATAAAAGGGAAAACCATGAAATTTCCATAGATTTACATTATTTTAGAATATATTGAACAAATTTATATGAAACCTCATATGTGAATTCAGTTCATTCGATCAATGATTATATACTTAGTATTGTATTTGATGATGATTCAACAAAAATAGTTTATATTTCATTAATATGAATTATAAGATAATTATATAATCATAAAGAAAGAGTACAAACAAAAGAGTAGTAGTTTTAAATATTGTCTGATTCAGATAGAGAACATTGTGCTGCTGTCAAAGGTATTTCATGGTGTCCTTGAATATAAAATAAACTTATAAGTTGAGGTGGATTAAATTATAAAATTATCAAATTTTGGAATGCACTTATTGGCATTTGTTTTAAAAGCATAAGCCTAATGATCACATGTTTGGACTCTATATTCTTTATTAAGATAAAGAGTATGGATATCATCTTTTGGATTTTCTAATTATTAAATTAATATATGAAATATTAACTAAATTTAGTAAGCCAAATTAATATAATAATTATAAACACATAATTAGAGAGTTATGCATTTAAGTATGTCTCCTTATTAATTTATGTAATATTCAGTTGGCAATGATGAATTCTTAATTTTTTGGAGGCTTGGTTCATAACAGAATAATTAAATAAATAGGATAGGTGTACCAGTAAAAATTTATATCTCAAATGATATTACTATTTTTTAAGAAATTATATTATAAATATTATTTATCTAATTGTTATGATTCGTAGAGATTCTGGTGAAATGTAATAACATGCTTTTAGCCAACTTAATTTTAGCAAATCGACAAAAGAAATTCAAACTTCAAGAAAAGAATATTTATTCTAAAAATTACCTTCTTTAGATTTTACTTAGACCAATAATTCTTGGCAAGTCAGAAAAGGAGGATCTGCAAATTGCATAGACATTGATAGAGTAAATTCAGCATAGAAATCTCTAACTCCCCAATAGTAAAAAAAGAAAAAAAATTAATCAATATAAATTGAGGAGACAACTTAATTTGATCTAGGTTCTAGCAGAAATTTTCAAAGATTATTTACTATTAAGAATCATACTAAATCTAATACTGGCAGTGTAAAAACTTCAAGAGAAGATAACAACACAGGTGTATTCACAAATCAAGTTGTGTTAAGAAAATCACATTATCACTAGTCCTAATAAATTTAATAATCATAATAATAAGTTTAATAACAACAATGTCCATTTTCATCTGGCAAATCCATCAAAGACCTCTTATCATAATTCACAGATAAAAAGTATTAATTTAATTTTATATAGGCCAAAAAATGGAATAACACGTCATAGTGAATTTGAAAAAATGGAAGGTTTAGATGATTATACTAAAGAATTAGGAACTATCTTAAATGATGATGATTTAATTGGACCTATTCTAAGAGAAGTTGCTGAAATGAAAGGAGTAGTTAAATCACTTATTGATATAAGTAATGGTAATAAACTTACTTATCATTTTGAAACTTTAAAACAATTACATTCAACTCTAAATATAACTGATTAAATGTTCAATAGATTCAAATATCTCTATCTTAAATACTTAATTTAATTGAAAATAAATAGAGAGACAGTCTTTAAATGTGCTTAAGCAGTTGAATTCTATAGAGGAGCTATCGTCTCTGATGTAATTTATCAATATTATCCATTAGTCTCGTTCTGTATAAAATGTTAAAGATAACATTAGAACTATTGCCAAAAATATGTATAGTCAAATCTTTGAAGATTTTTCACTGAGTCCATTATTTAAAGGAACAAAATAAGAAGAATAAGCAATTAAATTTAGTAGAATTTTTGGATTTATTGTTGGATCAGCTGAATCTACAAATTATGTTATGGATTCAATGAGAGATTTTCATAAAGCATTTGAAATTACATCAGTTCAATACTCTATTTTTAAATACTATTTATCAGGTTCATTATCAAAACATACTTAAAAAGAAGTCATTTGGTATATTTTAGAGTAAACTGATGCTTATAAAGCAGCTGTTATCAATTAAGATAGTATTAAAGATTTAGTATATAAATAATAAGGAATAGATAATTTTACTACTGAATTTATCAAATTATGTTAATAAGATTAATATATATATAAGAATTTTATTCATAAAGTTGGATTTGATTCATTTATAGAACATACTAAGTATTTTTTGCATTATGCTTTTAATAAATAAAATAATTGTTTTACACTTGAAGATTTGTAATCATTTCATTGTTAACATTCAATTAATCTTAATTTATATCAAAGTATCAAAGAAAAAATGATGATCTTATTAACTAAATTGAATCCACAAAGAGTAATATTTCAAGACTTTGAAGAAGAATTTGATTTGATACTTCCTTACATAACAAATTAAAAATTACCTTGTGATATTATAGGTTAAAGATTATGTGAATTTATTCCAATAATTTCTGATGAATTGAAATCAAATGTAGATATTAAGAACATCTTTGATAGTAATGATGCAAATGTAAATAAAGTTGTTTTAAAGAAATTTGAATATTTATTATCAGGTAGAAAATATTTTAAAAGATCTGATATACAAGCTATCCATTCTAGACTTAAAATTAGTGAATATATATTTGAAAAATTTGTCCATCTTATTGAAAAAGCTATAAGGCAATATGATACTTCATTGATGTGGATGGTTGATGCAATAAAGCTTTGGAAATATATTATTATCACAGTATGAACATAAGCTATATGTTTATTAAATATGTATTAAAATTTTAATATATTGATTTCTAAAATATCTATTAAATTATATTATAATTTTATATGATATTTTTAATTTAGTAATTTAAACATTAAAAATTATTTATCTATAAAAACAATTTATGATAGTTATTAATAATCAGGATTCAAATCTTTCTAGACTTTCCATATACATTCTATCTAAATTTTAGTTTAATTCTTCTAAATTTTAAATAACAGATTAAACTGATTAATCTTTTCCTTAAGGAGATTTCCTTAACATAGATTAATTTGCAGATCTTGGCTAAAATTTCTTACTTAAATCACTTAATAAGGCAAAATTTGTATAACTTTTTATTGCAGAATTTTTTGAAGGTTTTAACCAATCCGATTTTAGTTTATCATAGCTTTAAGAATGGAGTGATTCTTCATCATGTAAAATCTAATTTAATTTAATATTTACATATGGTTTTTAGTTTGTGTTTTATTCTTCTTGTAAAACTGATGATTATAATTATTAAATACTCTATATTAAATGATCTCTTTTTTATTATAATTAATCAATTTAATCAACTAATAATTTAAATTCTTATCCTTTAATTTCAATACCTTCTTATAATTTTTACAATTAATGTTGAAAATTAATAATTTGTTCTTATCCTTAATGCATTTGATAATGTGTTTATGTAGATAATTCTGTAACCTTCTATTCAATTTATTTATTTAAAGATTGTAAATTAGATTATTAAATTTAATATTCTTATTTAATGCTTTGTAAATCTATATTGGCATCATCTACTTATTATTATAATTTAGCTTTATCAAAATTTAATTTTTTCAATTCTTTCTATAAGATGTCAAAATCATTACTTAAAATATCCTTTTATTTTAATTAATCTTATATTTATTTTTCTGTATTAATTAACTATTTTTCTATTTATAATAATTCTTACTCTTTCTCTATAGTTAATTATGTCACTTATTATAAATTCTTTTTGCTTTTTTATAAATTATCTTGATTTACTTATAATTAATATTCTAAATTATCTAATTCTGTCCTAAATTTCTATGATTCTTTTTTGATCTACAAATTCTCATTCTTAGATTATTTTATTTTCTCTTTTTCAATATTTGATTCCAATATGATTTTATCATATTTTTAAATTTCTTACTCTTTATCAGCTATAGAATTATTTAATTATTTTAAAACTCTATCTGCTTCTCTGCATAATTGTTCTGTGTTTTTTAATTTTGAATGACAAGTATCTAATTCTTCAAGTAATTATTTTATTTTATTATTTTCATTTTAATATTTTATTTATTAATCCATTATATCTTATTCTTTTTTTGAAAATTCAAATTGTAATTCCTCTATATCTTTACTTATTAATTCTTTTTATGAATTCAAATATTCTATATTATTCAATGCTCTTTATTGATCTTCTCTAATCTAAAAACTAACTTAATATTAATCTTAGATTCTCTATTACAACATTTCAATTTCTTCATTTAATAATCTTATGGATTCTTCTTTTTCTGCATTTGTATCTTTAAGTCTTTCCATTTCACTTTAAAGTTCTTAAACTTCTTCACACTAGATTATTATTATTCAAATTATTACTAATTATTCCTATTATCTACCAAGTCTAGTTATCTCATCAGATAAACATTTTCTAGCCTCATTTTATTTTGCTCTAAATATTTTAAAATCTTCATTTGATTTTGTAAATTAAACTTCAACTTATTAATGTTACATTTTAAGATCTTCTTTCTATTGCATAATTTATTCAAATTACTCTTCTAATTCTTTACTAATTGTATCTTTTTCTTGAAGTAATTATGCTTTTTTATTTTCATAATCTTTCCACTTTTCAGCTAATTATTATGTTTCTATTTCAAAATCTTTTATAAATTAAGCCTTGATTACATTAAATTCATCAATCTTCTTGTATTTCTTTTCTGCTCTTTTAAATAACTTCTTTAAAAGTACAATTGATGATTCTATAGGTTTATCTTAAATTCCTATTTAATTTAATGAATTAGTAGAAACTCTCTAATATAAATCTTAAATTTGATCATGAATTTAAGCAGCTACTTCTTATAATATACTTTCTTAAGGTAACAAGGGTATTCTATCTAAAATTGTTTCTAGTAAATCCACTACGCTTTACAAAACTTACTCTATACTTCCCTACAAAGCCATTTCAAATAAAGATCTTTAACATTTAGTTAAATTTATTTGAAGTACTGCTTATAGTCTAACAAAGAGAGAATTAATTCTATTCAATTATTCAGTTGGTAGTTTTTCCTTTGGTTATAACTTATAATATTCAAGTTATTATTTAAGTTCCTACAAAGCATCATCAGTTTCTTAGCGAACTTGGTAATGCTCTTCTAACTAAGATTTTAAAGAAAGAAATGCTTTGTTGGTAACCTGTCTGTCTGTTTCATCCTCACTATCAGAATCATTTTGATAGGTTTGAATTAAATTAGTAGCTCTTTAAATTCTATTTTCTATTTAAGCTATTTCAGCATCAATTTCTTGTTTTTTTAATTAAACCAGTCTAATATTTTAGAGTAATTATTAATGATCACTAGGGATTGGTTCTCCATACAATTGTCTTGCTATTTCATGTTAATTAGAAATAACTTTATTGTCTAAAACTTATAGTGTAGGATTTAAAAAACATAGATATTCTATGTAACTAAATGTTCTACAAAAAGGATTATCACTGATAGAAAGTATTTTCAAATTTAAAAGAGGTTTAAGATTTAATAATTATAGAGGGTCCTTTATTTAATTTCTAGATAGCTTTAATGTTTCTAAAGAATGATTTGTTAAGCTAATCTCAGTTATTTAATTTCCATTCAAATTCAAATTAATTAAAGATGGTAAAAATTCTAATCCATTCATTGATTTGATAAAATTATCAGAAAGATTGAGTTCTTTAAGTGCTGGCAATCTCAAATTCTCTATTTTTATTATATTGTTATGACTAAGGTTCAATTCTTACAGAAGTACTAATTAATCTAAATTTTCTATTTTCTATGTAAAATATTATGATTACACTCAGTTTCATACTTCGCAAAGATAATTTTATTGTTTTATTAGGTTCTTCCCCTTAATTTCGAATAAGTTACTCTGTAATTTTATTATGAGATACAATCATAAAATATAATTAAAAAATTCAATTAAAAAGAACATGGTTGAGTAATTCTTCAATATTTTTTGTTGGTTTCGTAACTATTAACCTTTAGGCTTTAGTAATATTTTGATTAAACTCATCCTTTTCAATAATTAATTAATGCTATTATTAAACCATATTTTTATTAGAATTTTAACTCTTTTTAAGTTTCTATCTTAATTTGAGATGCTTTTCTATTATGGTTTCATTTCTCTTTTCCATTTTATTAGTATAATTATTAAGTAATTCTTATTATTTTTCTTATTTTTATTAACTTAAATTTCTTAACTTTGATTAAATATCCAATAAGCGTTGTTTTGCTTTTGTATTACTTGATATAATTTTATCTTAGATATCTTAAGTTATTGTATTTTCACGTTCTGATTACATTAGAGATTTAGAAGTTAGGTTTTATTAGACTTTATTTATTTTTTTATCTTATACTTCTTTCATTTTCTAAACAGTATTTTGCATAATAGATTAATTCTATTAAGTCTAAATTGATGTCTTTTATATTGATTTAACAATTTTTGTGATTACATTTTATTATTATTCTTATTCTTATTTTTATACTAATTCAATACGATCTTGACTAGAAATACCTTATTTAAAATGTGAATTTCTTTAAGATTTTTCTATTGTATTAAATTATAAATTAGTTCTACGCAATTCTTCTTGATCAATAATATTTTTCTTTTTTTCTAGATGATAATCCAATAATTATTATGTTTTTGATGACATCATAACTTTGAATTTAGTTTTAGACTCTTATAATGATTTTTGGATAGGTTCAAATTTGGAATCAAAATCAAGACTCTTATTTAATCTATCATCTAAATCATCTTCTCTACTTTATTTTAATAGGGATAGTTTCCTTTCAACAGTATTATTATGAACTTTAGCTTTATTAGAAATGGATTTTAAGGTATCCTCAACTTATTTAAAGATTTTATCTGTGTTTTTTTATTATTATTATTTAATTAGCATCTCTGATTGATATAACTGTTTTAGGTCATGATCAAATATTTTTTTGAGAAAATTGAATTACTTTGATTACTTGGGAGTTGTGAATACAATTTTAATAGAAGGGCCTATAATTTCCCTTCTTCGATTCACTAAAATTGAGAGATTATCTAAGATATGAGTAGAGGAAAAATTGAATTACCTTTTAAAAGTTGCAAATGATTCAGATACATGGCATCAATTTCATTATGATATTGTAGAAATTCAGAGAGATTTCTTATATGATAATTTACACATTTGTTTACTTAATTTGACATTGTTATTTAGTTAGATTAAGTTCTTTCATAGCTTATTATGTACGAGGTGATTCAAAGTTAAGACGCATAAAAAGAGAGTTGATTTCTTTGAGAAGTAACTAGTCTGATTTACAATCCATTTCTGTAAAAAAAGTTTTCATATTAAAATATAATAATAACGGAATGATCGAATTCCGCACTCCTAAGTACATTTGTTTAAAAAAAATTGAACCTCCAGTAATCAGATACTAACCTCGCACATTGTTTGTTAAAGCTTAACATTTATTACAAACTAGAGATAGCGTTGATACATCCTTGACTTTGAGTTAAACAGACGCAAAGATGTAGTCTTAGCAATCAGAAATTAGCAATCTTAGCACATTTTATTAAAGTTGTGATTAAGCAAAAGAGAACAAAGAATAACCAATTATTGATGTAGTACTTAAAAAAACTAATTCATTTCATCTTAATTCAAAATTGAGAAGTAATAACAAGATCTCAAGAGTTTCTAAGAATTAATTGATGGATGTGCTTTAAGAAATAACTTCTCCTACTTAGACTAAGCGTAAATAGGTAATAAGAATAATTGTTATAAGGTTGTGAACAGAGAATGGGAGTATTCATATCGAAAACAATAAGGGAATAGTACATTTTTCTAATCAATGGATTCATCTAACGAATAGGCTACGGCTTTGCCAAAATCTAGGAGTTTTAGTATGAAACAATCAACACAATAATAATCATAATAATTGAAAGATATGATTGATAAAGCAATAAATAATACAAAAACTTTTGATGAATATCTATTAAGTCTTGTGAGTGGATGAATTAATTTAAATTTTATTTTTTGTTCTTCTTTTTGAATTATTTTATTATATTAAAAACTAATATTTGAATTCTTAAACATGTATAGTAAATTTCTCATCTATAGATTAATCATTCATTGAAGATTAAAATAAAATATAGAATATATATATATATATAAATAAATATATAAATTAACTTTTTTTCATCCTATTGAATTCATAAATTATAAAGAAAAAAAAAAATAATATAATTCTTAAAAAACAAATTATATTTTGATATGTAATAACAGCAAGATAAATAATTCAAAACAGTTAAAGTAAAATCTAATTTTCATTAATTTCAATTATTACCTAATAGATAAATTCACAGATATAAAATAGAATTGACTAGCTATTCTGATATTAATGCATAAAATGCAATTACAACATATCGAGAAAAACTAACATAATGTTTAATAACATTTTATTGTATTAATTTTAATATTTATTCACCAACAAAAATTGCAACATAAGTATTAGGAGGATTGAATGAAGGTGAAGAAATTTAAAATGTAGTAACATTAAAATTTATTGAATCTATAGAAAGTGGAGCAAAGCTTTAATAAATATTATCAAGAATTGTAAAGTAAATTATTAGCACACAATAAGGAATGGTTTAAATTGGTAAAGATAAATTATTTTGGCCAAAAAAATCTCATTCATTTCATGAACATAAATTTGAGATTTGGGAGGGAGTACAAATAGTATAAAAACAATTTGGAGTTGTAATTGATTGTGCTTATAAAATATTGAGATAAAATACATTACTTGATGATCTTTTAATAACAAAAGAAGTAGATCGTTATGAAGGAATGATAGTGATGACTAAATATAATCAAAAATTTTATAAGGTTGATCTTATTGAAACTGGAATGTCTCCTAAAGATTTATTTATCACAGAAAATGGATAAGAAACTACCTTTAAAGAATACTATAAATTAAGATACAATATAAAATTAACTGATAAATAACCATTAATAAAAACTATGTTAAAACTTAAAGGAAAATAAGAAGAAAAAGTTATTTATCTGATTCCAGAATTATGTTAATTAACTGGTTTAAATGAAACTGTTAAAAATGTATAGATTTTTAAATCAATTATAGAATTTCTCAGTAATGAGGGAAGTAGCTAAAATAACAAAACCAAATGCCTATGATAGAATTGATTTATCTGAAAAATTTGCTAAATAAATGAATTCTACAGTTAAAAAAGGGTCGAATGCAAATTTATTAGATACATGGGGTTTGAAATTGAATAATGTATCCATGAATGTTGAAGCTAAAACTGTTCGTCCTGGTACATTAATGATGGGTAATGAAGAAATTGATTTATCTTCATCAAATCTAAATTTAGATTAATAAACACAGAAGAAAATGTATTAAATGCCAGAGAAGAAGTTAGTATGGGTGTTGATTCATTATTATAAAGAAAAAGGATAGGAAGCAAAAAAATTATTGTTAGAAAATATGAAATAAGCCATATCTGAATATTAATTTTATGGGTTTTATTCTTAGCCAATAGTAAAATAATTATAAGAAGAAAGAGAAAAAACATTAATGTAATTATGTGATGATGTAAATAAAGAATGTGAATAAAAATAATAAAAAATAGAATTCATAATCTTTTTATTACCAGGATAAAAGAGGAATAGTCGTTTATATAGATGTGCTAAATATATATCATTATAAAAAATTGGTTGTCCAAGTTAAGTTGTTTTAGAAGATACTTTATCTAAAAATACAAGATCAATAATTAATAAAATCATGGTCTAAATTTGTGCTAAATTGGGAGGTGTTCCATGGGCAATTGATAAATTACCAAAAATCTTTTAATAATAACATACAATGATTTGTGCAGCTGAATGTTATGATAGATTACATCAAATTAAACATTTAGCCTTTTGTTCAACTTTTGATAAAAATATGACAAAATATCATAGTCAAATATAAAAAGGGGCTGATTACAAAGGAGACAATTTAAAGAAGTGTTTAATAACTGCCATGGAAATTTACAAAGAAAAAAATATGGTTTTTCCACAAATAATAGTAATTTATAGAGATGGTGTTTCAGATGGACAAATACCTGTTGTTCTTGGAGATGAATTTCCTTAATATGATTAAGCAATCAAATAGATAAATCCTTAAAGTAAATTAGTACTTGTTATTTGTAATAAAAGAGTAGCTGGAAAATTCTATTAAGCTGGACATAGACCTGATAATCCAGCATCAGGAACTATTGTTGATAGTAAGGAAATTTGTGAAGGATAACAACCCAATTTTTATTTAATTTCTTAAATTACAAGATAAGGAACCTCTTAACCTACATTATATAAAATATTACATTCAGACTTACCTAATATTGAAGATGATATCAAAGTTCTTACATATAAATTATGTTGGTTGTATTATAATTTTGCAGGTCCAATAAAGATTCCAGCTCCTGTTAGATATGCTCATAGTTTGAGTGAATTTATTGGGACTAGGTATTAAAGAAATGATAAAGACCCTTTCATTCCTATAGAAGAATTAGTTAAGAAAGGAGTATTATTTTACATTTGAATAATTTAAATTTATATATATGTTAATAAAGGCTCATTCATCATCTAAATTAATTTGACTTCCAAATTTTGCATATAACTTAGCTTTCAAATTATTCATCGATTTGAGTGTCTCTTCAATTTTCTTAGTATCCTCTTCAAATTATTTCTTAATCTTAATTACTTAATCATCTATCAATGTTCTTGCCTTAATTATATAATAAAAGTTCTTTACTTTTTCAACATTCACTCTAATGAAAGAATCACCAAATTTAAATGGAATCTTTTCATCATCCTCCATTAATTCCATTTCATCTTTACTATCTGACAAACGAGTTAATTCATCTTTTCGACTATCCTATTTTTATTATTCAATACGCCAAATTCAATCGAATAAGTTCATGATATTGCATATTCAATCTACTAAAAGAATTGATTTTCTATTAGTCTTGTCTATCCACTTCAATATTGTCTGTACTTGTAAATTTCATTATTTATAATTTTAATGTGTTGAGTATTATTTAATTGCCTTGCTAGCACCTTCTAAAAAATCAAAGGATGGTTTAAAAATGATAGAGGTCAATGTATATTTTATTTTAAGAACGTCTCCAAGATGATTAAATTAGATAAAGTCCACCTCCATCTATGGTTGATCAAAATCAAAAATATTCATGAAGATGAGAAAGATAATCATAAACTTAATGGTACCTTCTAAAAGTATTTGATAATCCAATACTTTTTTAATGACATTAGTACCTTAAAATTAGAGATACTAATTGATAATAGATGATTGCCATTGAGTATAATATATATATATAGTACATAATTTTAACAAAATACTCTTAATTCTTGACATATTCTTTTCCAAAATTGTTTATTTTTTTATTGAATTTAATATGATACACAAAAATTTTAATCTTAATTCAGACACAAATATAAAATATATATATAACTATTAAATATATAATATTTAAATTATATAACAATTATATGCTCTAACATAATAAATGGGCCTAGATTAGTAATTTTATATAATATTTAAGCTAGATACTCCTTGTTGGATATTTAATGACTAAAAATTAATTCCTGGAGTTATTCTTTAAATATCCCCATTTTTGATTAGGACTGCTGAAGGTAATATAGCAGATTCCAAAAATATATATCAAAGAAGTTTAGATAATTTGCAAGATCTTGAAGATTTAATTGATCTATCAATTTTGAATGAAGCTGAAGTTCTTAATGCATTACACTTAAGGTTTTAACAAAAAAAATTTCAAATTTTTTGTGGATCAACTTTTATTAGTATTAATCCTATACAGAAGGAAAACTTTAAATCTTAACAACTTTAATAAGTTACATTAAATGCTTTCAATTAAATGATTGACATACCTTAATCAATTATAATGACTGGAGAATCAGGATCAGGTAAATCTGAAATCAGTAAACAAATTTAATTATAATTATCAAAATTTGGAAATCTTCACACCAAACTATTGGCTTGTAATTAAATTATAGAAGCTTTTGGAAATGCTAAGACTTAGAGAAATTTTAATTCATCTCGTTATGGGAGAGTTTCTAAAATGTTTTTTGATAAAGATTAAAAATTATGTGGTATTCATATTACTGCTGTTTCCCTTGAAAAATCACGTATTTATAATGTACCATAAGGAGAGAGTAATTTTAATATCTTTTATTAATTCTTGAATTATGGATAATTGTAATTATTTAATATCAATACAAATTAACAATAAACTTTGGTACCAAATCCTTTGAATTCTAAATCAACCTAATATTTATCTTAAAAAGAAGCTTAACAAATTTAAGATACCTTTGATGCTCTTAAGTTATTTAATATAAATATTGATGCTATTTTAGGAATATTGGCATCTATAATAAAATTAGGTAATATTTAATTTGAAGATCATGCTAGTTATTGTTCTATTCTTGATTAAAAATCAATTGTACAGATAAGTTAATTACTAGGAATTTCAGATAAAGAATTAATAAGATGCTTATGTTATAAATAGAGATAAATGTTAAAAAATGATGTAGTTGATACTCCATTAAGTAGAATAGAATGTATAAATTAACAATAAAATATTATTAAACAATTATATGAAAGATTATTTGAATTCTTAATTGATTCAATGAATTGTTAAATGGCCACATAAATAAATAAGTATTAAATAAGTATTGTTGATTATTTTGGATTCGAATAAAATAGTTTAAATAGTTTTGAATAATTAATAATCAATTATTCTTAAGAAAAGATACATTAATTTTATTTGTATGATACATTTCAAGACGATAATAGATTATTCAAAATTGAAGGTTTGACTAATAATCAAGGACCATTAAATTATTTAAATAATATATAAATTTTAGAATGTTTAGAAAGACCTCCTTTAGGAATTTTGAATATTTTAGATGATAGTTGCACAGTGGCTGGTACTGATGAAACATTTTTAACAAAAATTAAGAATGCCTATGTAAATAATCAAATTATTACATATTCAAGATCTTAACCAATATTTAAGATTCGACATTTTGCAAGAGAAGTTGAATATAATGTTATTGGCTTTAGAATTAAAAATAAAGATGAAATTAATAAATAGTTTTAAATTCTGCTTTAAAAATCAAAGAATTAATATATATCAACAATTTATTAGCAGATTATCACTTAAAAGTATGTAGGAACAGTTGCAAAAATAGAATTATAAAACTTAATTGGTTCTCTTAAAGATTGTAGTAATTATTTCATAAAATGCATAAAACCAAATGATTCATTAATACATGACTAATTTAATCAATAATTAGTATTAAATTAAATTAAGTATTCTTCTATAGTGGAATGTCTTTAGATGAGGAAGGAAGGCTATGCTTATAGAAGAACTTATTAGTAATGTTATATAGAGTTCTTTGGATTGAATTAATAGAAGAAAATAGATTAGAAGACATCAGTTATGAATTATATTAAGAGAAACTTTGCATTTACAGATGATTAGATTTTATTTGGAAATAGGATGGTTTTCTTTAAATATCAAACATATAGGATTATTTAATAAGAGATAAATAAGTAGAATAGTATAAAATAAAAGGCTGCTTCTAAATTATAGAATGCTTGGATTTGTTATAAAAACAAAATGATTTTTAGAGAATTTCAATACAGAGTTATTTATATTTAAGCTCATATTAGAGGATATTTAATGAGGTAAAGATATGTTAGACTTATGCAGTCTATAGTGTTTATTTAATTTAAAATAAAAGAGTTTTTGAAAAGAATAAATTATAAAAGATATTTATAAGCATCAAAAGTAGTACAAACCTATTTTAAGAGAATTTGTGCAATTAAACAAATGATTGTTGAAGAATAATGTGCAATAAAAATATAGAGGTTTGTAAGATAAAAATAATTATATTAAGAAGAATAAGTTGAAAATGATATCAAAAAAATATTAATAAAAATGACAGATTAAGCATGGAAAGTTATTGTTTATAGAGCTGCAACTAAAATTCAGAAAACATGGAAGGGTTACATAACACGTTAAAATAATGAAGATAATATATAATCAATTAAACTAGCTGGATTTTTAGTAACAGCCAATTAAGCTGCTATTATAATCTAAAAATATATTAGAAGACATTAATAAAGAAGATATTATTTATAATTAAAAGCTGCCACTACTTACATTTAGGGATGGATAAGAAGCAAATGGTTGTCTGATCTATTTTAAAGGATCAGATATGCTACTATTGTAATTTAACGAGGAGTGAGGAAGTATTTTAATTAATATAGAAAATAAAGAAAGTATGAAGATTTAATTTTGAAACCTTTAGAAAATGAATTGAATAGAATAAGAGAATAAGAATTCATGAATTTGCATGATAGTTATATTGAATCTGTTTTGGAGACTGAATAAGAAAATATACCTGGTAAAAAGATTGATTTATTCAGTTAAGTAATAGATTTAGAAATATTGACAGATGTAAGTGAAATCTATGATACTTTATGGACATCCTTATATAAAAGATGTTTTAAAGAATGTTATGAAAAATAGAATTATATTTCTACATACTCTATAGGAGAATGTCATGCATATGTAGGAACATTATAAAATAAAATCTATTCTTGGGGATTGAATGATTAATTATAGTAAGGATTACTTAAATAAAATGCAAATAAAATTAATTAAATACAATTCTAATTTAAAGTCAAATCAATTAAATCTGGAGCAAATCATGGATTAATTTTAAGTTAAGAAAATGCTTTATATTCAACAGATGAAACACAATGTATTTTAAAGAATGTTAAATTATTTTCTGTCTATAATGATGAAAATATAGCTGTTGATGATAATAATTTAATTTATATATGGAAAAAAAAATAAAAAAAACCAGTAGAATTGAAATCTTGGACTACATTCATAAGAATGAGTTAAATATAATAGAAGATATAAGTACATTAAATTTCACATGGTTTATAATTCTTCATAGTATTATCAACAAATGGAATGATGTTCTCTATGGGTGAAAATACAGTAGGAGAATTAGGAATAAATAGAGGTCATTCAAAACATGAATTAACATTAATAGAATTATCTGATAAAATCGCTGAAGTGCATTGTGGAATGAAACATACAATAGCCAAATCTACCTTAGGAAAAGTTTACACCTGGGGTTGGGGTCAAATGGGACAATTAGGACATGGAAACCTTAAGGATGAAGGTTTTCCAAAGATTTTACCATTTGAATCGAAAGTTCTTTAAGTAATGGCTGGTCATAAATAGTCAATAGTAATCTTAGATACAAAAAAGGTTTATTGGTGGGGTACTAATTCCTGTCTATAATACTAATAGAAACCAATTGAATATATGACTAATTATCCTGCAGTTAGAGTATTATGCAGTTGGAGTAGAACACTTAGTATTGTTTACATAACATTTGCCAAAACCTATAAATGTATAGATGATAACATTAAATTGAAAAATAAAATTATCAATTAAATGGTTAGCAAATGGAGTGAAAATGATATTTATTCTTTAGATCCTCCTTATTGTGATAATTTAGCTAATTATTTCAATCAAATGAAAAAACCTTAACAAAAATTAAATATTAAATTTGCTTCAAAAATTGAACATTAATAATTAGTTAAATAACTCTAATAATCTCCATTTAATTTACTTGATGATGTGAAAGATTCAAGTTGTTTTTTTAGTTTTAAAAATGAATCTAACATTTAATTACAAAAATAATTATTAGAACATTCTGAAAATAAAGATATTATCAATGCCAAATCTTATCATATCGATAATTCAAATAAGTATAATTTTATTATTATTTAGACTCAAATTGCTTAAGTCTGTTAAGAAATATCGAAATGATCCTTAATTATAAGAAATACTAAAATAATCTGAATTAAGTGATATATTATAATATATAAATTGATATATTTAAGCAATCGAAATGAGGTATTCTTAATGGAATAATTAGTGAGGAAAATAAGTAAGAATAACAATTAGTCTTTACTGTAATAGAAGAAGGCTATTTCGATCAATTGCTCAAAAGAGTACTCAGAAAAACCCAAGAACCCTTACATCAAATATCATTGAAGGAAGCTCAAGCAATCGTGAACAGTGTTTCTCGATCTTCAGATTTGTAGTCAATAAAAGAATTAGGATTTAAAGATTTTGTTGGATACTTGCAATCTATAAGGGATGTTTATATTGAGTATAGAAAATTTCAAAAACAAGTACAATCTTCAGATATACCTGATGATTTAGATGAAATGGTTTTAGGTTGTTATAATACAGTGCCTGCATATTTCTTTGATTAGCCATTCAGATTCAACTATTAACTATTTTCATTAGGCAAAGATAAAATTAATTAATATTTAGAAGAGATAAAGGATCATTTAGATGATGTAGAGATTACATTATTCTTTTAAATAAATTCTCGTTTTGATAAATTTCTAAGTGTTATATTAAATTTGAATGAAATGAATTAAATCATAGATTAGAATATTAAAAAAGTTAAAAGAATACGTGAAATTTATAGTGTAACAAGAGAACATATGATAAAAAAAAGCACTGAAATTACAAGAAAGAAACAAGTATTAATTCTTATTGAGTTTAGACAATTGAAAAAGTTGAAAATATTTTGTTTACTCTTAAACGTATTTAGTCGATTTAAAAGAGTTTCATTACATTAACTGAACTTATTAATACTAAGAAATATTCTTAAGCTGTCTAATTGCTAAAAGTAAGTGAATAAACATATTAAACTATTAAATCAATAACAAGTTTAAAGTTCATTCCTTAAAAACTAGAACAACTACAAAAAAGTCTATACACAACAATTCTTAATCATCTTCTATCAATAATGCTTACTCAAATGACATCATTATTAACTCCACATAAATAACTCATAAATCAACTAAATCATCAATTGAATGATCATGATGATTCTGTTCTTGCCAATTCATATGTAAATGATAGTTGGTTTGAATAATAATAGTAATAAATAATATCTATAAATAAACAAACAGATGATAGTTTTATTAAGACTCTATTGTCATCTTCAGGTATTATTGATATGGGTGACAAAATATTTAAATAAAAAGTTCTGGAGGAATTATAAGGATATTATTAAGAGTTCCTAATTGCTTTAAAGAACTATTTTAATCAAGAGGAATCTTAATAATAAAGTAAATTTGATGAATAGTCTATTATGGAATAATTATCTTAATTTATGGAGGAATAACCATTAAGTATTTTTATAAAAATTGTTTAATTCTTTTCTGAAAATTTAAAAAAGACAATTAATCTCTAAATTGCACTTGCTCAATCTATTGCCAAAAATGTATTGGATTAACCTAAACATATGGAAATAATAGAAGAGCATTTTTCTATTCCTGTAGCAATGCTCAAATTTGCTAATGAAAAAGTAGCCTTACTATTATCATCTAAGAGAATAGCTTCTGAATCTTCAGTTAAAGATTTTATAGATTTACTTTAAGTTTATAAATTTTGGGATTAATTTATGCTATAGGAAATGTCTAGAATTAATGAAGATTTATAGATCAATGATAAAATAATGTAAAAAATTAGAGGATAATATTAGAAATGTTCTATAAATCAATTAATTTATATGAGAAGTGCTTAAGAAAAGCAGTATCTCTAAAATTTTCATAAAGAGAAAAAAACACAATTGAATAAATATCTAGAGAATGAAACATGGTTGGCATCAGATGTATCCTTTGACAATTATGAAATTATTTCATATTTATTGGATCTAGAAGAATTCAAATAAGTTGAATAATTAGATGAAAGTGTTCTTCTTAATAATAGTACAATGGCTGGGAAAAACCTATTGCCTTCATATGTAAATAATTTTCATTTCAAAATTATTAAAACAGAAATTATCATTTTAAAGGACAATTCTAAATATAAAGTAACATAAGCATTTTTATTTTTTTTATAAGCTATAAGCCAATATTTGCATTTATTTGAGTCATACTCAATTATCAATTATGAATAAACATAAAAGTTGGTTGAATTAATAAAATCTTATAATTCTTTAGCCACATAATATATTTTAGGAGCTGGAGCTGTTCATTTTGGTAAAATTACTACAATTACAGCTAAAAATTTAGCTATTTCATCAATATGTTTGAGACTCTTCTTATACTTATTAGATCCTTTATCAAATAAATTATTTAAAGTAATTAAGTAAGTATTTAATAATTATTTATAAGTCAATAGTAACAAACAGAATAGACAAATTTTCAACAAATTTAGAATGATTTTTCAACAATAAAAGTGGATTATGAAAATCATAATGCTGAAGTTATGGCCAAATTGACTACTATAGTATAGGATAGATTTTATAAACATTTTGAAGATATTGCTAAATTAGATTGGAATGTAATATCAAAATTAATAATTTAGGATTCTTAAACTAAAATTACTGTTCCTACAAAGATGACAAATTAAATCTGTTAAAATACTCGATCTTTATATGTAGCTATTGAAGATATTATAACAAAAGAAGATCTTTGTAATGTTTTTGGACATATTTTATCAATCCTCAATTCTGATTTTGTAAAGATATTTAAATAGTTAAATATTACTTCTAAGTAAAATAATTGTTGAACTTATTAGAATTGGTTTTACGAGAATTAAAGAAGAGTTAGACTATTTTATGAATTCCTTAAAAGACATAGGACAATTGCCTTAATTATTAGTAGATCAATATAAAAATTTAGAATCAGAAATAGTTGCAGTGATAGAGAGTAAGTAGTAATGAATCCTTATGTTTTATATATATATATATATTTAGATTTAATTAACAATATATTTAGAATATCAAAATATAATTAAAGTCTATTTCTTAATTACAACAAATATAAAAAATTAGAATTAACATTAATTTTTATGAATTAAAAAGAATCATCTTCTGTTAATACATCTCATTAATAATAATAATCTCATTAAAATAAAGAAGAGAGTAAATTAAAAAGTCTATTGTAGGGTAGCTATGATTATATTCATAGAGAAACTGGCAAAATGATATAGAAAGTATCTTGATTAATTAAGTTGAATAGAAACTCTATAAACGAGCATTTTAACTTTTAGATAAGTTTTCTAATCAGCGTAAAGATTTGGAATTGAGTGAAATGGTAATGTTGAATCGTAGGATAATAAATTGCATTAATAAAATCTTAAAAAAAGGATTGTTGAAACCAGATATAGAACAAGATAGGCCTGAAAAGATGATTTAAATTGTTCAAAGAGGAACTCAAGCAATATTTGAATTATATAAATACTTGAATCTTTACATGTAGAAAGTAATGCCTAATGAAATGAAAGGAGTAGTGTAATTATATGTTGTTAATTTTAGTTTAGAAGATGTTTCACATTTGACAAGTTCAGATGAAGAAGGATATGAAAAAATTAAAGAACATGAAGTTACTGTTTTATTCTATAAGATTCATGAATATGAAAAACCTAAAAAAGAGAAAACTATAAAATAAGCAAAAGAAATTAATTTTTATGAGTAAGAAGTGTCAGAGTCTAGTCGTATAGCTAATATGATAGTCAAAACATTAAAACCATTAAACATCTAATTTGAATTAGATTAATACTTCTACAATTTAATTGAATTACTATTAATGGCAAATTTGGTTTTTAAAAAAGCCAATAAACCAAAAGTCGCTTATTATTATTTGTTGGAAGCTCAAAGAATAGCAAAATAAATGCTTGATACTCCAAATCCTAATATAGTGAATGCTTGTGCGAAAGCAAAAGTTTATTTAGCAAATTATTATTATGAAATTAGTGAGTATGAAGAATCATTAAAAGTTGCTGAAGAAGCAATAGTATTTTTATGTGGAGAAATGAGAATCAGAATAAATTAAGAGAAATTTGCATAAAGAAAGTACAAAAATAGAGAAAGAAAAAGGATGAAAAGATGCGTTATAACAACTTTATCTGCATTGATAACAATGATGTGTAATTATGAAGCTTAAGATAATTATCATCGGATTGTAGAGTCATTAACAACAGCTAGTTGGTTAGCAGAAAAATATATATAAGGAATAGATGAGTTTAAGAAGCATATTATAAAATTGGCAAGTGAAGGAAAGCATAGAGTTGAATAAAATCTAAAAGATTTAGCTGATTTAAGTTTTATTGCTGAATCAACATTAGATTCAGAGTTGAATAAAATTAGGAAAAAGCATAGAGACAAATTAGAATAATCAGAATCTCAATATCTTAAGAAATTTAATAATGATATGTATCATCTTTTTCAAATCAAACCTTTAAATTAATAATTATATTTAAAAACACAGGTGAAATAGATACATAAAATAAATAAATAATTTGATTAAAAAGTTGTTGAATAATCATAACCTCATGGAACAGACGCTTCAATTAATATATTTGATAGTAATTCTAATAGCTAGGATAGTTTTTTTGATGGAAGTTTTTTTGCTCCTTCAATAGACAATTTATAATTTGATAATGATATCTTTGAAAAGAAGAGAACATAATCAGTAGCAAAGAAGCCTACAACAAATAATAGAAAACTATTAAAGATAAATAGAAAATTGGGAAAATCAGTTGGTTTAATTAAAATAGGTTTTGAAAGACCTTTAGATCATAAATCTAAAATTTTAACAACTAATTAATATTTTAATGAATTTCAGAAACCAAAAAAGTAAGAAGAGAGGAGTGTTAGTAATGCAGGAAGATTGTTAAAAAGATAATTAGAAAATATAGAATATAGAGAACATCCAGATAGAGATGAACATCATAAATAAGATTTAGATGTTTATGTTAATAAAATGGTAACTGGGAAGATAGAAACTAATGAATTTCAGGATTATAATGATATTCTAGGATAGTTATTTAATTTAAGAAAGAAGGAGGACTTTGATAAGAAAGAATTTTATTTTGGTAGAAAAATGCTCAATTTGAAAGCAAAAGAAGAAATCATGTTTTATAAGGAATCATTCAATTCACCACCAGTAAAAGTAGAAATAGACACAAAAGTTAGGGATTAAGCACATATTATAGATGGTAAAATAACAGCAGAAAAGGAATTAAAAGAATTGAAAAGAAAAAAGATTGATAAAATGGTAGCAGGCAAAAAGATAGTATAAACTAATGTTAATATTGATTTAAAAGATGAAGAGGAAACTATTTATTTGAGAAAAGTATTAGAAAAAAGTAAGAAAAAGAAACTAAAAGATTTTATTTATAAACATAGAGAAGCCTTAGGATTATCAAAATTTTTTGCAAATTTACATAGAGAATAAAAAGAAAAAGAAAGGATATAAAAATTAAAGTCAGCTTTTGAGAAAGAAACTTTAGTTGAAGTTTCTGAGAATTAGAATTTGTAATAATAGTCTACAAAACAAAGAAAAAATGTCAGAATTTTAGTATAAGAGATTGATAAGAAACCTCTAAATCATTAATTATCATTGTAACCATCTTAGGGTAGAAATTCTTAACTTTGTTTAGATGATATGAAGATATAATCAACTTAGAATTTAACACAATAAAAATCAAGTTCAATACCTAAACCAATATTAAAGAGAACATCTGAAACTTAAAAAAGTTTATAAATAAGTTAATCAATTCCAAATTTGGAGGCTCAAGGAACAGATTTAATTTTATAATAGGAGAAACAATAAAAAGTTTAGAGATAGATAAGAGATCAAATTGAAAAATAATAAAAGAAATCTCATCAAGTTATTGGTATGATAATAGATGGAGTGGAAAGGAAAATGGATATTGAGAATAAGGAATTAAATAAAATGTTGTTTAAACAAAAAGGAGGATAGAAATAATATATTGATGATGATGAAAAAACTTATTTGAAATTTGCACCAAAATTTTCAGATATGAGCAGATCAACTTATCTGATGTATATTAAAAAAGAGTTAGCTGAAAAATAATTGTTCAGTTTAGAAGATAATTAACCACAAAGAATAATGATGCCCAAAAAAAATTAATTATCAGATATGGCTCAAATGTTTAAAGAATTAGGATAACATTTATGATTTTTATATAATAATATTTTATAATAAATATCATTGACAAAAGGATGATAAAATACGTATTTATTGATGACGAAGTATCTTTGTTCGCAAATTAATAACACATAAGGTTTGCAATTAGATTATTATTTGAATTCAATGACATCATAAACACTATTGTTAACTTTGGGAGTCTTGATGGTTTTAGGAGCCACAGCCTATATGAATTATGAGGATAATGTTAGCTCAATAGATCATGGATTCACTGCAGATTTTGCATCCTTTATAAAATCTTTTGATTCAAAATATGACTTTATTAGATCTGATATCACTTGGTCAACATATGGGTAATCAAATATTTCTATTATTACTTATAGAGGTGCTGAAACTAGACCAACTACTGCTCCATCCAAATATCCTATTGTTTTTGTTCATGGAAATTCTGATATTGGAGCTGGTAATGGTGGAACTGTTGGATGGTAGACTGGATTTACATAACTTATTGAATATCTATAAAATTATGGTGGATATACAAAGGCTGATTTGTATGTAACAACATGGGGTAAAATTTTATAATAATAAATTTTGTAGGTCCTGCCAATCCAAATATGGCATCATAAAACAGTCATAGTGAAAAATATGTGATGACTACTAGACGTTTCATTGAAGGAGTTCTTGCATACACCAAAGCCAGCAAAGTTATAGTCATTGGTCATTCTATGGGAGTCACTTTGGCTAGAGCAGCTATTATTGGTGGAACTTATTCAGAATCCCTTTTTAGTAAATTTACTGTTGGAGATCCTATAACTAATTCTATTGCTGCTTTCTTTGGATTAGCTGGTGCTAATTATGGTTTAGTTGATTGTACTTATGCAACTGGATTACCTACTTGCAGTACATACAATGGATTTTCACCATCATCTTAAATGTTAACTGCTTTAAATTCTAAAACTCATAGAGAAGGTGCTAAAGTTTATTCTTTTTGGTCTCCAAATGATGATATCATTAAATACAATTGCATTGTCAATCAAAAAAATACTTGCATTGTACCAGGAAGTGATGAATCAGTAATTCAATCATATATAATATTAGTTTTAATAAAGTGGATACACACACTTTGATGTAAGAGATAAGTTTGCAGCTGACATACTTCGTCTCATCTAGAAATTATGATTATTTTATATATTAATTAAATATAAGACTCAAATCTTTTTTAACAATAAGGGGGGTATTCTTACAAATATACTGCTAAAAAAGGGGCCAACATCAATGACCCTAAGTATAACAATTTTTTAATTATACAAATGAGACACATCAATAAAAGAGGTACAACATCATCATTTTCAGGTTTGTGAAAGGAGTGTGTCTGAATTACAATTAATTAATTTATTTAATTGCTTTTCAATTACAATTACTTTAATCTAGGCACACCCCCTAACACAAACCACTTGCAAAATCCCATATATATTAATGTCTATTCTTAACTTATATAGATTGCCTAAAGCTTAAGTTACAGAAAAAGGGAACCTTCATTGAAATCGTCCATCCAACCAAATCATCAGATGAAGAAACCATCGTTAAGAAACGTATTGTTAGCAATTTTAATGTCAATTCAACATTTTGGATCACTTCAAAATAAGATGTTCCACCTACTTTGGATTTTGAGAGTCTTTTTAAAACACCTTTTCCAGAATAAGCTGTCAGACATAATGAAACCTTTGAAAAGCTCGAAGTGGTCACAAATACTAATTAAAAGATATTAATTGATGTTCCATCAAGACCAGCTGCTTATTCTTTAGAAAAATTAAATTTAAAAGGAAAGCCAACACTTGAGTAGTTGTTTTAAGCCATTCCAAATTGTATGGATTATAAGGAAAGAGATAAAGACTTCAAATTAGGAGGCTATAAACTCAACTATCAATCTGGTTATGCTCCAGTTGAGATTTAAAATAGACATAAGGATCCTGAAGATTATACAAAGAAATAACACTTTATTAGACAAAAACAATCATAAGCCAATTTGAATTTGAAAAGAACTTGTGGTGTTTCATATGTAAAGAAGAGTGAAAGTGAATAGAAGGATGTTAATCATATTTTTAAAAAGTACTGATTAAATTTTATTAAGACTTCCTCCACTTGTTTATTAATGTTCATCAGGTTGTTAACCAATAACTGGATATGATGAAGCCTTTGATAACTTATTTAATAATCTATTGAATGGAAAGAACTTGATAGTGTTCACACTTTTCAATTCATAGGATGAAAGTTCATTGAGAGAATATTTACTATTTCCTCACTTAAGAAATAAGATTTCAAGAGAAAGAGTTATGATAGCTAGGAAATTCTTAAATTTATGGATGCTATTTTAAGATGCTTTATGTTTAGTGATTCACTATAAATATGACGAGTATAAAATAAAATATAATTAATAGAAATTAATTATTAAGACCAATATAATTGAATGAATAAGAAGATATAAAGTAATAATTAGTGGACTTTATTTGTGAATCAGAAATTTCTATATGTTTATTATTCAAAAAAAGTGTATCAGGTAGAAAAGCATTTTTGAAAAGTGTTGGATTATGGAATGAAGGAAATGACAATTCTTCAATTTGTACAGAAACACAAAGAGAAGAATTATAAACTAAATTTGTTATATCAGTTCCCAAAGTTCCAATCAATAGCAATTCAACTGCCCAAAGTTTATTCTAAGAATTTACTAATATCATCTAATAATAAGAGAATTATGTTTTAGAAGGCCGATCTTAAACTCAAATTCCATAAACTCAATAATAAAATCCAAATAGTGAAAAATAATCAAAAAAGAAAAAGAGGGCAAAGATCTTATCATCAACAGATGTAAGAAAAGATGGTGGAGCCAGTGAATAATTGATAAATCATTTAATAAAAGAGGATGGAAATCATAATATTAATACATGTAGTATAAGAATGGAAATGTATGTTACAGAAGAAAAATGGAAATCAGCAAATGATCATAATAAAGATTTACTTAATGCTTTTATCAAGAGAGTTGAACATCATGTAACAAGTTCATATTTAATTAAAATGATGAATAAAAGATTTAAAGCAAATGAAAAAGGATAAGATTATATTATAAGAAGAAGCAATAAAATCTATGAAATACCAACAGATAATGTAGAAATAAAATAAAACAAAAAATCAATTAATTGGACATCAACATTTACTCCTGAAAATTTTACAAATCTATAAACATTTAAATTAAGCAAGAAATATTAACATATCTCTTTAGACATTATTAAAATGAAAGAATTAAGTTTTCTTAAATAACCATTATATTGTATAACAACTAGAGATAGTTTTGCATTTGATTTAATTACTAAAGTTACCAAAGTTAAATTAGGAGATAGAATGGTAGATAGGTATTAAATTATAATATAAATCAAATTAGATTAGATTTCTTTTTTGAACCTAACAATTGTCCATGTAATTTTAAATCATTTTTACCAATGTTTCCAGAATATTAAGTTGGAGCACATGCATATGTAGGATATTTTACAAATGAAGAATTATTATAAATGGAAAAAGATATTTTTGAAATGGAATTAAAAGGATTTGATGGTAATATTATATATATTTATTATTTTTTAGGTCATTATTTACCTATGACTGCATAAATTTCACATGCTTAATCAAATCATCATTCAAGTGTACGAAGAACTAAATTCTTTTTTGGTTATAGATATATGTGGACTAAATGTTAATTAGCAGAACCACATTCAATGGTAGCTGCTGGTGTCAGAAGAGATGTATCAGCTCCTCCATTATGGATGAGAAATCTAATTACTAAACTTGAAAATGATAATGTAGTACCTAAAAAGTTTATTAATTCTATTGCTTGTAATGTTTATCATGATGGAAAAGAAGGATTAGCATAACATTTTGATGATGCTGTTAGATTTAAATAACCAATCTTTACTATTAGAGTATTTTCAGATTGTAGATTATCATTTGGAAGTCAATTTTATGGATTTTGTAATGGAGCATTTGCTGTTCCTTTACCAAGAGGGTATCTATTTAATTATTACTATTTATAAGATGTATTCTTTGTATGGAGGAAGGTTCTTATGCTGCAAATGCTATCAAACATTGTGTAAGACCTTGTGATATGACTGGTAAAAGTGCTGCTTTAATATTACGTCAAATGCATGATTAGGTCACTTAGGAAGCTATTAAGTATGATGAATAAGTGGATTTACCATGTCATATGTCTACTTTATCAGTTGATGATAATGCAGTTCCTTTTGGAGAATAAAAAAGATTAGAAGCTGAATTACTAAGTTGATTATTAATAATAAGTTACAATATCTTTTAAATTATACTTAACTTAAATTTTTAAGATTCCTTTACAACTCCATTTATGACTGATTTAACGTAAAATAAAATAATTATTTATTAAAATTTATGTATTAATTTTATTATTATTTTAATAATTTGAGAAAATGTTTAGAATAGCAGAAAAAACTCAATAGATTTCTTGTCCTATGCATAAGAAACCCATAAAATATTTAAACATTGGATAGAATTGTTCTTTGGAGTTGAGAATAGGATGCTCTTCATGTATGGGGGGAAATTTTATTGACTTTGAATTAGCGGAAGAACTACTTGATAAATTGAATAATGGAAATAATGATGATGATATGAAGTAACAATTAAAGATTGACTTTATGCATACATTAAATCAATTTAGAAATTAAGTCAATAAAATACTTGAAAACATTGAAAAACTAGTAGAATCCATGAACTACAGTTCAGATAAAGTTATCAATTGGCTTAATTAAATTAAAGAGGCTAGTTAATTTAATATTGATGATTTAAGATAAATTGCTGTTAAATTAGGAGTATATATTATCAAATAAGGTGATTAATTCTAACCTAGAGTCAATGAATAATGGTAAAATTATATTAGTAAATATGCTCAAATTTTATAAAAAACAAGCCTTCTTTTTAATCAAAAAATAATAGAGAAAGAATTAAATCAAAATGATTAGGCTGAAATTGTAACTTAAGAAGAACCAAAAAAAATTTGTCAGATTGAATCAAAAGAGATTTTGTTGGTAAAGTAAGACATAGGTTAGGAAGTTGAAAAGCTCAATAATAATTATTAGATAGAAATAGATGAATAGAAGAAGAAAATAGAATTTTTAGAAAGTTAAATTGAAAAATATCATAATTTATATAACAAATTAAGGAATTAAAATGAGAATCAAGAACCAGTATTTGAAACACCAAAAGTTAATATGATTATAAATAAATATGAACCTGAAAAAAAAGAAGAATTATATAAACCATTATAAAAATAAGACAAAGAACAATTATAGATTTAGAAATATTTAGATGAAAAAACAATAAATCATCCTCTTTGGAAAGAGTTTAATAATGAAATAGATCATATAAAGAATTAATTAAAATGGTTGGAATATAAATATGCTGAATAATTATATTAATTCAATTAATAAGCCCTTTAAGAATAATAAAAAAAGTAATTACATTTTAGTAAAAAAACATAAGAAAACTAAAACTTTTCTAAATTTTATCTTAATTAATTAATAGCTTAATTGTAAACAATTAATAAATTGTTACTTGATTCTTAAACCATGTATAAGATGGACAATATTGTTGTTTCCAATAATTACTAAGATGAATAAGACTTAAAAAAAAAAGTATTAGAAACAATAGATTATATCAGAAATCATAAATAACATCTAGATGTTTGTCAAGTTGAATTAAAATATGTTTAAGAACTTATGTCAATAAATGAATTATCAAAATGTAATATGGTTAATAGTAGAGACTTATAAAAATATTTTTAGAGACTTACTGACAAAAATAAATATGGAATATTTTATATAAATAATAATGCTTTACTTAAGAACTCAAAAAGTCTTCAATAAGTAATAATTAAATCATTGCAAGATAATCAATTGAAAGACAATCTCTAAATAGATAAAGATTTTATATTGGTTAATAAATTTGTTTGGAAATTTATATCTACTCTATACTTTAGTAGTGGCCCAGAAATCTTGATCTAAGAAAATTGAAATTTGTATATAAACGAATATATGCTTTCTTTTCAAAATTATGTATCTTTATAAATTTTAAACTTTAATTTATGAATCACTTAGCATAAATAAGTGATTTTTATGAGATGAAAAATATATATTAATATAGATCTTTTGATATTTTCATACAATATCAGTTATTCTATTAAATATATGATCAAAAAAAGGTTTATTGATTTAGACATCAAAGAAAATTAATCTTGATATTGAAGGAATGTGAAATGAAACAAAATCTTTGATTCAAACTTTACTAATAAGAAAGAATTTTTATCTATCTTGCATAGGAATAGATTTTCTAAATTGATGATATACAAAATTATTATAAATATATATGCAATAATCTCATTTTTATTACGATATGTTCAAAATCATATCATTACTATTTTAGTAGGATCTAATTAATAAATAAGAGAAGGATGATTTAAAATGTACTTCAATTTTTAATTTTAGTTATGGTACTCGAATCTCAATCAGAATTGATGTTTTAACTGCAGGCCATTTATCGTTCTTCTGTAAAGGGAAAATAAGTATATATGGTCCATGAAATAAAAAAATATATAGAATCAAATAGATAAGGTTCTCCAAGAAATAGTTCACCCAGATCTTCAAGATATTTGGAAGCCTCTCGTATGTGGAGCATTTATGAAGAGAATGAAGAGGAAGAAAGAGATAACGAAATTAAACTTATTGGAATTCGTCGCTGACAATTAGTTTGTTCAAAAGTTGTGACTCTTTTTTGTTTATTAATTATTTATGGAGACTGAAACTCAATATCAAATTTCTCCAGAAGGTGTGTTACTAATTATATCTTTTAGATATCGAATTTCTGAATGAAAAATATCGTCTGGTTTTTACATATCCTGCCGCAGCATTTGCCATTTCAGCTGTCATCCTAGCATCCACTAGATTTTTGAGCTTCCCAAAATTCTTCAGAAACCCTCTTGAAGTATGCATTCAAAAAATTTAAATCAGTCTCCAGAAGGAAATGCTCTCTTCTATACAAGACTATCGAAAATGGCAAAACCACCTTTGTTATTATATGGTGCATGTGTTGGAGGAGCTATAGGGTTATTTTAGTATGAATTAGCCAAATATAACATGTTTGTGAAGTATAGAACTTTAGTAAATACATATTTGGATGCTTGTGAGGCAGTCTATGTGAGTGAATTAAAAAAGAGTTAAGAAAAATGAATTTAATTAAAAAATGAGTACATTATCAATATCATTATAAATACAAGTCAATTACATATATTATTACATATACACTAAGAAATTAAATAGAGAAAACAATAAAAAATTGTCAGATAATATATATATATTTTGTTTTACCTTTAAAATATTAATATAATAATATTAGATTTAATGAGAATGGCTGTTACTCCATTGTAAGTTTCTAAATCACTACCTCCAGTTCCTATGCCCATAATGAATACTCCAGTGATAGTTGACAGAGGTAGACAGAAAGTAAATAACTATTAGTGGCAAGTTTGAATCATTCTACAATATTCAATAAAGAATCTCCTAAAAATACACTTAGTGAATAATAGTTGATAGAATTAGAAACCAGAATTCTTAATCTTGAATAAGATTCTTCAGCAAAATTAAAATGTGAAAATTTGATCCAAGAAAATAAAAATCTAATGCAATAAGTTAGTCAATAAACTGAGGCTGTAGCTAAATTTAAGGGGGAACTAAAGATTGCTAAAAAAGAAATCTCAAAGTAAAGCTTTAAAATATCATAAAAAGACTTAAGAAAGTATTAGATATAAAAGAAGAAGCCTTAACGGATATTAGAATTAAAAATCATTCCAGAAATTTATCATAATCTGATAAAATAGTCCAACAAAAAGAAATGATGGAATAGTAATATTTTAAAGAAAAACTATAATTATAAAATTAGATTAAACAACTTGAAGAAATATTAGAACAAGAGCGTTCTCAAAACTAAAATAATTAGACTTCTCTTTATTTTCAATAACAATAAATACTTATTCAGAATCAATAAATGGACTATTAAATTTAATAATCTTAACCTTCTTTACAAACATATAAATGCAACCAATTAAAAAAAAATGATTAATATTCAACTTCTTAGAATAGGAATTCTAATTAGGAAGGAGGATTCAATCAAATTTTTTATAGACCTTGTCATTAAGATAAATTATATTAAGTTCCTAGTAAAGGAATAACAAAAGAGAGTAGTTCTCCAAAATTCAATAATTAAAGTTTTCCTTTATTAAAATTCAATTCTATTGCTTAGGAAAACTTGGATGCAAATAGCTAATTCGATTAAAAAAATAAATCCATTGATCCAAAAGATTAATTTAAAACTCATAATTAATTAAAAGATCATAATATGATATAACGAAAATCATTATCTTAGATTACAGAATTGATAAATTAAAATGAACATGGATAAAATCAAAGTAAAGAAAACCATTGTAAATACTTCGAGAAAAATTGTTTATAATCACCAAATTATTCATCCTCCAATATCTCTAAAAATAAATTATTATAAGAATTAGAGGAACTGAAAAATGAGGTTAATTTCTAAAAAATAACTATTTAAGATTCGATTAAAAAAATATCAATACTAGAGTAAGAAAAATCTAATGTTATTGATAAAAATGAAAAACTTCTTCGAGAATTTCGCAATTAAGTTGATGAAATAAAAAGAAATGATTTAATAAGAAACAATATACAAAATGATGTTATAAGACTTGAAGAAACTCTTTAGTCTTAAAAAATACATTATGAAACTTATATTTAGGATTAATAACTTAAATATAATCTTCTCGAATAGAAATTCTAAGAAAATTAAATATTATTATAAGAAAATCTAAAAGAATAGACTAAATTTGAGTAAGAAAATTGCATATTATTGAAAAATCAGTTAGAAGAAAAATAATTAGAAATTCTGAACATTAGTCAAAAAGTCCTTAATTATAAAAATAAAAATGATTAGTGTGAAATATAAATAAATCAAATGAAAAAATAAGAACTAGACTTAAAATTAGAGATTGAAAAAATCAATAAATAATATCATTAAGTTAAGAATTAATTTGATGATACTTTAAAAAATCTGAATGAAGCACAAAATCAAATGTTAAAGATGTAATCTTAATTTTAATCAGAATTTTAATTAAGGGAAAAAATAGAATTAAATTATGCTATCTTATAAAAAGAATTTAGTCAATATAGAGAAAACTCTATTCTATAAATTGATAATTTATAGTCATAAGAAAAACCAATGAATAATTTCAACAATATAGAGTAAATTTAAAATCTTTAACAAAAATAAAAAGTAGAAAAAATCATAAACTTTGAATAAATTGATCAAGATATTACTCAACAATTATAAAATGCAAATAATACTATAAATGAATAGAGAGAATAATTATTTTAGTTATAAGAAACAAATTAAAAATTAGAAAAGGAAATTGAAGATTTGAAGAATAAATTTTCAAAGTAAAATTTAATATTAACTTAATTGAAATAAGATAATACTTATAAATTTGATAAATGTAATAACTTAAAATTGGATTTATCTAGAATTCTTATGGATGAATAACAGCAAGAAAATATTTATAATGAGCAATAATAAATTGATTAACTTATTCTTGAAAATGATTCTATTCCTATTATTTATGATTTAGCTTATACAGAATAAAATTAGTTAGATTAAAAATTATAGTAAAATAATCAGGATATGGTCATTCAAAAATAATAAATTGATGAACTAATACAAATTAATTAAGAATAGAATACTCAGATTTGTAATTTGAAGACTTAATTATTATAGTTAGAGATAATAACAGAAAACTAAAAAGAGTAGATAAATAAATATGAAAAACAGTTTAAATATGTATTAAAAGATGATAATAAATTATGTTAGTAAAAATAAACAGAACTATATGAATATAATGAACCCACATCTTTTAAAAGCTGTAATCATTTTACTTAACTAATTAATTAATAGGTTAAATAAAGAGATTAAGAAAATAAAAATTTAAAGAAAACCAATAATTTAACTACATATGAAATACAAACAGGAAAAAATGAGATTAATTTACTCCAAAAAAAAATACAATAATAAAGTGATATCATTAAATAATTAAATTAATAGTTAGATAAACTTAATTTTTAGTATTAGAATCTATTAATAGAATAGTAATCAAATAATCTTTAAATTGAATTAAAAAAATCAGAGTATGAGTAAATGAAAAAACATCTTTAAACAACTATTTCAAAATAAAAAATTTCTTTAGATTAAAAAGAAATCGAGATATAAAATATTAAATAATAAAAATTAAGTGTAAATGATATGAATTAATTAGAAATAGATAAAATTAATTAATTACTAATCATGAGTTAAGAAAAGATTGAAATTTAAAAAAAAGAGCAACATAAAGATATGTAAAAAAATTAAGCAATTTAATAAGCCAACAATGAATTGAAAAGCTAATTAGAAAGAGTACAAGATGAAAATGCTGATTTACATGATATAATTATTGAGCTATAAAAAGAAAATGTAAATTTAAGAGATAATCATTAAAAATTAATTAAGAAATTAGATGAAAATAATTAGACAAAAGAATAAATTAAGGAATAATATGCATAATTATAATAAGATAATATCATTTTAAGAAGATAAGTTATTACTATTAATTAATAATGTGAAAATTTTCAAGCTGAATAACTAAAACCAGGTTTTATTACATCTAAAAATAGTAAAAAGATTGATGAATTAGAGAGGGAAAATATAGCATATTAGAAAGAAATTTCAAAATTAAAATAAATGATAGGAGATTTATCAAATAATCAAAATTACAACTTTAATTAAAATCCAGAGAGAAAATTGTCAAATAGTTCTCAAAATTTATCACAAAAGAAGCATCTTTTTGATCAAAATAGTATTAAATCTAAAAATAATTGATAGTTTACTGATAGTATTAAACATATATATTCAATTTTAATAATAAATTTAATGGAAGAATTTAATAATTTCTTTGATGAAGAAATGAACAATTAAATAAAAGTACTTTTGAGACTCTCAAATTATTTCTCATATTTTAGATCAAAGTATATATTAAGATAAATAAATTATGAGTTATTTAAGTGTCTGAGCAAACAAGTAATTAAATAATAATAATTCTGATACTTTTTTTTATATATTTTATCAATATGGTTTGCATTATCTAGCAAAATATACTGTGGCAAACAAAGATAAAGCTGGTATTCCTCGGCTATATCATAATTAATATAATTTACAGAACCATTCTTTTGGCTGGATTCATTCTCTCAAATCTGATTTGTCTTGCAACATCTCCAGCTGGTTATCTCAATTATATGTATGAGATAGTGCATATACCAGCAGATATAACTGCAGCAATTGGTGAAATAAACTAGCATTATTTTATTATTTCTTTATTACATTAGAATTAAAAAATTTTTGACTAAATGATAAGCATTCTGTATTAATCTTGAATTTATAAGATTCGACTATCATTTAATCTGTAGGAATGGAATATAATTCTCTAACTTCTGGAGTTACTGTAAGGAAATCAATATCCTAATTTGACATTATTTATATAATTATTAATATTTAATATAATTAGTTAATAAATATATTTAAAATAATCTAATTATTGTTATTATTAATAACAAATATCACTTACCTTTATAAAATAATGATACATTATAGTATTTGAATAAGATGAATCTATTTGTTTAAAAAATTCTATTGAATTTAGGGTAACTTTTCTCATTAAAATAGAATATCTTTCTCGAAATAATTAAATTATCATATGTTAATCTTTTATTCTTTTTATAAAAATTTTTGATTTAATTCAATCTGAGTTAAAAATTTAGTGCTTTAATGTTTAGATGTTATCTTATTATAATTTCTTAAGTTTATTTTGAATAGATTTAAGACTGATTAAATTTTAAATTAACAAATGAATTTCCTTCTTTTTTCTAATTTAGTTCTAATTGTTTTTTCTATAGACAAATGTCTAGAATATCGAACTTATGCAGATTGTATTTTGAGTACTGATAGCTAATGTATTTGAATTTTAAAAAATAATATAGGTTATTGGAATTAGGAGTATTGTGAATTCACCAAAAACTTATAACTTGGGTGTTCAAGGTTTTTAAACAAAATGGCATGCGTAAAATAATTATCCAATACTTTGAACGAGAAAGCCAGATGTATATTAATATAAAATAAATTAGGTATCTTTAACAATGTTTGTCAACCAGTTATTGAACCATCAGTATTAACTTGTAATGATGCCATAACTAAACATGCTTGTTTAGATATAACTAATATTGATCAATTATGTTTTTGGGATGCATTAACATATTAATGTAAAACAGCCTCTTAAGAGAGTTATTAGGATGATTTTTAAGATGTTTTATATAGTGCATCTGTTTGTAGTAGAATTGAGAGTAATTAATAAAGAAAATTATTTAGACTACTTAATAATTCATAGTTCTATAATTTGGGATGTAATTTCATATAAACCTGATTTTGTATAGGAATCTGAGGATATTTATAATTTTGATTTAGGATTGGGTAAGAAAGATTCTGATACTAATTATGAAACAGGTTCATTAGCAAATAATTATGTTTATACTGTTTGTGATGCACCAAATTAAGTATCTTATTTTTAATGGTATATATTAAATGATCTTCAAGGTTAACAGATTAAAAATTGTAAAATTGTTTAAATAATTTAATAGTAAAAATAAGTGATAGAAAACGAGAAGGATGTATTGCAATATAAATAGCTGATGATGATGATTATAATTTAATATTTTCAAAAACAAAGGAATCTATTGGAGTAAATAAAATTTATTGCAGATATTAAGGAGGTATCTTTATAAATCATCGATGTGTTTATTATGATGATGTAACTATTCTAACAAATCCTTCATTTTTACAAGAATATAAAATAGATTGTTATCAATTGAATTTATAAGAATGTGCTATTGTTAATTTAAATTGCTATCCAGTTATTAAACATGGTTAAAACGAACAATTAGTTACATGTGTTGCTTCTTAAAATTAATTAATTTATGCTTAAGGATGTTTATCAAATGTTTAAGTTTATTAAACCTATAAAGATTGTATCTTAAATTCAAATCAAATGATTGGAGTCTATTTAGATTTTGATGAATCTCCTCCAATATGTAGTTCAAAATGTTTTGTACCTTAATAAAGTGATTGTGATCTCTCATATTGTAATTGGATCAATGAAGGATAATAATTTCATGGATGTATTCCTAAATATGGTTGTAATCATCCAGGTTTGAATTAATAATATTGTTAAAATATGGCTTAACTATGTTAATGGGATTCGATAGAGAGTCGTTGTTATTAGATAAAATATTATTAACTTTTCAATCTAAAATGTTCAGAAGCTACTTCTAAATATTTATGTGGAAACATTAAAACATTTGGATAAGAATGCATTTGGATTGATGAAGATAAAAGTTGTCTAAATATATTAACTATTCCAACATTAAAAGTTTTTGAATCTTTTCCTACAAAATATGTTGTGAATAGAGAACTTTGTATGAATTCAAAAGGAAAACATATATATAAGAATTATATTTGTACTAATGATTAAAGTCCTATTAGTTGTGAAAATGAAGATCCAGGAAATTTTGGTAAAGAATTATGTTTAATAACTTAAAAATGTTATTGGAATATTTAAATGTAAAGATGTGAAAAGGCAGTTATAAAATCTTCTTGCAATTAGATGTAGAGTGTTTCTCCTGATTGTTGTTCTTAATTTAATGATTGCATTTATGATGTATCTATAGCTAGTTGTGTATCACTAACCTCATCAATTTTTTGTACAACTCCTGGAATTTCAAAAAGTGCATGTTTAGCTTTAGAAGATTAAAAATGTTAATGGCTTGGATCTAAATGTGTTGAAGTGCTTCTATTTAGAGAACCTTGTCAATCATATAAATCTGTTACAAAATCTGTGTGTATTTCATAAGAAACTAATTAATGTAGATATAATGATTAAAATTGTGAGTTAGTTGAAACTTAACCTAATAATTGTTCAGATTTATTTAATAAATACGCTTGTCAGGCAAGTAAAAGTAGCTGCTATTTTACCAGTAAATGCAGATAATTTTAATAATAAAATTAAAAATGTGAAGGTTACTATCTCAGTAAATCTGCATGCTTAAGTCTTATGACACCAGGAGAATAATGTATTTGGAAGAATAATCAATGTATGTACATTAAAGAAAGGATGAATTGCTTAGAATCACAACCAATTAATATGTGGGGTTGTGTTGGCATAGCAGCTGAAATTTCAGGTTATCTAAGTCCATAATATTATTGTGAATATAATTCAATATCTTCAGCTTGTTAATCTTCAGTATCAACTATAACAGGCTGTAAGTTAGATTACAATATCAATATTCATAGATGTAGTGCTTATACTACTGGTACATGTATCTATAAAGATTTATAATGCATCTCTATAGATCTAACTCATAAATATTGGAATTTTTAACTTGGTACAATTAATTGTGAGTAAGCTAATTTTTAAACTTGTAAACATGTCAGAGGAAAAGTTTGTTAGTAGATCAATTAAGTTTGGAACTCCTACAATGATGTACGTTGTGGTGAAGTTATTACAGCTTATGTTCCATGTGGTAATATTGTTGGCGATTACACCTATAACTATAATTTTTTTTAAAATATAGAAACTTAATTTAATCCTTAAGTTTGTGCTTAAATTTATGGTAAGACTATTTATCCATGCCTTTATGATTAAAATTTACAAAAATGTGTTTTGGCACTAGCAACTGCTCGTTTTGCATGTAATGCATTAGGAATCAATAAATGGGTATGTCTAAGTTAAACATATGGATAATGTGCATTTGTAAATTATGTCTGTGTTGATGCTACATTACGAAATGAAAGTTGTAGTAATTTAAATAAATGGGCTTGCCTAAATTCAAGTAGAAATTGTGTATAATAATTTATCAAAGAAGATAATGTTTGCTAAGACAGAAGAATAGATTTGACTCTTTCATGTGCTAATTAAGATTATTAAAGTTGTTCATTATTGGATAATTGTTATGCTAATTAATTTAGTTGTTATAGCTTATTACCCTCATAGATTTCACCTACAAGTTGTAATAGTCCACAAATTGGTAAAGCAGTATGTTTACAAGCTAATATGAATTGTTAATTCTTCAATTCCAAGTGTTAAACAATATCAAAAGATAAATGTGAATATTAGTTGACTTAAGAGTAATGCGCAAATAATTTATATTTTAAATGTGTTTTTAAAAATAATAAATGCTACACATAAAATATACTCACTAAATGTGATATTTATGAATCAACAAATTATAATTTTTGTAGATAATTTCAAAATTGTAAATATGACTTTGATTAAATGAATTGTGTTGATTTAACATTAATTAAAGGTATTTAGAATAATTAAATTAAATATGATTCAATAAATTGTAATGTATTTTTAAATTAATTTGATTGTTTAAATTAATGGTAAGTAATATGTAGTTATAATTAAAATTTAGGATGTTAAAATACAAATAATAATCCAAGTTAATGTCCACATTTAATGTAATATAGTAAAATGATGTGTTAAAAATATGAAAATTGTGATTTTTAATTTGGATATTTTTGTATTGATAAAACATAAAGTTTAAGTTGTTCTGGATTATCTAATTAATTATGTTTATAAGATATTTCAGATTCATTAGCTTGTTATTGGGATGGTACTAATTGTTAAGATGTAACAACTTAAATTTGTTAAGATGTTTAATCTTATACAATCAATTATTCTGGATGTACTAAAATAAGCAATTAAGATAATTAAAAATGTATGTATTAATAATCAACTTCTAAATGTAAAATATTAAAAGAAATTAATAATTGTTCTGATTTTACTACTAATATTGAATGTGCTATTAGAGCTAATGTTTCTTGTTTATTAGGAAATCCTAATGATCCAACTACTACTTGTACTTCTTCAAGTGTTTTTAATGCAAATTTAAATCTATATGGATGTACTTAATTAACAGGAAATATCTATTATTATGATATTTATAATTATAAATGTGGATTACTTAATACGGCAAATTATGTAAATGTTTAAGGATGTCAATATTTAAATAAATAAAGTTGCATTGTAATAACAAGTGATATCTTAACTATAAATTGTGGATGGATAGATAATTAATGTTAATAATTAATAGATCTTACAAATTTAAATGATTGTAGTTTATTAAATAAATATGCTTGTATTAATATTGAAAATTCAAATCTTGTTTGTGAATGGAACGTTTTAACCAATACTTGTTCATAATCAACTCAAACTAGTTGTTATGTTCCTGCATCAATTCCAGCAAATCCTTCAGTTTTATATTCATTAAGTTTATGTAGTAAGGGAAGTAATGCAAATGCTTGTATGGCTAATTCATCAAATACAGGATGTATTACATTTAGTTATACAATTGAAATTTGTGAAAATATGGGATTAAATAAAAAAGCTTGTTTAGAATAAACAACAGGATATTGTAAATGGTAAAATAATCAATGTTAAAATTCTTAATTAGATAATTTGAATTGTAATTCTGAAATAAATAAAAATACTTGTTTGGCTATTAATGATAATTTATGTTAATGGAATGATACAACTAAAACATGTTCTATTAAACCATTAAATTAATGTTCTGATGCTATTAATTATAATTAATGTATGAATGTACCAAATTAATTTTGTGAATTTACTGATTTTAAATGTAATTCGCTTGTTTTAGTTTAACCAATTTGTAAAACTGGGTATAATAAATTTGCGTGCAAAAGTGTTAAAGGTGTAACATGTTAATTTAAAGATTAACAGTGTACTGTCCTATTTTATATTGATTCTTGGCAAAGATGTTCAAATTATGATACTTAAAATAGTTGTGAATCAAACAATTGCGAATGGTAAAATTTAAAATGCATTTCATTAACAATATGTAATAATGCTTCTTCCTAAAAAAAGGTTGAATATTTACCATATAAGTTGAATCCCTGTGTTAATTATTAACCTTAAGCTTGCATTTAAATTTTTAATAAATTCGGATGCTTAAGCTCAAGCTTATATTGTTAATGGGATGATAATTTGGGATGTTCTTCTTATATCACACATTTATAAGAAATTCAATGTTTAGAAACGTTGAAAGTAAATAAGAACGTTTGTATTAAGTTTGCTCCTAAATTTTGTGAATTCAAAGATGATAGTTGTTCATATCGTATTACTGAATAATATTTTATTTAACATCCTTAACAAACACTAGCAAGTACAGAAATAAATCATTAAGTGGAGGATCAAATTTGTGATTTTTATGCTACATAATAAGATTGCATTTTATCAACTGCTTATGAATGTTATTGGAATGGATTCTGTATTTAAGTAACTAATGAAAAAAATTTAGATCCTCAAACTTTAAACTTAAATAGTTGTAAAAAATTTAATTTACAATGGAGAGACAGATAATGCTATTAATTCTCTACTGTATAAAATTTTAATGAATTTTTGGACAAAGATGTAACATCATGCGAAACAAAGTTAATCTCAAAATCAACATGCTTAAATATGGAAACTTAAGCTTGTTAATATGACAATAATACATAAAATTGTAAGAAAGTTCTTAATTTTGATTAACCATGTTCCTTCTATTTAAATGTGAATAAAAAAACATGTTAATCATTGACAAAATTTGCATGCGATTATAATGACATTCAAAAATCCTGTATTCCTGTCCCAAGTATTGTTACTGATTTGAGTGGCCTTTCAAAATAAGCTTGTCTGACACTTCCAATTGCAGCATATTGGGATGATTTTTGTATTTCTGTTACAATTTTTGAATGCAATCAAAAATTTTAGAGTAGTCCAGAAGCTTGTGTAGTAGCATAAACATCATGTATTTATGATGAATCAAAATAAATGTGCATTTCTTAATTTAATATAAATGCAGTCTTTTGTAATACACCAGGGGTAAGTAGTGAAACTTGTACATAAATAATCAAGGAGCCATGCATATTTAAGTCAAATAAATGTTAAAGGATACCAACATCATACACTTGTGATTAAGCAATTTTGGTAAATGAAATGGCTTGTGCATCACTTACTTAAGCATGCTCTTATGATTAATTTGCAAAAAAGTGTTAATTAGTATCAGCTAGCTAAAAATGTTCAACTTTAGGGCTTTCAAAAAAAGCTTGTTTTTTTAATCCATCCTGTTTATTTAATAATGATTTAATAAAATGTGAGTGTTAAATTGTTGCTTCTCCTTAAATTTGTAGCAATCTTTCATATGATAATTGTTAATCAAATATAAAATGTTTTTTTGACACCAATTAAAAAATTTGTAGAAGAAAGTATTGTGAAGATTTAAATAAATCTGAATGTTTTGGTTAATTAAATGATAAGATATGCTATTTTACTGGATATTCTTGTTAATCAGCAGGAAAATGCGAAGATATCTTTAATTTAAGTAGTTCTTAATGTGAAAATATTATTTTTGATGGAGTACCTTGTATAGGAACAAATAATAGATGCTTCACATACAACAATTATATAGAATTTTGTTAAAATTCTGATTGTCAAAATAATTTTTGTAGTTTCAATTAAGAGAATTATTGTTAAGTTAAAAAATGTTCATAATTAAATAATTGCTATTAATTAGGTAATTAATGCTAGACTTTATCAAATGGAACTTGTATAGAAAATTAAAGTTGTTAATTTTTAGATTCTGGAATTTGTGATGGATTAACTGTTCGTACATCAGCCAAATGTTATCTTTAGAAATATAATATTTATTTAGATGATGTTTTATGCACATCCTAAGTATGTGCTCTTTATGGAATTTCAGAATTATGTGATGGGAATTAATATGGGGGTTACACTTGTGCATTGGTTGACCAAAAATGTTTGCCTTGTGAATAAATAAAAGATGCTTGTTAATGTGATGGAAAAATTGAAATATGTGTATGGGAATAAAATACTTGTCGTTCATTTTAATGTAAAGAATTGAAAAAATAAGAATCATGTAATGCTATAAATAGATGTCTATGGAGTCCTAATTAAAATTAATGTTTAATTCATTGTAGTAAAATTATAAATGCAGAGGAGTGCAATTCCAGAACTGATGAATGCTATTATGATGAGGCAATTAATTTATGCAAAACAGGTGTTTATACCTCTCCAAATCTAAGCATAGCTATCGAAATATCTACAATGCATTCAAATTTCTTGTTGTTGATTCCAATATTCTTTGCTGTTGTATTTTGATTAATCTGAATTTATTAAATTAGGCTATTTTAATAAACATGAATCACTATTGTTTTGATAAATTTAATATCCTCAAAAAGCGTTTAGTTTTGTCTATTATATAAATAATTTAGCCTGGTAGATTGTAATTCTTAAATTCCCGTTGACTCTAACAAAATAAAATAATACTTTAATTTTTAATTTTTTTTCTTAAAGGATGACACTCATAGATGAGAACATAGAAATTAAAAACGGATGTCAATTAATTTTTTTTAAATATTATATCATATATATACTGTATTTAGTTAAAATTAAAGTCACTTTATATTTTTTCATTCCCAATTTCAACTTTAACATTATTTAAATTCTTTTATGACTTATTCATATAGGTTTATTATAATAGCTTTCCTAATACTATTTTCTTTATTACAAGTACATTGTGCTGACAAATGCATAGAATATAGAACTTATAATGATTGTATTAGAAGTATAGATGACTAATGTATAAATCCTCAATATTATTAATAGGTATTTGGGACTATGATGCTTGTTATTATACAAAAAATCTAGAACTTGGTTGTTCTGACTTGCTGAACAAGAAAGCATGTAATAAATAGTTAGCTTATGCTTCAGGAGAATTAGCCAAATGTAAAATAAATTTTTTCTCTTAGGTATTTTTACATCGAAGTGTTAACCAATACAGGATTTGAGTTAGGTTAATTGTTAGGATAGTCTTTCTAAGCATGGATGCATGTCAATTCAAAAAACGTCAGAGCTTTGTGAATGGAATGAAAAGACATACACTTGTGATTATGTTTCTCAAATGGATAATTTCTAAGACTTTTAAGATAAATTATATAGTGCATCAATTTGTGGAAGGATTGAAAGTACACTTAGTAATTAATTAGATTATCTCATTATCCACCATACATTATTATGGACACTTACTCAATATAAACCAAATTTTGTTTTAGAATCAGAACGTCTTTATAGAAAAGATTTAGGATTATAAGTAGAGGCTGATAATAAAATATATGAAACTGGAAACTTAAAAAATAACTTTGTAAACTCTGGTGGTTACTTTTAATGGTATGAATTGGGTCAACCACTTGGAAGTGGATTAAGCAATTGTAAAATATAATCTAAAAATAGTGAAAATTAGTGACAGATAACGAGAAGGCTGTATAGCATTAGAAATAGTTGATGATAGTGATTATTAAATGATATTCTCTTCAAAAATTTAAGAGGTAGGGGTCAATCATATTTATTGCAGATATATTAAAGGTATATTTACTCATTAAAGATGCCTTCTGATATCTGATGAATTATAATTACAAAATGAACAATTTATAGCAAAAAATTCTATCCTTTGTAGATATATTGATAGAAATAGATGTACATATATTAACTTAAATTGTATTCCATAACCATTAAATTCTGATGGACAAGAAAAAGAATTTACTTGTCTTGAAGGTATAAATAACTAAAAGAGCTCTTGTATTTCAGAATCCTCAGATTCTTTTAGAAAATGTAAGGGTTTATCTCAAGATTAAGGATGTTATTTGAATACTTTATTAACTCCTCCTGTTTGTAGTTAAGAGTGTATCACAAATCAAGAAAGTCTTTGTAATATTGATAATTGTAATTGGACTCAAGAATCAAATAACTTTATTGGATGTGTTCCAAAATTAGGATGTAAATAACCAGGCATAAATAAATATTATTGTGTTAATATGAGACTTTTATGTTCTTGGGATGAAACATAAAAATACTGTAGAGAACTTTAAGACTATTAACTAAATATTTTGAATTGTGAGGCTGTAATTTCAAAATTCTCATGCGGATCTATATAAAAAATGGGTTAAGAATGCATATGGCTTGATGATGAAGGTAAATGCATAAACGTGTTATCAGATCCAAAATTAAAATTATTTTAATCCCTTCCAAAATCAATGATTGTAAATAGATAATTATGCATGTATTCAGCAGGTAAGAGAAAATATACAAATTTAATTTGTGAATAATATTAAACAGATAAAACTTGTGAAACTGAAGATAGCAGTTCTTTTAACTAGGAATTATGTTTAACAACTCCAAAATGCCAGTGGGATGTATTATATGAAGTTTGCAAGGTTTAAGTACCTCAAAATAATTGTGATGCTTTAATCAATGTTTCAGCTCCTGCATGTGCAACTTTTATGAATTGTAAATACAATTTTCAAACAAAGAGTTGTCAATCATAATCCACTAATTTAACATGTGATGACCAAGGAATAAAAAAAGAAATTTGTCTCGGTTTATCTGATTAACCATGTAAATGGAGTAATGGATTTTGTTAATAAGTGACATCATTTAATCAATATTGCACTTCATACAATAATGTATCTTAAAAAGTTTGTGTATTATAATCTACTGAAAAATGTTAATTTTTTTAAAACAAATGTATTTTAGTAGCAGTTGCCCCAACTACTTGTGAATCCTATTTTAATAAATATACATGTTAGTTTAGCACAGAAGCTTGTTATTTTGCTGGAGATTCCTGCTAAATATTAACATCATCTAATTATGAATCTTTGACTTGTGAAGGTTTTTATCTTAGTAAAAAGGCATGTTAATAAATTACAAAACCTAATGAAAGGTGTTCATGGGATGGAGAAAAATGTGTTTATTTTAAATCCACTTAACGTTATAATTGTATGGCTAATACATCAATTAGTTAGGCAGGTTGTATTAGTATTATATCCCCTGTTCCAAGATAATCATTAGATGAATATTATTGTGCTTATAAATTTCCAGATAGGATATGTGCTTCTATTGCCTCTTCTACAACTATAGCAGACTGTGGAAATGCTAATTTATTATTAAATCAATAAACTTGTTCTTAGCTTACAAGTGGAAATTGTATATTTGTTGATTAATAATGCAAGAGCGAGCCTTCAGACTCATCAAAAAGTCGTTATTGGAATCATCATTTAAAAAAAATAAGTTGTGATTACGCAAATAAAAACACTTGTTAAAAAGTTAAAAATAGTATCTGCTAGGTTAATTCAAATTTTTGTTTGATGGTAATTGAACCAAAGCTTATTTGCTCATTTCCAACAAATATCTCAACATACAATCCAACTTAATACTGTGCTAATTCGCTTTACAGCGACAACACTTACTCAACTGAAGTTAGATGTAAAATTAATAGTGCACAGAATAATTGTGAGGTGCCATCAAATTCTAATTATTATAGTTGTGATGAGCCAGGAATTAATATAAAAATTTGTTTTGAAGCAACTTATGGTTAATGTGCTTTTATAAATGGTAAATGTACTTCTGATCTCAGTTAAGTATCTTCATGTAAATAACTTAATAAGCAGGCTTGCTTAAATATGAATATGTTATGCGGTTATTTTACAAATATATGTATTCCAAATAGTACTTCATCCTTATGTCCTGCTTCTATAACAAATACTTCATGGTTTCTATGTTCAAGCATTTAGAATTGTTATGGCATATTAAATGGTTGTAAGTAAATGGCAACTACTATAAATTTAAAATGTGAAACCCCTGGAATTGGAAGATCAGTTTGTGAGAAATCTTTATAAAATTGCTCCTTTATTAATGGTGTTTGCAAAACTATTTCAAAGAATAAATGTGAATTTGAGTATTCAAAAGAAGATTGTATTAATAATTTGTATTATAACTGTGTTTATGATAAAGGATAATGTTATACATAAAATTTATAAGTTAAATGTGATAAATACGATTGGACAAATTATAATTTTTGTAGATAATTTCCATATTGTCAATATATTAATAATAAATGCAAAGATTTTAGTTTGCTCAGTCAAATTTAAAATGATAAAATAGATTATACAAAAAATTGTAATGTATTTTTAAATTAATTTGATTGTTTAAATTAATGGTAAGTAATATGTAGTTATAATTAAAATTTAGGATGTTAAAATACAAGTAATAATCCAAGTTAATGTCCACATTTAATGTAATATAGTAAAATGATGTGTTAAAAATATGAAAATTGTGATTTTTAATTTGGATATTTTTGTATTGATAAAACATAAAGTTTAAGTTGTTCTGGATTATCTAATTAATTATGTTTATAAGATATTTCAGATTCATTAGCTTGTTATTGGGATGGTACTAATTGTTAAGATGTTACAACTTAAATTTGTTAAGATGTTTAATCTTATACAATCAATTATTCTGGATGTACTAAAATAAGCAATTAAGATAATTAAAAATGTATGTATTAATAATCAACCTCTAAATGTAAAATATTAAAAGAAATTAATAATTGTTCTGATTTTACTACTAATATTGAATGTGCTATTAGAGCTAATGTTTCTTGTTTATTAGGAAATCCTAATGATCCAACTACTACTTGTACTTCTTCAAGTGTTTTTAATGCAAATTTAAATCTATATGGATGTACTTAATTAACAGGAAATGCTTATTATTATGATATTTATAATTATTAATGTGGATCACTAACTGTGGCAAACTATGTAAATATTTAAGGATGTCAATATTTAAATAAATAAAGTTGCATTGAAATAACAAGTGATATCTTAACTATAAATTGTGGATGGATAGATAATCAATGTTAATAATTAATAGATCTTACAAATTTAAATGATTGTAGTTTATTAAATAAATATGCTTGTATTAATATTGAAAATTCAAATCTTGTTTGCGAATGGAACGTTTCAACACGTACTTGTTCATAATCAACTCAAACTAGTTGTTATGTTCCAGCATCAATTCCAGCAAATCCTTCAGTTTTATATTCATTAAGTTTATGTAGTAAGGGAAGTAATGCAAATGCTTGTATGGCTAATTCATCAAATACAGGATGTATTACATTTAGTTATACAATTGAAATTTGTGAAAATATGGGATTAAATAAAAAAGCTTGTTTAGAATAAACAACAGGATATTGTAAATGGTAAAATAATCAATGTTAAAATTCTTAATTAGATAATTTGAATTGTAATTCTGAAGTAAATAAAAATACTTGTTTGGCTATTAATGATAATTTATGTTAATGGAATGATACAACTAAAACATGTTCTATTAAACCATTAAATTAATGTTCTGATGCTATTAATTATAATTAATGTATGAATGTACCAAATTAATTTTGTGAATTTACTGATACTTGCAAGAGTTTTGGAAATACTCCTAAGATTTGTAAATAGGGATTTAATAAATATAGCTGTTAGAATGTAACAGAACAAATATGTTAATTCAGCAATAACTAATGTTCAATCTTAACAACATATGATTCAAGGAAAGAATGTTCTAAATTATAAAATGAACAAAATTGCAAAGCTTCTCCATTTCATTGTTTTTGGCAAGGAACTGTGTGCGTTTTTAAGGATTCAAGTTGTTATAAAAAATCAACTGAGAATACTGATTGTTATAATTTTGAGTATCCTTGTGGTTTAACTAGTTGTACTCCAACTAAACCACTTTCCTGTGTGTAGATATATAATAGAATAGCATGTCTAGATTCTGATTTCTTTTGTTATTGGGATAATACATCAGGATGCTAAAATTATTATTCTACATAAACAAGTATCAACTGTGAAACGATTAATTTATAAATAAATAGAAAAGTTTGTCAATATTATGCTTCTAGCAGTTGTGAATATAGAGATTATGTTTGCACTTCAAATTTATCAGATATTTTTTATGAACTTAATCCTAATTATAAGGTTGAAGCAACTTTAGTACCAATTTAATTAGATTGTTCTGAAAACTTGACAGAGTTTGATTGTGTCACAATGACATAATTGAAATGTTATTGGAATACAACTTGCAAATCTATTGAAGGAGAAACAGTTTCATGTAGTTCAAAATTAAACCTCTTAGCTTGTTAAGAGAAAGACTGCTTATGGAGATAAAGAAAATGCATTTTTAAATAGGATTATATTTTTTAGCCAAAACCTATTCTAGATTAGTAAGTAACTGAATGTACAACTCAATACATATCTAAAGTTACTTGTATAAATATATCTGATATATCATGCACCTATGATGAAACTATAAATTAGTGCAAGAATGTTACATTTGAAGATGTTAAAACTTGTTCAGATTATCAATTGGTTAATAAAAAAACTTGTTAAATGATTCCTACTAAGTCTTGTATTTATGATTCAGATTCCTTAGCATGTAAGGATTTTAATGGGACTATTACTGATCTTGAAACTTTATCAAAAACAGCTTGTTTGTCTCTCATCTAAGCAGCATATTGGGATAATGGATGTCATTTAACTGATAATTTTTTATGTGATTAAGTTTTTGAAGTCACTTAAGCAACTTGCCAACTTGTAAAAACATCTTGTATTTATAATCAAGAATTAAAAAAATGTACATCTGAATTCAATGTTAATTCTTTATTTTGTGATTCACCAGGATTAAGTAAACAGGCATGTACATCAATTATAAGAGAACCTTGTATTTTTGTTGAAGGCTAATGTAAAATATTACCTTCTAATTATACTTGTGAATAGGCTAGAAATGTGAATGAATTAGGATGTGCATCATTAGAAGATTCCTGTTCCTATGATATTCTAAATAAAAAATGCAAGACAGTAACTAATTCACAAGTATGCTAAATTCCTGGACTCTCAAAATCTGCTTGTTTATTAAATTCCTCATGTATTTTTAATTCAGATTTTATGAAATGTTAATGTAATATAGTTGCAACATAGAGCATTTGTGGAAATAAGGATTAAATTAAATGTGCTGAATAATAATTATGCATGTTTGATAATAAATATAATTCTTGCAGAAGAGTACGTTGTGAAGATTTAGGTTAAATTGAGTGTAAAAATTCTAGACTAAATATGGTTTGCTTTTTAAATAATGGTGTTTGTTAAAGTGCAAGTAAATGTGAAGATATTGTTAATGTTGATCATTCAATATGTAGTTCAATTACGTTTGAATCTGGAGAGAAATGCATAGGAATTAATTCTAGATGTTTGAATGAAAGAAACTATGAACTTTATTGTCAATTATCAGATTGCTCTAGTAAATTTTGTAAGAAATCTAATATTTGTGAAGCAATCAAATGTTCAGATTTGACTAATTGTACTTTATTAGGAAATAAATGTGTAAAGTCAGGGGATCAATGTGTAGATAATATTAGTTGTTAATAATTAAGCTCATCTTAATGTATTCAAATTCAACTATATAATACATAAAAATGTTTAATTCAATAATAGAATATTTATCAGGATGAATTGATATGTACATCTTAAGTTTGTGCATTATATGGATCTTCTAATCTTTGTAATGGAAATTAGTTCAATAATTTTACTTGCTTATTGAAAGATTCTTAATGTTTACCTTGTGAATTTATTCAAGATCCATGTACATGTTCCTAAGCAAAAAATATTTGTCAATGGGGAAAAGATAGCTGCATTTCAATATCCTGCTCATCCTTTTCTACGACAGAAAGTTGTAATGAAATAACAAGATGTTCATGGAGTTCCTTTTACAATAGTTGCCAATTACATTGCAATTTAATTATTTCTTAAGAAGATTGTAACATTAGATAAGATGAATGTTACTATGATTTAGCAAATAATGTTTGCCAAGTGGGATCTTATAACTCTCCTGATTTAAGCGTTAATATTAATATATCGACGATATATGAATTAATAATTGCAGTAGCTAATTCCATATTGATATTATATTTTATTTGAAAATTCATATATATAATTTATTTCTTTGATATTTTTTTATCCAAAACTATTAAAAATAATAGAAAATTTAATGGAATGAAAATTATTAGAAAAAGCCCAATATTTCAATCATATTTTTATACTTGTTAAAAATGATCAAGATTTTTAACCTTAATAAAGAAAATATAATTAATAATTATAACTCTTTTCATAAAATATTATTGTATAATTTGATCTATTAATTCAAGTTATATTGATTATTATTATTTATTGCTATAGAAAGAAATTATAATTAAAAATAAAGAATATCACTTTTCCTGGTTTCGAAGTTTAGAAACAAACTTACATCATATTAACTTCTTATTTTGAAAGAAATGATGTAATTTTCTTGCCTGAAACATAAAGATTAAAATACGTTTCTAATATTAGCTTGCAGTGTATTTCTGTTCCATAAATTATAAATTATTTGAAATTTTAATTTTTTTTAATTATTTCAAGTGATAATGATGAATAAAAAGAAATAAGTGACCCTCATTATTAGATCAGGAGAATATTTTATTTATAACTCCAAAGAATTAGATTTCTTTAACATTAGCTACCATCCTGAATTTGATCCTAATGATTTTTTCGCTGCTGCTAGACTATTGTATTAAATGACATATTCAATCTAAATTTAAAATCTTGAATAATATGTAGAAATATTGTATAAGAATCAATATAAAGAGTTACTTAAAGTTGTTACTTAAGGTGAAATAATAAAATCAACCAAAGATGAAAAAATTATTTTAATTGAATTTACTATTGATTAAGGATTTAAATCTGATATTGTACCACATATATTATAAGAAAAAGAAAAATAATAGAAGTAGAGAAAAAGGTTTGCTTTAATAATTACAGAGCCGTAATATTATCGTAAATATGTTAATATCATGGAGGCATTACATTTAGGAATATACAAAGAAGATAATGAAGACTGGGAAGTTTATTTAGTATATATTGTTATAATTTTAGGCAATAGAAAATTAATATCCTAAATTAGAGAACTTAGATGGCATTATCATCACAGGTTCAACAAGTGCAGCATATGACATGTCAGAGAATTGGAAGGAGCCATTGTTTAATTTTTTAAGAGAAGCTGATTAACGTTAAATAAAAATCTTGGGAATATGTTTTGGTCATTAAATTATGGCCCATTGTTTAGGAGGAGAAGCAAAAAAAATGACTTTTGTACCTCATATGTAAGTTGGGAGGTTAGCGTTACTCACAGGTTTAAATTTTGGAGAATATTAAATAAAGAATCTAAATGTATATTAAATTCATGGAGATTATGTTTTTGAGTTACCAAAAAATACTGAGTTATTAATGAGTGCAAAACATTGTTAGAATTATGCTTTTAAAAATAATCATTTATTAGGATTATAATTTCATCCAGAGTTTAATCCAATTATCTTGATATTTTTTTTTAAGGATTTTTAAGATGAAAATTTAAGAGAAATATATTTAAAAGAATGTTATGAAAGTTTTAAATAAGGAGAGGATCACTAATTAGCAATTTGGGATTATATTTTAAATTTTTTAAAAAATAAATGAGCTTATTGATAATGATTTATAAATTAATATATAATTTTTAATATTAATATATAAGAATATATGAACTTATATATATATAAACAAATGCTTTCATCATAATATTATAACACTAATTAAAATAAATTATATTATGAAGAAAAGTAGAATAATCATATAAATTTTTAAATAATGAATAAAAGAAATGATATTTTTTTGAAGGAATACATTATTAAAAATAATTAAAAATATGAAAGGCATAAGCTTAAAATATGCTTTAATTTTTTTATTAGTTAAATATAAAGCATAATGTTATAATATAGTATATGCTTTTACTGATATGAAAAATTCACCATTTAATAAATCATTAGTAATTTTATGTCTAAACAACTCTATTTTAATAACTTGATTACTCATAAATTCTTAGAGCTAAAGATAATAGAAGAAATTTGTTTTAAATCTATAAGTAGAGGTTCTCATCTTTTGAAAATTTATTCTTAGATATTCAACAAATTCATAAAATATTAATCATATAAAAAAGTGATAGATTCAGTAAAAGAATATTGCTATGAATAATGTGAAAAACTTACTTCAATTCCTAAATCAAATTTGTAGAGTAAATTANAGCCATTGTTTAATTTTTTAAGAGAAGCTGATTAACGTTAAATAAAAATCTTGGGAATATGTTTTGGTCATTAAATTATGGCCCATTGTTTAGGAGGAGAAGCAAAAAAAATGACTTTTGTACCTCATATGTAAGTTGGGAGGTTAGCGTTACTCACAGGTTTAAATTTTGGAGAATATTAAATAAAGAATCTAAATGTATATTAAATTCATGGAGATTATGTTTTTGAGTTACCAAAAAATACTGAGTTATTAATGAGTGCAAAACATTGTTAGAATTATGCTTTTAAAAATAATCATTTATTAGGATTATAATTTCATCCAGAGTTTAATCCAATTATCTTGATATTTTTTTTTAAGGATTTTTAAGATGAAAATTTAAGAGAAATATATTTAAAAGAATGTTATGAAAGTTTTAAATAAGGAGAGGATCACTAATTAGCAATTTGGGATTATATTTTAAATTTTTTAAAAAATAAATGAGCTTATTGATAATGATTTATAAATTAATATATAATTTTTAATATTAATATATAAGAATATATGAACTTATATATATATAAACAAATGCTTTCATCATAATATTATAACACTAATTAAAATAAATTATATTATGAAGAAAAGTAGAATAATCATATAAATTTTTAAATAATGAATAAAAGAAATGATATTTTTTTGAAGGAATACATTATTAAAAATAATTAAAAATATGAAAGGCATAAGCTTAAAATATGCTTTAATTTTTTTATTAGTTAAATATAAAGCATAATGTTATAATATAGTATATGCTTTTACTGATATGAAAAATTCACCATTTAATAAATCATTAGTAATTTTATGTCTAAACAACTCTATTTTAATAACTTGATTACTCATAAATTCTTAGAGCTAAAGATAATAGAAGAAATTTGTTTTAAATCTATAAGTAGAGGTTCTCATCTTTTGAAAATTTATTCTTAGATATTCAACAAATTCATAAAATATTAATCATATAAAAAAGTGATAGATTCAGTAAAAGAATATTGCTATGAATAATGTGAAAAACTTACTTCAATTCCTAAATCAAATTTGTAGAGTAAATTACAGTATATTTATTTATTTTATCGGTATAAGTAAATGGGAATTTTAATTGAAATGAAAAGAGATGATATTGTATTATAGGTGGACATGGTTTAAAATTAAAAAGAGGGAAGAGTTTCTTTAATAGATTATAAGGATTTAATTATTATATATAAGGAATGTGATGGCTATTAAATTATACATTTTTCTAATTTACATTAATCAGGAGTAATATAAATAGAATATTAATGAATAATAAAATTTGAGAATGCCAATATATGAATACAAGCAAATTAAAAACTTTAAACAAATAGTATATTCATTTTTAAAATAAACTCTCTTAGATCCGGGATAAAAAAGATTTTCTAATTTTTAATTATTCTGGAGTAGTACGCTTGATTGTTTAGTCTATAGATCTTAATATGGAATAGTTTTTATCTTTTATAAATTTAGATATTTAAGATTATTCTATTTATGTTTCTCTATTAGTATTAGAAGCTTTTTATAAATGTTATTCATAATCTGATACCAATAATTTAAGATTCTATTTTTGATAATATTTAAATATATACCATTAGTTCCCCTTCGTTGTGCAATGATTTCTATTAGATTATTTGTTGCATTTAAACTCGTATTTCTTATTCAATATCTTAAGTTCCTTAAATAAGTAATCGAGCAGAATTCACACCTTCTAAATGTTCCTATTCTTTCGATATGTCTGAAATAATTTTCATTATATTTTAATTGGTTGCTACTTTTTGATGTGTGTATTTTTGAAATCTTAACAATTTTTTACCTACAATGAGATCAGATTAACAAACTTTATCTAGTTCTTCTTAAGAAGATATTTGCTATTTTAATGATTTTAAAGATTTGATCTAAATTTCATTATCAAAGGATGAGAGCACTTTTTATTGATAGTAGAAATCCAATTCCTTTTTTGCTTTTAAAGAAGAAAATGATTCAATTTCTCTTTTTGGAAATCTCTTTAAAATAAAATCTATATCAGATGTATATTTAAATGATTTAGCTTTTGTTTGTCTTATCATAACATTTGTCTTGTGAGAATGTTGAGGTGATGGATTGCAGGAAGTTTATTTACTTATCTTAAACTCATCTGAAGAATTGAAAGTTCTACATTTCTCATGTTGACGAGGTGTATGAATATTAGATTGGATGGTTGTTTCTTATTCAGTAAGTCGAAATTAATGTTTTTTATAATTTATATCCTCTGGTTATTAAAGGATAGAATAGAGTTAGACATTTATCTGTTTATTAAACTTTTAATAGAACTTATCATTTGTATCTGACCAATAATTATTTTATTATTTTTTATCATAATTTGTGTAAGATTAAGGAAATATAGGAGCAAGGATTTGATTAATTTCTTTAATTTCTATCATACATATTTTATACTAAAAGATTATGATAATTTACAATACTTAATTTTGTTTTAAACGATATTATTCTTCTAAAGTTGTTGTTAATCCTCCATTATCAATTAATTCTGATAGCCAAAGTGCAATTTTATAAGTTTCAAATAATTTATTATAGTCTGACTGTAATTCATAAATAAAAGTCATAATATATAGTGTCATTATAATCCAAATGATCACCTTTGAATACTTATCAGTTAATTTTTTCATGCGAAAATCTTAATTGATCTCTTAAGTAATTAAATTTTAACATTGACTAATAGCTTCTTTATAGTAGAATATAGCAGAATCAAATAATTTAAATTGGAAATGTAGATGTCCAACCTATAAATAGTATTGAAATTTTGTTTTGTTAAAACGAGCATCCTTAAAATAAACCTCTGGTTTCCAAAATAACATACAACGAACATCTTCATGGAATTTAGATAATTAGAAAATTAACAAGTGAATCTAGGATATTCGATAAAGTATTTCTTTGAGATAAAATATTTCTATTAAATAAGGTATAAACTAATACTATATTCTTGTGCTTAATTTTCGAGCAATTCAAAGTAAAACATAATAAACTATTATAGTTTTCTCAATAAATGTAATTAATTTTCATGCTTAAATCCATCTCTTGATTGGGATTTGAGAATATAAATAAGACAAACAATTCCTCTTCTTAATAATTGCAAACGAATTCTCCATCCTGTATGCATAATTAGGGATATTTCAAATTCTTTGTTAATTTGTTAAAATGCAATTCTATACTTGCCAGAACCTTGTGATTGATAATTAAAATACGTATTGTATGAGTAATTTCAATGATTGAGTTTTGGAAATGATTTTCTTACATAATTGATAACTGTTTGACATTACTCCTCATTATATTAAATAATAATCATATATTATGTAGAAAAAATTTCAATATTGATATCGTTAATTAGAGTTCTTTAAATCGATTGTAATATACTAATTTTTAATTGTAGTGGTAGTAGTTATTCAATTTATACTTTTATTGACTTCTTTTTGCTTGACTTTTTGAACTAATATGAGTATTTCAGATTATCATTAAAAATATTCACCATTTTTTATTTCTTCTTTAACACATATTTTCTAAATTAACTGGCATATAAATTAAGAATGATTATTATTAAACATTAACAAAGAATTGAGGTTTTGGAATTATAAAATTTTCAACATTCGATCCAAATCAAAGTCTATCATAATCTTATGTTGAGTTTGAGTCATAAATTTTTAGAAGTTATTTTTATCAGATAATATAAAAATATTATCTTAGAACATACTTTTATTAACAACTATATCAGATTATTCTCATAGTTTGAAGGAGAGACATTTCCATAAAAACGATTTATTAATATTTTAGTGTTTACAATATTACTCTATTAATTAGATATATTTTCTATTTAGATTTAAATTAAATTTTGAGTTTTTAATTAATTTTAATGTAATCAATTAGGGCATAGAGAATGAAAAAAATAATTCAAGTTCAAGGAGAAGTTGGATAACATAAAGGCTACACAGATATAAAAATAGTTGGAAATGCTCATGAATTAATAAGAAAAAGTAAATCAACTGCTATAAATATTTGTGATTTAGCTATACAAGATGTTACTAAGAAACTTTTGCAAGATTAATTCAACTCAATCAAGAGTTATGATATAGCAAGAGGTGAAGAAAAACCTGGTCAATAATTTAAGTCTATGCATAGTATGTACGATTTGTAAACATTGAAGATTACAAAATTATATAAGAAAAAAGAAAAGAATGAACTTGAGAAATAAATCAGAAATCAATTAGCAAAAGATCCTGATAAACAACTGTTATTATCAGAAATATATGAATAATTGGAAGATAATTCAGATGGAGAGGTTCTAAAAAAGAAACAAAAAAATAGAGAAGAATCTTTGGCTACTCAATTAGAAGAGTATGATGAATCATAAGATTAATCAGCAGATCTTAAATTATGGACAAAAAGGTTGAAAGAAAAAAAGAAAAAAGAAGTAAGCAAACAAGAAGATAGTAGTACTCTAAATATAATACAAGAAAGAAATAAATAAAGAGCATCAACTGAAATTAAGAAGCCTATTTAATATTAACAATCAATGAAATAATTACCTCTTGATAGACAAAATTCAACATAAAATTCGATCCCATCTTCAAATACTCCTAGATCCTATAAAGATGTTATGAAGAAGGCTGTTTAAAAAGTTAAATAATTAAAGAGTTTAAATGAAGATCTAAGTGTAGAACGTTCTGTTGAACAATACATCTAAAAAGCTTCAGCAGTTGCTTTAAGTGAATTGAAAGAAATTGGAGAACTTAATGTAGATGAAGAAAAAGGGTTAACAACTAATTTTGATTATACTAGTGAAGGTGTATAAAGAATGTATAATACTTTGGTTAAAGTCTAGATGTCTCAATTTAAATCAGAAGCTGAAAAAGCCAAGTTTTATAAAAAATAAACTTAACTCATAGTTAATAAATTGGTATATAAGATTAAATAAAATGATATTATTATTAATGCAAGAGTTGTAACTTAAGATAAATTAAGATTAGAAACACATGAATTTCATGAAAAAATAAATTAAATTAAATAATTAACAGAGTAATTATTAAAAGAAATTAATGATTTAAAAGATCCTAAAACTTAAAGCAGTCTGAATAAATCTAGAATGTCTCTAGTAAATTAATTTATGAATCAATAAAATAAATAAAAAGAATTAGACTAAGACATCTAAATTCTTAGAGATAGCAAAAAGGCATATAAATAAAAGATACTATTCAATTAAAAAACTTTAGATTAAATAGATTAAGATATTCATACTAAAAAAAAAGAAAATAAATCTTTCTCAAGATGTTTAGTGAGTTTTTATTATTAAATACTAAAAAATGGATAGGATGTTAGAGCAACAGGAATAGCATGGGTTATTTCCAAATTAATTTCTTTAAGTGAAAAATGCCATTATTCATCTATGCCTAATTATTTGGATTAAAAATCAAAAGAATACTTGCTTTAAGTATTTATTAATTACATATAAGAAAGCAACAATGTTATCAGATATTGAACAGTTAGAAAAAGAACTGAGTGAATCGTTTAAACAATATAAATAAGAACAATCCCTTGATAGTAGTTAGGCTATTATGTAATAAAGTTTATCTTATAATGATTCGTTGGAAGCTTTATCTTTGCCTTCTATATTTCCTTTTGATAGCCATAAATTATCTTCAATAGACTTATAGTTAGCGCGACAAGAGGCAGCTAAAAGTTGTAGGAATAATTACTAATTGGAAAATTTAGGACCAATTACTGTAGGATTGTCTAATGAAGATATTGAAAGTTTAGAGAATATGATAACCAAGCTTAACTAATAAAATTAGCCTGTTAATAATGGTACATTGATTTATAAAGAAACTCAAAAAAGAATTAAATAGTAAATCAAGTAAAAAGGGCAAAATGATGTCTCATAAATTAATGATTAATCTGCTGTTCTAAAAGAATAAGCTATTCATTCTTACGATAAATGCAATACATAATTAAATAAAATTAAATTAAAAGTATCATTTTAACTTTATAAAGCTTCAACATTTAGAAGATGAATAAGTAATTAGAATAGTAAAAGAATTCGATTATAAGAACTATGGCAAAAGATTCAATATAGATCCAATTACTGTGATATCATGTCTTGTGGGAGGAGCTCGATGCGATAGAGAAATTGTGAAATATGGAATCAAAAAAATCCACTATGAATGAAATAGTATACTAAATATTTATATATCTCAGTAATTTTCTTTACTTATTTGTACATATTTTGTCTTTGTATCTGATCTGCTTGTATTAAATTATTAAGATATCTAAAATTACTATTGTGGTGACTTATTTAATGGCTACTATAAAGATTATATTTACAAGATAAATCATGTTCTATCTAAGAGGAGATTTATTAAATTGATTAGACTATCTTATAGGTGATTTTTAGTTATTTAATTGGTTTTAATAGAATGGTATCATGTTGTAAATTTTATCTCTATATTTGTCAATAAATTCCTTAAGCATTTGCCAGGAGGGTCTTTCTTATTCATCAAACAATAATAATTATTTGATAAATTCAATCAAAATTTAAGAATATCCCATTTGCTTAATTCGAATGAATTTTTATTCCAAAGAATGAGTTAAAACAATGCCATTAACATAATCAAAACAATCATAGACTTCTTCCATTAAAATTACACTTAAAACTGTCAAGCCTAATGAATATATATCACTCTTATATGGATCATGACTAGGCAACATAATTAATTCTTTATATTATTTCAATAGAATAGGAGATAAATATGATTTATCCTAACTTTGTATCATTTTTTAATATCCATTAAGTCCATCTTTGAACATACTACATTCACATAATTTAATGCATCCATTTTCATCTAAATAAAGTGTTGATGGTTTAATATCTCCATGAAATATATTTCTTTCGCATAAATATGTACATGGGTCTATAATTTATTGTAAGAGAATCCAAATATGTCCTTCTTTGTAAGGTCTATTGTTAATTTTTCTAATACTAATCTCATTTGTCAAGTTTTCTTAATAATATTAAATAATTATGGCTATCTAACTCTAGTCTGAGCATATTTTTATTTGATCCTATTTGTGTACTGCAAGTATTTTTAATAAATTGGTTTATTCAAATGAATTTCTTTATCTGAGATGAGCTACTAGATTGGAGAATTCTTTTTCACTTTTAGTAAAATACTTCTTTAGACATATTTATTCATTAGTCTATTTGTTAATTTGATTTTTACTTAAATGTGTGTAAACAATTTAATTGTTCCAAATTAAGGATGTGTAGCCTCTCTTTCTTATGAGTATTATAAAAGAAATTATTTATACTCTTAGGTCTTTTCATTAATACTTTATTCTTATCCCATTAACGATAAAAAATTATTTATAAAATCAATTCCACAAATCTTCTATAGATTTTTATTTTTATTTTTTATTAGGTGGAGGGTTAAGCTAATTATTAGATTTACTTGGTTTAATAATTAATTTATTTATAATCTCTTATTACTTGAGATTGGAAGTTTCTTATTAAAATTTTAGAACTGCCTTTTTTGGACTTGCTTCTTTATCTGAAAGTATTTTTTATAGCTTTTATAATTCTTAAGCTACAGTGGCAAGTGAGTTTCCATTGGCAGGTTTTGTGAGTTAATTTAATATTAAATCAACAGATTCTAAATATGAAAGATAATGATACTTTTAGCTTATTCAGTAGTTGGATCATTTTCATATTTTTGAATCTAATCTTATAATGATACCAATTCTTTTTTTTATCTTTCTTATTCCATTCTACTTATCTTTAAATCAAGTTCTAACTTTTTGTTAATGTCAATTTAATTTTTTAGTTCATATTGAGTTACAGCTTCAGAAGAATGATGATAAGAACCTTATTAAGGTAGTGTTTAAATATAACTATTTGATGAAGGATCAGCAACTAAAATCATTTTTGATGAAGGCATTTCAGCTAATAATAACTGTTATTTTGCATTATTAATAAATGAATTAGCTGGTAATTCTAAATTCATAGGGATTTCAATATCTTTTTATTTAAGAAGTTCCACCAATTATTGTATTCTAGAATCTTTTGTTTAGTTAATATCTTCTAACTCTTTTTACAATTTATCATATGCATCTAATTCTTCTTATAATTGTAGGATTGTTTCATCTCTTTCATTTAATCTATTAGTTAATGCAATCATTATATCTCTTTATTTTAATAATAATTATTTATATTTGTCTGTTTAAGCTTTATCCTCTTCTATATTCTACCGTTCTTTTTCTAATTCTTGTAATTTTTCTTAATATTATTGACGTATTAATTTTTATTGTTTTTCTAGAGCATTCTAAAATTGAGGAGTTTCTTCTATTTTCTATCCTCCTACTAACATTTATGAATTTAAAGCTGATATCTTTTCTTCCAATTACTTTCTCATTTCTCTCTCTTAAACAAGATCTCTATTTCTTTATTCATATGCACTCATTACTTCTTACTTATCCTCTAAAGCCTTTTATCTTTCTTTTTCTAATTCAGATACCATAGAATCTATAGGTAATTTACTTCTTTCATCCAACTCTTATTTTAATTTCTAAATTTCTAATTAATATTTTCTAAGTAAAGCTCCTTAATCTTAATCTTAATTAACCATAGGTGTATTTCTAATATTTTTAGCTCTATTTGCAAATTTCAAAGTTGATAAAGACTCATTAAATGCTTCAATAGCTGGTGATATCATTGCCATAAAAGTAGTTTTACAATTACCTCCTAGAGAATCTTCTAATAATCTAGTGATTTTAGAATCTCTATATGGAATATGTGATTTTGGTTATTTTAATTCAGTCAAAGCAGCAATAACATTTCCTAATGCAGATAATGATTAATTAATCTTTTTAGATTCTTCTAATCTTATACCAGTTGCTCCAGTTACTCTAACTCTTTCACTTCCTGCCAAATCTACTAAATTTAATTTTCCAACTCTTGCTCTCTTTCCTTCAGGTGTTTCTTCAATTTATTCAACAGTAATAATAAAAACTGCATGACTACGTGATGATGTATCATTCATTCTTGTACTTGCTGTTACTCTTTTTGCATTACCTCTTCTCATCAATTAATATATTTCTGGAGGAGAACGTACTGCCCATTCTGATAAATTTTCAACAAAAACACCTCTTTTTTTATCTTCTCTAATATTTAATTATTAATTATCAGGTCTTAGAAGATCACTTATAGATTCATTGTAAATTTATAAATATGATGCTCTCACCATAAAAGTTGTCATTGAATTAGATTTCATTTATATATGTGTAAAGATATTATGCAATGATCTTGGAATGATACCCAATTAATCTGAATTTGGAGTAAAAGAGAATCCATGCATTGTATATGTTTTTCCAGTTCCTGTTTATCCATAAGCAATAATCGTTGAATTATATCCCTTTTGAATACTTATTAATTACATACTTAGAGGGTCGAATCAACTGACAAGGCAGCAGTGGTTTCATAGACTTCTACTTAAGTGCTTTCTTAATCATATACATAATCAAATGTAAATTAATGAATGGTATAATTAGCTGGATTTTATACAAATGCTTCTAATTCCTCATCTGGCACTAACTCAATTGCATGATAATCAAAAATGCAAAGTTATTGATTATCTGGAGCTGCTTATACCTTTTAAAATATTCAAACATAATTATACAGTTGATATGAATTTGCCATCCTTAATCTCTCTTGCCATTGGAGGACGAACTCTAATTACAACTCTAAGATTCTCATTTGATCCTTCTTTCTCTTTCTATTTCATTAATATTAATGTTGTATTTACTTTTAAACATAGCTTTTGCAAATATATTAGATAATGTTTTTGCTAACTTTGATGCCCCATATGTTCATATACCAAATGATTTTCATGTTGTATTAGGCACATAAAGAACAAGTAGTCCAAATACATTGAGTGTAGATTATTCTACAAAATTTACAAGTTCTCACATTATATTATCAGTTGATAAAATTGGAGAAGTTGCTAATGCTTATGTCAATCTTACTACAAATAAGGTATATTTAAATTATTATCATTCATTTCCACCTTAAATGAAATGTTAAATATTCAATGGTCCCAATATTTCTAATAAATTGTAGCTACAATCTGGAAATAATGCATTTATATTAGAGCCTGATGTTGTTTTTCATTTGATGAGTCTCTATATGGGTACTGGAGATGATGATCTAGCAAGATTTGAAATAAGTTCACTTTTATAAGGAAAAAACAAAGCATATGCATTATTCGATAAATAAGGAAATCTAGATTCTATAGAAATAGATTTGGAATCTAAAAGATAAATAAAATTCTATGTGATAGAGGATTTAGTTGAAAAGAAGTTTTCTAAAGAGGATTTTCAAGTGCCTTGGGAATGTCAAGAATCAGATGTAAATTTGAGTGATATTATTGAAAAATTGATGTTATTATTAAAGTGAAATAAAATGAATATTAGTACAAAAACTATGAAATCTCTGTAATAAAGTACTTACAAACATCAAATATTGTCTGATGTATTCTCTGATATCAACTTCTATAAATACCGCAGTTAATCAAATACTGATTAATATACACCCCTAAAGGGATTTCAGATTGTTAAATTAAGAGGTCCTTCTCGATTATCAGTCTAATAATCATAATAATCTATTAAGAGTGTTAAGAGTATTAAAAAAAGAAATAATTCTCAAAGCAATGTCAGATTTGATCTTTTCAAACATGTTATGGAAATGGATGATAGTGAAATGCATGAAAAACTTATGAATCTTTTTGAAATTGATCTAAAAATGCGAAAGAATTTAGAAATAAACAGAATGATAGTATAAGATAAATAATAAACATCAGCATAATTGGATGAGATATATTAAGACATATTATTAATGTTAAGTAATACTATCGAAAGAATACATCAATATATTAATGCAAATAATCTCGAACGTTCAAACTTAAAAAAGGCACATCGTAGAACTGCCATTGAAATTGAACATTAATTACAAGAATTCATCAATATGATGTTAACTGCTATTGCACAAAGAGATATGACTTTGGCAAGATTAATTGAAAATGCTTGGAAATTAATATCTGTTGCAATAGAAATGATATTATAAAATGGGAAAGCAGAATAAGAATATATTCAATAAGAAGTATTAAATGAATTATAATAAGAAGTTGTATAATTAAAATAAGAGAATGAAGATATATATCATAAATATATGGAAGTCTCTGAATTAAATAATAAATTAACTCATTAACATAAATAAGAAATCAATAATCTAACTTATTAATTAAATATGGCAAAAGTTGAATTTAATGATTATAAATAAAATTAAGAAGCATAAAGTACTTTAGAAAATGCTACTGGAAGTCTAAAAGATGTAGAATTAAATCTAAAAGATACTCATAAGATATTAAATAAAATTGAAGAGAATATTAGTAATAGAGATACATAATTATATTAAACATTAAAGTCTGTTGTGTAATAACATAAAATGGATAAGGATAGTTAAATGAATAAAGCATAGAAGTTAATAAATAGATATTAATTAAAATCATTAAATACTAAACAATGTATAATTGCTTCAGAATATTTCAATCATCCATTTGTATAGTATTTAGATATTAATTTTGAATTAAAATAATAGGATGAAAAATTTCTATAATAATTACTTATTGATTGGTTTAATTAAGAATGTGGAAAACCTTAATTTGGTACTCATCCAGCTTAATAGAGATTAGAATAAATAAGTTCTTATGAAAGAAGAAGTAATGCAGAAAGTTTTATAAATTTTTTAATTAAAAATGATAATCTTAATTAATTATAAAATTGTATTGCTTATATAAGTTAAAATTTGGAAATGGGTGATCTAAATTAATTAAATAAAATGGATAAATTTAATAGATAATTATGTATATTTTTTGGTGCAATATTTTAATTTGATATAACCAATATTGAAATTGATTTATTGACTTATGATCGGATTAGATTTTTATATTCAGGTCTTATGTAAGGAAATTAAGAAGAATAAATATAAAATTAAAATAAATTCTAATGGTATAATTTTGTTGTTTAAAATTTGAGTGATTTATGTGCATCAATTTTTATGGATTATTCAGAAAAAGTATCAAATTCATAATAAACAATTGTTTAAATCTTAGTTTATATTATGTAAAGTGAAAGTGATAAACGAAAGCATTAATTAAAGAAATTAATTGAGGATTTCAAAACTGTAGATATTGAATTAAATTTATAAAGAGAAAGAATGTATAAATTTGTCAAAGAATTATGTTCATTCTATAATTATTAATACAATGAATTAAATGTAATGCAATATGCATAAGCTTTATTTGATCGTTATATTCGAGTATATCAAACTGGAAGAAAGCGAAATGGTTTAGAGATTGGAGAATGGATTAGTTTTATTTAAGAATTATAGTAAATATTGAATAAAATGATATTAATTAAACCCCATTTACATCATTAAATATTTATGCTTGAAGATCTACAATATGTTAATAAGGAATTTTAAGTGAATACTAGAAATTCATAAATTGAAAGACGAGAATCTTAAATAAGAAAAAAATGAATTAACTATTTAAACAATTAAATATTATAATATTAATTTCATTTCGTTTTTTTAAATGGCTTATAACGGAAATAATAATATCCACCACTTATTAAACCTATTAGAACAACAATTCCACTTGTAAATGAAATTATAGAAAAACTATTTTTTTATTTTAATTATTAAATTTGGACTTCCGAATACCCAAAAGTTCTTAATAATAATATTATATTTTACTATGAATTTAAAACTTCTATAATTTTGTAAACTTAATTCCACACTGAAATTTTGTCATAAAAAAATGTAATAGGAATAAGTTAAACTGTTTAAAAACTACAAGATGGTTCAATCATTAAGAAATCAATTATACTCAATCTCCTTTTTTCAATTTGTTATTCTGCTTATAATTCATCATAAATGCTTATCACATAAGTCTTAGAGTTTATTGTTGTTATTCTGGGTGATATATTATTGAATTATCCTTCTAAGATTTTCTAAATAACATAAAAAATTAATTACTTATTTATTTTTAGTAATAATAGCTATATGAAAAACTCTTCTCTCTATGATTTTTTAGACAGAAGACCATGAGTCTTTTTTATTTTGTTCTTTGAATGCATCTGACATTTTAATATCAATTCCAATATAACTTAATAATTTATAAGCATCTTTGTAATTAAAAAAAGAAAATGCACTAAAATAAAATAAAATTTTAATAATACTTCCACAATGCCAACCATTAAGTTAAATTAATATCTTATGATTGTGGGTGATATTATTACAGAAGTGGAAAACTAGTTTAATACATTACTGGATAGAATATATAATCAAATTAAGCTTGTGTAAGAGTTTATCCAAATTATTAAAAAATTGATTTCAGTTTTTATTAAGCAATATCACTTAATTCAACAGTTTGTCCAGCTTCTTAATCAAATATTAATCTAAAGTTTAAAGTATAATAAATACTCATCTTAAAATAGAGATTCATCTAATGTTAAATCATCTTTATAATAAAAAAAACGAAGAATAGTCCAACTTATTTAAACCTTCATCAATTCAATCCCTCTCTTTTAAAGAGTCATAAAACCTTACAAAGTAATATAATTTTTTTTATTTGAATCATCTTTCAATTCCTCTTCAATCATATCCTTAATCCCTGCAATATCACTTTAATCAAGATGCCTTTTAAAAACCTTCTTTTAAAATCTTTCTAACTCTTGGTCACTCCATACACCATCTCCATCTCGATCACAAATTCTAAATATACGAGTCAATGCTTTTTTGAATCCTTCTGTAATTGTTTTGTTTACTAAACTATACAGAGGAGCTAAAGGGTATAAATAAGATCTTTAAGCACAATTGATTACATCCTAAATACCCTAAAACTTTATTGATGAACATTCAATTCCCATTTCAACTTACTATATTAGATAGATGTATTACACTGAAATCTTTTACCAATTGTTTAATGACTTTGAAAATTCTGCAATAATCTCTATCATCCTCTACACCCATCAAATCAAGTTTATTGCCTACTATAATGATTGGCTATTTAAACTCCTTTTCTTTCAATTCTTTGAGCCAGAACTTCTTTAATCTTTCACATGAACCATCATCATCTATTGAGTACATTAAGAGTATGACATCTGCAATTTTAACTTATTCTGGAATTTAGTTAGGTTAACATTTTGTATCAATCAATGTTGTATTACATTCTGGATGATTAAACATTTCAGGAGGTAATTGAATTGGTTAATGTTAATTCACATGAGTAACCTTATTAAGACTTTCATTAATCAGAGCTGAAATGAATGTTGATTTGCCAACTCCACCTAAGATTAATGATTAAATAAAATATTAATACTATCACCAATTACAACGACTTTAAAATCTCTTTTCTTCATTTTAGTAATTGTTGAATTATATATATATATTAATTTTAATGAATTTGGAATACCCATGGGATGTGTAGAAAATTAAATTTAAGAATATTTAGGTTTTTCGAAGTCATTAAAAAGAGGTAATTTGATAGTATAAAATCACTTAGAAATATATACTAATTGGCAATCATACGCTATCATAATAATTTTGCATTCTACATCTAAATATTCTTAAAGGACCAGATCTTTATTAAAAAGAACTTAAACAATACATATATGAAGAAGAACGTTAGTTTGAGACATTAGAGGATGCTAAACAATACTTAAATAAATATAATTTAACTTATCTCTATACAGTATCAGGAATAATAGGATTTATAAAATTAGTATAAGGATATTATGTAATGTTCATTAAGAGACGTAAATCAATAGCTAAATTGGGCAAACACAAAATATTTACAATTGAAGAAAGATCAATAGTGGAATTATTTGATGGACCATATTCATAGATTGAATCAAAATATAAGAAATTATTATAGGATTATGATTTAGAAATAGGTTTCTATAGTAGTTATACTTATGATGCTACGAGTTCCTTATCAAAGAATATAATTCCATCTGAAGATGTTCAAAACAAGAATCAAAAATATCATTAAATAGGATAATACAGAAATTTATTTATGTGGAATCATTACTTATTAGCTGAATTTGATAAAATAATTAAAGATAAAAGATGGGTGATTCCAATTATTCATGGTTATTGCGAATAAAGTACAATAAAAACAGTTGCTAATTATTTTAGTATTACTTTATTAGCTAGAAGATCTACAAAACATGCTGGTGCTCGTTATTTAACTAGAGGTATAAATGAATAAGGTTATGTTGCAAATTTTGTAGAAACAGAACAAATTGTAATTGAATTAGATAAATCAACATGTTAAAGACCTGCTTGTTCTTCATTTATATAAATTAGAGGTTCTGCTCCTGTTTATTGGTATTAAGAACCAAAAATGTATTTATTTAAATTACCAATTAAAATACATTAGAGTGATCCTTATTTATATGCAACAAAGAAACATTTTTGTGATTTGATTTCTTCATATGGTAGATAAATCTATATGGTAAATTTGGTTAAATAGAATGAACATAATAAAAGAGAATAAGTATTAGCTGAAGAATATTTTTCAGCTATCAATACTGTTAAAGATGAAATGTAAAGTTAAACAGAAATAGAAATAGGATATTTAGGATTTGATATGAAAGCATAATTAAAATAGGATAAAGAAGAATTTGTTAATAAATGTTATTCATTAGCATATTATTGTATTATGAAAACAGGAGTATTTTTATTTGTAAAAGAACCTAAATGTAATGAGAATGTTATTATTGAAATATAAAATGGTGTTGTAAGATCTAATTGTGTTGATTGTTTGGATAGAACAAATACATTTTAATAATTGATTGGTGAAATGGCACTTGGAATATAATTAGCAAAAATAAATCAAAGTAGTTTGAAATTTAATTTGCTTTTATTAAATGAATCTATCTTATAAGAATTTAGGGAGATGTATGAATAATTAGGTGATTTTGTTTCATAATAATATGGTAGTTCATTAGCACATAAATAAAATATTGGTTAGAAATCTAAAAGAATAGAATTATTTACTTCATTAAAAAGACATTATAATAATAATATAGAAGATCCTTAAAAACAAAATTAAATTGATTTATTTTTAGGAATTCATCGTCCTTCTCTAGATGGACCCTTTATTGGAGATAGAATTACTATTTTTTTGTTTCCAGATACAAAATATTTATAATAATTTACTCAACATAAATAATGGTGGGTAAATCCTTATTTAGAATTTCAATAGAAATCATTAATAGATGAAATAAGCAGAAGATGTAAAGAGGCTTGTTAATAGGCTAAAAAAGATTAGAAAATGAAAATTGAGAGAAAATAAACAATATTTAATTTTGATATTATTGAGAAAATGAAACATAAAGCTAATTAAAAATTAAAAGGAAAAAATGTTTTCATTTTATCATCACCTTATACTAAAGTTAGAGAAAAGCCTCCTAATTATGTATCCAAACCTTTTAATTTAGAAGAAAAATTGAAAAAACCTTATTATGATGTTATATAAATTTATGAAGCTGAGGAAGAAGGTGATTCTCCTTGTGATTCTCACCATTCTTCCCCTAAATTAAATTTATAAAATTTAAAAACTCGATTCTCACTTCTAAAGGGAAATGAAATTCTTGAAATTGAAAAATATACTAGAATAAAAACATTCGATGAATTAACTGATGAAGCAAATCAAATTAGAAAATATTTAAAATATAATCTATCATCAGATGATGAAGAAAAATTAAGAAAAAATTTAAAAAGATATCTAAATGGAGAATAACCTAAAGAATAAGTTGCTCTAATAGACAAAAATCAAGATATTTAAAAATAATATAGTGAAGTATAAAAATCAATTGCAAATTCAGAAACAGTCTAAGATATTTCAATATAATAGACAAAAAAGATACCTGTTGAATAGAAATCAGTCAAATTTTTAGAATCTTTATTAAAAAAGAATTTTGCTTAATCATAGAAACTAAAAATAAATAAAATATGAATAATAATATGATTATAAAATAAAACCAACTTAGAGTTTCTATCATTCCAAAACCTTAGACAAACCTCAACAGCCTTAGATTTTTTCTTATAATATTTCTTTTAAATAATATAATTTGATTATTTAATAGTCCCATGTAATCAAATTAAATTTTGCAAATTGATCAATTAATCAATAAAAATTTTAATATTTTCTTATATTACTATATTGTTAGATTAAATTTTTATAATGTTTAACAATTAGGATTAATACTCAATACTAATTAAATAAATGATATAAGTTAAGTAGACTTTACTTGATTAGAATATTTATTCAATGATCTAAATATTAGATTAGCTGGCTCATTTCACTTTATATAAATAAGTTTTAATATCAATAGCATTTATTTAAAATGAATTATTAGTCCAATCATTCATTTATTATAATTATTAGTATAAAATTACTCTTTAGATTTGATAATAAATTATTATTGAAAGATATTAAGGTTTTTTTATATATATTTAACACACCTTTGAGAAATAAATACAAATGAGAGTAATAGATTTGATAAATCACCTTAAATATTAATTAAATAAATAAAAAACAATTTACAATATATATAATTCTTCTTATAAAGTATAATTAAAAAACGATAATAAATACTATGTATTAAATAAATTTATTAAATGGGAAATGCATGTTAAGCGACATAAGTTAATTTAACTACAGAAATTAGTGATGAATCTACAAGGCCTCAAATAATAATGCAAACAAGTGATAGAGTTATATTTAAAGAGATTTATAAGAAGGAGAAAGCTGAGGTTCATGATAAATCATATTCATCACCACAACTAACTCATCTTCCTCTCCTTAATTTGGATATAATTGAACCAGATTAATTCTTCCCTTAAATTAAATCAAGTAAAAGAACTTTGAGTTTTGTTAATGAAAAAACTTAAAGGTAGATAGTAAAGAGTCGAACACCTTCTCACAAACCTGATCCAGACACTATATCAATTACAAAATAACCAATTAAATCTTCTCTCAAATCTATCAATTCTAAGATAGGCAGCTCTAATAAAAGTCAAAAATCAGTTAGATGGGGTAGTGATTTAAGTGTTTTCCTTAATTTAACTCACTATTAAAATTTATAGATATGAAATTAATTTTATATATATTATTATATGGATGAAAAAAAACTAGGAGGCTTTCTATAACTTCTATAATTAATAATAATTGTAATGATTTACTTTAATTCTTTAAGTCTACGCAATTAATTAGAATTTAGATTCCTCTTTAATAATTAAATAAAGAGATTCTGGAACTTTATAATGAATATTAAAAGAAACTAGAAATTATTTGACAAAATGAATTGCTTTAATTTATTTTAAAAAATGGCCATCTAGATGTAATTCTATATAATAATTAAATAATTAAAGAATGCTTGATAATTTGATTCAAAAGAGTTGTTTTATGAACTGATAAATTATTAGTAATTGTGAGATTTAATTTTTACTATTATCAGCTAAAATTAAAATTAAACCTCCACCCTTATCATAGTGCTAATGTTATGTAAAATGTTATAAAGGCAGAATTCCCTTTATTTTTTCTGGGAAGTTGATAGTGTCTTTACATATTTGACACTATTAACATATATGGTAATATGTAATTAGATGGTAGTAAAATTTGTATAGTTATTGTAAAACCAAATAACAATTTGAAAAACCACCTAAAATATCTCAAAGTTTAAATTAGAAAGCAACTTTAAACAAACAGAAAATTCACAAAAAAAATTAATTACCACAGGGAATGCATAATTAAATGATATAAAATTAGAGTAGAAGATACAGCTTTATGAATCAAGATAAAATTAGAATGTAATCTAAATTTAAAAAATTAAAGTTAAAGTTTTTTTGTTTTACAAGTATTTATAATTTTCAATTTAGTTTAAAATAATATAATATTTATTTAAAAGAGTAGAATCTTGAGATATTGAATTTTCAAAGTTATAAAAAATTTAAGCTATATAAATTATTAAAATAGAATATAAAGTTTATGAGAGAATCTTTAGGCAAAATGTTAAAATTAAATTATATGCTTTAATCAACTGGTTTAAAATAGGTTAGATTCTATAATTGTCAAATACTTTGTATCAATATCTTTGTGAAATAAAAAATCTTATTATCTAAGAAAATTATTTATTGTTGATAATCGAAAAGAAATGAAGTAAAATTCAAGATAGAGAAACCTTAGGCTAATCTATTTTGGATTTTTAAATTAATGCAAAATACATTTTTTAAAAAATAAAAAAATTCTTATACAACTTCAGTGTTATAATCAGTATTAATATAATAAGTTTTAAGATCTAAGTCAAATTTAAATTGTTAATAATTTAAAAAAAGATCCCTTTTTGATATTTTTTGAAAGAATATTAATTAAGTTTATTAATAAATTTTAAGCTAAATGTAAAATAAATATAAAATGAGTTAAAAAAATACTTTCCTAACTATCAATTTATTTGATTGATACATAATCATTCAAAAATATTAAATATAGAAATATTATGATACAATTAGTAGATGTATACCTTCTCTAAATAAAACAATGAAATTAAATTTATTTAATTAAAATGAATAAAACATTATTCAATATAATTCTTTATAAGTTTCATCCTAATTCTAGAAATTAAGATTAATTATATTTTAGATTAAACAACTTAATATATTTTGAGATTCATCAATATATGAATTATCATAAATAATTGAATAGTATGCTTTGATTAAAAACTTAATATGAATTAACTTATTTTATTATTTTACAATGTCCTAGCAAACAGTATTCAAGAGTCCAAAGCAAAGACAAGCAACATCAACACCAAACAGCAATACATATTATCTTAATTCGTAAAGAAAATTAAAGTAGCCTGTAAATGTATTTTAAGCTTCTTTACAACAAGCAGTCTATAATCAATTTCATATATCCATTCAAGTTAAGTATTAAATTAAACACCGACTCTAAATGAGATTAAACGATTTAAAAAGGAACATAATCAGATTTAAACTATACCTCCTTCTTTCATGGAGCTCTATGATGAATTTGAGAATAATTACAAAATTGTTTAGAAAATTAAAACTGATCTCAATATCTCAATTGATTTAAAGTCAGATGATTAAACATAATAGAATTATATTACATCTCAGAATTCAATAAAGAATCCCTCTTAAGCTGAAACAAAAATTGCAAATTTATAGTTTTGTGATATTGATTAAGAGTTGAATTAGAGATTACATATAAATCGCTTTAAATTTTATTATTTTCGAGCTTCTATATCGAAATAATAATCTCCTCTATTACTAACAATTTAATTTGAAAATCAAATAAATTCTGCATAATATAAATTATATCTTTCTACTTAGCATGAATTTCCTACTAAATTTAATGCAGAACATAATCTCACTTCAAATTTTTGTAAAATCTATACTAGTGGTCATGAAAGTACATTTCAAGAAAACTATCTTTATATAACCTTTTATACTGAAATTGATGTAATAGTAAAAATAAAAATAATATTTGGTCGAGTTTAATAAAATAAATCGCCTAAAAAAGAAATAATAAAGAAAGAATATCCCAAATTTCCTGGTTTAATATCAAATATAAAAATTGATTTAATAAAAAGGAATCTTGATACAAGTTAATTTTAATTGACAAAAAGATCAGATCTATTAGCTGGATTACTTGTAAATATTATATATATATATTTTAATAGAGTGAAAGAGAATAGAAAAGAAAATAAGTACTTTAAAAAAAATAGGAGATAGTTTGTGAATAAAAGATAAAGTTAAAAACATAATATAGTGCATAAATGTTAAGAAATGATTATAGATTATTTGAAAAGATTTATAAATTAAAACTAAATAAAAAGATTTAAGGAGAATTATTTTGGGCTTAACTTGTAAATTTAATTAAATTTATTGCTTAGCTTAAAACTAAATTGATAGTATTAGAATTTTCATAATATTTAGGAATTTAAAGGTAGAATGAGTATTAAAGCTAATGGAAGAATGAAAGCATTAAAATGTGGATTAAATTTATTGATTTATATTAGAAAGTTTGGACCAACACCAGAAAGAAGATCATTTTGTAAAAGTTTATTAGCAATACAAATGTTTACTGCTTAGATACGATTCTTAAGAAAAAGAAAAGCTTAAACAATTGCTACTTCTTTTATTAAAGAATGTATTTCAATTATACATTTAGGACATAGATTACTTAAGACTAGACATTATGGTAATAATATAAATTTATTAATTTAGTAATAATTTTATAGAATAAATTCAGATTCTTTTAAAGATAAAAAAAAAAATATTATGAGGAATTCTGGTAATTAGTAAATAGAAATTACAAAGAAATTATGAAGAGTTTAACACAAAATAATCAAAAAACAAGAAATAGATATTAAAAATAAATGTATGCATTTCAAATAGATAATCAAATAATGCAATTCTAGATTGATAATTATTATCATAGACAAAAATAGATATGGTTAGCATTTATACGTCAAAAGATTCATGATAAATAATTAACTCTTTATTTAAATGATAGAAAAAGCGATGAGATTAGAAAAGCCTTGATTAAGTTTTAAGAACCTAAATTGTTCCAACTTCCACAAATTAATGAAGTAGCTGAAATAATTGAGCTTTATGCAAAAAATAAAAAAATGATTTGAGAATATGATGATATATAAAATATGATAAACTCAGATTAAATGAGAAAGTCAAGTTCCCAAAGTGCTATTATAAGCACAATGTAGAATCAAAGATTTTACTGTAGCTAAAAATTAAAGACCCCCAATAAGGAATTCTTAAAAAGCAATCGAAGTTAAGTTTCTGTCTCAGAATAGCAAGACAGTAAGTCCAGAGTGAATACATTATTTGAAAAAATTAAAGCTTAAAATACGAATATTCATAAGTCAGAAAACAACCTTTTTTTAAAAGTAGAAGGAGCAATCTTAGAATTGTATAATTAATATGAACAAAATTATTAAGGACTTGGATCACTTGACAGAATTAAGACAGTTTAAGAAAATTTATCAGTGGAATTCAAAAAATAAAATGATTAACTAATCAAGACATTTGATGGTTTAAAGTTATCAGACTTATAATAAAATGGAGTTAATCAAATATAAATTGATAGATACTAATTTTATTATTTCAGGTTAAGAATTTTAGATAAACATACACCAATTCATATTCACTTACAATTACCAGAATCATTATCATTTTTATTATTTAAATTGATGCTTTCTGTTAAAATTGAATTTCCAACTAAATTTAATGCAGATTAAATAATCTAAAGTAATTATGCAAAAGTCTATTCAAGTAATCCACATGCTCATTATTTTAAAGAAGAATTCCTTTATTTAACATTTTATTCTCATGTTGATTTTATATTAAAGATATAAGTTCATTTTGGATAATTGAATACTGAAAAAACCCCATCTCGCCAAAATTAATCTAGATCACCTAAATTAAAAATGGTTCATAGTGAAAATGCTAAATTTATACATACTCCTGATAGAAGAAGAGAGAAGAAAGGGTATTCTTAGATAAAATCTAATATTTATTAATCATCTATAGAAAAAGAAACAGAATGCAGTAGAGTATAGACTGAAAATTCAGATAAAAGAAAATTTATTAAAATATAACCAGTTTAATCTAAATTAAGCACATTATTAACATTAATAGGAAAAGAATTTTAAGGTATGACAAAAGAGGAAAGATTAAAAAAGATTGAAGAACACTAAATCTAAAAAAGAAAAGAATTAGAATAAGATTATTAAAATAAATAAAAAACATTTATGTATGAATTAGAAAAAAGAAAATTATTAATAGAATAACATTCTAAAATTAAAAAACAAAAAATTGAATTAGTATAGCAAAATAAAAAAAATAATTATACTGAAAGATAATAATATATTAGAGATAGATTATTATTATAAGAATAAATGTCTTAATTTAGAGAAATAGAACGTTCTTTTAGTATTAGAAAAGCTTATGCATATAAAGTATCATTAAGTTGGGGTAGATTAATAAAATATATCCTTTTTATTGATACATTATATAATATGATAAAAGTATTAGAAAATTTATTTAAATTATTTAGGATAATAAAAGAAAATCTAAAATATAAGCAAGAGGTAAATTATTGGTTTGGACTCTTAAAACTAAAGCATTAATTTCAGCAAAAGATTATGGTTATTCAACTAAAGAAAGAACAATAACAAAATCTTGTATTGCTTTGTAGATTATAGCTGTCAATTTAAGAAAAAAAATTAAACTAAAATCTCAAATAATTTTGACTAAATATCTTATTTAAATGAGATTAGCAGTCACTATAGTTCATTAACATGATAAAACTTTAAAAAAAAGTAATATAAATTTATTATATATAGTAATTTAGATTTAAAGGAATTTTAGAAATTTAAAACAAAAGAAATTAACTTTTAGAGATAAATTCTTTAAATTAATAAAAGATAACATTAATTAAATTATTGATGAGCTCTAAAGATAATAAGGTAAAAAAACATTTTATGATCTAAACGATAAACCTGTATAGTAAATAGATATGTAATATAATATAATTATTTTTAGTCTTTGCATAAATTAGTTGATCGATGAATATTAAAAATAAAAAAAGTAGATTTGGTATGAATATATAAATAATAAATTCTTTGAAAAAGATTTCCATAAAGTATCATTTTATAAAATATTTAGAAAATGAAAGATTTTGCAATTAATTTGAAAGAACCTTAATTATATGAAGTTCCTAAAAGAAAGGAATTGATGTAAATAATTGAGAAATATGGTAAGATTAAAAAATTACTCTGATTATATATATAATTAATGATAAAAAATAGATTACTTTAAAGAAGTTCTTCTAAACTAACTCAATCTTAAACATCTTTAATGAATTAATCAATGACTATGTAATCAATTATTCAATATTTATAGAATTAACAGTATTAAAAGATAGTCATCAATTCTTTCATTAGAAAAACAGACTGAAGAAAATGGTACTACAAAATTAATGAAAAAGATAACTTAAAAATAGACTCATGGAAGTATGGATGATATTTCAAGATTATTGCCTTTAAATGATAATCTGATAAATGTTTATAATGATTTTGAAGATAATTATAGAGTTGTTAGAGAATCAAACAAATTCAAATGTGAAGCACCTTAAACAAGTAAATAAGAAATTATCTAAATTAATACTTCTAATATTTTAAAAGTGGCAGATGGTTTACATTTATGCGATTTAAATCCTGAAAAGCTGAATCGAATATAAATTTATAGATTTAGATTTTATTATTTTAGAGCTAGAGTGAAGAATAAACTAAACCCTTTATAAATGTATTTTACATTCCCTGATAAAACATAAAATTAAATTTATAAAGTGTTTTTATCAACAACTGTTGAATTTCCAACTAAATTCAATTGTGAACAATCTACTTCTAGTAGATCAATTAAAGTGAAAACTAAATCAGGCACTAAATTTTTTATTGAGGATTATATTTACATAACTCTATATGCTGAATCAGATTTCATTATAACAATGCATTTAGTATTTGGAGAATTTCATAATTCAATTTTAAGTGCAAAATAATAAGAACCTTAAAGATATTATAAATATTGGGATGAAGATAAAAAAAGTATGTCACCCAAAAAAGATAAGATCCTATAAAACTTAGATTAATCTCGATATAAAAGTACTTAAAAACTAAAAGATTTTTTAAAGGGAGCAGGTATAAATATAAATAATATAAAATGTAGAAGTTAGTGCAAAAAAGATAATTACAGTAGTTTAAAAGGGAAAGTAAATTGAAAAAGAGAGATAAGAAGAAAGAAGCATTAAAATGTTAGTAAAATCATAAATTCAAGAATTTCGTAAAGTTGAAAAAAGTATTTTATAATAAAAATTCGATAAATAATATTAATGCAAATAATGGTAATAAATGATTTCATTAATTGAAATTTGTGGATAAGTTTATAATATTTTATATGTAATTATTATAAATAATTTAGGAAAGAAAAAGAAGGCTAAGAATTTAAGCAAAAGCAAAGTTAATAGTTTTAAGATTAAGAACAAAGTTATTCATAGAAGTTTAATAATTTGGACAAAATCCATTTGAAAGATGCAATAATAAATCTTTATTATTATTAAAGACTATAAGTAACCATTTATAAGAAAATTCTAAAAAAAGAGCTCAAAAAATTGCGACTGATTTTTTGAAAAAGACTCTCATATTTTAAACTGCTTTGATTGCTCATCATAAAATGGTTTCAAAAGGTACAATATATCTTTAATGTAGTAAGAATGATTATTAAAGTATTTAAAACTAAAAAGTTTTAGAAACGGGCTTTTAAGGATAGATTTTGGAGATTAATTAAAAATTATTTTGGTCAAAATAATGGGCCTTAATTATTTGCTACATCTTAAGTTAAAGTGATTCAAATAGATAAACCATTAATGTCCAAATTAATCGAGTAATATATTCAAAATAGGAAATTATAATGGTCTTAATCATATAAATAAAATAAATAATCTGATGACAAATTAACTCGAATTCCAGAAATAATTATATTTTAATTACCTAATGATAAAGAATTAAAGTAAATCATGAAGGAATATTATGTCTAAAAGAAATACAACTGATATTAGATTTATTATAAGATAATGATTATTGTTTTTACTGAATTAGTATAAAATAAAATTTTATGATTTCTGAATTCCGAAAAAATAGCTATTTATTCAGAAAAAAGAATCCTTTAGAAAATATTAATTATATGAATAACACATCAATTCTTTTCAAGTCTTTAAAATTAGGTGAATTGACTATTCCTAACAGAATTATTATGGCTGCAATGACTAGAATGAGGTGTGATAATGAAACAAAGGTTCCAAATAATATAGTGGCAGATTATTATTCATAAAGGGCTTCTGCTGGATTGATTTTAACAGAATGTACATTAGTAAGTCAAAGATCTAATGCCTTTCCAGGATGTGCAGGCATATTAAATGAAGAATAAGTTGAAGGATGGAAAAAAGTTATCGATGCAGTTCATAAAAAGAATGGAAGAATTGCTTTATAAATTTGGCATAGTGGAAGAGCAACTCATTCAAATTTATAGGGTGGTTAAATTCCTTGGGGTCCATCTCCAATTGCTATTAATGGAGTAAACTATGCTGTGAAATAACCACATGAAGTACCTCACGAAATGACAATAGAAGATATCAAATTAGTGATATAATAATTCAAAGAAGGTGCTTATAGAGCAAAGAAGGCTGGGTTTGATGCAATTGAATTACATGGTGCAAATGGCTATTTAGTAGATTAATTTTTAAGAAGTCATTCAAATAAAAGAAATGATTTATATGGTGGATCAGTAGAAAATAGATCTAGATTTTGTTTAGAAGTTATTGATGAATTAATTTAAGTTTTTGGTAAAGGAAGAGTAGGAATAAAGGTAAGTCCAGTAGGTAGATATAATGATATGTTTGATGAAGATCCTATTAAACTTTATACATATTTATTCAAAGAATTAGATAAAAGATAAATAGCATTTATTGAAATCATGAATAGTAAAGATGAAGATAATTGCTATGGTTATGGTCATCCAGCATCTGAAAAATAAGTGCCTAATCTATTATAATAATTAAGACCATCTTTTAAAGGTGTTATTATTGGAAATGTTGGATTGACAGCTCTAACAGCTGCATAAGGTATAGAATAAGGACTATTTGATGCAGCTAGCTTTGGAACTCTATATATCGGAAGTAATATTTTATTATAATAATTAGATCCTGATTTAGTAGAGAGATTCAAAGATAATTTGAAATTATCTGATTCTGATCCTAAGAAATATTTTGGTGGAAATCATGAAGGTTATTCTGATTATCCACCATTTTAAGGATGAGATTGAATAATGATTATTATATCGTAAATATCAAATATATAAATAAATAATCAATCATATATTTATTATATATCAATATTTAGTAATCTTGATATTGTAATATATTTAAATACTAAATTAGTGAAACTGTTTTCAGATAAATAAAAGATAATAATATATAGTGAATCTTTAATAATTATACTAACTAACTAAGCTTATAAAATGATGGCATATATTTTGTTATATAAAATATTTAAGTAATAATCTTATGTTATATCAAATAATTAAAAAAAATCTTAATCTAAAACTATCCAATATTAGTAATATAAATAGAGTAATAATGTTATTTTTTAATTATTTTTATTATTATTGGTATTATTAATACCAGTTTTATGTATTTCTCATTTAATTTTGATGGAAATAAGTAGATTAATTTTAATTATAATATATCATGAATAAATAAATAGAATATAATTTTATCGAAATTTGTAATTTAATTAAAAACTATAGAAAATAGAATAAAAAATCTAGTTTATAAGATAATTCTATTTCATTGTTTCATGCTTAATTTAGTTTGCTCAAATTATTTTTGTTCGAGATACATTGAATATATCTAACATCGGATTACTTGAAAGATTATTTTTATTTTCTTATGATTAAAGGTTCTCCAAATTCATGAATTACTTTTTATTTATAGGCTTAATTCTTAAATTCAGTCTATATACTCAAATAAAGTTAAGTTCTGCCAATAATTTTCACTTTTTATATATAGGAGAGCATAGTTTCTGTAGCTTATGCAACTTAAGGGCTTTGAAGTGTTATTTTTTAATTTAACTAAGGCTTTTCAGATTAATTACAATCAATGACTTTATAATTGATGATTAATTGATTTGCTATACTCTTGTAGGTAACATTCTTTTAAAATAAATATATTTTATCTTCAGTATAGGCTGAAACATAAGGTTTAATAGAAACAAGAATACGATAGAATATAATTTCTTTTAATGGATTGACTTTCTCACAAGATGTTCCTACTAATGATTCTAAACGATATATTAATAATTGATCTGTCATCACTATGATGAAAAGTTCATCTTTAAGGTTGACAGATACTATTTTTTTGAATTTTTATAGTTCAAGACTTTCTTTCATATTACTTTTAATTTCTAATAAGTTTTGATCTATAATATCAATAGATTCTAATCTGGCTTAGATTTCTTTACAACCAGCAATGTGTATTTCCATTTCATGAGTAAACTCATTTAATCTTGTAATAATAAATTTTTTATGATCTTCATGGAATATTACAATTTCTGAGAAATCAAAGATTTTAAGTCTTTGATTCTCAACTAACATATAATTAGTGAAGAATTTAAATCTAACACTCTTAGAGGTTTCTTATTTCTTAAAGGCTTTGTATATTTTGGCTGCTGAATCTATAATTTAAATTTTCATTAATTTTAAGAAGAAAAAAATAAGAAAGTTAGATAATGTTATATGAATATTGGTTTATAAGAGCAATACAATAAAATTAATGATATAATTAATATTTAATTGGTTATTATTATCAACAGCACAAAAATTACATTAAGAATCCTCATTTTATAATTAGGAATAAGCAGGAGGTAAAAATTAAGGCTTATAATCTCCATCAAATGTCTTTTTATATGATGATGAGCAATTTCGATACTTTACTACTATATCTTTGATATCCAGCTTTAACGGTATAGAGAAAGAGGGTAAATATAAAGTTGCTCTTGAAATTGATTTACCATTTATTTTCATAACAGAGTTAAACAATTCTTTACATTTTACAAAATTGATACCTACTGATGATTAGATTGAATTAATAATCTCATATATAAAACCAAAATTTAAAGAAATAGAAGATTGTTGGGGCAATATTTTTTATGTATTAAATAGTAGTTTATGGATAAATCAAAATATAGGATTGGATGTTAGTTTTTTCTATTATACTGGGTATGGTGCAATTGATTTTAGATAATCAACTATGTTGGATGGATATATTGGATTAGGCAAATACCCATCAGTAGAAAAAGGTAATTTCAATTATATTATGAATCTAACTCATTAACATTTGATAAGTCATCCATCTTATTCTTTATATTTTGGAAATTAAGAAGGATTTATTGATTCTGTTATAACTTTAGGAAATTATTAAGAATCCTTTAAATAAAATGGAACAGAATTTTAATAACTTAAAGCCATTCCAGGATGTAATCAAACATGGTGTTTCAGAGTAAATTAAATATCACTTTATAAAAATGATACAACAATATATAGTTCAAGTAATAGGAAACCTTACACTTCATTTATTAGTTCAACTTATTAGTTTATTTACATGCCTAGAGAAATAGCAGAAGCCATTAAATTTCATATTCAAAAAAATGATAACATAGACTGTGACTTCATTAATTATCCAATTCAAAATAGAAACAATACCATTCTAATCTGTTCTACAAAGTTATAAATATCTATACCTTAAAATTTCCCTGTTGTTGAGTTTGTTGTTTTATAACATTCTTAAAAGATAACTTTGACATTTAATCCTTAACAATACATCTAAAAATGTCTTGATGATGTGGAAACATATGAATTTAAATGTTTAACATATTTTGCCATATATGATAAAAAAATAGACTAATATAAACCAAATTTTGATATTGTTTTTGGATTGCCTTTTCTAAGAGTTTACTATACATATTATGATTTACAGAATTCAACTATATGTATAATTAATTATTTAATTAGTGTTTTCATAAGCATATTAATTTGATGATATACCTTTAATTTCTAGATTTTGGTATTATAGTTTTTTAGCTTTATTAATTTGTTGGGCTTTGGTTATGATGAGTTGTGGTATCTTTTTCAAAGAATAGATGGATTAAATGATTGTCTTTGTCATAAATATCTTGAAATACATCTAAGGTGATCAACAAGCAAGATAACAAGTATTAAGAAATTATTTAGGAGATGACTGAAAACTAATATTTCGCTTACGTCATGACTATATCATCAATTTTATATTAAATATTTACGTCACCATTAAATAATTTATTATATGAATAAAATATTTATATCCCTCTTCTTAATACTCTCACTCTTTATTTCAACATCAAAATCATTGGAATATATTAATAATAAGCTTGATATATAAGATACTTTTACTAATAGTATAATCAAATAGATTTTAAGAAAAACATATACAGACACTAATTGTCCACCAGATCAATCAAAAACTTATTGTTCAGGAAATCAACCATGTTGTAAAGTTGGAAGTAGATATGGATGTTGTCCATATTCATATGGTATATGTTGTGGAGATGGAACATGTGTTCCAAATGGAGGAAGATGTTGAAAATAAAAAAATCAGTTTTCCATTAATTTTGAATTAATTATCTGTATTTTAGTTAAAATCAATTCTAAAATTTTATTTTATTTCTTTGGTTCTAATTATTATTTGTTTTTAAATGAAAAAACCATTCTTTTTAAATAACTAATATATAATTAATTTATAGTTACTTATTCATGTTTTATACTTCTCAAATTTTATTATAAAAATATATAAAAATAATTATCATTTCTATATTTCTGAATATTCATATAAAATATTTAATCAAAATACTTAAGAAAATTATGAACTATCACATCTAATTCCATCTGTTAATTTTATTAATAATTCTTTTAATTTTATCTTTGTAATTGGTTTTTCAACACCAAATGCTATACCACTATCTTTAAATTATTCAACAATTTCTTATGTTAATTTATGTCCAGAACATGCTATAATTGTTACATTTCTATCTAACTTACGAATACGAGTTGAAGCCTCTAAACCAAGCATTAGTGGCATTTCCAAATCCATAAATATTAATTAAAAGGGAATATTATCTTTCAATCTTTCATTTACTTTTTCTATGGATATCATTCCATTCATTGCAAAATCTGAACTCATTCCACATAATTCTAATAAATATTATAAAGCTACAATATTAAATTCATTATCATCAACAATTAAAATAGGTGGATGTTATTAAGTTGAATCATTCCATTTTTATAATAAATTTGAAATTAAACGACTTTAAATAGATTATTTATTAGAAAGATTTCTTTCTGATTCATTTTTTAATCTCAGAGTTACTTAATAGTTTAATGAACTAGTCATAAAATTAAAAGATTTAAGATTTTTTTTTTAAATCATTCTTTTGCTACTTTCTTACATGGGAATAGCAATTGAAACTGAGGGTGATTTTTATGATGTTATATTTTATAAGACTCTAAAATCTAATGTTGGTATTTATTAAGCTATTTATGGAGATATCTATGAATCAGAAATATCTTCTTAAGCTTAATTTTCATTTAATACTTCAAAATAAAACTTAGATCCATTACCATATTGTGATTAAACTTAAATTCCTATTGAATGATTTGAAGAAAGTAATTTTGCTAATTCATTGCTAATCATTAGACCCAATCCTATTCCAAAAGGATTTACTTTTTAATTTTCTTAATCATTTACTCTAGAGAATTCTTGAAAGAGTAATTTAAGATTTTCTGGTTTAATACCTAATCCAGAGTCTTAAACAGAAATAATAATGGTTTATTTTTTTTCTTCACTTTAAATACATTCAATTAAAATAGATCCTTTTGGTTATGTATATTTGACAGCATTGCTCAATAAATTCATGATAATTTGTCTAATTCTTAGTTTATCTGAATTTATTTTAAGTGGCAATTTTGGATCATAATTAAAAGTAATATTTAATCCTTTTTTTTCTTTTAATAAATCAAATAAGGAAATTGTTTTATCTATTAATTTAGGTAAATTAAATTTATGACACACAATTCTTATTGATTTATTTTCAATCTAAGCAGCATCCAAAATATCATTAATTAAATTTAAAAGTAAATGACAAGAATTTAATGAAGGTTTTAAGAATTTTTAGTACAAAGAAGGATCTATTAATTCTTCTAAGCACATTTACATATTAATTATTGCATTTAAAGGATTTCTCATATCATGAGAAACTTTGTGTAGTGTTTTTATCATTGTTTAAATTTAATCCTTTGATTATTATGATTATAATTTAGATGATTCAATATTGTTTATTTTATGTTTAACAATCAATATAAATTATTAGTTTTCTATATTTAGTTTTTAAACACTGAGATAATAATGAGAATTGTTTGTTGGCTCAAAAATTAATTTTTAATCTAATTTCAGAATTTTCTTTTTTAATTAATCAATTATATCGCTAATCAATAATGAATGTCTTGTTGTAGTATTTTCAGAACAGTTAGATTATCTAACAAAATTCTAGGTTTAGTCTCTGGGTGTAAAGATTCTACTTTAATTCTATTCAGATGTATTTATAACTTGCTCTTTTATAATGGAATAAAAAAATTTAGATTCATAAATTGGATTGTATTACACATCTAATATACAAAATTCTCCAGATGATATTTAAGTGAATAGATTCTTCATATTAATGAATTATTGATTTCCATTCTTCTTATAAATTTGAAGAATCAAAAAGAAATTCAATACTGTTCTCAAAATCTCAACTGTGATATCTGAAACATTTCCAAAGCAAATGCATGTAATACATGTTAAAAAGAAAAATAATGATGTTAATTTTGAATACTATTCGTTCAATTGAATTATCAACACGATTTATATCCCAGTATAAATTTACCATTATGGCAACAGTAAATAGCTCACTCCTATGATCACTACACCTTTAATCAAACTCAATATTATCAAGATTAAGTTAGATTTCTTTTAACAAATGTATTCTAAACAAAATATAATCAAATGAAAGCCTGCTAAAGTCAATCCTATTGCTAATAAGCTATAGTCTTGTATTAAGTATGACTGCATATGAATTATTAAGCCATCTATCATCAAAAATAACTAAAGAATCCGACCTTTATTCAGTGCTTTACAAAGGGTAATCATAATATATATATTTTAATTAGAATTAAGTACTAAGGTGAAATACAATATCTAATGATTATATTTTTAGATAAATGTATTTTATTTTTTACCCTTATTATGAACAGGAATTGGTATTTTAAATTAATAATTATTAGCTTTTAATAAGAAGCCATTAAATTTAATCAAATAATAATAATGAAATGGTTCATATTTTAGTTTAAAAACCTATTTTTCTCATATAACCAATTAATTTAAAATTAATTTATTTAATAATAAGAGTTAATTTTAATATTATATTTTATTAAATTGCAGTATAATTTATCCTTTGATTTGGCTATTTTTCAAATTTAGTTTTGCAATACGTCATGTCTGAAGGCTTAAATTCTAAAAATATTTGATATAATATTTAATATATATTAATAATCAAGTCTTCTTTCCTTGTCTTTTTGTTATAAATCTATTTAATTTCAAAAAAAATTTGTCTTGTCCATAAAATAATTCTGGTTCAGATTTTATTGGTAAATTCATTATTTATACAAACTTATCAAGTTTACCAACTAAAAAGGCATTTATATAAATTTTTAATTTTTTAAAAGTCCAATTAATATCTGTAATGGACTTGATATCAGAAAATACATTCACAACAATCAATTATACCTAATAAAATTTTATAAATACTGATTAATATTATTTGATATTATCTTCAATTTAATGTAATTTTACTAAGCCATTTTTAAATAATAACGGTAGAGCCAATACTATAAATTTAGTATTTTCATTTAATTTTAAATTATTTGATAAAATCTCATTAAGATGCACACATTAAAATTAATCGATTTCATATTTATCTTATTATATACATTTTTCAAGCATAAACAAAGTTTATTTAAAGCAAGATTTAACAACTTTATATATTTATTTATCATTCACTAATTTACCAGCTAAGAAGTTTTAAGTAATATATAGAAAATCTGGTTTCATATTTTCTTCAGGAAAAAATAATTGTTTAAAAGTAGCATTTGGATTGGAAAAGTCTACTTTAGTTCTATTTCTCATGAATCCATCAATTGAATATAATAAATCACCAAAGTAAAGTAAAGTATTTAATTTTTCTCTTAGTAATCCATTCTGTTTGGCCATATTTTTCAAATGGTTTACTATAAAAGCAACAGAAACATGATTTTATCTATGTCCTGGTATAATTAAGTCAGCTTAACTCATTAAAGGTGATATAAAATTCTCAAATGATCTTTTCACAAATTTACTATACTAAAATAGTACATTTTCTACAGTTCTTCCTCTCTCTTTAACATCTCTTAGAATACGACGACATAAACGAATATCATCTAAAATTATGTTTATTAAATACCATCACAATGTATAAATATTTTATAAGACATTAATTCTCTTATTCTTTCATCATAAAGTGCCATAATACCCTCAAAAACTATAACTTGAGCAGGAAGTACTATTGAACATTGATCTAATCTTTTATGATTCACAAAACAATATATTGGAACTGAAGCTGGTCTTCCTGACAATAATGTAGATATAACTTCAAAGGCATTATCCCAATCTAATGAATCTGGATGATCAAAATTATATGAAGAAATATCAATTTTAGACTTGTCTATTCCTTTATAAAAGGAATCACAAGAAAGAATAGTCATGTCAACATCGGAATCATATTGGATTTCCCTTTTGATTGTTTCACAAAGTGTAGTTTTTCCTGCTGCAGATCCTCCTGTAACACCTACAAGAATACGTTGAGGTTCGTACTCAGAGTTCTTCATTTAATATGAACACTACTTTTCTTAAATTGATTGGCGATTTCATTTGGTGAGAATCATTAATCATGAGTTAAATTTTTAATTGAATTTTATTTTATTTTTCTTAAGTAATCTCGAATGAAAGAATATGGTAATGATCTTTAAAACTATAATATATATTTATATAATATAAATTTCTTATCTTTAAAGAAAAAGTTGGTCAATATTTCAAATTCATTTTTTTGTTAGAAAACTTTTAAAAATTGTTATGATTTATCTTAAAAAAATAGATAAAACAATAAAGTTTATTTTATAAACAATTTGAAATTGTTATTAAAAAGTTTATCATATTATCTAAAACAATAATATAGTTATAAACATTAGAAAAGAAAAGAAAATAAATTTAATTACTAAAACTATTAAGAAAGAATAGCAAATTAAAAAAAACAGTTGTTTTTGATTAAAAAATCTCATAATATTTGATCCAAAGTTTAGCAGAGTAATTTAAATTGTTGTTCCTCCTCTAAATCTTCTCGATCAAAAATTTATTGCTTTTAATCAGCATCATATTTTTTAAGCAAAGATTAATTCTATACTTTTGTAATTTTTGTGCTTTCAGAAGTATTGTTAAAGAAATTATTGCTATTTTTTTAACTTTTCTCTCTACTTAAAAATTGATTATTATTTTGGATACGAAACTTAGTCTTAACTATAAAATATTTATCATACAGATGGAGTTATTGGATTAAAAATTGGTTAACTTTTTTCTCTACTAAATTGTCTTGTAATTGGTGCTTTTGGAAGTGGTTTGCGAACAAAATTGAATTAAGATTAGGTCGAGGACATCATTGATCTTAAATATAAATATATATTAATTATAATGAAAAGGATAATTGAAATATTTTATAGTATATATGAATAATCCTATAGATATAATAGATGATAACATTATAAAAATTCATTTTTTTGTTTAGATTTAAATCAATTAAGAATATATTCTTCATTATAAAATTTTAATTTATCTTAATATATGATTTTGTATTGATCTCATTTAATTCAATTTCTTATATTAATAGTAATATTCTTTTGGTTTCTTATTGATTTATAATATGATATATTTCAAATAGGTTTTTACAAAACTAATGAAAAGAATTAGGAATAGCTATTATTTAAATATAATAGAATAAATCTATCGAATAGAATTTAAAGATTTTAAATATTCTTATACATAATAACAATATTAATTCGAAATTATAATGCAATATCAAATAAGTAGAGTAATTTTAATTAAATCAAAAGATTTTGATTAATTACAATTTAATTAGTCTAAATAAATAAGATTCTTAAAATTAATTGAATGGAAATTAAGAATTAGATTGAAAATATTGCTTTAAAATTATTAAATAAAATTTTAATATTTCTCTTAAAATATTGATAATTTAATTATAAACATATATGAGCTTCGGGTATGAAAATTAGATTTATCATGTAGAGTGTACTCATAATTTCAAACCTTTGGTTAATCTCAAGAATTGGAAAACATTTTAAAAAATAATAGCTCAACTTTGGAAGAATTGTTAGAAAGAGATAATTTCTTATTTGACATTAAAGCTGGAGCTATGAATGCATTTACTGAATTGTAATAAAAAGTATTAATATAAGTGTTTGGAAATAACCTGACAATTTAGAAAAGATGATTCATTATATTATTGTCACAAATGATTAGATGGATGATAATGAGAAAAGTCGAAAATTTCCGTATATTATAAGTGAAATATTTGCAATGGAAAATACTAGATTTTTTGATTTATTATTCTTAAGACATCGAAATGAATCCCAATCCTCATTATTAAGCAATGAAAGACTGGTTTTAATAAGAATCTAAATTAGACTACTATCGAAGATGATATTTTACCAGAGTATTAAATGCATCATGAAGATCAATGCAAAGAGGAGGAAGATTATAATGGAGGAGGAATATCTGGAACATCAAGTTAGTATATTTCAATATCATAGTCTAGTGCGCTTCATTTAAATCTAAGTCAGGATTGCATCTAAATGAAAATGTTAGGTTGAATATATTAAATTCATTTTTCAAATTCTTAGAAACTCCAAATATTAATGATACATCTATGGGGTATTATGCTAAGATATTAAAACCTGTAGCTAGTAAATATGGAGGAGAAGTAATACTAAATCCTACATCTTTTTAGTTTTGGGATCATATCGTTGTTAACAACAATATAATAAGTGATTTACTTTAACATATCAACCATTATTAAATTGTAGAAATTGTGGTTAAACTATTAATTTTAGATTACAAAATTAATGATAATATATACATCAACCAAAAATGTTATGTATTCATTAAACATAAGCATAGAAGAATTATAGAAAATAGCTTTTAGAAGAAATGATACATCAAATGGATAAGTTTTGTGATAATATTACAGTATAAATATTATTTATATATCAAATAGATGGTAGCAGATATCACTTAAATATTTGATTTGCTTTTAGAATAAGGAATTTAACAAAAATTATATGAACCTTTGAGAGAATTGTTCGATAATGTATTAAAACCATATTACTTTTTTAAAATTGCTGTAATATTATTTATTATTAATTAATTTAGAAAAAAACAGGAATTCTCACTGTTTATAAAGTATTCTCTAAAATCCTATTATTTATTTAAGCTAATTCCCTACAAGGTAATCAAATCATCATGTATTTAGACTAGAAGACTTCTGATTTAATATAGATAATCTAATAAATTAATCCACTTATTATCTCAAATTTGTAAGATTAACAAACCTTTGGACTCAAGAACTTATGTCTTGTTTAAGCTCTCGAAGTTTGTGATAAGTATATATTTACTATATATTTATAGATTAAATAATCCACTGTTATTTGAGTCTATGTTTTAAGCACAATTATATTAAAGTTTAATAGAATTGGCCATAAAGTATCAATGGAACAATTAACTATAAATATATGTGACTTCAATTATAAAATCAAGAATCTTGGATGAAAAATATTGTCAAAGAATTCTAAAAGAAACTGATATCTTGAATCAAATTAAAAAAAATTTAATTGATCAACCAACAAATACATGTTTTAAATCTAAATGTAGTCATGGATATAATGGTTTTTTAAAAACAGTTGGCTATAAAATATTATAAAAATAAACAACTAACAAAAAAATTAATTTACTACTATAAGATTGTAATAATATATAATGATAAATTAGAATATGGATAGATTATAGAAGCTCTTTAAAAATTATAACAGGTTGAATTGACTTATTTATGTGATGTAGAGCCTAAAACACATATGTAAGAAGCTCCTCCAGAAATCAGTATTGATAGATAAATTGAAATGATTATAGATTCCTAAAAAGAAAAAGAAGATCAAATCACAAAATCAGAGTAATAATGAATCTATGAATTAAAAAAATAAATTCATAAAAAACTCTAACTAATAATCACAATTATCATAATAAATTGGATTGAATATTTAAATGAGATGTTATAGTGTCGATATCTTAATTGTTTTTATTTAATTAGAATAATTAACATAAATTCAAATATTCTAAGAAGAAAATATATGCAAAATGCATTTCTAATTTAGTATTAAAAGTAATCCAATTTTAAATATAAATAAATTAATTCAGATATGTTTTTGAGGAATAGATTTCATTCTCTTCGTAAATTGGCTTAATTTTGCACAGCTGAGAGTGTCTCAGGAAAGAAAACCCCTGCTGCATAAACCTAATAAACTAAAGTTGAAAGAAATTACTAATTACAATTCTCTAAGTCAGCATTAGTGGATTTTGGAGAATTACCAACAGGTGAAATTCCTGAAGCCTTAAAATATGACAGACCATAAAGTATGTATAATAATAATAAAATTAGCCTTAACATAATTGGAGACTGGCCTTAGAGTAGTGTCTGAATAATACAATTCCCCACTTGCTTCAATAACAGTAGCCGTGAAAGCAGGATCAAGATTTGAAACTTTAGAAAGCTCAGGTGTTTCAAATTTCATCTCAAAATTAAACTTAAGAGTAAGAATAAATATTTATTATAGGGAACAACAACAAAATCAAGAGAATAAGTTGAAGCAGAAATAGATTATTTAGGAGGATCATTAAAAGTTAAATAAGGCAGAGAATTATAGACTTACACACTAACTTTCTTACCATCTGAACTTGAAAGAGCAGTAAACTTTTTGGGAGACATTTTGAAAAATTCTTTATATTCACCAGCTTAAATTGAAGCAGAAAGAGAAGGAATTTATAGAGAATCAGTTAGCATCAATGATTAATACAGAGTTGTTGCTGAAGCTGCACATTACACAAATTATAGAGATCATTATATGGGTTAACCTGCAGCAGGAATTAGAGATAATATTCCAAATATTACAGAAGAATAAATAAGATAATTTCATAAGGCTAATTTTGTTGCACCAAATGTAGTTGTCTCTGCTGCTGGTAATGTTAATCATGAAGACTTTGTATCTGCAGTTAATAAGGCATTCAAAGGATTAGGTACATCAGTTCCAACTGAAGTACCAAATTCAGAAAAACCATATGCTACTCCATCTATTATGGTATTAATATTTTATTAATAATATAGTTAATGAAAGATGATGAATTAACTAATTTAAATGTTGGTGTTTTCTTTGATACTCCAGGATGGAATCACCCTGATGTTTTTGCTCTCCATTATTTCTAAAGACTTATTGGTGATTATAGAGCTGATAAACACACAGGATTCCATTTGAATGCTCCAAGTAGATAATATAATACTATGCATTCACTTCTTGGTGGATTACCTGATGTTACTTACTAAAGATGTGTTTATTATGCATATTCAGATACTGGTCTTTTTGGAAATTACTTGATTGGTAATGAAGTCTTTGCAACATAAATGGCTTATGTCAGTCAAATGGTTTTATCTGATTATGCTTCATCTGTAGGTTAAGTTGAAGTATTCAGAGCTAGAGCCAAAGTGTTTAATGAATTATTAAGTTAAGAGAGTTCTGCTAAATAGTCAAGAGAAATTGCTTAATAAGTTTTGTATAAATATTTCAATAAGATATAGCTATTGGGGAAGAAGAGTACCAAGAAGTGAATTTGCTAGAAGAATTTCTGCTCTTGATGCTGGTCATTTGACTAGAGTTGCTACAAGACACTTCTGGGATAAAGTAATTATTCTGTTATATATTATTAGGATATTTCTGTTGTTGTATGGGGACCAACTCACTTGTTAGATGCTGTTGCTCATTACAATAGATCATGGAAGAGAAGCACTTTAGGTGGATATGCATAACCATACTATGAGGGTTGATTCATTAAATAATAAATATAAAGTTTATTCAATTATTTTTAATTCCCTTCCTATCTTTCAAGTTTAATCTGAAGATTTGTATTGGATTTTTGAATTTACTATTATTATTAATAGATTATTACTTATCAATTGAACTTATTTTTAGTATACTAAATTTGTCATCAAGACATGGACTTTCATCTTCATTCATTTAATTCTGACTATTTACTGTAAAATCCATAATTGAGGGATTGTTTATTAATCCCAATTAAAATTCAATAATAGATTTGTGTGGATTTGGTTTAACATCCAAACTTAATTTATGTTTAACTTTTATTTTATCTTATGCTGAAGTACTTCTATCAGGTTATTTTTGAATTTCAACTTCATTATGAAATGATCCATATCTTAGATTTCTTTAATATGCTATAAGACAACTTAGATCAGGTTATATATCACTATATTATAAATTGGATCCATTGTATGAACTAACACTTTTATTTTTAAGATTCATTCTACTATCACACAAAAGTAGATTATTAGTATTATTGTTAATTAAAGATTGTCTTCCATTAGAGTCTCTTTTAGATTATCCAGTATCATCAAATTCTTCACTTAACTTTTTTTTATTTGGTGTATAGATTTATTGAATTAAATAGGATTAATCCAAAATTTTAATTGATTGCTATTTCTTGGGTGATGTAGATCCTGATTTTTTCTCATAATTGTTTTCATCATACCAATCAAATCGAGATTCAATCTGTTATTATATAGATACTCTTCTAAATAATTATTAAAAATATCTAAATCATAATTTGAATTTAATATTTACCTATAATCTGGTTTTTCTCGATAACTCATTTTTTTAACTAAATCAATAAATCTCATAAACTCAGTTGGAATATCTTAACATAATTCTTAAGATGTAATCCTCATTTTCATTAATCCTACCATCTTAACCTTCTCATCTTCATTTTTATAACTTATACTCTACCATGGTAAACTTCCTTTTAATAAAAATCTCTATATGAATATCTCAAATACATTAACATGTATCCCAAAGATTCTAGATCATCCTTCCTTGATAATTCCTAACCTCTGTGAGCTGCCATACTTGCATATCTGGAAGTTCCCAAAAAAGGTTTATTTTCTCTCAAAGGACTTTTATGTTAAATGAGTTAATATACATATGTTTGTCATCCTTATCTTTGAATTATTTAGCAATACCATAATCTACAAGATAAATAATATTCTGTTCTCTATCCTTACCAGCCAATATGTTTTCAGGCTTTATATCTCTATGAATGATACCCCTTTCTTGAATTAAAATTATACTTGCTATGAATAGCTTCAAGAATAGTCAACATCTAATCAGCAATACCCAAAACACATGCCAAACTAAAACGTTTCCTTTATCTTAAATAGTGTGTTAAATCTCTTCCCAATAATTAAATTACCATCACATTATTACCTTTGTCTTTACCAGCCCATTTTAATTTTGGAACTTGAGGTATTCCATGCAAAATTCTTAATATTTGAACCTAAATATATAATATTTTTGACTCTACTTCTCTATCCAAACTAAATAAATCATCTATTTCTGGTTTTTCTATTTTAATAGCTACATGATCAGATGTTCTTAAATCAAATCCTTGATATACAACTCCAAATGAACCAGAAGATATCTTCTTTTGTATTACAAATTAATTATTCAAGATGTTTTGTTATACTGTAGCCATATTAATTAAATATATATATATATTGAATACTTATTTATATATTTAGTAAACTTATTGTTATGAAATATTTATTTGTATTAAATTTTATACTATATTTATCTACTTAAATATAATAAATCATCATCCAGTTAAGGTGAGAATGGCTTAAACAGTGTCATTATCAGATTTTCTAAGTGCTTCCACTGCTTTACTTCTATCACATTTACAATGTTCCATAACCATTTTAATTGATTCAGGTGGAATACCTTCATCACTAATTTATTCTGGATTTTATGCCTATTATTATTCATGTTTTTCTTCGACTTATTTGGTACTACATTTTAGAAATTGATTTAATACACTTATTAAGCCAAATTATCAGCTTCCTTCTTTCCAATTTAACTTTATGGATCATTTACTTTAGCTTCTCCAAAAACAATGTAAGAATTATCAACATTTGCTGATTTTAATACTTCTGGGTTATCAATATAGAGAAGGAATTGTTTTCCTCTTTTAATTGTAACTCTAGTGATTCCAGCTACTGGCTTCATTCCTAATTTGAGCATAGACTTTTTGAATTTCTTCTCTCCTCTATTAGCCTTCTTGTCTTTATCATCTCCTCCTTAATGATCATGATCGTGACCATCATCTGAATGTTCGTGATCATGATCGTGATCATGATCATGATCATGGTGATGTTCTTAGGTTTACTCCTTCTCTTCCTTTATTTCAATCTCTTTCTCTTCAGCCATTTAATATATTTTTTAATTTAAATTTCAATCTTGATTAAATATTTCAAATGAACATATATTAAAATTAATATTTATTGTATTCTTAAAAATCACAATATTTTTTATTTTTTTGTATTATTTAAATATTAAAGGAATTATAGAAATCAATTTCAGACACACTAACAATTACTAATCTTAAATTTCACAGACCTTTTTTTATAAATCATTAATTTATTAAATATTAATTTTTATTATATTGTTAAATTAGTTTGAGTAATTTTTAATTAAATGCAATACATTATATTATTTGATATATAAAAACAATGATTAGATTCTCATTGTAGAAAGGATAACAAATATTGAGAAAACAATTATCAGCATTCTCAACACAATAGAATCTCATAGAAATATTCATTGATGATGTACCACATAAAGTATATATTATAATTTTTATATATAATTATAGGTTGATCCATCAGCAACAATATTTTAAGCATGTTATTCAGCAGGTGTAATTATTCCAAGATTTTGTTATCATGAACGATTAGCAGTAGCAGGAAATTGCAGAATGTGTTTGGTAGAGGTTGAAAAATCACCAAAACCTGTATAAATTAAATGAATATTATAAAAGGTTGCAGCATGTGCAGCTTAAGTTGCACCTGGAATGAGAATACTAACAAAAAGTGAAAAAACAAGAATAGCAAGAGGAGGTGTGATGGAATTCATGTTAGCTAATCACCCATTAGATTGTCCAATTTGTGATTAAGGAGGAGAATGTGATTTATAAGATATTTCTGAATAATATGGGTACACTCTTAATATTCTATTATTAGATATGGAGATAGCAGACATAATGAATATAAGAGAGCTGTGGAAGATAAAAATTTTGGTCCTTTGGTAGCTACAAGTATGAATAGATGCATTCATTGCACGAGATGTATCAGATTTTCTGATGAATATGCTGGTGTAACTGAATTAGGAACTAGTGGAAGAGGAAGAAATACTGAAATTGGTACATACATTGACAAAATGATCACTAGTGAATTATAAGGAAATCTAGCTGATATCTGTCCAGTTGGTGCTTTAACTAATGGACCATATGCATTTACTTCTAGACCTTGGGAATTAAAATCTTATGATTCTGTTGATGTTTTTGATACTATTTTACCACTTATTTAAATTGATACTAGAGGAGCTGAGATTATGAGAGTTTTACCTAGAATTCATGAAGAAGTCAATGAAGAATGGTTAAATGATAAATCAAGATAAGCTTTTGATGGATTAAAAAAATAAAGATTAACACTTCCATTAGCTAGAGATGCATAAGGCAACTTCACTGATTTGTATTGGTCAGATGCCATATAATAAGCAGCTAAGAAATTATAATCAGTTAAAGGAGAAGAAATTGTAGGAGTTATTGGAGAATTTGCTGATTGTGAATCTATTGTAGCCTTAAAAGATTTATTGAATAGATTTGATAGTGATAATTTTGAAATTAGAGGAAATGGTGTACCATAATTAGATGCAGATTTTAGAGCTAATTATTTACTAAATTCAAGAATCACAGGTGTTGAAGAGGCTGATGTTCTTTTATTGGTAGGTACTAATCCAAAGGTTGAATCACCATTATTGAATTCTAGAATTTTAAGAGCAACAAGGAAAAATAATCTTAAAGTATTTCTTATTGGACCAGCCAATGACTTAACTTATAATTATGTTCATTTAGGAAATAATGCCTCAATACTTGATGAAATTGCTAATGGCACTCATCCATTTGCAGCAAGACTCAAAAATGCTAAGTTACCTATGATTTTAACAGGAGCAGGTGTTTTAGAAAGAGTTGATGGAAATGCTATTCATAATGCTTTAAAAAAGATTGCTATAAATTCTCCAGTGATTAATCCATAATTGGGATGGAATGGTTTCAATCTTTTACATAAAGATGTTGGAAGAATTAATGCTCTTGAATTAGGTATCACTGCTAGGAAGAGTAGTGTTCCTGCTAAGGTTGTGATTCTGTTAGGAGTTGATAACAATTTAAAGGCTTAAGATATTCCTAAAGATGCTTATGTAATTTATATTGGTAGTCATGGTGATGAAGGTGCTTATTATGCAGATCTTATATTACCAGGAGCTACTTATACAGAAAAGAATGGAACTTATGTAATTAGATTTAAAATTCAATTAGGTTTCAACTGAAGGAAGAGTATAAACCACAAAATTAGTTGCTTTACCCCCATCAGGTGCAAAATCAGATTGGGAAATATTAAGGGCATTATCTGAAGAATGTGGATGTGCTCTACCTTATGATACATTAGAAGAAGTATGACAGTTCAAAATTGTGATAGGTTAGATATAGAATGGCTGAATTAGCTCCTCATTTATTAAAATACGATTATATTGAATCAAGTGTTCTTGGATAAATCGCATTAAAACCTGAATCCTCCAAGTAAACTATTTCAGCCACTCCATTCAAAGATCTTATTGATGTAAATTTAATTTCTACTTTTAGAACTTCTATATGACTGATGCTATATCTAGACAATCAGTAACTATGGCTAAATGTTCGACAGCTTTTAATCCTCATAAATTTAGCACATTTAAATAATTATGAAAATTATTAATAATCCATAGAATTTATATATATAAAACATTATTCATGACATTTTTTTGCTTGCAGGACTCAAATTAGATCTTTAAGTGTTATAAACATCAAAAATTCCACCTTTAGGGTTATTTTTTAAGGGACTATTGATTCGAGCAGTTTACGAACCACCTTACTTTATTTTTGCAGAAGATTTCAAATCTTCAATATAAATATTAACTATATTATTTTAGTTGATATTATATACACCACCTCCCTTTTTTGATGATGCTTAAACACAAATATTGTTCGTAATTCTTAATGGATCTTTTGAGTTGTCATGTCTTAAAGGTTATTTTGGAGGAGATGTTTTATAATTTCCAATTGCATCTTAAGATTTAGTTCTATTATGTAATAATTAAGAATTTAATGTGAATCCTTGCATGTTGTTAGAATTTACAATTTACTTCTTCTTTACTTCAAAATTCTTTACCTACAGATTTCTCAGTGTTGCTAATGCATATTAAGTGAATTTCTATGGTATTTTTTATCTAAAATTACATAATAAATCTACATATTTTAGGATAAATATTTCTGTTATATTTTCTCTCCTACATTATAAACACTTTATCTTTGAATTCTATCAGTTGCTAATGGTTGCTTACCTAAGATTATAAATGTACATGTTTGATACTCTTATAATCATCATCGTATTTTTATAATTGGGAAGCTACTCTGGTTCTTCTATTAATAGATTTTCAAAAAATATTTACAAGAAATTAACTTAATTTGATTATAAATCAACAGATTGCTTTTATGTTGAATTTTATCTACTTGGTATTCTGAATTAGCAATCAGTTGAATTAAAATTTGCACTGACTTTCCTTTACGAATTTGACTTTTGGCCATAATTTAGTTTTTATTATTTTTACAATGATTATTATTATTTTTAAACAAAATTAACAAATCCTTCTATTTAGGAATAAACTTTTTAAATAGTCTATAATTATGATGTATTCCTTAAAGGTGATTATTCCTAATTTGATCTTTTAGTTTACTCACCTGCTTTAATAGAGTTTTCAGCTTTTAAAGAAGATATTTCTCCTTGATTGTTAAATTACAATCTATTGATATTAATTTTATCAAGACTCCCTTAATAGCTAGTTTTAGAGTCTATAATTTAAGCTTTAGAATTTTAATTTTTTTATGGTTTATGATTAATGAGATAATTTTATTTAAGATTCTTGTTGATCATTGAAAGATCTTAAGATCTTAAGAGAAAACTATTGCTTTAATCAATAGACAATAAACCAGAAATTTATCCTAGATAATCATATTTTTATCCTATTTATTATACGAATTCACGTAATTATACACTACTTGAGATATCAACTTTTTTTTAGAGATAGGAATATGTATCTAATTTCAAATCCTTTAGTAAATGTTTCAACTAACCCACAGTTACATCTTCATCACTATGTTGTTATTTCTTCTTCTTCTCCTTTTTTTTTGGTTGTTACTAAATTTTTAGATATTAAATTTACTATATCTTCATCTGGAATATTCAATCTCCTTTTGATATTCGCATATTCTATTCTTCGTTTCTTTTCGTGAAACTTATTAATTGTTATATAGACCTTTTGCATAAAGAGTCTAGGTATATCTTTATGATATTTATAGTATTCTAACAAAGCTTTAATTTTAGAAGTTGTTTCCTTTTTAGCATAAGATCTTTTAATATAATAGTTAATACCTTTTCAAATATTCTTCTTCCTCTACTATACATTCCAAATCTCTATAAAATACAACTGCTGGTGTAGATTCTTCATCAATTATATCATTAATGTCCTTTGAATAATAGTAATTTTGAGATGAAGAATATTTAGCAAATAAAGCCTTATTAAGGAGAGAAGCATAAGATTCAACCTTTTTATTTTTAAATTTCTAACAAAAGACACAAGTTGATTGTCCTTAATTGTTTGATCTATAGCAATGATTATATCAAAAATTTTACGGTGAACATAATGAAGAAAATCGTTTTCTTACAGATATAGGATTAGAGACTGATTATTTGCTATTAGATCTTGATGTTTTTCCTCCTTAAACCTATTTTTTAGTAGACATTTCTCTTTATGTTCCTTAATAAGTTAATAAATAAATTGTAAATAAATAATACTAAATGTATCACTTTTTAGTTTCTTTTACTTATATTCTCTCTTCCTTGACTACAACAACTTTAGCATTATACCATTCTTATATAAATCTTCTCTTAATATTTTTAGCTCTTAATTTTTTAGAAATACCTATAGCTTTTTCAGTTCTTTGTAAAAAAAATTAGTAATTAATTTAACTTATTGCAAATAATTCTTGATTAGTATTTTATGTGACTGGTTATTCAACAGTTTGATTTCATGAATCTTTTACAACTCTATTTTTCTGGTTGATATGTGACCCTTGGAAATAGAATTAATTTAGATAGATATGTTTTTAATCTCTTCAAATTTTTATATAATTATTTCTAAGATAGATTTCTTCTACTATTATCAACTGAAATTATTTGGATATGCTTCAATAAATCCTGACTATTTTAATTTAATTAATGAAAATCTTCTACCAAGCTTCTAAAAACACTATTATATTTTATTTTATATCTTCTAACTATAGGTCTAAGTATTTCAACAGGTTTTGTTAATGAAGGTATTATTTTTATTTGATATAAAATAATCGCAAGATCTAATTCTATTATTCGCAATTATCCTCTTCATTTACAGCTTGTTGATTATGAAATGTTTTAAGATATCGTGTATAATGCTTTCTTAAATGCTAATTAGTAAGTTATTATAATTTGTTTCATTAATGATAAATTAAAAATAATAAAATTAGGTATATGTAAAATTAACTATATAAAAGACTTAAATTAGTCGTATATATAATTTATCACGAATTTTATTTTGCTTCATAGCTAAGTTAAGTGTCTCATAGACTTTCTAAAATGGTAGAGAATATTAGTTACCTGACAAATGTCTTAGTCTTTTCTTAAGGAGCTTAATTTAAATTAGGTGTAGATTCCCTCTGTTGTTATTCTTATGCCAATTCCTCAAATGTTTATAAGTCAGTGATTGAATTGTGAAATGAGAGTTTCATCTTTTTCATGTTGTTTTCATCTATTTCTTCGACTAACTTAGGCTTAAACATTAAATATGAGCGAGCCATCTTAGATTATTATTCTTTTTAAGTGGATTAATCAGGAATATAGGCAAATTATGTTTATTTTCTACTCATAATGAATAATAACTCACATCACATCTTATTAACTCTTCTATTGTATTTTTGGTTTCTATTCTCTTGGTGTTGGTACTGTATATACTTTTTTGATCATTATCCAAAATTGATACAAACCTTAAATATATTAATGAATACTGCTTATAATATTCTTATCAATATTATATCAAATGGAATTAACTTTTTAACCTAAGGGTGTCTATCACGAATTAAATATCCTACAATTCTAAACTATGCTTTAACCTAAAACCAAACAATTTTTTTATCTAATTAAATCTCCATTGTTTGATTATTTTCTTAATCTGCTATTACCATTATTCATTTATTTTTTATTCCAATAATTTCAATTCTAACAATAAACTCCTCTTACAATTATGCTCCTACTGATATTATATTTATATACAATTTATTTCAAATATGCAGCCAAATCAATCAGAAAATTTTAGAACTGAACAAGATAATTGTAACATCTTTCAATTTACCTTATGATAGGCAATCATACTTTATAAGGATAATCTGGCAGACCTTTATTGGATAGTGGATCAAGAAAAAAGGAATAAACCATTGCCAAAATTAAAAAAGCTCTATAAACTAATAAAGAATCCTTACGAACCTTGAGAGCTACAGATTTAGTTTCAGATAATGCACATTTGTATATAACTGAAATTCAATATACATTAATAGAAATCATACAGGTTAATCTCAAATTAAAATGTCACATTATGGTCCTTAATATACAGGCAAACCTCCTAAAAATAAGAAAAACAAAGATGAGAGTCCTTTTATTTTAGATTCATAATCAGTTGAAGATATTGAAGGATTTAGTAATTAAGCTTGGAAGAATTACCCTCTAGAGATTTTGATGATAATTTTAAGATTTATTAGTTTTATCACAAAATCTAACTTTGCTACAAGTTTCAGACTTATTAATAGAAATGTTTTTGACATCATTGGAGACAAGTCAGCCTATTTTAGATATTATTTATTTAATGATTATTTCAAATATGAAGTATTGATGTAAATTAATTTAAGAAACCAAGTCCGTATGAAAAAATGAAATACTAATTAAATCAATAAGTATTTGTCCCTCTTAGAAAACTAAAGGTTTATAATTATTTAAATAAAAATAAATTAATATTGCGCCCTGAGTCAATTATAGCCATAGCTTGGAATATATACATATTAACTATATTAAATATGAATGTACTATATGTAAGTGCAAGAGTAGCATTTAAATTTGATACAAGCAATTCATTAGATGATAGTTTTCAATAATTTAGATGGGTTTTATTTGATGTACTCCCATCATATTCATTTATATTGGAAATATTAATAAAATTTAATACATGTTATTATCATAAAGGAACTGTTATAGAAAATAGATATCTAATAGCTAAGAACTATTTAAGAACATGTATAATTATAATATTATTTTAGCATTTTTTTTTGATGTTTTTGTGATTATCCCTTTTTTCTTAAGTCTTAGATTTTAATTGGATTATTTAGATTTAGTCCTTATTTTAAAAGTCTTTTAGATTACTAAATTTAGTGGAAATTTATTTGATAGACTTGAACTTACATCAAGTTAAATAGCTATATTTGATTTAGTTAAGTTAGGTTATACAATTTTGGCAGTTGCTCATTTTTGTGCATGTTTATGGTTTTTAGTTGGTACTACTGGAAGTGATGAAAATACTTGGGTTATAAAAAATGATTTATAACATGAACCTTGGCATGCATAATATTTAACATCATTTTATTTTAGTATAGTGACAATGACTACTATTGGATATGGTGATATAACTCCATAAAATTTAAGAGAAAGAATATTTACTATTGGAATGACTGTTGCTGCTGTTGGTATTTTTGGATATTCAATTGGTAATATAAATAATATTTATGCTGATTGGAGTAGAAAGACATATGAATTTAGATAAAATATGAATGATTTAAAGAAATATATGAGATTAAAGGGACTAGATAAACATTTAGCTGAAAAGATAAGAAAGTATTTTGAATATGTTTGGTGTGATGCAGAAGAAGAAAATGATAGAGAAGCCTTTAGATTTGCAGAATAAATACCAGTATAATTATTTGAGGAGATGAAGATTGATATCAATATGAAAATTGTTAAAAAGATTAAATTTTTGACTGAAAATTTTAGTGATAATTTTTTAATCTAATTGTCCAAGAATTTAATTGAAGAAAAATTTGCACCTGAATAAATTATATTTAAAGTATATATATAAATCTATATATATTTTAGTAAGATGAAGTAAGTGATTTTTTATATATACTTCAAAAAGGAGAAGTGTAATTTTATGTTACTTTAAAAAATAAATAAGAATAATAAAAAGTACTAGAATCTTATTCTGGAGATTCTTAACCTTTTGGAGTTTTGGAGTTCTTTTAAAAATAAAATTATTAAGTATCTTGTAAATCTACTTAATTCACTTATTTACTTAAAATTCATAGAAATTAATTTATTGAATTATTACAATAGAATTCTAAAGATTATGTATTAATGTTTATTATACAAGTCTACATTTTGTTAAATGAGGGATTAAGTTGCTTTTTCAAATGCATAAGCTATTGTTGATGTATCATGTCGTGCATGCAATAAAACATCACATGTAATTAAAGAATGTCCATTGGTTTGTGGATATCCAAATAGATCAAAGGTGCTTTTGAATTATAGAAGAAATGTTCCATCAGATAGAGTTCGATATAGACGTACTTTGAATAGAAGAATTGATACTTTATTAGAATCTCATGATGTTAAAAACAGTATTTTATTGTTTATATGCAAAAATAAATTGATTGAAGAACTATAATATAAGACTGGTATCAATATTAAATTATAATTTGAAGAAGAAGAAGAATAGAATGATTCAGAGGAAGAAAGTTGCAGTACTTTTAAAGTGGGCTATAAATAGACTATCACACAATAAATTGAATCAAAAAGACCATTATCCTTTTAGGGATGTAATGATGCTTTACAAGATGAAGAATTAGTAAATATAACTAATATTATTTATAGTAAGATAAAATTAAGGAAATTGTTAAATATTTCAAAAAAAAATAACTTAGTTCTTCATCCTAAGAAATTAAATAAGGAATTAAATTAGAAGGTGATAAGACTATGAATTTTAATTCATTAATGAAAGGTTCTGAAACTTCCAATTTGTTATTCCCAAAATAATAATCAAGTTGTTCAGATTAAATCTAATAGGATTCAAATAGAAGAGGATCAAAAACAACTTAACCTAAAGCTAAAAATTTATTTGATATTGTTATTCAAGGTTCATTTATATCTCCTCAAAATAAAATAATACCTTATGAATAATAAGGATATGAAGATGATTTTGGAAAAAAAAGGGGATAGTATATAGAGTTATTCGAAGATTTTGAAAGATTTAAGAATTTTGATAATTATCTTTAACATAACAATCTGGCATAAATTATAAGAAAAAGAGAGAGAAAAATTAAATTTATATGAATTAGCATATTTAATCAAACAACTTTATTTAATCAATTAAAAATACATGTTTTTAATGATAAATCATTCGCTTTTTGTCTTATCTACTTTTTTTTATGTTGTTTTTGGTTATGGTATTTTCTTAGGCTTTATTAATCCATCAATTGAAGCAAAACAAAAAGCAATATAAAATAAGGCTCCTTAAATTGCTTATTCTCCTCCAAGTCTTTCTGATTTATATATCACATGATTATAATTAATTGCAGCATAAACTATTAAAGCTGGAATTGAAAGCACATAGAGTAAACCAATTCTTTTATAATTATTAAATATACCTATTCATAGTTACAAAAGAGCAAGCCACTAAAATATATCCAAGAAACATTCTCATCTATAAATAAACATCTACATTATTAAGAATTGAGTTTTCTAATCTAGCTGTTTCTCTTACTGTTCTTTCAAATCGTTCCTAAATTGATTTTGTATATTACTTATGCCCAAGGATCATATAATAAGCTCATTCCAAATATTCCTAACCCAAATCCAATTAATAGTGATGATAACCTTTGCATAGATTTTAATATTAATTAATTTTCTTAGTATTTTTTACAATGAATAGTCTAAATCTAAAAAATTATTAATTACAATAATTAAATTAGTAATTAAGAAATACTTATTTAATCTAGATTTTGAATAGAAATATCTAAGAGTATTTAAATTAAAAATGTTGATTTAGTTTTAGAATGAATTTATATGCAACCATATTTATTAATTTATAATTTTCTTATTAAATTTCTTTAAATTTTATAATTATTTTAACTTATAAAGAAATTTATCTTATTAATTTATACTATTTAGAGAGATCTAAAAGATTTTAGTTGATAATCTATAATTCTTTTGATAAATTTGACAATATAAATAATAATTAAATATATGTATTAAATTAAATAATTTAATATATTATAATAAGATTAGAGATTGTAGTTTTGTATAATATTTGATAACAATTAATATTTAATTTATTAATTTAATATAACAATATATATATATATATAAATATCTTTAAATTAAACAAATGATTTATCATTTTTATTTATTTTGAAAAATAGTAGTAATTTGATTACTCAAAGATTATAATTTCTTATAATTATCCACTAGATGGCTATCAGAGTCCATCACCCAATCATCATCAAAAACAAGAGTTTGAGTTGGTCTTTACTTAATTTTGGGCTTCTTCAAATAATCAGGTAATGTTCTAACCCTTAAACCTTAATTTTATTAAAATTCTTCTGGGATTATGTATTCAGTATCTTCACTTATTTCATCTCTTGATAATTGATTGATACTATTAATATTACCCAATGGGCTACTACCATTACTTTAACCACTTTATTCTTTTCCAAATGAAAAGAGATTCTAATTAAAAGATTATTTAATTAAAGATGGACAAAAAGTTTTTCTTTTATTTGGATTAATATGATTTTATTTAATGTTTCTATAGAATGATAAAATATATACATTTATTAATTTGATGGATATTTATCTATCTAAAAATTATCATCAAATTATATTGTTCCATAACGAGAATATATTTCTGTCTATGCAGTATTTTGGATATCCCAATCATAAATTGAATCAATTGTTATCTTCCCATTTCTAGCAGCTTATTAAAATAATTTAACTATTGATTTATAATCTGGTTCTGTGGCATATGTAAGTTTACGTAAATAACTATATATATATCATAATAAAATACTCATATATTTTTTTAAGTTCTTCAGGTAAATTTTTAAACAAATCAGCAGTCTATTTTTATTTAATTTCACCAACTTTTTGAATTTTTTAGTCACTTGGTATCTGTTTTATGTTTTGCCATGGCAATTTACTGAAACAATGAAAATCTTCATTTTTACCCAAAATAAAAATACAATAAAATGTAAATTAAAGATTCCAAGTCATCCTTTCTTCCTAACTCATTTCCTTTATGAGCTGCTATCGAAGCATATCGAGATGTTCCAATAAAGGGTTATCTGTCTTTGAAAGGTCTAATTATATTATTATTTTACAAATGTGCTCCGTTTTTACGTAGAAATGCTTTACTTATACCATAATCTATAATGTAGAACTTATTATTTTCATCAATCATAATATTTTCTGGTTTTAAATCTCTATGTAATACCCCTTTTTAATGAATATCATCCAGTATTTCAACTAATTTAATCCCAATCTATAAAATAGTTTTGAGGCCAAATTTCTTTTATTGTTTTATCAAGGAAGATAAATCTTTAGAAAGAAGTTGTAAAACCAATACATTAAAGTCATCCTATTTACCAAAGTAAAGCATTTAAGGTACTCCCTAAACACCTTCTAATTTCCGAATTATGTCTACTTCTTTTTCTAAAGATCTGATATGTTCATTTTCAGGTTTTTCAATTTTAATTGCTACTTATTATCCTGTTTTTTGATCAAAACCAAGCATTACAAATCCAAATGCCCCTGATGCAATTTTTCTCGATAATATATATTGATTATTTATTCTTAGAGATTTCATTTTAAATTATTCTTAATTATCAATATAATATTAAATTAATATGTTTTCATCTAAATGAATTGAATAATACCAAAAGTATTGATTAAATTTTTGATTAGACAAATACCAATTACTTATAAAATATAATTATCAAAATGTTGAATTATATACAGAAATATTGAATTATAAATAAGTATTCATAAATCATTATCATTTAATCTAAAGTCCACTTTTAATGTATTGATTATTTTATCAAAATTTCTAAGCTAATACATATATTTACTTTTCAATAAATTAAGAAGAATGATTCAACTATTTCTCAAATCTACTATCATATAACTTTGTTACACTTTCTTTTATTTTACCTAATAATAATATTAAATTTCTTTCATCTTCTTCAGAGTTCTTTTTAGTAATAACTTTATTTATAGCCTAATTCATTTTTCCTTATCTAGATTTCTCTAATAAAGAACTTTATTTTAACTTTTATGAAGGAGTTTATGGCACTATTTTATTTTATATATTTACTATCTTAAAATGGATCTTAGAAAGACTTTGTATTACTTTTTTAAACAGTTTTTTTTTAAGTTATAGGTGTTTATGGTACTTGAACCTATGATTTTGTAGTTTAAGGTCTATTGTTATTATTTATTTTTTTATTTTAAACTTGATTATTGCTTGTTTAGATCTGTTGAGCTTATTATTATATTTTTTTTTATCCTCCTTATTTACTATTATTAGGAAATTTTCCATTTACTCTAACATTATTGGCTGCTTAAACTACTTTGATTTTATTGGCATCTTATTCAGTAACTAAATTGTCTTCTTCTTCTATAACTAAATGTGTATATTTGGAAATCTATTGATCAATCTCTTATTTTTCTTCTAAATTTTCATTAGAAATCAGATATACATATTGAATTATATTCATTTATGCTTTAAGTAAGCTATATGGATTATTTTTATTATTTCCATAATTGAGAAAGATTGTCAACATTCTAATTTTACTTTTTAAGATTCAAAACTAGTCCATAATTTAATGATAATACATTTCTCTACTGATTAAGAGTCTTTCTATTTTTCACTATTTCTAGTGCTTCTAAAATCATTTGTCAATGATGGAGTATACTATCTATCCGATGAAAGATTACGAGATCTATATGATGGGCATTAAAGTTTTCCTTTTAAAGATTCTAATTCTTCTAATTATGTAATATGCCTATCATTCAATTAAATACTCATTTATTATTAAATATAGTAACTAATATTATTAAATAACATAATCATTAAAAAAAGAAATTATTAAACTGCCAATAACAATTGATAAATACAAGTAAGTTAATTTATCAATACAAAATTGTAATATAGTTATATAGAGATTAAATATAATTGATAAGAGTTGAAATCAAAAAAGTTTAGGTTTTCTTATTTTTTATTTTATTTATAAAAATTTTAACTTAAAAATAAGTTTAATTGAAAATATTAGCATTTTTATTAATTTTATAAATTTTTTACTCCTTTGTGAGATAAAATTTGACTTAAGTTCGAGTAGATGAATGTGAAATAATGGAGTTAATTCTTAGTCTTATAATATTATTTATTTCACACCCTTCATTAGAATGAACATAAAGATTAGATTAATAAGACCTCCAGTTCCAAAATTTAATTTAAATGTATTTGAAACTAACACTCTTCAAATAATTCCAATTGAGAAATAAACTCAAGAATCAAATTGTAATTCAATTCGATAAGATAATAATTCTGATACTTCTTCTGATAATAATCAGGAATTAAGTTTTGATAGAAAAAAACTATCAGCAATTGTTGAAGAAATGAAAAACTAAATATCTCTTTTAGGATTGAATGAAGATCTACTAAAAGTTGCAATATAACTGTTATAACCTCAATTATTGTCTGAACTCAAAAAAAAAAAATATACAGCCATTGCCATAGCCATAGCAGGATTAATTGCTGCTTTAAAATAAACTTATATTCCTATAACTCAAAAAGAAATTTTGGCTAAAATTTCAGTCTCAAAAAAATTAATTAAAAAAATATTACTCAAAATACATAATAATTATAAATTAGAATCAGTTGTTTATGCATTTATACAATCAATATCATAAAATTTGGGATTTAATTAAAAATTCATTAAATTCTGTATTTAAGTATTTAAGAAAATCCAATAGAATAATTTAATTCAAGGAGAACATGAGAATGTCATTGCAGCAGCAATTGTCAAATATAGTGGAGATATTATATTTGCTAATAGAGGAGGTATAATACCTTCAGTGATTGCATAATAAGCAAAATGTAGTATTAGTACATTTAAGATATTTCATAAAAAAGTATTTGAGAAATTATACTTATTATGCAAAAACTGATAGTTTTATCATGATTTCATTAAGTTTATTTATATTTTCTATTTAAAAATATATCAATCACTTTCATGGCATAATTTTAAAAACTTATTGTATTTAATAATTTTTTCAAATTTAATTGGGGGACCAATATTAATATTAGAATTTGGAAGTGAAAACTAAATTATATATAAAATATAAATACAGCAATATCTACGAAATAAGAGTCCTCAGTATCTACTAATGAATCTCCAATAATAAATTGTAATGAAGATTTCTAATATTTAAATTAATATTACTTTTGAAATCAAATAGGTCAAATGATTTTATAACTCTGTAAATGTATTATATTCATAAAGTGGCTTATAAATATAATCAAGATTTATTCTTTCATTATTCATCTAGTTTATTTATTATTCAGTTAATTCAGGATTAGTTTATAAAGTCAATATTTCACAATGTTTCTTTGCCTTTTCAATATTTGAATATAATCTTCTACTTCCTAATTTAACTTTAGAATCTTTAAATTTATTAGTAATTTTTGTCCATCCCACAATATCAGAATGATGAATAGGATCCTCTAAATAAACTATAATTGGTTTTTCTTGGCATAATTTAAAATAATAATCTATCAATTAATCTGCATCTAATAATTTTTTAGGATTATCTAAGTCATATTTCTTTTCTTCAGGTACATAAAATAATTCAGCTAACCAAACTAAACCAAGTTAAACTTAATCCTTCAGTTAAGCTGCATCTATTGCTTATTCAATTATTTTTATATTATCTGGAATTGTATCACCAGGACATATAAATGTTCCATCTTAATAAAATTAAAGACCAGCTTCTCCTTTTTTACCTGAAATAATAGTTTTTTTGACATTATTAACAACATTTTATATTTTTTATACTGCTCCTTCTCCATCACATATTAATAAAAACTTATAAATTTTACACTTAGAACCAACTACTTTACTACCTTAAAGTAAATTAACAAAAATTTTAGGTGTTTTAACTTCTTAAGTATTAAATTATTGACATAGTAATTTTGATAAACTTTAATTCATAAAGTGAGCATGCAAAGGAAGTAAACTAAATGAAATTTATTGAATAACATTAATACGATTCTAAAATATATTAAATTATATACTGGATGTTCAGTAAGATATTTCATTAAAGTATCATCAACCTATTTTTAATCCTTTGATTTTTTTCCTCTTAATTAGAGAGAAACCTTTTCTATTTCTTATATAGCTTATTTCATGTTTTTCTATTCATCATCACTTAAATTAATATTAATCTTACTAAAATATCTCTTATTCTGGAAAAGCTTAAGAAAAATAGAGTGGGGAATTAAAATGCAATTTTTGATTTTTGAATTAGACAGTGAAAATCAATTAGATAGTTGGCTTTAACTCATTGTTTAAGATTTCTAAACCAGTAACTTCATCTAATTCAATCACAGGAGTAGATAACTTAATTTATAATAATAAGTTACTTTTCCAAAGTATTGAGAAAATGTTGTATATGGATCAGCTGGTTTTTATGAAAGAATTGTATTAACTGCATCTTTAATAATATCCTCTATTTTGTATTGTTCAATATATGCTTTAACTTCTGGAGGAATGTATGGTGATTTAGACATTTAATAAATATAATTTATAATATTCTAATCAAAATCTCTTACCACTTAATCCAAATGGACTTGGAAAATCTTATTATTATTTTTGTTTAGGTTTTTATTATGTAAATGATTAATTAATGTCATAGGCACCAACTCCAGGAAAATTTAAGAATTTATCTTATCTTTTACTATATTTATCAATTGAAATAACTCCAATAACTTTTGATTTTGTTTTAATATCATAAGCACCTACACTAGGACCTGCATCTTACTATTATTAACTAAATCTCTTAGCTGATGAAGAGAAACATTAATATCTCCAAGGTATTTTTTCAATCTTTATAGAGGAATCAATCTATTCATTATAATACGCTCCAGGAGGAGGAACTGGTTTATCTTTCATTTTTTCTCTTTGTTAAGCTAACTCCAAACTATCAGAAGGAAATAAAGAAAAAATATTCCTATGTGCTCAATACTAATAATGAGTATTCATACTTTTTGGTTTTCTTCTCTTCGATTATCCTGACATAGGAGTTTGAGATCTTGAATTGTAATATCCTTAAACTTATAATTACCTAGTTTCTTCAATAGAATTTTCTAATTCTGTATTTTGTTTTTGATAGACTATCTTAAGTCGTTTACCTTTTTATTTAAGGGGTAAATTCTAGAAATTATTAATTGAAATGTCTGGATTTTAAGAGTAACTGAAGCTTCTTCTTTCTGGTTTTTTATATTTCTATTCAATTTTCATTCTTTCACCTGGTTTAGCATAAGCCGATAATTATGGACTTGCTAAGGAAACTCTTGGTAAATTATTATTATAGTTTTTAGGGCTAACACTTTATCTATTATTTAGATTTCTTGCCAAAGATTTTGAAAAATCTATGCCTTTATTATTTTATTATTGGTTTATTTCATAATAGCCAACAGGAGGATTGTAAGTAGGCTGAAAACTAATTCGATCACCTTTTGAAAACATTATTATTATATTATAATAAATGTTAAGTTTTATATTACTTTAACTAGTTTAAGCATAAATAAGAAAATATGATTGGATTAACAATTACTTCGCATTATAATGCACATGTTTAGAAGAATGTTGCATTTACGGATCATTTATTTTAAAAAACGATAAAGTTATGAATACTAATTTTGTATAGATAGATGCTAAATTATAAGGATCAGGATGTACTTAATATACTGTTGAAAATGTACTCATAATTTATTTTACAATAAGGTAATCTGTACTCTAGAATCACCTACTGATGTTCAAACTACATTGAGTTGTCCACTCTAAGGTTGGGAATGGTTAGTCTCCAGAGATAGCAATACTGGATCAATTTATTGGACTGATAACAAAAACTGTCAAGGAGTTTGGAATGTAATCGATTTATCTGCCAATTAAGTAGTTTATATATTCAGTCCTATTATTATGCTAGGAATAATTATTTATTATTAGTTATGATTTAATTATATTCATATTTTTACAACGTTATTTATAGCAGAAGATTATATACTTTATTATTACTATAAATTCAATTGTAAGTATCCTAAAAATACAAGATAATTATTTTAGATATCAAATTTCAATTTTTACTTAATCTTATTCATTTATTTAAATTTTTTGGATAAATTTTCATTATTTAAAAGCTTTTTTAAGGAAGCTTTCTATTGTCGTGTAAAATCCAAAAGTATAAACTGAATTATTTATCAAATGTTATTTAAAAACAATAATTAACATAAATTATAGGGTTGACAGTAAATAAATTATAATGATTTAATTTATCCTTATATTTTACCTTGTTCATTCATTATTAATAAATTCTATATTGAAATACTAATATTGTAGAGAATTTAGTCATTATAAAATAATATAATAAAGCTCACAAATATATACAAATATTTTACAATAAAATTTATGTCTGAAATAGAGCAGCTAACAAAATAAAAAGAAGAAATTGAAGCCAGTTAGACAACTCTAAAAATTTGGTGTTCTTTAAAAAAGAATTTATCATCAAAATTTAAGAATCCTACTGAAGCTTTTAAAGCATTAAAAAAAGAAGGAAAAGAAACATTATCAATAGAAGATTTTGCAGATTATTCAAAAGGATTAGATTTGTAAATATTAACCTTATCTTTTAGAACAAATGTATTTAAAGATACAAGTCTTAATGAAGATAACTTCATCAAATGTTGGGAACAATGGGAATATTTAGCAAAATAAAATGAACATAAATTATAAATGATTGAGGAGAAATTGGAATTATTAAATATTTTAGAACAAAAAGATAAAGATGGAATTAAACAATTAGAAGCTTAGAAGAATAAAAAAATATTAAATATTATCCAAAATTGTGATAATTTAGAATAATTATAAGAAAAATTGGATACTTTAGTATAAGGAAGTTAATAATAACAAAAAGAGAAAACAGATGTCATATAAAATGAATCTGAGTGTTTCAATAAAATTTTATAAAAGAAATCTGAAATCAAAGCTTCTGAATTATAGATTAGCAAATTATAATAAAAATAAAATCCAGAAGGATCTGAGGATAGTTAAGTCTAAAATAAAAAAAAGAAAGTAAGTTATTTAGATGGTTCTACTAATGCTTTATAAAAAAGCAAAATAAATTTAAATATATCCAGTTCACAATTATAAACTAGTAGATTATCAGCAGCCAATTAAAACAAATAATCCTTTATTTATGAGTCTTAAGTTTAAATATCTCCTACCAAAGGATAATAGTTTCTTAGGAATCCACCAGTTACATAATAGTAATAATTGAAAAATAGTCCAAATGAAGAGAGAGAAAGTGAAAGAAGATCTCACAAATCTAATAGAATGAGAGGAGATTTATAATCATATATTTCAGATCTATTTTAAAATGAAAGAGAATAATCATTAAGATAAGAACCAAGATATGCTAGAGATTATGATAGACCATCATATTCTACTGATTAAAAAGGATTGACTGGTTTTCCAAATTTTAGAAAATATTTCAAAAATTAGTAATAAAAAAGAGAACCTTAAGAATTAGAATCTGAATCTACTAATATTTCCAAACGACTCTAAAATATTAGGTATTCAATAAATTTAATTAAGATATAAATTAGATGATTTTTAGAATCAGAAACTAACTCAATATAGAACAAAACCTTAAACACTTTAAGATTGGAATCCAGAGAAACCCATAAGACTTTCTTAACAAAAACCTAAATAAGGAAGTAGGAAATCTAGTCCATAATACACTCCAGGAAATACACATAGATTAAATCTTGATAAGTTAAGATAAGAGAAACAATAGAGTTAAGGTTCTGGATAATAATAAAAAGCAGATCCTAAACAAAATGAATCTGAATCAGGTTTTTTGAGTATGGAATAATTGAATTAAACCTTAAAAGGAGAATCATAGGCTAATCCTTGATATATTATGAATAGACGATACAAGATAATAAAAATATTGCAATATTATTAAAATTATATTGTTTCTTGTTTTGTATAATTATGCTGTTCTTTTTTAGCTGAATATATTTTCAATATTCATATGTTTTATTTCCAATATAGAAATCTTTTAAGAATTCACTCTTCCCTTTAAGCTTTTAATTTTCTAAATAAGAATATCCTGCATCAGATCTGTTTTGATTAGCAAAATATTGGAATAAATGATCTCTATTTAACATATGCCATTCAGCTTGGTAGAGTAATTCATATCCACGATATACCTATATTTATAGATATGCATCATACCCATCTATCTACAGCATCAGGATCTCTTAAGTATGCTCTCTTTCTAATTACATTAGCAACATTAAGCATAGCTTATTATGAATTACAAGTGACTTCTAAATCATGAATTCTTAATAAAAATGGAATTAGTCGACACACTTTTCTATAAAATCTCAACACTTTGAAATGAGCTTAAATAATATTTTTAGAAGGTCTTCCACTTGTCAAACCTTCAAAGATTTCAGTCCCTCTCATTGTAATGTTGTTACCACCATATTACTTATTTATTAAATATAAAATTTACCTTTCCTCTAGCACCATGTGTTCCAATTTCTGGAAAGAGATTCAAATTGTTTTGAAAGTTTTAATTTTAATTCATTTATTTATATTATCTTAAGAATAAAATAAATTTATTAACATATGAATATATTATCTAAAATAGATTATGTTTCTCTTGAAATTCTTTAACTTATTTTGAAATAATTCAATAACTTTTATAATTATTAAAATAAATATTCAAATTTGTATTGATCATCACTTATCTAATATGTTAAGATATTAAATATCTACTGAATTTTCACTTTGTTATTTGTTAAACGAAATATTAATATTAAAATATATATTAATAAAATACAAATGGAAAATAATTAAGAAGGAAATAATTATAATGAAACTGAAGAAGAACATTAATAAAATGAACCTTAAGAGACTGAAAAAAATGTTTAATAATAAAACTCAAACGTTAAACAATAAGACAATTCCCCTTAAAAATAAAATAGGGACTAGCAAAATAATAAATAACAATAAGAAAGTAATCCAGAGGGTGAAGAGTAATTTGATGAAGAAAATATCGATGCTAATTCATTTACTCCTAGAATGAAAGAAGCATGCAAAAGAGAAGGATTTAAGAAGGAGGATTTAATAGAAAAAGGCAAAGACCTGATTATATATATGTTGAAATAAAAGGATCCATCAGGTAATGAACATTGATTTTCTAAAGGCTAATTGGCAAACGAGGATGTTATATAAATGGTATTCGATCATTTCGAGGAAAAACGCCGATAGAAGATATAACTTGTACGTCAGATGAGACAAAAAATCTTGTAGGAAGAATCGCAAGGACTATGGCCTAACTAGATGTCTAACTCTAGTGTTTTCAGAAGTACTTCATCTTTAGCTGAAAAACGAGAGAAACTATTAAGTAGCATTCGCAAAAGGTAAGAATTAGAAATAGAAAAAATAATTAATTCAGAATAGAAAATGGAAGAATTGACTAGAAATAATGCTGAAAAAGAAAAAAGAATTTAAGAAAAGGAAAAATAAAGAGAATTGAAAATTTAATGGTAAAAAGAATAGGCAGAAAAAAAAAGATTATAATTGGAAGAAGAAAGAAGAAAAAAGGAAGAAGAAGAAAAGAGAATTTAATTAGAATTAGAAGAATAATATAAAATTAAAGATTAAAAAAGAAAATAGAGAGAAGAAGAATTAGAGAGAAGGAGAAAAGAGGAAAATAAATTTAAAGAAGAATAAAGAATTGAAAAATAAAAAAAAATTTAGTAAGATAGAGAATAATTCTTATAACGTTAATAAGAAATTTAAGATATTAGATTAAAAGAGTTATAAGAGAAAGATTTAAGAAGATCATAAAAATTTGAAGAAGAGAGATTAAAAAGGATAGAGAGAGCAGAATAAGAAAGATTAGAATAAGAAGCTAAATTAGAATAGGTTCGAAGATTAAATGAAGAATAATTAAATAAAAAAAGATTAGATTATGAAGAAAAACAAAAATTTGTTGAATAATAAAGATAATATTTTGAAACATAATAGTAAGAATATAAAAAATAGAAAGAAAAAGAAGGAGAAATTAAATAAGAAGAAATAAACAAGATTTTAAAATAAAATGAAGAATAGATGAGAAAAAAAATATAAGATTATGAAAAAAAACAACAGGAATTATAATTAAAAAAGAAAAAATAAGAAGAGGAATAAAAATCATTATAATTGGAAAAATAGAAATTATTCTAAGAGAAAGAAAGAAAGATTCATGAAGTTTTAATTAGAAATGAATAATAAGCTGAATAACATAAAAATGAATTATTAAAAAAATTAGATTAAGCTAAAGTTAAATGTGAAAGAATTGAAAAAGAGAAATAAGAGGAATTAACAAGAAAATTAGCAATAGCCTTTATTAAAGATTTAGATAAATAAGATAATTTACAAAGACGTGAATAATTAGATGAACTTAGAAAAGAATAACTTGAATAAAGAATTAAGCAAGATTTGATTAAAAGTTAATAAATTTAAGTAGAAAAAGAACATTTAATTAAAATGAGTGAATAATTAAGAAAAGAGGCAGAAGAAAAGAGACAATAATAACTCTTAGAAATTGAAAAAGAAAAAAAGAAGAAACATTCAATGAATTCTCATCGAATCATAACAGATATGAGTAAATCTAAATTATCAAATCGTGCAGGTTAAGAATGAATATTAAATATTAAATACAAGTTCATATCTTTTTTTAACTTTATTAAATAAGGATTATACTTTTAAAATTGTATCCTTTTTTTATATTTATTAATTGATCTTAATTTGTTTATTTTAACATCATATTAATTAATTAAAAAAGCTCTTTTCATTCTTGCTTAAATTTAGAGGTTATTTGTAATATAATATTAAAAAAAAATGATATAAAATTTAGATAAATCTATTGAAAAATAAGATATAAATGATATTCTTAATGGAAGGCTTTTAATTTAGTGAATCTACCAAAAATGTAGATAAAGGATAAGATTACTATAAAAACTAAAATAAAATAAAACAAATGGAAATATACTATGAGTTCTCAAATATGAAGGTTTGGACAAGATTCAAGATTGCTGTTGTTTTATAGGCAATATTAAAAAATTCTTAAAAAAATTAATGAATCGTTAAACTAGTTAGCTCTCTCTTAATTCCTCGACTTAATTATTCTATTCACAATATTTAAAGCAGCAACAAGTAAGTCCAATTGCTGAAAGATTTAGTGGAGATGAAGTTTCTGAGCTTAGAAAGAAAGTTGATTAACTTACAAAATAATTAGAGTTCAAAGAGAAAATGATAAGTGAAATGAGGGCTCATTAAAAACAATTAATGAATCGTTTACCTGAACAGAAACAATTTTAATAAGATAATTTTACAGAGAGATTAAAAGAATTTGAATAAAAAATGAAAGAGAAGGAGATCTAATTTCAAAATTAATTGATTGAAAGTAGTTTGCTGAATAAAGAAAATTAAAGTCTAAAAGAAGAGATAATACGTTTAGAAAGTTGCATCAAAGATCCTTCAATACCTAAGTTCATAAATTCAATAGTTGATCTAGTAATTCAATGTCATCCAATAAATCATTTTCCAAGCTAGAAACCTGATTTAAAATAATGCTGGAGATGGCTGAAAAAGATTCTTAATGATTACATATAACTAAAATAGCAAAAGCATTGATTATTTTATTAATATTATGAATAAAGATGGACTTGAAACTAAATTGAATTTTCTTTAATAGGAAGTAAGATAACTTCAGGAAGAAAATAAAGAACTTAGATAATTACTCTAATTAAACAAAGAAGTGATAAAAATTCAAAAAGAATGTACATTTAATTCTGTACTTTTTTGAAACTATATTATAAGCAACCAAGTACAAATAATAGTAGAAAAGATGATATCTATATAAAATAATGTGAAAATAATTCTGAAAGAGGATTCTAATCATTATTTTCTTAATTATATGAAGAAAATAATTAATTATATGCTCTTAATGAAGTAATTGCAAAATAAAGAGATGAAGCAAGAAGCTAAGTATTTATTGTAATTTATTAAAGGCTTTAATCTTTGAATAAATTTGTGAAGATTCAAATCAACGTAATATGGAACTATAATTGGAGAGACAGAATCAATTAATAGATTTATAAAGAAGATTAAATGAGAAAGATCAACAATTGATTACATTGACTGAGAAATTGTTTGACTTTTAGAGCAAAAAGAAGATTAAATAAAAGATAGTATTGAAATCTAAATATTAGTTTAAAGATGGTCTCCCCAACTGAAGATGTATTTGCAGTATTGAATTAAATAGAATAGATGAGAATGTTGATAGGCTAATTAATTAAAGAAAATAAGTAATTAAAAGATGAGAAGAATAAGATACAAATTCTGATTGATGTTCTACAAAAATAAGCATAAAGAAATAAATCAGATTATACACCTCCAATACTATCTCCAGATAGAAGTAATGATGAAAGTCCTAAAAATCAATATAACATTAAAGATAATAAATAAGTATCAGGTGCAAAAGTTGATGATTCAAGTTATGTCGAAATATTGCCAGCTAAAGTCAATGTGTAATTTTAAAAAAATTCTAATATGTTTGTACCAAAACTTGATTTAGCAAAGGCATAAAAATTACAATAATTAAACATATAAAAGTAAGAGGAAATTGAAGAAAAAGAGGAGATAGAAGTTAAAGCATTTAAACTTTAACAGTAAGTAAAAAACAATTAGCAAAAAGCTTAAACTCCATCAGCTGGCAATGCTTTAAACATGTTTGCTAGTCCAAATAAATTATGTGTCTAATTGAATTAATTAAGCGACTAAAATAAAGCATTATAAAAAGAACTTGCTTAATGTAGATAGAAATTATAAGATGAAATTCTACTTTCCAAAACTTTGGAAGATTAAGTAAGTGAATTAGAAAGAAGAATTATTGATTTAGAAAGTGTTAATGAAATCTTAATTAATTCTCAAACTAAATATGAACAAAAATGGTAAAAGATACACTTATAATACATTACTTATAAAGAATATTTTGAAGCCAATGATTAAGTATATGAAAGTTCAAGAGAAAATAGACAAACTTTATAAACTATGATGAGTATACCTATGTCAGCAAAGCATCGAAAATCAAATATATCTCAAAATTTAAGAGAGATTGCTTATTCTCTATACAATAAATGTAAGATTGAGGAAAGACTCAAAAATATAGAATTTAAAAATGTATCAAATAAGAAAAGATCATCATCACTTTGATATTTTTCAAATTATTATAATTATGAGAAAAAACTAAACCACAATAAAAACCAGACCTACAAGAGCCATCTCTTAAGTAGTTATACAATCATTCTTTTAGGCCAAAGATCCAAAAGAATCTTAATTTCCCATCATTGAATAAAAACCAACTAAACCATCTTCTGTCATGAGAAGTTCAAAAAAATCATTAGACTTTAATCGTCTAATTAAAAATCCAAAATTAAATGATAGTAAGCTAGAAGAGGCTTTAGAAGCAGATTTGGGTTTCAAAAGAATGGAAATTAAGGAGGCCAAACTTTAAAAGAGTTCCCCTTAAAAACCAAATTTACAATTAGCATCAGAAACATCTTAAGCAGAAGGTGAATAAAGAGCTTCTACTCCACCTAGAAAAAATCGAAAAGAAGGACTAGAGTTTAATGTCAGATCTGAATGTAATAAGATAATTTATAATAAGCTTTCGCAACATTGGAACCTATGCATCATGCTGAAGAAACTTTAGCAGAAAATCTAAGAATTTTCATTAAAATATATGATATCATGAATTAGCTTTTAAATTCAATGAAAAAAGTAAGAGTTTGAAACTAATAAAGTAAGAATACTACTCTAGAACTAATAAATTAAATCAATTAATACATGGAATTGACTGAAAATAATGAATTTCAATATTTAGAAGAATTGTTTCAAGAACATGTCAAGCAGATTAGATAAATATTTTTAATTTTAAGAGTTGGAGTAATTCTATTTATATTTTAGATTGTTGTTTTAGTGAATTGTTTTTTTGATCTCCATTTCTATTTAAGTAGTATTAGTAATATTAAGAATATATTACTTTACAATATCTAAAATTTAAGTCATCTCTCTGATATTTTATTAGAAAAACTAAAAGAGAAACCTGAATACCCTCTATATTTATAGTTGTATTCTTAATTATAATTCAATATAAATAAGAAAAACAATATTTCTAAAAAACATGAATATTGGACTTACATCAAATAGAACATAGAATTATTACAAAATCTTTATAAATCCTTAACCAAAAGTTAGAGGGATCTATATTAATTTTTAATTATATTCCTAAGAAGTCTTTAAAATTATACAATAAAGGAATCATTACGAAATCTATAAGAATTTATTTCATTTTACTTCACAATCTAATAAAGTTACTAGGGATTATTAGGAATACCATTAATTTGTGTAGCTCCCTCACCTTATCTACCTTATACAAATCCAAAAACATATACTTTGGTTTTAGATATGGATGAAACCTTAATACATTTTACTGATTAGACAGGACACTTCTTAATTCGTCCTTTTACTCATCAATTCTTACAAGAGATGAGTTAATTTTATGAATTAGTAGTATTTACTGCTGGTTTACCTGATTATGCTAATTGGGTTTTAGATCAGGTTGATAAAAACAAAAATATAACATATCGATTATTTAGATAACATGCTTTGCAATATTCAAATTAATTTATTAAAGATCTCTCAAGATTAGGAAGAGATCTTTCAAAATGTATAATTGTTGATAATGTTCCTGACAATTTTCAAAATTAACCAGAAAATGGAATATTTATAAAAACATGGTACAGTGATTAAAATGATACTGCTTTAGCTGAATTAGGTCCTATATTGAAATCAATTGTTATGAAAAAAGCAGAAGATGTACGTTTAGCGTTAAAGGAAGTAAGAAAAATGTTGACTTAAAGTATTTAACTACCTCCATTATAGGGGTGATATATTTGTAAATACAATTTTGATTTATATTTATAATTTTATTTAACAGACACATGCAATAATCAGATTAAGTGGAAGTAGAATATCGAATTGAAATGCTAACAAGTGAATTAGAGAGATCTTCTTAGACTTTATAATAGAAGAGCATAGAATGTGAAGAATGGAGACTAAAGAGTTTAGGATTAGAATAGAAGATAAAAGAATTACAAGCTCATATTGGATCTTAAAATCAATAATTTGAAGATCTAACAGAAAATTTAAAATAAAAAGCAATTGAAGTAGAAGATTTGAGAAGTAAATACAATAGAGTTCAATTTATAACAATAAAGGGATATGAAGAAAAAATGGAATAATTGGTAGGTGAAATAGAAAAATTGAATTAACTTTTAATGTAGAAAGCATAGGATTGTGAAAGTAGTAGATAATAAGTGATGACTAAGATTTAAGAATTATAAGAGGAAAGATAGAAATGTTTTCATTTGGATAGTTTTATTAAATAGATAAAATCTGAAAAGTTGGAAGCACTTCACTTTTTAAATGAAAAGAATAAAGAATTAGAAGAATTGAAGGAACGTTTTAGAGAAGCAGATCAATATCGATAAAAGAGTGAAATTTTAGAAAGTGATATTGAAACTATTAGAGTTAATTATATGAACATATTTAATTAAAAATTAGAAGAAATTGATGCATTATAGGCTCAAATTGATACATAACGATTAATTAATGAAAATACAATTAGGATTGCAGAAGAAAAATATGCTTAACAAATTTAAGTGGAAAGATTAAATATATAGAGATAAATAAAAGAATCTGTAGCTACATCAATTGTATAGATGGAGAATTAAGTGGCTACTCTTAATAATCTATTAGAAGCTAAATAAAATGAAATAGATAAATTGAAATTATAAAGACATAATATAGAAACAGAGAAAATGAATTCAATGCTTATTGATAAGAATATTAAGTTGTAAGATTAATAGATTAAATTACAATAATTAGAAAGATAACTCTACGAGAAGGCAAATACATTGGATTAATTAACATAATAAATTTAAAATGGTTAATTGATTCCAGCAACTTCTTAGAGTTTATTAGAGAGATCATATAAATAATTATAAGATGATATGCATAAATAAAATATAGAATTAACTATGTTATAGTAAAGATGTTTGGAATTATAAGAAGATGTGTAAAAAAAGGCAAATATGAAAGCTAGTTATGAGGGCTAGATTAATACTTTATTGATTGAAATAGCTAATTTGAAGAGGGATGTATATAATAAATCAAGAATTAATTCTTAACATAGTGATAATTAGAGATTGATTTAAATTGAAAATGAGAAAAGAGTAATTAAATAAAAATATGAACAAGATTTAAAAATAGCAGAAGATAAAATTAGATATTTGTTAAGTATTGTTGATTAGAGAGTCTTAGAGTAACAATTATAGTACAGAGGAAATCTAAATCCAAATCCTGTATTATAGTAAATCATAGAAGAAAGTTCAAGTAGAATTGCTTAGAGTAACATTTACTATCATGAAGATTCAGATGTCTTAAATGATGAAGTTCGTTGATTTAAATGTACTTTCATTATTATTTCACCTTCTTTTGTTAAGTTTTTTATACGATTTCTTGAGAAGCTTGTCTTTTATCTTCGCCCTTTTGGAATTTTTGCATCCAATTTGAACCTTATGGTTAAAAATCAGCTTCCTCTTAATATTATGTTTGAGATTAAATAAGTTTAGCTTTTCCTCTTTAAGGAGCCTTCACATCTCTATAGTTAACTCCTTCTTCTAATTAATGAATTCTTTTTTCTAAAAATGATTTATTAGTAATTCCAAATTCAGCATCTTATCCCTCTCCTATAATTATTGAAATTATTTATTAATACCTAAAGCATCATATCTAATACATAATGCTGTTTTTGCAGCTAATGTTCTTGATACTTTTCCTTTCAATTTAGCAGGAGCACTTCCTACTAAACTAGCTTAAAAGATCAAACCATATTTTGGTGTATTATGTTTAGTTCTGATAGCCTTAAATAATGCTTTTTCTGCTCCTAAAATTTAAACAGTAGAAGCTGGATATTTAGCCAAGTTTACAAGAGAACCTGCATGTGAAATCAATCGAGCACCAACTAATTCACCTACCATTGTAGTTAGATTAGGTGCAATAGCTTACATTCTATTTTTTAGATATTCAGACAATTAGAATCTATATTCAGTTAATTCAATAACTTAATCTGCAAGACATAGAATAAATTTTTCATCCTCTTATGTAATTTCTGTACCAAATGATACTTCTGCTGCTTATTTAACATCTGCTTCAAGATTCTCAGGTAAAATACCAGAGAGATCTGTAGAACTTGTCTTTATTCTCATTCCTATAGCTTTGACTACTTTTGCATATATTAAATTGTCTGTTATTATTTTGCCAAGTTCTGGAAAATGCCAACCAAACCATTCTCTCAATCTCATCATATAATTATTAATTTCTTTATCTAAATCATCAAGCAAAGCAATTGCTTGAATAATCATTGTATCTACTTTTTCAGTAGAGAACTTAAGTTTATATCTGGATAATCCATGTGCTAAACCCAAAGTCATATTTTTAAGTTCTGACTCATTAAGTCCTTCAATTAGATTAGTTAATTAGGATCTAATTCCTCTAAATAATTGTTCAGTCACAGGAGTTTAAATGCAATTTAATCCTAGTTATTCTTGGAGCTATTTGGCTAGTTTTTTGTCTTGGACTGTTGTTTAATAAATTCACTGTACCTGCTATTTAATCTTAAACTTCTTAAGAGATTACATTCTTCTCCAAAAATTTACTTAGCTTCTTTGGAATTTTTCCATTGATCAACTTACTGGTTGCCACTAGAGCTTCTTATGTATCCTTAAATTATTGAAAAGCAAAGGGTGTAATTCTTTAAAATATATCAATAGATTTGCTTACAATTTTTTAGCTTACTTTTCATTTTATAAGTAATCATATATATTGTCTATTTTATTAAGAGCTTTGATATTAGCTACTTGAAAGAGAGCGAATCCAGCTGGAGTCTCGATTAATATTAACATATTTAAATATTTATAAATCGGTGTCCATATATTAATTATTTATTATGGATAGTGACAATAATAAACGTTTCAATTTTGAACAACTTTCGTAAGGGTAGCTCAAAGGACGGCTTTATAAAAATATTAATCGTTATGATCCTAATGAACGAAAACTCACTTAACAGCTCTCGGTAATCTCCTTGCCTTCATTGGTGCCTAAGGTTTCTAAATAAAGATTAGAGCCCACAACCTAAACTCACTCAGCTTTAGGTGTAACCATATAAAATGGCAGAATTTTACTTGATCGATCAGGACATCAATCTACAAAAAGTAAATGATAATTTAATAACTAAAGACTTTAGAAGTGACATTCTAATACAAGATTAACTCAAGAAACCCAAGAATTTGTCACCTCTTGGTCATAGATTATTAAGTGATCATGGAATGAGCATTTTAGAGGATGTTTAAAACCCTAATTCAACCATTAATGATTCTATCATTGGATTGCTGTAACAACCTGAAAAAAAGAAAGACACCTAGATGATTAAGAAGGCACTTAGAAAACCTAAGAAGAAACAGTAATAATAATCCTACTTATCACCTATGGATTTTATTTATTTGATAAGAACTGATCCCGAAATGGCTGATGAGTTCTGTTATTTAAATAAAAGAGATCATGCCTATGATTATTAAATAGTTGAATTTGAAGATAGAAATCCAAAAGAATATATGACAATAAGTGCAAGAGGTATCACATATTTCCAAAATGATGAGATTACATTTTTAACAATAGAGGAGTGGCAAAGAGAAGCTAAATTATATTAAGATCTTTAAAAAATAGATTTTTTTAGAAAATATAAATTATGGAAGAATTTCTTTTTATGGAAGAGATTAATGAGGAAAAACATTCTTGCAAAAAATCAAGATTTAATGATTTCTAATATGTTTTCAACTGACAAATAATTAAGAATCACATTATTAGAAGTTCGTAGGATATGTTAATAAATGGCTTAAGATATAAGATTTTTAGATACTTCAACTACAGTTCCATAAACCCATGAAAATTTTAAATAATTGTAAGATAAACATTTAATGTCTATAATGGATATTAAATTTGATTCATATGAATAATAGATTAAATAAATAATTGTGGAATGTTGTTAGAAATCTTTAGTCAATTTTAAAGAAATTCATCGTATTCCACTTCATGAAGATGATAATGAAGAGAGAGCTCCATTATTAGTTGGAGATGAATCAGGAAAAGATATGCCATACACAACCGAGGCTACTATAAGAACTCATTATAAAAGATTAAGAAAATTTGTGAAATATGTTGATTACATCATAATAGATGCTAAATTATAGATGATGTAGAATTCAGTTGAACACATTGTTAAATAGATTCGTGAATTTAATGAATAATATAAGGAGAGTTCAGGAGTAAAAAGAAAAGGATATTATGGTAAAGGTTAACCATAATGTTGGATAATTATTGAGGCAATTGGTAAATAGGAAGAAATAGTTTTTAATCCTGTGAGAGAATAATTATTTAGAATATTTGAAAGTGTTGTTACTAATAGTGTTATTCGTATAACTACAAGACATAGAGAAATGTTGTCTATGCCAGAATTATAGCATTATATTTAAGATGAAAGCAATTAATAATCAGAAAAAGTAGATGTTAAAGCAATAATAAATGGAAGTGAGAATTTCTAAATTTTATGTGGTTAAATGAGAAAAGAATTGGAAATTGCATTTGATTATTTAGAATCATATGCTGAAAAATTAAAACCATTTATGAAATGGTATGTTGATAATACAGGAGTCAATATTGAAAAATAGTTTGCTGATAAAGAAGTAGAAGAATACAGAAATGCCATTAATTTATATAAGGAATAAGATCAACAATTTTAAGATATAGAACCTACTCAAGAGATTGGAATGATAATGTTTGATAATCAAAAATTAAAGGCCAAGATTAAATCCAGTGCTATGAATTGCATTTAAGAATTATAAAAATTTATACCTGAATATATGTACAAGAAAGCAGTACTTTTTACATAAAAAACAGCTTAATTATATTCAACCATAGCTATATCACCAATAACAGTAGAATAATTTGTTAATTATATGGAGGCTGTGAATGTAATTAATAACTAATTTGAAGATTTAAGTAATGTCTCATAAGAAGTAACAGCTATGGCATTACTTATGGATGAATTACGTATTAAAATTCAAGATAAACACAAATAAAAATTTGCAGAATGTAATCAATAAGTTAGTTAACTTCGTAAAAAAGTTGATGATGCCATGGCTAATTATGATTAAAACTTAAATAAATTTAGAAAAGATATGGAAAGAATGATTCCATAAGTAGATAACACAGTTAAAGACTTAAATGAAAGAATTTCAGAATAACCATTGAGTTCTTTAGCAGCAGATTTGGGTGATATGGTAACATTTGTTAAAGGAGTAAGAAAACAAGTAGATGAATTAAAAATTCATGCAAAAAAATTGAATGATTATTAAATAGCATTGAATATGGAATATACACCATTTGAGAAATTGGAAGCATTTAATAATGAATTTACTTTATTAGAGAGATTGTGGTGTGGAAGAAATGAATGGATTTCAAATTATTCAATCTGGTTAAAATAACATTATACAGATATAAATTTAGATGATATGAACAATCTAATGGAAAAATTATAAAAGGCAGCTAATTTATGTGCCAAAGAATTAGATAAAAATGAAGTAGCTAGAGTATTTAAATCAGATATTGAAGGTTTCAGAGGTGTCTATTAAGTTTTATAAGCATTAAAAGATCCTGCTATATCAGAGAAATAATGGAATCAAATAAGAGCATTAATACTTGAAAATTAATAGCTATTTAAAGAACCTATCTTAGAACCATTTACACCAATAAATGATCCTAAATATAATGTTTCATGGATTACATAAGCTGGATTAGATTAAGTCAAAGACAAGCTTAGTGAAATTGCATTAAGAGCAGCAAAAGAAATAGAATTAGTTAAAATGTTAGAATAGGTTGAATCTATTTGGAGATCAGCAGTTATTACAGTTTAACCATATAGAGAATCAAAAGATGTTTTTATTCTAGGAAATAATGAAGATTTGATATCTAAAATTGATGATACATTATTGACTGTTAATAATATTTTAGCATCAAGATTTGTAGAAGGTATTAGACCTGAAGTAGAAAGATAATAATCATTATTAAGATATTTCTAGGAATTATTTGATGAATGGATGTTACATCAAAGAAATTGGTTATATTTGGAACCTATTTTGAATTCACCATATAGTGCTAAGAATTTAGCAAAGGAATCCAAAATATTTTAATAAGCTGATACTCAATGGAAAAAAATTATGAGAAATGCTAGAGATAGTAGTATTGCTAGGAAATGGGCAGATGATTATTAAAATAGATTATATTTTAATTAACTAAGATAAAATAATAATAATTTTGATGTTATTTAAAAAGCTTTGGATGAATTTTTAGAAAAGAAAAGAGATGTTTTTTAAAGATTTTACTTTTTATCAAATGATGAACTTTTAGAAATATTATCAAATGCAAAAAATATTTAGGCTATTCAACCATATTTAAGAAAGTGTTTTGAAAACTTAGTAAAAATTCAGTTTGATTCATAAGAAAATGCTATTGGAATGATATCTGCTGAAGGAGAAATTGCTGTACTTAAGGGATATTCAGCAAGAGGGGAAGTGGAAGATTGGTTAAAAGCTTTAGAGGATAAAATGAAATCATCATTAAGTGGTGTCATGAGATAATCTTTAATTAAATATTAATTAGAAGATACATAGAGAAAAGATTGGGTATTTGAATTTCCATTATAAATTATTATTACTATTGACTCTATATTTTGGACTAAAATAACAGAAGAAAATTATTTATAAGCAGATGCAGAAGGTGATTTGGATGATTGGTATGATGCTAATGTATCAATGCTTGATGAATTGACATTATTAATTAGAGGAAATCTTACTGAATTATAAAGAAGAACTCTTGTGGCATTGGTTACTTAAGATGTTCATTTCAGAGATATTGTAGATAATATGAGAAATGAATCTGTAGAAGGTATAATGGATTTCAAATGGCAATAATAATTGAGATTTTATCATGATGAAGAAAGTGTGCATGCAAAATAAGTTAATGCAAAATTAATGTATGGTTATGAGTTTTTGGGATCAACTACAAGATTAGTTATTACTCCTTTAACTGATAGATGTTGGATGACTATAACAGGAGCTTTGGGTATCAAATTAGGAGCAGCACCATAAGGTCCAGCTGGTACTGGAAAAACAGAATCATGTAAAGATTTAGCTAAAGCTTTGGGAAGATATTGTATAGTATTTAATTGTTCAGATTAAATTACAGCTAAAATGATGGAAAAACTATTTGCAGGATTGGCATATTGTGGAGCCTGGGTTTGTTTAGATGAATTTAACAGAATCTATATTGAAGTATTATCAGTCATAGCACAATAAGTATAAACTATAAGAGAAGCTTTGTTGGAATATAAAATGAATTTTTATTTCTTTGGTAAAAATGTATAATTAAATCCTGATTTGGGTATATTTATTACAATGAATCCTGGTTATGCTGGTAGAACAGAATTACCTGATAATTTGAAAGTACTTTTTAGACCAGTAGCTATGATGGTTCCAGATTATAGATTGATTGCTGAAATTATGTTGTATGCTGAAGGATTTTCAAATGCCAAAGATTTATCAAGAAAAATGGTTAAATTGTATCAATTAAGTTCAGAGTAATTAAGTCAGCAAGATCATTATGATTTTGGTATGAGAGCAGTCAAATCTGTTTTAGTAATGGCTGGATCATTAAAAAGAGCAGAACCAAACATAAATGAAGATATTGTCTTGATTAGAGCTATGAGGGAGAGTAATTTACCAAAATTCTTGTCTCATGATATTCCTTTATTTAATGCAATAGTGAGTGATCTATTTCCAGGTATGTAAATTCCAACAGTACAGAACAAAGAATTAGAAACAGCAATAAAAAATGTTATAGATCTTAATAAATTATAATAATAAGATACTTTTATAGAAAAAGTGATTTAGTTCCATGAAACATTGAAAGTAAGATTTGGAGTAATGTTGGTAGGAGTGACTATGGGTGGTAAATCTTAAGTATAAAATATACTTAGGGAATCATATATTAAATTATTTGAACAATATTCTTTGAAAGGAATTAAGAATCATCCAATTTATTAGATGGTTGAACATTAAATTTTGAATCCAAAAGCAATATCTATGGAAGAATTATATGGACAATTTGATATGATGACTTAATAATGGACTGATGGTTTAGCATCTAATATAATGAGAGGATATGCATCATCAGAGACTTTAGAAAAGAAATGGGTTGTGTTTGATGGGCCAGTGGATGCTTTATGGATTGAAAATATGAACACAGTGTTGGATGATTCAATGACTTTATGTTTAAGTAATGGTGAACGTATTAAATTAAAGACTTAAATGAGAATGATCTTTGAAGTTTTAGATTTGGCAGTGGCATCACCTGCAACAGTAAGTAGATGTGGTATGGTGTATTTGGATGATAAAGTGTTAGGTTATGAACCTATAGTTATAACAGAAGCTATGACTCTTATTGATATTTTGAGTAGAGATATTATAGATCATTTATTGATTTAAATAAAAGTGTCATTTAATAAATCAATTACTTAGATTATTAAATCATGTAAGTAATTAATACCAGTACATGAAACTTAAATGGCTGTTGGATTAATTAAAATATTGAGGATGGTCATTTAATTCTATAATTAATAATTGAGTTGCAATTTAAGAGATGAAATATCAAAAAAACACATTGAAAAAATATTTGTTTGGGTATTTGCTTGGTCTGTTGGTGCAACTCTTATTTCAGATGATTATTCAAAATTTGAAAGAATTGTAGCTGATACTTTTCCAGTTGAGGTTCTGCCTAGGGGATCTCTATTTGCTTGTTTAGTTAGAATAACAAAAACTGATGGATTGGTAGATATAAATTATACACAATGGAATGATATCATTCCTCAATTTGATTATGTTAAAGGAATGAGTTATTTTGATATGGTTGTTTAGACAAAAGAAACAGTTGCTCATGGATGGTTTTTGGAATAAGCAGTAAATACAAATTGTCCTATGTTTATCACTGGAGTTACAGGAACTGGTAAAACTATTATGGTTAATTCTACTGTTGAAAAATTAAGAGACGATGGTCTTATAGCTTTGATGTAGATTACATTCTCAGCTAAAACAGCAAGTTTTACAACATAATTAAGTATTGAATAAAAATTATAAACATAACGTAAAAAAGGAAGAACTATTTTGATGCCTCCTCCTGGAAAGAAGTTTGTAGTATTTGTTGATGATGTCAATATGCCTGCCTTAGAATAATATGGTGCATAACCACCAATTGAATTATTAAGATAATTTATAGATTATCGAGGTGTTTATGATAGAAAAAGTTTTAATTGGAAGGATGTTGATAATACTATTCTAATTTGTGCTTGTGGTCCACCAGGTGGAGGAAGGTCTCCAATCACAGTTAGATTTACACGCCATTTCGCTTTGTTAAGTGTGCCTAATTCGAGTGATGAAACATTATCTTGGATTTTTAGCACTATTTTGAAGGCATTCTTAAAAAATAATCATTTCAAGAGTGAAATTGTGGATTTGAGTGAAAACTATTCAATTGTTAATGCAACTCTTCAAATGTACTCTGAAATCTAAAAAGCCTTATTGCCTACTCCAGAAAAATCTCATTATGTCTTCAATCTTAGAGATGTTAGCAAGATTTTCTAAGGCATTTTATAAGCAAAACCTATGATTTATTAGAAATCTGAATAAATTGTTAGATTATGGGCACATGAAACATGTAGAGTTTTAATGGATAGATTAATCAATTCATAAGATTAAGATTGGTTTAAAGAGAACTTAGTTAAAAATATATTCTTATTTTTTAAGATTGAATATAAGGTTGATGAATTATTTGATTCATAACCACCTCTTATTTTTGCAGATTTTTAGAAAAGAGCTGAGTTATCTGATAGAATCTATGAGGAAGTAAGAGATTATAATCAACTTATAAAAGTGATTAATGAATACATGATGGAATATACTAAAATGAATTTAGTATTATTCAAAGATGCTATTGAACATTTGACTAGGATTAGTAGAGTGTTAAGATAATAAAGAGGACATTATATGTTAGTTGGAGTTGGAGGTTCTGGTAAGAAATCATTGACACAACTAGGAGCTGTTTTGGCTGGTTGCAAAATAGATACAATTGAGAGTAAGAAAAATTATGGTAAGAAAGAATTTAAGGAAGATTTATTTAGAATGATGTGTGCAGTAGGAATTGATAATAGATTGGTAGCATTCTCTTTTTCAGATACATAAATATTATAAGAAGGTTTTCTTGAAGATGTTAACAATCTTCTTAATTCAGGTGAAGTACCTAATATGTTGACTAAAGATGATTTAGAAATTATTAATTAAGGATTATAAGCAGAAGCAAGAGAATTAAAAATTAATGATATATATCCATACTTTGTCTAAAAAATTAGATCAAATTTACATATTGTTTTAGGATTATCACCAATAGGTGGATAATTAAGAGTAAGATTAAGAATGTTTCCAAGTTTAGTTAATTGTTGTACAATAGAATGGTTACACAAATGGCCATAAGAAGCATTGATGAGTGTGGCAGAAATGTTTTTAGAAACTTTAGAATTTGATGGTCTAACTAAAGATATGAGATAAAATCTTTATTAAATGTGTGTTCATGTTCACTAAAGTGTTGAAAGAAAATGTGATGAATTTTATGCTGCTCTTAAAAGAAATGTTTATGTCACTCCAAAATCATATCTTGATTTAATAGAATCTTATAAGACATTATTGATGATGAAAAAAGAAGAATTATAATCAAATAAGTTGAAATTAGCTTCAGGATTACATAAATTACATGAAGCTAATAGTATCATTAGTGATTTAAAAGTTAAATTAACTGAAATGCAACCAATTTTAAAATAAAAAACTATAGATTAAGAATAATTACTCTAAAAATTATAAATTGATTCTTCTGAAGCTAATAGAGTAAAACAGTTAGTTTCAGAAGAAGAAAGATAAGTTAATGAATAGGCATCAAGAATTAAGGAAACTAAAGCTGAAGCTGATAAAATACTTAATGAAGCTATTCCTACTTTGAATGCTGCCACAGAAGCACTTAATACTCTTAATAGAAATGATATTTCTGAAATTAAAAGTAATAACAACCCATAACCAATTGTACGTTTTACTTTAGAATGTGTTGCTATTTTATTTGAAGAAAAATTGGATTGGGATTCTATTAAAAAACTATTGGCTGATCCTAATTTCTTAGCAAAAATGAAAGGATTAGACGTAGGTAAAATAAAATAAGTAACTTAAAATAAAATTAAGGCTAAAATAGCTAGTAATCCTGAATTCATACCAAATTTAGTTTAAAAAGTAAGTGTTGCTGCAAAGTCTATTTGTGAATGGGTTAGAGCTGTGAGTGAATTTACTGATGTAAATAATGATGTAGAGAAAAAGAAAAGTCAAGTAGAAGCTATGAATTAATAATTAGAGAAAGCTAATAAAATATTATTATAAAAACAATCTGAATTAGCTTAAGTAGTTAAAAAAGTAACAGAATTAGAAATACAATTCAATTAAAATAAATAAGAAAAAGATCGTCTTGATTAAGATATTTAAACAACAGAATAAAGATTAATAAGAGCTGAAGAACTTACAGTTGGATTAGCAGATGAGTAAGAAAGATGGAAAATTAAAGTTGAAAGTTTAACTGAAGAAATATAACTACTCTTGGGTAATGTATTCTTGGGAGGTTCAACAGTAGCTTATTTGGGTCCATTTACTGGAACCTTTAGAAATTAATTAATACAAAATTGGATGGAAAAAGCAACAGAATTAACTATTCCTTTGAGTGAGAAATATAATTTTGAATCAGTCTTAGGAGATGCTCTTGAAATTTAATAATGGGCAGCAAATGGATTACCTAATGATACAGTTTCAAAGTCAAATGGTATCATTCAAAAATACAGTAGATCTTATCCTATGTTTATTGNGATTAAGAATAATTACTCTAAAAATTATAAATTGATTCTTCTGAAGCTAATAGAGTAAAACAGTTAGTTTCAGAAGAAGAAAGATAAGTTAATGAATAGGCATCAAGAATTAAGGAAACTAAAGCTGAAGCTGATAAAATACTTAATGAAGCTATTCCTACTTTGAATGCTGCCACAGAAGCACTTAATACTCTTAATAGAAATGATATTTCTGAAATTAAAAGTAATAACAACCCATAACCAATTGTACGTTTTACTTTAGAATGTGTTGCTATTTTATTTGAAGAAAAATTGGATTGGGATTCTATTAAAAAACTATTGGCTGATCCTAATTTCTTAGCAAAAATGAAAGGATTAGACGTAGGTAAAATAAAATAAGTAACTTAAAATAAAATTAAAGCTAAAATAGCTAGTAATCCTGAATTCATACCAAATTTAGTTTAAAAAGTAAGTGTTGCTGCAAAGTCTATTTGTGAATGGGTTAGAGCTGTGAGTGAATTTACTGATGTAAATAATGATGTAGAGAAAAAGAAAAGTCAAGTAGAAGCTATGAATTAATAATTAGAGAAAGCTAATAAAATTTTATTATAAAAACAATCTGAATTAGCTTAAGTAGTTAAAAAAGTAACAGAATTAGAAATACAATTCAATTAAAATAAATAAGAAAAAGATCGTCTTGATTAAGATATTTAAACAACAGAATAAAGATTAATAAGAGCTGAAGAACTTACAGTTGGATTAGCAGATGAGTAAGAAAGATGGAAAATTAAAGTTGAAAGTTTAACTGAAGAAATATAACTACTCTTGGGTAATGTATTCTTGGGAGGTTCAACAGTAGCTTATTTGGGTCCATTTACCGGAACCTTTAGAAATTAATTAATACAAAATTGGATGGAAAAAGCTACAGAATTAACTATTCCTTTGAGTGAGAAATATAATTTTGAATCAGTCTTAGGAGATGCTCTTGAAATTTAATAATGGGCAGCAAATGGATTACCTAATGATACAGTTTCAAAGTCAAATGGTATCATTCAAAAATACAGTAGATCTTATCCTATGTTTATTGATCCACAATTATAAGCTAATACTTGGATCAAGAATAGTTATAGAGAGCATAATTTGAAAGTTTTAAAGATTACATAAGAAGGACTTATTAAACATATAGAAAATGCAGTTTAAACAGGAATTCCTTTGCTTTTAGAAGATGTTTAAGAATAATTGGATAACTTTTTAGAACCATTATTATTGAAATAATTTAATATAATAAATAGAAGAAAAATGATAAAGATAGGGGATAGAGAAGTTGAATTTGATCCTAATTTCAAATTATTCTTTAGTACAAAATTGGCAAATCCATAATTTTTACCAGAGATATTTATTAGAGTAACAGTGATTAATTTTACAGTCACAGAATAAGGTTTAGAAGAATAATTACTTGGAGATGTTGTATAGATTGAAAAACCTGAGATGGAAGAAGAGAAAAAAGACTTGATTAAGAGAATTTCTACTGGAAACATGAATTTAAGAAAGAATGAAGAGAAGATTTTAAATCTATTAGCAAATTCTAAAGGAATGATTTTAGATAATGTTGATTTAATTGAAAATTTAAAGATATCAAAATAAGATGCAATATAAGTTAAAGAAAGTTTAGTAAATCAAGAATAGAAATCTGCTGAAATTGAAGCTGCAAGATAATAATATTTGCCAGTGGCTACTAGAGGTAGTTTGCTTTATTTTGTTATTGCAGATTTCACTTTGGTAGATCCAATGTATTAGTTTTCATTAAATTATTTCAAGAGACTTTATTAAAATGTAATTAGAAATTCAGAAAAGAATGAAGATATAAAAATAAGAATTTCTACATTAATAGATGGCATAACTGAAGCAATCTACTCAAATGTTTGTAGAGGTCTATTTAATTAACATAAGAGAATCTTTTCATTTCTAATGACTGTTAAAATATAACTAAATGCAAAACAAATCTCTTTTGGAGAATGGAATCTTTTTATAAGAGGTGCAAGTCTATCAATTTAACCACCAGCTATGCCTAATACTGTTAAATTAACTCCTAAAATCTGGAATGAATTGTATCAATTAACAACAGTCCATTAAAATTTTATACAAATTTACAACTAAACATTAACTAACTTCAAAGAGACTGAGTAATTAATACAATCTGATAATCCTTGGAGTTTATTAAATGAGTAATTGACTCCTTTCTAAAAATTAATGATTGTAAAAGTTTTAAGAGAAGAAGAATCTTTATATGCAATGACATATTATGTGGATGCAATCTTAGGAAAGAAATACACTTCTAATAATTAAGCATCAATTGAAGAAATTTTCAATGATACTGATCATAAAACTCCATTTATATTTATATTGAGTTAAGGTGCAGATCCATTATCTAGTTTAATAAGATTAGCTAATCAAAAGAAAATATCATCTGAAAAGCTTAGAATAATATCACTTGGTTAAGGACAAGGAATAATTGCTGAAAAAGCAATTGAAAGTGGAGTCAAGAGTGGTGATTGGGTAATACTATAAAATTGTCATCTTGGAAAATCATTCATGCCAACTCTTGAGAAAAAATTAGAATGGTTTGAGGATCCTGAATTATAATCATAATTTAACACTGGTTTTAGATTGATGTTGACAAGTATGCCATGTGATTACTTCCCTGTAAGTGTTCTCTAAAACAGTATTAAATTAACTACTGAACCTCCTAAAGGATTGAAATCTAATATGTTTAAGAGTTATACTGATTTATCTTCAGAATAAGTTGAAAATTGTGAAAAAAAAGAGCCATGGAAAAAATTACTCTTTTCTCTAGCATTTTTCCATGCCGTTGTTCAAGAACGTCGTAAATTTGGACCTTTAGGTTGGAACATTAGATATGAGTAAAATTTCATTTAAAATTAGATTTAATGATTCTGATCTTGAAACTTCATACACATTACTTAGGAATTTTCTTGATTAGCCTTAAGATATACCTTGGGATGCAATTGTCTATGTTGTCGGAGAAATTACATATGGTGGAAGAGTTACGGATGATTGGGATCGAAGATGTTTACTCACAATTTTATCCAAGTTTATAAAGTAAAATAATTATTTAATAATTTTAGTGAAGAGGCATTAAATGATGGATACTCTTTTTCAGATTCAGGTGTATATAAATAACCTGCAGAAATGAATATTGATGGATATAGAAATTTAATTAATAAATTCCCTGATTTTGAAAAACCTGAAGTTTTTGGAATGAATGAAAATGCCAATATTACTTTTAAATTAACTGAATCAAAAATGGCTTTGTCTACTATTTTAAGTATTCAACCAAGAGAAAGTGCTTAAGCAAGTGACTCAGATTAAAAAGCAAAAACACCAGATGAAAATGTTTTGGAACTTTGTGATATTCTTGCCTAGAAACTTCCATTTTAAATTAAAGAATAGGAAAAAAAGAAAAAATAAGCTGCTCCTTAACATAATTCATCTGAAATTGATTCACTAAAGGTTTGTTTAAATTAGGAAGTTCAAAGATTTAATAAATTATTATCAGTTATTGGAAATTCAATAAAAAATTTATAAGCAGCTATTAAAGGAGAAGTAGTAATGTCAGCTGAACTCGATAAAATGTACAGCTCCTTACTTAATAATTAAGTCCCTTAAATTTGGGCTAACAAAGCTTATCCTTCTTTAAAACCTTTAGCCTCATTTTATGATGATATGATAAAAAGAGTTAATTTCTTCAGAGATTGGTTTAATTTAGAATTTGGCTATCCAAAAGGCTATTGGATCTCAGCATTCTTCTTCCCATAAGGTTTCCTAACTTCAGTTCTCTAGACATTTGCCAGAAAAAATTAAATTGCTATAGATGTTCTTGGATTCAGTTTCAAATTCTTTAATTATGTAGATAGTGAAATGGTAATAAAGTTTAAACTATTTAGATTACATCAACTCCTGATAATGGAGCTTACATTTATGGTTTATACATAGAAGGATGTAAATTTGATATAAACAAAGGAATACTAGAAGATCAATTACCTGGCTAAACCATTTATTAGGCTCCTATAATACATTTTATACCTACTTAAGACTATAAACCTAATCCAAATGAATATTCAATGCCTCTTTATAAAACAAGTATCTATTCAAAATAAATCTTAAGGTCTTCGGGCAGGAGTGTTATCAACTACAGGACATTCTACTAATTTCATAAGAGCTATTGAGTGCCCTACAAAAAAGAATCCTGACTATTGGATTCTTAATGGAGCTGCCTTTACAACCCAACTAAATGATTGATAATTTAATATATAATATGTTCAAATTTTATCAACATTGAATTAAAATATATTTCATAAAATAATACTAGAAACTTAAAATTATTAATATTTATATACTTATAAGTTATAAAATCCCCTCTTAATTTAGTATTAACTAACAAATTATGATTATATTAAAATAAATCATAATAATAACAAAAACTAATTAAAATTAATTGTAATATTTTGCTTATAAAATCAGTTTTGATGTATTTTCCTGTTAATTCAATCAATAATTCATTATAAATTAATTATATTCATATAGTATTAGGCGATATGTTTAATATAATAGTTCTATACTTTTTGCTTAGATTAAATAATGTATATTGAAGCTATAAAATAGAAAGTATATTTTATAAAATTTACTATATAATAATGTTTACTGATCTAAATATCATGAGTTTCTTTAACTCTGTTGCTATTGTTAATATCAAGAATCCTTTAATGTTACCCTAGATCTTAGTAAATAATTTGAATAATATATTTGATGAAAAAGAAAATACATTAGAATTATTTTAGATGCCTTAGATTATTTTGATAAAATTTTATAATATATTAATATTCTCTAGCATATATATCATTACTTCTGTAATGTCTTGATAATCATTTTTTCCTCTAATTTAATCTTGATAATTCTCATCCTTTATATCTATATTATAAAAAATTAGAGTCTTTTTAGAATAATAAATAGAATTATCTAGTAAGTAAGATAAAATAATTAAGGCAAATTTATTATAAAGTTAAAGTTAGTTTATTTTGATTGATTATTGAAAATAAACTTTATATTTCAGACCTTTTGTTTAAATATATTGATTTAATATTTGCCAATGTAAAGAATGAATAATTAACTTTATTTAGTTTTAGTTTAAAGTAAACAAACTTCATAGTGAGCTTAGAATAATTATTATTGATATAAATATTGCAAGATTTTAATTATTATATTATTATGATATACGATCAACCAGAACACTTTGGTCTGTTCGAGAAAACAGTTACAGCAAAAGAAAAAGAAGAGGTCAAATAATTCTTGAAATACGATAGACATGTTCCTTTGAAATTGACTGAATAAGTGTTCCATGCAGAAGCGTATTTAATTAATTGTATACAATAGAGATGCATCAAGATTTGAAAGATTAGGATAAGTTGGAGGAGCTGTCTATTCATTCTCATTCTTCTTCTTTCCAATAATAAAAGGTTTACCAATCAAATAGAGACTATTTTGGGCTGCTGTCCCTGGAGGTATTGTTGCATGGTTAGGATGGAGAATCAAAGAAGAATTAGAATGGAATAGAGTTTATAATTGTTATTAGAAATATCAAGTTGCACATTCTATGCACAAGAAAGTGTTCATTTGAATAATATAACAGGCACAATATATAAATATATAAAACAAAAATATCCAATTCAATAATTAATTTATCATGTTTTTTGAGTTAGACGACATCAGACGAAGACATTCATTATATTTTGATTGTTATAATGCTGGTGTATGGACAGATGCTCCAGAAAAGTAAGTAGTCTTTTGAATAAATTAGTTCATTGAGATGGAATTATACTAGAGGAGCAATATCAGGATTATTGGGAAGTGTTGTAGGTGAAGCATGGCATAATTTTTATGAGAATTGGAAATTATTGTATTTAATATATATAAGTTTAAGGTTACGTAAGTATGAATAACCAAATACTGTCAAAGAATTGTATAATTTTAGTAAAGCAACAGTCAATCTTGAAAATTTCAAAAGATCAATGGGTACCAGAATGTAATTTGCTTTTGCTTCAGGTGGCATTGATTGGGCATTGAGATTAGCAGCATTTAGAGCAGTCAATCATGGATGGCAAAGTAATATATTAATATATTGAATATAGGAACTTGGGGTACATTTGAATATGGATTCTTAAGAAAAATCCCAGGTACTATGTTCATTTCTCTTCTTACTGCTCCAATTGGAATTCCTTTTGAAGTTGCTAGAATGGCTTATTATGCTGATAAAACATTCCCTAAAGAATTGTAAAAAGGATATACTTCATTTTTCAATGCTTTATGGAGAATTCCATTTGAAGAGGGACCATACTATTTTTATAAAAATTCATTCCCTCTTTTTGCTAGAAACTTCTTCTAAACATTAACTCTATTATACTCTTTTGATTGGATGAAGGACAAGGTAATGATTATTATATTTAGTACTTTAGTTATCTGTACTTACAAGAGTTGCAGAAATTCCATATTTCCCAGTTAAAGTTTTAAATTGTTTCTTATCTACATATTTGGCAATTTTGACAAGTTACTCCTTATCTTAAGTGACAAGAGAAATGGTAGAATTATGGCCAAAACCAAATGGTGTTTGTCCTTATGATGGTAATTATAGAAAAGCTGCTACTCATATTTGGTAATTGAAATTATTATTATGCTTATAGGTATGCCAGAAATCTCAATAATTATTTCCCAGGAATGTTAAGAAATTATGCTAGTAGATAATTCTTACCAATGTTTGTGACTCTTTGGTGGGCTGACTCTTTTGGATTGTTTACTTATTGGAAAATAGATATGTTTAGTGGAGCAGGATCAAATACATGGGAAGATTCATTTTGCTGAAATTATTAATCAATATTAAATTCAAAATACCATAATATATATTTTATACCATTCATTTTAAATATATATCGCATTCAATAATAGAATTTCATTTATTTTGAATATAAACAATATGTTAAAATTAAAAATATTTGATCAATATATATTGCTGACTAAAATATATATGATGCCAATAAATGTCATGTAATTTCTAAATCTCTAAATAATAATTATTTATCAAAAATATATAAATTAACTTAGAGAAGAGTGATATCTGTATATATATAAACATTTGTATATTTATAATTGTAAATAACCTTATTGAATCAATATTTAGAATAATGAAAATAATTAAAAGAAATAATATTATCAACAACACGAATTTTCAGAATCATTCCTATTATCAGAGCTTCCAATTTTAATTGCTGGTTTCTCTTCTCTTTTTTTTTATTATTATAATTTTTCTTTTTCATTTACCAAATCACCAATATGATTGAATAATTCCTAAAAAATATTAAAAATTCATACAAAAACACCAATATTCTGTTTACAACTTGTTTCAAAAACTTCTATTTTTGGATCAAATGAATTAGCATATTGTTTAACTTCCTCTAAAGGAACCTAAGATTCTAAATCAATTTTATTTGCTATAATGAACTTGGCTAAAATTTAATATGAAATCAAGAATACTAATATCATTCAATCCTTCTTCAAATAATTTGTCCAACCAAAATTTAAGTACTTCAAAAGATTTAGGTTTTGTTACATCATAAACAATAATAGCAAAACTAGCATCTAATTTATATATATCATTTAATACCCATATAATATAATTTGGCAATGCTTCTGTAAACTTCTTGACCTGCCGTATCCCAAATCTATAATTCTATTAATCTACCATCTCTTATAATTTATTTTGGAGAAAATTCAGCTCCCACTGTTTATGTTCTTGTATCAGTAAAATCATTTTTAGTGAATCTTTATATCAAGCTACTTTTGCCAACAGCATAATCACCTAAAGTGACAATCTTACATTATATAGGTTTTTGCATATTAATATATATTTTTATTTTTTATTTTATGTAATACTATCATTTTCAGAACTTGTCTAATGAGGATAAATCCTAAGGTAATTATAATAATTTGTCTGGATACTATTTAAGGATCTATTATAAAACCTAATTATAAATAAAAAAAATTACTTCATCATCTGTATGCTTTTTATTCTCTGAGGCCTCTTCTTCAAATCTAACAAAAGAAATTGCAACTCCATTAGTCTCTTATCTTCCAGCTCTTCCTACCTAATAATTTATATAAAAAAGTGTACTCTATGTAAATAAGTTTCTAAAGAATCAGGCATATCAAAATTGATAACATAATTAACCTTATCAATATCAATACCTCTTCCCATTAAATTGGTTGCCACCAACAATCGGAAATGTCCATTTCTAAATTATTCATAGGTTTTCTATCTCATTTTTTAATGATCTGGTCCCAATCTGTTTCCACCATAAAGTTATCTAACTGAATCTTCTCCTTTCTTTTTGAGTTCTGAAACTAATGCATCAGCCTTTTCTGAACTCTTAACAAAAATGATGCATTAATTTAATTTGCATGTATTTAATATTTATCTTAAATAATGGAATTTAAGAGCTTCAGGTACTTTCATGTAGTATTATTTCAATTTATCCAAAAATAGTTATTCTGGTTTGATTGTAATTTCATAAATCTTTTAATGCCATAATAATTTACATGTTTATTATCAGCTATAAATTTTTTGAGTGATGTTCTACTTGAATCAGTAAATGTTGCACTAAATGCCATAAATTATTTGTCTTGTGGTGTACGTAAGAAGATATCTTATATGTCCTTTCTAAAAATAATTATTTCCAAAAATCAGCACCTCATGTTCAAATCTTCAATCATAGTATCGGCTTCATCCAAAATAAAGTACTTCAATCTATCTACTTTCAATGCTTTCCTCTCACATATCAAATCCTTAAGACGTCCTGGTGTACTATAAATTAAATTACAAATTTACCCAACTACTATTTAAGGTTTGACTGTTTCAATAGTTTAAATATTTACAGTCACTGGTTCTCCTCCACCATAAAAACATTCTACTTTGATACTTTTCATAAATTTTCCCAATCTTAAAAATTCATCACGAGCCTTTAATATTTATAAATCACTTACTTATTGGGCTAACTCTCTTGTATGAGTAATTACAAGACATTCCACTTTGTTGCTTTCAGTGTTGATGGTATTCAGTACAGTCAAAACAAATACTGCTGTCTTTCCTGTTCCTGCTTTTGCTTGGCAAATCAATTGTTCTCCTGATAATGCATTAGTCAACGATTCTGCTTGGACTAAAAATATAAAACTATCATATTTACCTCTAGTAGGATGCTCGAACCCGGCTTCTTTTACGGCTCGTAAGAGCTCCTCTTTAAGCCCAAAGTTTTTGAATTATGAGACATTATAATTGTCATATTTTCTACGATTCTCAATATTTGCTCTTACTATATGTCCTATTTTGTTGGTTGTTATGGATCATCATAAAATTCAGGAATATCTTCTAATCCGCTCATTAGTTAAATAAAATTAATATTTTAATATCCTAATTTAAATTAAATCACTTATTATATTTATTCATTTTTCATAAAAAATGATCTTTTATTGATTCATTAATGTATCCCTATCTTTTTAAATACTGGTAAATTTGATTTTTTATATTTAAATGCCATTGATCTGAATTGTATTTTTAGTCGCTAAAATTTAATACTTTTGGATGTTAAATATTTAATACTTAATATAACTATTAATATTCAATTCTTATATAAACTATTAATATTCATTAAATCAGTGTATAGATTATTTACTCCAAGCTTTCTATTTCTTAATTATTTGGATCAATTTTCTTTACTAGTTCACAAATATTCAAAACTTCCTAATAAATTCCAAGATTTTTTAATGCATGGGCTATTAAAGATATATTTATACCACTTAAAATTATGAATTAGAAGTTTATTTTGTCCCTGTCGATGTCTATGTCCCTGTTCTTTTCCCTTTCCTTCTCCATCTCAAAAATTTCTTTACATATTTATAAGGTTATTTATGGATTTTTTTCAAGCTGATTATATGCTTAATTATTGTTTATTAATTAATACCTTGTTGATACTTGAAATTAATCTCCTCTTTTGATAAAATTTATCCTTATAAAGGTCGATTCTGAATTTGATTTCCTAATTTGACTAAATTAATAAGAATTATTCAATACATAAATGCTATAAGAATTATTGAGTATGAGGTGCACTAAATTACAATTATTATTAAAATTAATCAATCCCACTTTTTTTTAAATCTATCTATTACAAGAGAGTTGCTAAATTAAGATAAAGTTTGTACCTTTCATTTAGAGTGCTTCTATATGTTAAGAATTTAATGATAAAAGATGATCTACACACTCTAAACCCTGTTTAAACTAATTCAATTTTTAATAGATTTTAGCTTAAATATTAAAAAAAATACCTTTTTTAAAATAATATTCTTGCTATTAATTATTTATTTTAGTGCAATCATCATAATATTTTAATGCTTCATATAATTTTCCTGTGTTTAACATTATATCACCTAATAAATTACAATAAAATATACCAATTTTTCCAAATGCATAATAACTACTATCATCCATTTCTATAGCTATCTAATAATTTTCAATTGCTTTTTCAAAATTTTTAAGTTCTAAATAGCTATCACCTTAAAATTCAATAAATTAAAACCTTTCAATAAAGAAAATCGAACATCTGTAATATTAAATTTTTAATATGCCTCACATTTATTAATACACTCTTAGTACTTTCCTGCCCAATAAAGAGATTTAGCTTAAATTTAATAATAAATTAAAACTTTCTTCATAATTCCTTTAAGATCTATTACTTAAACTACTCTATGACAATATATTGCTTTAAATAAATTCATCATAAGAAACTTTAACTCATATTATTATTATACCTAAATTATTAATTTTCCCTTTTTAATTCATTATATATTCTAGGTATGTTTTCAATTTCTCAATTTATGGTTTAATAGATTAATCAATAATATTTGTTATATTTTTAATATTGACAATATTAGTAATTTTTTATTCAAACATTTAGACATTTAAGCTTTCTTAATTATCAATTAAAGGATTATATTATGTTTCATACCAAGCTTTAAATTATTTAAGTATAACAAAAATCTCTAAAATTGATTCTAATTTATTAATATTTTCCAAATTGATTTAATTGAACATTTCAGCCCATTGAGGATACTCATATAATTTTTTACATTCATTTGTATGATCTTAATGATAATCAAGTAAGCAATTAACACAAAATAAACGAAAATTATTGCATTAAGGATAAGGACAAAATCCTTCTATTTATTTATTATTATGCAAACTAAATCTACAAGTCAACAAAATATCGCTATTCATTAAGATTGTCTAAATTTTATAATATTTTTAATATAAAATAAATCATTATGCCAATTATTATCATTAAATATTCTATAAACTTTTAGATTAATTAGGAAAATAAAATAATAATAAATTATCACAAATCTTTTTAATTGAAAGCAAAATGTATAATTTTAAGAAGATAAGATTTAGAATTATTATTAAAAAATTTATACATATTTAACTTAAAAATAGGATAAGAATGATAGATTAAATTTCACTAAATGTAAAATGGCATTGTAAGAATCAAATATATTTCAAAACTATACATTTTTAATCATCTTCGCATGTAAAATTTATTTCAAATGTTGTTTTTTTTTATCTCCATAAAACTAATAGATACAAAATTTATTGCTAAACAAAAAATTGAAAACATTAACATATTAAATTTATTCTTTAAATTTCCTTTGATCTTATTTGCTCTAAGACGTACTAGTTAAGTATTTAAATCAAAACAAAAATTAGCTCAGATAATTAGAGTTTAAGAATTATTTGAGAAGAAGTAGAAATGTTATGAAGAACCTGAAAGCAAACAAACCATAAATTGTTATTTAAAATTGATAGACAAAGCATACATAATAAATGACTAAATAGCCAGAATATTTTATTTCTTGTTAAATAAGATCTTTATAAATTTATAATTTATAATTGATATCAAAGACATATAAATTATATATTTGTATATAGTATATAATTATCTTAGAATTTTAACCCTAAATATACTAATTTATTGTTATATTTTTTGATATTTTCATTTGGAATTAGATTTAATTTAGGTGATGAATTTTAGCTTATAAAAATGATCAATAAAGAAATGATATTTAATTTAATGGATTTTAAAACTATTAATTATGAATAAGGTAAAATTGAATATGGAAGTGAAGAAATTTATGTGTCTATAATCACCAAGTTTATTAACATGACCTTTAAAAAACAGGTTTAAGAGTTGTATTTAGCAGTAGAGCTGTTAGATTAAAGACGAATGGAAAAGGCTTGTTTTGTTTTGAAAGGAAGTGTAGGGTAAGCGTTTTTATTTGAGATAGTTAGATAGATCTTAGCATTTAATTTTCTTCAAAAAACAAATGCCTTATATGAGATAGTAAAAAAACAAAAGGTTTATACTTAGAGAGAAATTATTGATTTGTATCATAGATATTTTGACTTGATTGATGAAAGTGTTTTGCTAGCTCTTGAGTTATCAGTAGTTGCCCAATTATTTATAAATATTACTGAATTTAAATCATATAGTAATTATGAATTTTAATCAAAAAGGAGACTCCATTTGGCCAAAATATATAGAATTCATTAACAAATATATAAAGGAATGTCTTAAAAAAAGTAATAAATCATATACTTGTTAATAATGCAAGGAATGTATAATTTTTTGAAGAAGAATGAAAAAATTATTATTGATTAATATGATTATTTTATTAATTATTCTTCTTTTAAAGTTTTTATTTTAATATTATTTGAAATTTTCACCTTTTATTTGAATTTAGAATATTATTTATAACAATGATTAATTGTAATTTTGATAAGTGAATGACCAAATATTTGTTTATTCAGTAATAAGTTAGGATTACTTTGTCTAAATTTTTGTTTATAATATTTAAGTTGTGATAATATTATTACTGGACTATTTGAAATAAAATGATGATTAAAACACTCTGTTTTTGTTTTCAAATCATCAAAAAAAGATATTAATTGTTTAAAAAATTAATATTGCAATTTATTGATTATCCAAATAAAAGTGTTTAAATTATTCAGAATTTCAAAGTATTAATAAAATTATTTGAGATTTTTAATCTTGCTCAATATTTTTTAATTAATGAAGTACAATTATAATATAAATTAAAATTATAATTACTATTTACTTGAATTTTAAATTAAATTTATTCTATTTTAAATATTTGTTCGAATATGATTTACCACTGCAAAATTGTTGATATTATTTTTAATTAGATTGATACAAATAATCTTTTTATAAATTAAACATATATTTATTTGATAATCACATAGTTCAATTAATTCTGTAAATAATAATAAATCAAATGAATTTATATACACTATTTCTTAATATTGAATTGCAGCAAATAAATATATTAAATATTAATCTCAAAATAAAATTTCAATAAATTTAGATAATGGACTAGAAAGGACCAACCTCTAAATAATCTTCATCTTTGTCTTAGCACCCTCAAGCTACAGCAACTTCTTTTTAAAATAGGGTATAAAATTATTGAATTTATAGAGTCCTTAATTAATCATTTAAATTATGACAAGAATTATTGATCAAAAACATATACCTAAAGAAATAAGAGATCAATTATTATCGAAAATCAATTTTTACTCATAAACTTATAATCTAAATGAAGATATTAATAATGTTAAGGGACAATTACAACAACGCTCTTATATTTACAACTAATATAAGAATTATTCAAGAAGCCCAATTTTTTAGCTAATCTGGTTCTAGATTTAATCAAAAGATTGATAAAAATGAATATATTCAGGCCTTTACCTATTTTAAAAAAGAAGCCTATAAATTGGCAAATCGGTAAATAAACGATAACGTAAAATTAAAATATGCCATAATTAGAAATTGATTGATGTTGGAAGTACTCATTTTTAATCAGTCTATGAATAATTTTTTATTTAATTGTTAATTAATAGCCAGATCTCAAATTACTCAAAGTATTTGTTTATTAATGTTATTAAGATATTTATCACTCATTCTATAATTCCGTACTCCTGTAGTTATTCTATTCTGATACAAAATTGGTTTATAGAAGAAAAATGAAAAAAAAAAAACTATAAATGATTGTATTTTTATACTTTAATTAATTAGACTTACAAATAATTGAGGAATAGGATATTAGTAAACATTGTTAGTGAATTTCATTTCCTTAAAGAAAGGAATAAATTATCGTTTATTTAAATTGTTATCATACATTTGCATAAAGTTTAAACATGTTAAATTTATCATAAGTAATTATTAAGATGTTCCATGCCATTCTCATCAAAAAATCTAACTTTAGCAATATTTTTGGCTGAAGGATTATTGAGGTATTGGCCCTTTGCTAATTCAGTTAAGGAAGCCATATTTTTTTACCATGGATTTCTACATTGGAACCATTTATCTAAAAACTATTTTAACTATTAATTTAGTATATAGTAGAAACTAATTAACAAGTGGCTAATAGAGTTATGTGTTTCTTTGAGAATGATTATTTCTAAATCCTACTTAAGAGTTGTAAAATATTCACATTCCCTTTTTAGTTCTTTAAATAGTTTAATCGCAATACAGACTGTCATAAGTTTCTTTGAGATTGATTACAAAGCTTTTGTTAAAGAGTTTAATAATAACGATCCAAAGTTCTTATACACCATTCAGGACCCTAAAATAACAAAGAGACCAATCAAATTTGAAGAAGTGGTAAAAATAATCTAATAATCAATCCTAAAAACAAACTTAAAAATGAAACAAGTATTCCTTATTCAGAAACTCGCTTTTTCTTAGAACACAATGGTCTTAATAATGGTAATAACTCCTTATTTTGATCATAATATAAATAATAAAAATATTTAAATAAACTTTAAAAAACAGTGGTTTGGTGTTAGAATTGGAGAGATATTTTAAGATAAATATATACTAACATAAAAAGTGGCTTTGTTTTTTCTTTCTTAAATCCATGGTGGTCAAATTCGAACATGATGTATTCAATCTGAGTATGAAATAGATTAAAAATTTTGATCTAAAGATAATAATTTTAATAAAATTTTTCAAATATAAATATTTGATGGAAAATGGTAAAATAGAGGAGCTAAAATCAACAAATAAATCCGAAAGTAGGCTTAAACTATCTAAATTAGTAAATGAATAGTAGGAATAGATTCAAAAGGATCATTTTTCTTACCCTGAGTCAGATAGAAAAGCTTTGATTAAAACAGGACCATTAATATAATATGAAAGAGATATTTATTCAGAAAACTGTTAAAAACATGAGAAACTATGCAGATCAAATGAAACTAAGGAACTATTTTAGGTGAATTTTTAAGAACTACTAAGAAGAAACCAAACTTAATTAAAAATTGATAATAATAGAAAAAACCCATTTTATAATAAAATAAAGGATAAGAAAAAAAGAATAAAAAGATCTACAACTTTGTAATTAAAATTACATAAATTTAATTTATTTATAAAAAAAATTAAAAGAATAAAGTTATAAAAACAATAAGAGAAACATATATATAATCTCAATCAAATTCCTACTTTTGAAACTTAAATTGTAAAATTCAATTTGGAAAACTAAAATACAATAGATATAAAAATAATTATAAATACTGATTTTTTGTTAAATTTTTAAAATTCAGAAGAAAATAATAAAGATAATAAAGAAATTAAAATACAGGTCTTAGATTCTATTCAAGAAACAAAAGTCTAGAATAATTTATGTTTGCTTAAAAACGAAAAAATTGAGGTGAGTTTAAAAAAATCACCTCAATTTTTGATTGAAGATTCAGAAAAAGAACCTGAACTCAATAATAAGTCAAAGAAAATTAGTTTTAAGGAATTAATGTATAAAATTGATCTAGAAAATAAGCAAAATCAAAAAAAATTATTATAAAAATAAAAGTTATAATAAGTAATTACAAATTCGTAATAAAAATTACATATTTTTAATGAAATACAAGCTCAAGAAATCATTATAATTGATCAAAAAGATATAATATAAAAAGAAGAATAAGAAATGACATAAAATATTTAATCATTTTAAAGAAAGAATGAATATGAAGTGTAGTCTCCAAATGAAAAATAAGGAATGATTAAAAATGTATAAGATTTTGAAATTACTAAAATTGATTTTAATTAAATAAAAAATGATCCTTAAAATAATACATCTGAAGAAGATAGTTGTCAAATTATTGAAAATAATCATTAAAATGAATTTTTTGTTGAATAACAGAAAAAATAAAGAAAAAAAAATATAAATTAAAAAAATTTTCCAGAAAATAAGAGTGAACATAATGGTTAAAATTTTGAATTAACTTAATAAGTAGTATATAATCAAAATAAGAACAAAAATGAAAAGAATTAGAATTCAGAAGAATGTGAATCGATATTTTAGAAATTTGAATAATTTTGTAATGAAAACCAAAAGAATATTTAAAAAGTGAGAGATAATTTTTTAAGAAAAACAAGATAATTACAAAAATAAAAATAAAGAAAAATAGAAAGAGAGAGAAGAATTGAAATTAAAAGATAATTAGAATTAGAAAGAGAAAGAGATAGAGAAAAATAAAGATAGAGAGAAATTGAAATAATAAGATAGAGAGAAATAGATAAAGATAAAGAAAAGGAAAGAATAATGTAAGATGAGATTTAGAAAAAAATAAAATTAGAAAATTAAACAGAAAAAAGAAAAAAAAGAAAGAAATTAATAGAGAATCGCATCAAATTTTGTAAATAGCATGATTAAAATGAAACAAATAGGTCTAAAAATAGAAAGCTCAGATCATTATCAAACTAAAGTTAAAAATGTAACTCAGAAGAATAAAATATATTTTCAATATAAAATTCAGAAAATAATAAGTAATAAGACTAATAATATTTGTAACAATAAATGAATGCTAATTAATTTTTTGATGTTTTTGATCTTGATAAATCAAAATAAATTGTGATAGGATAATAATTTAAATAATAAGAGGAAAACAATTTAAACCAAAATTCTAATACCTATCAATATTAAACTTTATTTCCTTAATTAATTCCATAAAATATATTAAATTACCATTATTAATATTAGGCTATTTCATAATTTTAAGTGCCTATGGTTATTTAGCCTAATCCTTCTAACATGAAAAATCCTTACTTTTATAATTATTTTATGCCTATTAATCATATTTAATAATAAACTTTCAGCCAAAGTGATGGATCAATTAATTTATAAAAAGATCAGTAAAAATTTTAAATGGGATACTTTTTGTTAATAACTCCAGAAAACTTTGATCCAACTTAAGTAGTTTAATTATCACCTCTAACTTTTTTATTTATTCCTGAAAGCTCAAAGTTATAAGATATATATAAATGAGAATATTGATTATTAAAAAAAAAATATATATCCAAAAAATATTTTTTCTCTTAAAAACTTGTAAATAGTATATATTCTTATTATAAAACATCCAAATATTTATAGTTATATTAACATTTATTATATCTAAATATATAAAGTTCAATTTAGATTAATAGAACTTTAGATTCTTCTTATTAAGCAGGTGTACAATAATTATTTAAATTGTAAATGTAATCCATCTATAAATATTATTTAATTAATTAACTGAATTTATAATCATATAAACATTAAAATAAACTTTCAATATCAATAGACATAGAATAACAAAAGTAACTCTGTATTGTTTTTATTATTTAAATTAAATCCACAATTCATTTATAATTTAAATAAAAAATTTTTTAAAGTTTGACAATTCTTATATAAAATGTATCAATGTGTAGATATTTAAAAAAGTTATATATTGAATTTCTAGATAAAAATAAATGAATTTTCTTTTTAAACAATTTATAAAGAGTAGGATTCAATAGTTTGAATACAATTTTTAAAAGAGGACATATTAGATTCCTCCTATTTCTTAGATATCATTTAATTAAAGAGACTTTATTAATCAATAAATAAGTTGTTTAAAAAAACTAACACAAATTATATAAGAAAATTAAAAAAAAAATAGAAGGGGATGCGGTGAAATGTTAAAAAATTAATACCATTTATTCAGAGTATATTTGTTATTCTAGTTTTTGAGATTCTTACTATTTTTCAACAATTTCTTTGTTTTAAATTTCTGTATAACTATATTTTTCTTCATCCAGGGTTCCAATCTATAACTTTAATGTATCTTCATTGACGATATCATTATTTATTATATTTTACTCTTATTTTTAATGATTAAATTCATCCAATATTGGTGAAAATTATTGTTTATTTATTTTTTGAATATCTGCTTAAACATTAGAATTATCAATTTATTTAGTATTATAAAAGCTGTTAGATACAATTTATAACTTATTATCTGATTAATAATAATCCTAACCTTATAATGATTACTGATTATACTATTATGATTATTTAATTCTTTATCTTATTGTTGATGATCTTTTCATTTAAAATTCTTTCAATCTTAAACAAGTTTCGTTAATTTAAATAATTTCCAAATGAATTTTAATAATAAAATTTTCAAGCTCCATTAATTATTTTGATTTGCGTTGAATATCCTATTTGAGTAATTTTAAATCAACTTAATATTTCTCCTCAAGAATTTATTTATTTCTTTCATATTTTAATAATTTTAACTAAGCTTTTTAGTATTATTATTCTAATAAAAAATCCTATTCTAAAATAATAGCACATTATTATTCTTTAAGAATGACTTTATCTCTTACTTAGGATTAATATTCTGAATGCTTTTATGATTTTTTTTATTAATTTTCAATTAATTAGATCAACAAGTAATTTTTTAATTGATATTCTTGAATTGATTTTTCTATTTATTGGCTTTGTTGCTAAATAAATTTATTATATATTACATTTCATTTTAAAGATTAGAAACACCATCTTATTCTTCAATTTAAGTAATTTCCTTTTCTTATTTTTAAGTGATTTTCTTTTAAGTTTCAATTTATTATTAAAGCATTTTTATATTTTGTTCACATTAAGATATTTTATATACTAAATCTATTCTCATATTTTTTTATTCTAATATAGTTAATCTTTTCTATTGTTGATTGAATTAATATTTTAATCTTTTCATAATCTCAATATTATTTATTTATTCTTATTATAAGACATCCATATTAGGAAACTATAATTGTTCTATATTATTTTAAAATATACTTTTATTTGGTTTTTTTTTTGATAAATAAGTTCCAACTTCATTGTTTAATTATTTTAAAAGACCTCTCAATTTTTCTGGTTTATTCTTACATTCTTCAGATTATTAATAATATTTAAAATCTAAAATAAATATAATAAAATACATATGCTTTTTTCTGTCTTAGGTATTAATATTTTCATAAATTATAAAAATATATAAATTAAATTGAAACAACTGATTCATTTAATCAATAATACTTAATAAAACAGATCTTTTAATTATAAATTGACAAGTAGAAATAAATAAATTTTTAGAAATTTAAGGCTTTAGTTTAAACTTTGAGAAAACATTAATTTAATAAAAAATAAATAAATTTCTAATTATAAACTTACCTATTAATAGTAAATTTTATCAATTAAATGCGTAATGAAAATGAAAAATATCTTTAATTTTAATTAATGAAAAATATCCAATTGATATTATTAATCGTCTTGTTTGGGTTTGCTTCTGCTGATATTATTATCAATAAATCAAAAAGATGTGAATGTCCATCATTTATCAAAACAGAATGTGATAAATGGTATGATTGTAAATGGGCTGAAACATCTTGTTAAAAAAAAGAATGCACTGATTACACAACAGAAGACAAATGCAATGGAGAATGTTAATGGAAAGGTGGAAAGTGTATTGATGAGAAAAAAGAGTGTGAAGATATGCCAACTGAAGAAAGTTGTTCAAATTTTGCTGGATGTGGTTGGAAAGATAACAAATGCATTGAATTTACTCAATGTTCAGATTTCATTGTAACAAAGGCAGAAAGATGCTCTGTCTTATAAGGTGAAAATGGAGAAAGATGCTAACCAAAAGGTGTTAGTGTAACTACATTATTTTACAAACATTTAGCTGTTGCAGCTGGATTTTAATGTGAAAATAAAGTGTATGTTGATTGTTCTAAATTTGTGACAGAAGCTACATGCAAAGGAGATGCAACTGCAACTGCAAAATGTTAATGGAAAAGTGATGGTAAATGTTATGCATTTGAATTAAAAACATGTAGAGATGCTGATGGATTTAATTAAATGTGTGATCCAAAATATTGTAAAAAAGATGGATAATTATGTGTGAATAGATCATGTTCTGATATTACCACATAAGCATTATGCACATCTCTACCAAAAGTTGACAGCAATAAATCCATCTTATGTAAATGGGGTGCTGATAATAAATGTACAACTGCAACTGATGCAACTCATTTGAATGAATAAACTTGCAATGATGTAACTTTCGGTTCCTATCATTGGGCGACAAATACTTGTCAATAATGTGCTTCCAATTGGATTCTATCAATTATGTCATTGATAATCTTGGTTGTCCTCATTTGAATGAATTATTCATTATTCAATATTAGAAAACAAAACATATAAATTATTTTACCTTTTTATATATAAAATTTTATAATTATTAATAAATTATTTGTGGTTTAAATAATTATTCATTTTTATTAAAATTGGTAACATATTTAGCATATTTTTATAAAATTATCAATTATTATAATATATTAACAATTAATATTGTGTGATTTGCATCATAAAATAATAATTACATCGTTTATAATACGAATTAAATTAAATATTCTTAACTAAAAGCTTTATTAAACCTGAATTAAAAATTAAATGAATAGACACTTAAGTAAGCTCATTCAAAAATCATTCTCTATCTAAACTAAAGCAACCCAAAACTATACTATGCCACATCCTATCTGGAATAAGCCAGAACTAGAATAAGTTAGCTTGGAACATAAACCAGCACTTACTTTTGGAGATCATTTTGCTTATTACTTTATTCAATCAATGAGAATTGGCTTTGATGTTATGAGTGGATATAAAAAGATCGCTCCATTTTAATCAGAATTAGTGTCTGAAAAGAAATGGATCAATAGAGTTCTATTTTTGGAGACTGTTGCTGGAGTTCCAGGATTTGTAGCTGGTATGCATAGACATTTAAGATCATTGAGAGGAATGAAGAGAGATTAAGGATGGATTCACACCTTATTAGAAGAAGCAGAAAATGAAAGAATTCATTTGTTGACTTTTTTAAATATCAAAAAACCCTCATTAATATTCAGAACTGGAGTTGTTTTAGCTTAGACTTGGTATGTTGCACTATTTGGAGTGGCATACATGTTCTGGCCTAGAGTCTGTCATAGGATTGTTGGATACTTAGAAGAAGAAGCAGTTAAAACCTATACCCATATGATTCATGAAATAGAAAGAGAAGGAAGTCCAATTCATTCATGGACTACTCGTAAGGCCAATGAACATTCTATTGAATACTGGGGATTAGAAAAGGATGCCACTCTTTTGGATGTTGTAAAAGCAATAAGAAAAGATGAAGAACATCATAAAGATGTAAATCATTATTTTGCTGATGATTACACTTAATCGAAACCAAATCCTTTTCCTCCTGGTAAATGAATTAGTTTTATATTATATTATTTTATATCATATCATAATTTTTCTATAATCAAAAGTATTGATTGTAGTTTCTAATATTGATATATATATATATATATTAAGATGATTAATAATTACTTCGTCAATTTAGATGAATTTTTCTTAAGTCTTGATTCATAATTTCACTATTTCTATAAGAATGTTATTTATATCATTCTGATTTTAGGTGCTATTTGGGTAAATCAAAGTGGTCTAGAAAATTTAATTTAATTAGAAAAATTCTAGAATACTTTTAGATTGTCAGTATCCTATATAAAATATTCTAAGATCAATAATGATTGTATTTTCAAATATTTACTCTGTATATATTTTTGTTATATATTCAACTATATTAGATTGCCTTAAATGATTAATGTCATGATTAAAATTTTCAATGTTAAGTTATTTATTTATTGATAAGATTACCATCACAATTATTTCATCATTTGATCATAATTTCATGATAGGACTTACAATAATATATTTATTACATTTTTATGAAAGCAGTAAAAATAATTCATTATATTTAATAATTATTTTTTCTATTTCAAAACATGAATACAGGACATATAAATGAAAATAAAAATTAATAAAATAAAAACGTCTTATACTTTTGATATCTAAACCAATTAATAAGTATCATTTATTATTTTATGTAATTCTTAATTGGTATTAATTATATTTTTATATATAAAATATCCAGGTTTAGTTAATGGGAGGCTGCGAGTTTAAATTTAGGGGATCAAGTGATGATTCATGTATTATAAATAAGAATATATATAGAAATGACACTAACAAATTTTGAATTAATATCAGTAGTTGGCTAAGGAGGATTTGGTAAAGTATATAAAGCAAGACTAATAAAAACTCTGAATTTAGTTGTAGCACTAAAAATTATGTCAAAAGTTAGGTACCTACTTAAATATATTAGAAGAGTAATAAAGAAAAAGAGTGTGAGTTCAGTTATGAATGAATTATAAATCTTATCAACCCTAAGACATGAGTAATTATACCTAGATAATTCTAGATTTATTATAAATATTATCAGTGCCTTTTAAGATCGTTGTTCCTTGTATTTAGCCATGGATTTCTTAGCTGGAGGAGATTTAAGATTTCATTTATGCAAATTTCGAAAATTCTCTGAGGCAATTACAAAACATATTGCAATTTGCATAATTATTGGATTAGATTATATACATTCTAATGGCATTATACATAGAGATATCAAACCAGAAAATTTAGTATTTGATAGCTAAGGCTATTTAAGAATTACTGATTTTGGAATTGCCAGAATATGGAAACCATAAAATAGTCATGAAACAAGTGGTACTCCTGGTTACATGGCTCCTGAAGTTATGTGCAGATAGAATCATGGAGTTGCTGTTGATTACTTTGCCTTAGGAATAATAATGCATGAGTGTATTGTAAATAATTTTTACTATTTTAGCTTGGAAAAAGACCTTATAATGGAAAGAGTAGACAAGAAATTCGAGATTAAATTATTGCCAAATAGGCTGCTATTACAGAAGTTCCATAAGGTTGGAGTACTGAGGCAATTAATTTTGCAAATGCTTTAATGTCAAGGAAACCTCAATAAAGATTAGGATGCAATGGGCCGGATGAAGTTAAAAATCATTCATGGTTTAAAGATATCAAATGGACAGATTATGAAAAGAAACTTATAAAATCTCCTTTTATTCCTGATGAAAAATTAGATAATTATCTAAAATCTAATCAACTTGAATCTCTTGAAGATTAATCAATTCTCCATTCAGAACAAGTGTAATGTAAATATTACAAAAATCATAGAATAATTCCTTGGATATGAACATGTACATTAATTTAATGGATAACCTACTTATGTATCGTCTATTGTTTCTCCAAGAACTCCCAACTTAAGGGTGTAGCTTAAGAAAGAGTAATGATTTTAATTTAATTATGCACCACTATCTATTAAATAACAAAATTTGAATTTTTGTTTTCGAATAATTAATTTATCATAGTATTTTTAATTAATTTAAATTATTCAAGTAATAATTATTTATAAAAGCTAATTAGGTGATATTTTAATTCAGCTTTATTATTTTTGATTAAGTTCAGAGTAAAATTTATCTGATAACAACAAATCATATAAATTAATGGAATCTTTCATTTATAAAAATATTTGTGAAATTAAAATTATAGTATTATTTTAAGCACAGCTTTACGATCAGGTCAGTTGTTTTTGATTCAAAAAAAGTGTTGGGACTTATCTTTTAACTTCTAAATTAAAGAAGAAATGGATTTTAATTAAAACAAATTCTAAATTGTATATAACATATCGATAATGCAAACTATTCTGAATGCGTTTCTTTACTTTTATATATATATTGAAATAATATTTCTGTCATAATCATTGATTCAACACGTGAATAAAACAATATAAAACTTATATTTCATTTAAAATGATTATCAACTTGAGTAATAAGGTTACGCATTATATTTGTTACTTCTGGATACAAATTCATGCTTTCTAAAAAATTGTTTAATTCTTCACTTTTTTCTTAGTATCGGATGTCGTCCTCAATAACATAATTAAAATGTTGATAATTACTATAAAAATAATATGTAAGTTTACCTTCCAAGGATTAAGTCCCAATTATATCGTAAAAACTTATAATACCTATTTTTTACAGCATTTTAACTTCTATCTAAAAAAAACTTAGAAATTATTTAAAATCTTGGACCATGCTCTATTACAAGATTTAAGATTTTTTCATCTTCCTCAAAAGTAAATGGAGTGTGTTTTTCAAAATTTAGATTTTTTTTATTCATTTTTTTTCTTTTCTTTGTGTGAAAATCACATTTTTTTCTTCTTGCGATTCTTTTTTTTGTTTTTGGAAGACATTATAAAACTAAATCTAAACTATCTGTTTAAGATGGTTGTGGACCATCTAAATAAATGAGCATCGGCTAATTTTCATTGGAAGTTTCATCAATTTCTTTTGATAATTGAGATAACGAAATTTCATCGTAAGATTTTGTTTTTTGCATCTCAAATATAAATAAAATTAAGTAATATTTGTTAAAAGCATATAAACCACAAAAATGATGATCATTTCAATCTTAATTTAAAAACAAATTATCAAATATTAATTTTTACAAACTCTATTCAGTTGGTAAAAAATATTTATAAATTTAATTGATTTTATATAACTTTTAGAAGAGACTTTATATACTTAAAAATATACTCAATTGATATATTAAAAAGAATATCATAAGTGGAAATTGTTTAATTAAATGAATCAGTAAATTTTTGTAAAAAGAATTTTAATAATTCTAATTCTCCAAATATTAAATTATAATAAAACCTTCCCAGTAAAACAATTAAATATATTATCTCAAATTTTAATAGAATTTAAATACAATTAATTGTGTATTATAATTTTAGTATTGGACAAGCTTCTAATTTAATTTGGAAATTAACTTTATTAAGTAGAGAATTTTATATTTAATATTTAATTATTATAGTATAGAATATTAAGAATTATAAACTCTAAATGACAGCTCTATTTAAGATGATCATTGATGTTTAAAACTCTTTAAAACTGCATAATTAATTTTTCAAATAATTTAAAAAACAATAACTAACTAAAATATTCTATATATTCTGAATTATTTTTATTTTCTTCACATTTGACTTACTAGTATCTAATGTAAAAAAATATAGACATAAGATTATAAATAAATTTACTCTATAATTATTACATAGTAATTTATTGAATAAATACAATTCTTTAAATCAACTAAATATAAAAGCAATAAAATTTGTAACTTTATTTAAAAATAAGAATTATCTAAACATGGTAATGTAGTCTTAGCAGCTGGATTACATATTAAATAAGATTTTAGTCATAAGGATAATTTTTGTTAATAATGCCTTTTTATTTAAAAATAAATAAAATTTATATTCATTCTTAAATATCTTTTGAAATATGTTGTTTATCTTTATTTTTACTGAAAAATAATCCAAAATAAAGAGCTTAAAGGATTTTTTATTCTAAAATTAAATGTACTTTTTAGAAATAATTATCATCAGAATTTTTATAGTATAATAATTTTGGAATTTGATTTATTAGTTTACATAAACTTGATGGGATTAGAGCAAGTAGCCAATTTCAATTTGCTTATAACTTTTTATATTAATAATTATATTATTTTCTTTAAAAATAACAAATAGTAAATTAATATATATTGATCTTTAATAAATAATATAGATAATTGGAATTTCAAAATAAAATCCAAAGATTCCCTTTAAATAAATACAGAAATATTGTTATTTCTTTTTCAATATATTGTAAATAGGAATATTTTCTTGTAGTAATTAAGTGAAAAAACGCTGTATAAAATTATAAAATAATTAATTAAAAAAATTATGTATTTTAAAGGCTTGATAAAGATTAGTAAACTACAGCTTTAGAGAAAAGATTTTATTTTTTATTTTATTTAATTTGAATAATACATTTTATTAAATATAAATTCAGAATTGTTTAGGCGGCAATTAAAATAAAAATAATGAGATCTGATCTAGAAGTTATAAAATACTAATTCTTATTTTGAAATCTTAATCTATTTTCCATTAATAGTATTGAATGATACTCGAATTAAAGTATAGCCATTTTGAATATGAATGTAATTCTAAAAATGATAACTGAACAAATTTTATAGGATGTAATACATAAAATAATAAATAAATATTCACATTTCTGAACTCTAACATAATAATTAGTCATTTATATTTTGATCCCTGAAACTCTAAGTTTCATCTCTACAATTATTATGATTAACTTCTTCTATTTTAGATTCAATGTCTTAATTTAGATAAGCATACGATCTATATTACATGAATTCATACTCTCCTAAAATTGAATCCCATTAATATCGTAACATTTTATAATATCTATTTTTTACCATATTGATTGTTTTTGTTGGGAAATATTTAGCTATACTCATGAACTTAGGACCAAAATTTAAAACATAAAGTAATATTGCTTTGTCCTCTTATGGAGTGAATGGGATGGATTATTAAACTTTTGATATCTACTTGATTTATATTAATTTTTACCTAATTTTTTGATTATCTTCTTTTCCTTTTCTTATCATAATTAGGTTATCTTTTTCTCTTCTTTCTTGGCTTCTTTAACCCTAAAACTGGTAATTCATGGCAATAGCAATTATTTAATTCATGATTAATTTCATCATAATCATTACTTTAAGCAGCTACTCAGAAATGATTAAATTTTTTTACAGATTTATGGGTACTCATCGACACTCTCTTACAAAAATATGGACATTTATGATTGCTTTAAAAAAAACATTGGCGATTCATGATTCTCTTAAAAAAATGTAACTATTTCTACCTTAATAGATAATTTGGGCTTTTTCATGTATCATTTTTGTCTAAGTAATTTGTAAGAAATTAATATTTTATTAATATTTGAATATTTTCTATCTGCCTTTTACACTATTTATACCAAAAAACGATTATTTAAGATCTTTTATGAATAATTATTTATTAACTATAAAATATTAAAGTTTTAATATAATAAATTGCTTATTAATTATTATTTCTTCTTGAATCAATAAGTAAAATTTAGTATTTGATATAAAATTTATTATGATTAGCTTAATTCAAAATAAGAATGAATTTCTCATCTTATTGATCAACTCTCATAAAATTATATAAATAAATAATATTTTTTATATGTTGTATAAAAATATTATTATTTAATATATTTTTATAGAAATTTGATGAACAATTCTGAATGAAAAGTTGATATCAGTTGAAAAAATTGAAAATTAAATTATAAATATAAATATTTTATATATTTTAATGTCATCTCATGATGTCTACTAAAGGAAAGATTTCCTGAAGAGAAAATCAACTATGATTATACCTAAGAAATCACGATTTTAAAAGAAATGCGAGGTTTTATAGAAGCATTTAGAAATATATAAAACATTTATAAAAATATTGTTAGGATTTGAATTAGAGGAAGAGGAAGACCTTAATTATAATTGTATTCTAATGAATTTCAAAAAAAACCTTAAAGAAAATATTGAAATATTTCCTGACTGCATCATTAGGTTTCTTTATAAATAATTATTTTAATTAGTTTAATAAACCCAGACTATAAATAAAAGAATGATAATCAAAATTAATATTTGATTAATACTAGCATAGAATTATTTGAATTACTTCAATAAGGATTAAGAATCAATTAGAAATCAATAGATGATCTTTTATTATTGAAAGCTATTGAATCGATATATTTTAATTTGCCTGTATATGATCATTAATATCACAAAAAAAAGGAATCCACAGCACTTTTTACCGAAGATAATCAAGAATAAAGAAACATAAGAGATAAAGATCACCAAAAACAAATTTTATTAGCCGACAAATCAGACATTAGGTATAATCAAATTGACAAAAATGGTACTTTAACATAATTAGATAGAAATAATAAAGAATTATGTATCTTAATTAGAAAAATAGTTACATAATTTGCTTTAATAAGATATACATGCAAATATTATGGATTTGTTAACTTTAAATTTTAAAGAATTAAAATAGACACCTTTAAAAAAATGGAAAGGTGGTTAATATTTAGAAAATCAAAATGATTTATGGCTTAGAACAAGTTCTCCTACTTAAGATGTTTCTACATTAATTAGAAATGCTTTGATTATTAAACTTAATAAAGTTGGTTTTAATCTTTAATCATTTATATCTGGAGATGGACAAAAGATCTTTATTATGCTTAATATGCAAGATTCAAACCTTAAAATAGTTGCTGATTAAGGTCATGTATTAAAATAACTAAATTTTTGGTTTACAGATTTATTTTCTTTAGAACCTGTTGATAAATCTTTTAGACCATTAAGAATTAATAATAGACTTTGGAAATCATAAGATTATGATGTTTCAGATTTATTCTTATATTTAAAACCTTAAATGATTAAATTAATTTAATAGATTAATTTCAAAAGAATAGCTAGAGAAACAAATTAAAGTTCAATAAATTCATAATTATTTGAATATGGAAAATTAGATTTTAGTGAGAAAGATGATGGTCCAACTGATGAAGAATGGATAGCATATCATAAATATTTGACTCATTTAGAAAAATGTATTAGATAATTTAGATAAAGTTAATTAATAGATAATGAATTAGCTTCTTTACTTAATAAATAAATAACTCCTCTATAAATTTATTAGAAACGAAATTAATCAAATAAAGAAATTCAAAATCTTAATTACTAAAATTTAAATGAACCTAAAAATTATGAGCATTTAGAAATAATAAATAATATTGAGAAATAGGCTGAAAGAGTTATGGATGAATTTTCTAATTTTTAATTTTCATTATAAATTCCTAAAGTAAAAGCATTAAAATTATTAAAAAAAGAATCAGTTACATTAAATTATCTATATTCATTTTAAGAAGCTCTTAGAGTTGCAAATGGTGAATAAATAAAATTATATAATTTATGGGAAAGATCAGAAATACCCCCATTTGATATGTATCATCCTTATTAAATGCCTAATAAATAAAATACTAAAACTAATTAAGCAAAACAAGAATTAAGTTGGACAAAATATGTTAAGAATGAAAATTATGAGATATCTTTATTTTCATCTTAAGAGAGATTAAAATTAGTTTATTAGAAAGTATTTTAAGAATTAGATCTTAGTATAATGCATTAATTAGGTATCATTAGATAAATATTCTGTCTTAATGATCATTATGAATTATTTGGATAATGTAGTAATATATAAGCTTAGATAACTTTGGATACAAGATTTTTTAAGAAGAAACCATTCTAATTGATAGATGAATGGAAACTTGATTATATGAAACCTTGGATTAGTCCTTGTGATTTAATTTGTGGATATTATGGAGAAAAAATTGGTCTCTATTTTTATTTTATGAGTTATTTCACTGAAATGACTACACCCTTAGCTTTTTCAGGTCTTGCTTGTAGTTTGA